GCTGAATAGACATATCCTCGAAATCCTAACCAGTTTCGAGAAAAAAAATCGAGAAGATCCGAAAATTTCTACAAAATTGAAAAATTTCAAATCGTTCCAAAAAAATTATTTTCAGTTGCAGGGATCAATTACAATCATTTTACTCCTGGTGTGGACTGCGGACGAAAACTATCGATACGTAGCTTTATCCACCGGTTGTCGTTACAATAATTGAGGTTAGGTTAGGTAAGAGATATATTTCGGCGAAATCCCGATAACCCTTCAAAGAAATTAATATTTCATAGTCACTTTTGACCGAGGCTTCGATCTTTACGTAAAATCGAAATGATAAATATTTGTCTTAGCTCGGAACGATCGCGATAAGATTAAATCGATGGTACGATTCGTTTATGACCATTCGTCATCGTTTCACGCGACTCGAGACAATATTTGTCTTTTCGGTTTATTTAGTTTCTGTACGCGAAATGAGTTCCACCCGTACAATTGTTGTATTATTGTCGTCGTTGCTAATTAGGTAACTGGACGTATTTTCCGGAAAGAGATACACGTATGTACATATCGCGGTGCACACGAGTATGCGTTTCTATAATTGTGTCACAACTTTGCGCGACGCCGATGGCATCGCTATCGATAACCTCGTAAATAAACCGTAGATATTATCTGCAGCTGCGTATACAGTTGGGAAATCATTATTCAAAGCGTTCCGCGCGTTGTAGAAAGTAACCCGACTAAATAATATGTCACGGTGAAATTGTCAATTTGGCAGTCTCGAAGCGATCGACGAAAGCGTTTGAATCGATTTGTCGCGTTCGAGTAACGTTTATCAATTACGAGGAAGCTGCGACTGTCCGTCGTTAACGGTACATACATAATTACTTAGCCCATCACCGTAACGTTCCGACGGGAATGTCATATTTTCGATAACATCGTGATCAAACGGAATTCTATTATCACCAGTACGCTATTTACCGTAATACTATCGCACATACACCTCATTTCGTTACAATACGATACTTCGATATAACATTTCCTTTTATATTTTCGATTTACACATTGCCAACGAATTGATAAAATCTACGTGCATTGTGCTTGGAAATATACATAAGCGTGTTTCTATTTATTTTACAACTGTATAAAAGTTCATTTTCCAAGGATATACGTATTTAAAATTGTAGAAGAAGCTGTGAAATTTTTAGCAGAGGGCAATGATGTCGAGCGACCGCGAGACACGTCAACCGTTTCTATGTGGTGGTTAGAATTGGAACTACGGACGCATGATGCAATCGAAGGTGCTGCGACGTAGTGTATATGGCGTGACTTTTTAGGCTTTGTGTTTTCAGTTACGACCGAGCCGCAAAGCAGCCAGCGCGTGTCGCCGGTATTCATTTATGTATATGTATGTGCTATATACCACGGACTTACATACGTATCTTCGCTTACATACGTCGACTCTATGTACATAGGACAGACCACCAATATTGGGTCTTCTTCGCAATAAATGAAAGATTTCTATTCTTATTAAATTTTCACAGAAACGGCGATCAGTTTGAAAAGGGCAAGTATTTTTATCGCGGTCGTTTCTCTGCACAGCGATTCTGCGAGAGCGAACCTATCCCACCGTGACGAGTTATGCGACTTAAAGCACAGATAAACCGCTCGACGAGAGAGAATACCTAATTTTAAGTAAGGTTATCGTCATTACCGAGGAAACTCGCTCGACATATGTATACAATCAATGCACTCGATACTTATGCGACCTCGAAACACCAGCTATCCCCTGCGAGGGTGTATGGCTTTCGTCAAAGTCCCATTCGTTCCTCGACCCGGTCGTAAATTCTCAAAAAAGTAAATAGCGTCGGGCTATCCGCCTCTTGACTAAACGTGGGGCCCATATTTCGAGCTCTCGAAAGTTCCTTGAATCGACAAACCCATAACCTAACCTATAACCTGTACGTCAGGTTCAACGATTCTGTCAATGCTACGTAAGGCACGAAGCCGTTTCTACTCCCGATTGATAGAATATGCGTCACCAATCTCATTTCACCGGTAGGAAGCCTTGCACCTTTCACGCAGCTGCGCCAGCATGTACAGCATCGTTTGTTCCGTCTTTAAGTACACACACACACACAATGTGTACGTGTGTCGTGTGCATTCCGAGCCGCTTGGAATCGGTCGAAACGTTGTCGATTTGGGAATTGATAAAATGGTGCCGAGTAGAGTCGAGCAAAGGCGCAAAAGGCGAGCTCCTAGTCGCGCAATTTCGGTCGCTTAGACGAATAAACACGTACGTACGTACACAGGTGGAAGGACAGAAGTGCCGAGTTGGCACGTTCGCCTTTCGTAAACACGTATCTACAACGCATAAATTGTCCCGTCGCGTACACAATATTATTATGCGCGTAGATAACGAGGCGTTACCGCGCGCGCAGCTGCGGATACAAATATACCTACGGCGGACTCTAACCTATACATATCTACAGACATTGTCAAAATGTACGTATCGTTTGTTGCAAACATCGTACGAACTGCGATTCGTTCTGGATTCCCGCCAAAGTCGAATATTCGGAAAGATATCGGTTCCTTCTACACGGATTGCTTTATTCCATTTGCATCGGTGTCACGCTTCCACTGTTATTGTTAGACGCGTACTGTTCTACGGCTTCCTATTGCTCGCGCAGCCCTTACCAATGTTTCCTTCTCTATGATAGAGCCAGGAAGGCGATGAAACTACGTCTCGAAATAACTATGCTAATGCCTTCGCGACTATAGGAGAATAACATGTTAGAAATAACGGTAGCGTTGTCAAACGATTCATTCCGATCGCTGTTTACAGTCTATTCGGATAAACACTTCTTATTGTGTAATTTACTGTACACAATTAATTAATTAACGCATAGAGGAAGGCACGATAAACAGGTGAGTCATCCAAAGCGCGACATGTTGTTTTCTTCAAAACTATAGGCGTTAAAAATATACCGGACGATATCTTCGATCGGATCGATATCTTCCCAAGATTCATCGCAATTCTCAAACGCGAAATTAACCTCTGTCGTTGCGAAATTATCGACAAAAATAGAAAAGTTGACATTTCTTTTCTTTTGCCGATTCGCCGTGCAACAAGGTGCGGCAAATTGTCGTTTTCGTCCGCGAAATGGGTCCAAATCGCATTTATACGTTTGGCACGAATCCCATGCTTAACGTATCGTTATAAATACCTTCCATGCTAGCCTTCGTTCCCGCCGAACGAATCGTTCTCACGATACCACGTATACGTATACGTATACGCTTTCGTGAAGCGGTCTAGCTTTATTTTCCTTTCACGTATATATTTAAGATTAACCGGACGCTTTGGGCTCGTCTTGTTTTCAACGGACTCGTTGCGTCATCCGAAGGGGGCGTGTTACAACTTACAACGCGACCGTGACCACCTCCAGGGGGAGTCAAAGTCGTTCTGTCGGAAGGGAACGAATAGCTCGAATAACCTCGAATATTCGTTTCGAATTTATCGATAGTCTGCACGAAAATGCAAGGGAATCGTTGCAAGGATGGATCGTAACACGACAGTATGCATAGTTTTATGTCGGTTCGCGACCACGCGTTCCTTTCTCCACGTTACGAACGTGTTCGTTTGTTCCGCGATGCTAACGTCCTCGCTCGCCGTTCCAATTGTCTTCTGCGGACTCGAAAGCTTGGAACTTTTTAACGTTTCAAAGAGTTTCGATAGCAGTTGTATAACAGAATATTTGGCAAAGAGGAATGAAACATGTGTCGAATGTAGTAAGAACATCCGACGCTGCGAAGCAGTTAGAAAGTTTGCGTTATTTTGACTCGATCGTAAAAACAGACGTGCGTTCTTTTATTCCGGAAGAAACGTATTCGGACCGACTCGTAAACGTTTCTGGAAAATGTCTTAGCGAGCACCGGAGCCCCTCCTTTAACGACCCTTTGCCCCGTCGATCGTTCCATTTCTTTCCAGCCTTGCGTTGGCCGTTCTTTCTCGAGAGCCGAGCGATAGAAAAGATACTCTGTGTGGACACGTACACACACAAGCACGCGAAAAAGTTTTTCGAGTGGAGGAACACGGCCACGTGTTCGTCGGATCGCTTCGCGTTTCGTCGAATCGGTCAAATTTACAATCCGGACCTTACAACCATTCTTTTATCTGTTCGTTCGAAGGAACAGCTGGTCCACGCGTGTTTCAAACCCTTCGACAATTGCGACCTTTTCCCTCGTAAACAGCCAGTCGACGATTACCGATTCCAATAAATATTTTTACAGCGCGAAAACCTCCTTGCTCTTTTTTCGTAAAAAATAAATAAATATGCGACATAACCATGAAACATGGTACAGACCGCGCACACGCCTAGTTCTGACCAACCTCAACGTTTTCTTTGTTGCGAACACTCCTTCTTTACCATTCTATCATTGAGAATGACGACTACAAGCAACGAACTGCATGCTTACGTATGTAGCTGTTTAACGAATGGAAGCGACGAGATTTCATCTTGACAAAAATTTGACTCGAGTTGGCAAAGTCTCTCTATTTGTCCTCTGACCAAAATATTTACATACTTATTGCGCACTAAGTGTGTTTATATAGTTCAACGAATAGTACAACGAATTTTAAATGAATTTCATGGCAGAAGTTGCATATTATCGTGGGTATATTTACGAGAGCCCTTTTGACAATCTAATTAAGCTCATAGACCCTTTTTATACGATATTCCTTGAACGATAATAGAATAGAGACGAAACTTAGATATTAGATTCCAGAGGTTGAAATCAGTTACGATATTTTTTCGATTCGGATAACTGTTTCAATTCAAAACTGATAACAGTTATTTTCAAAATCGTTCCAACCACTGTTAGATTCGAAGAGTCCAATCATACGACAATTAATTTAAAAAGACAAGATCCAGTAATTACTTCGAATCTATGTACCTATGTACTCTTTGTCGAAACTGTAGCCAACTCGAGTCAACTTCACGTGTATATATTTGTAGGTTATGTATGAGTTGAAAAGTCGGTACTTTCGATCCACGATCGTTTTATACAAATTTCTGTATAAAACGCATTTGAATTGACACGTTACCGTTGTTATTATGTGACTCGTTATGCTGATTCCAAGAATCAGATTTCGGTTATCGCCACCGAGTGCTCAGAGCATTCAACGTAATTTGGAACTGCATTATTCCGATTATAAAGTCTCGTACAAGCGCGCTGATTTTAAACCGGATCCAAAGGTTGTCGCTCTACGAAATAAATTGTTGTATTGCGATCATTTGGACCACACGACTCTGAATACATCGTATAAAGAACAAAAATTGAAGGCAAAACAACAGCATGCATATAAGCGATATCAAACGTATAAAGAGTTGGCCTACAACGTAGTACATAGTACCTTATTGAATAATGTGGTCAGGGAAAAGGAACAGGAAACAATGATCGAACAAGAAGAAGATTGTACAAACACAGAAACAGAAACAGAAAATTGGAAACCTGTACATATGCCGTATTCAAGATTAGATTCGTACGAAGCTACTAATACAATGTTGGAAAATGACAAAGAGGAACCATTAAACAAAAAGTATAAAGATATGTACGAAAACTATTTGGAGATAAAGAGAAATACCGTAGAGAGCAGTAATAAAATTACTTTTGAAGATCATATGGAACATGCTGCTAGGAATACATTACCAAAAGGAGAGTTGTGGAAAGTTCCATCAACTTGGATGTCTGATTATGAACAGTACGACGAACAGTATGAACTTACAGGGGATACGGATTGGTATAAAAATTATGGAACACCGGATCCATCTTCCCAGGTTACTTTTATACCATGCGGTGGTTGCGGTGCTTTGTTACATTGCAAGGATCCTGCTATTCCTGGATATTTACCATCCGAATTAATTTTACACAGAGACAACGAAGATTTGAAAACAACTATTTGTCAAAGATGTCATTTTCTAAAGTTTTATAACGCTGCCTTGGAAGTCAAAGTATCCATAGAAGATTATCCGAAACTCTTAAGCGTAGTAAAAAGAAAAAAATGCGCGATTCTCTTAATAGTCGATTTGACAGACTTTCCTTGCAGTATTTGGCCCGATTTGAAGACTATTTTGCATCCTTTTACACCCATATTTCTAGTTGGGAATAAAGTCGATTTGTTGCCGAGAGATTCTTTGCATTTCTTCGACAATGTTAAGAACCAATTGTTGAATTCGGTAATCGACAGAACCGGCGTAAAAAGAGCAAATATTACGCACGTTGAACTAACGTCCGCGAAGACTGGATTCGGCATAGAGGATTTGATAAGTAAATTGCAATCGAAATGGCAGTACAAAGGTACATAGAGTTAGTTTTAGTTTTAATATGAAGAATCGTTAAATTTTCTATAGAAAATTATTTACGTTTCAGGAGACGTTTACATGGTTGGGTGTACGAACGTCGGGAAATCTTCTATGTTCAATGCTTTGTTAAACTCCGATTACTGTAAAGTGCAAGCCATTGACCTTGTACAACGCGCCACGATTTCCCCTTGGCCGGGAACGACGTTAAATTTACTGAAATTTCCCATTTTAAATCCGACCAGTAAGAAGCGTCGTGCAAGATCGCTGAGGCTTCAAGAGGAAGAAATTTACAAACGGATGGAGTCAAGCTACAAGGATTATCAGTTTAAAGACACGAAGAGAATGAATTACGCGACGTTGGAAGGTACTTGGAATTTAGAAATATTCGTAGACTTTTGTCGACAGACTCTGGATTGTTATCAAAGGTTTTTTACGTATGGTCTTATGCAGGGTATATCGGCAGAACGTTTAGCGGAAGATCGAGCGTCGAAACAGCCGATTCTTTCTCGGAAATGTCGCACAACTTCATGGAAAGAAAACTTTGTTTGGACGAATCTCTACCGGAATATAGACAGAGTCGTTGGTGTTACGACACGCCCGGTACTATTCATCAGGATCAAATATTGGACTTGTTAACGACCGACGAACTGTTGGCAACCCTGCCGGAAACGATCATAACGCCGAGAACGTTCATTTTTAGGCCGAAAGAAACCGTGTTCGTGGCTGGCATGGGAAGACTGGACTTTGTGGAGGGAGATCTTTACATTCGGTATTTAAATTTGTACTAATATTGCCTACAGGTCCATATTAATATTCGTAAACAAAAACCCAATTGTTTCTAAAATAGGTGTACGCTCTTCACGAGTAGAAAACTACCTGTTACGATGTGTTACACCCATGACGCGGACGACGTTTACAATCAGCTTTTAGAAACCGAAGCTTTCGTTGTTCCTACGAACGATCCCGAAAGACTAAAAACATGGCCGAGATTGAAGTCGAAAGAAATGAAACTCACAGGCGTCAGCAAGTACGAATCTGTCGCTGACATTGTTTTGTCAAGCATAGGTAAAACTCAAATATACATCTAAGGATTTTATCGTGAAAGGAGAAGAAATAACCTTGTCGTTTGATTGTTTAGGTTGGATCGCGATCACGGCCCAAGAAAACCAAAACGTTACCTTAAACGCGTGGACGCCCGAAGGTCGTGGTATATATGTAAGGTCTCCGGCGTTGTTGAAAAAATCCGTGACACTTCGCGGCGCAAAAATACAGGGAACTCCTATGTACACTTACGGGCGAAAAGTTTACGTTAAATAAAATCGCCCTGACACCTGCACGTGTGTGAAAAGCAACGATCATCTTTTCGTACATTTCGACAGTTTATTCGTTTCTGTAAATATTACATTTACTGTTCGTCGATAATGTTACGAGAATGTTTAGTTTAATTTACCGATCGGTCGATTCACGTTGCGATCACGTTCGCTCTTCGGCTTCCTGCGCGCGAAGCTTTGCCTGCTTATACATTCGTTTGTAGAACCGTTCCAAATTTTTGTAAAAACCTTGACTCGCCTCGATTCGATCTTGCGTATAAACATCGCATTCTGAAATACTAACGTTTCGTTTCGTTTGTCAGACATTTCACGGATAATAGGACGAAACCTAATGCACGGTTAGTTTCTTCAGAATCCTCCGATTAAAATTACTCGAAACACAACATAAACTACTTTTAATTTACTTAATGTATACAGTATCACGTGATATGCACATGATAGTTTTTATAATAAACACAATTTAGTTACAAGTATTTATAAACGTAAATTTATTTTATTATTATGTACCTACTTCTCTCTGTCCTTTCCCGGGTAACTGGATTTTTCGTTCTTCCGAAGGTATTGGATACTCTTTGGCTGTGTTCTGTAGGAAGAAGTTAATAACATTTGAAAAGTAATAAGCGTTCGATGGTAAACTCACGTGGATGTCGCCTCCAGGGCACCGCAGCCACAACACCGACAGGTACTGGATGATTCTAGAGATTCGACGGGGTCCAAAATCTGTTTGCGTTCATCGTTGCACTCGCAGGAAAAGTAACACTTGTACTTCATGCAAACGGGACAGCTGTCGAACATGTGCGCCTCTCCACAAATAGTGGCACCTCCACGATGGATTCTACTCGTCGGATGATAACATTCGTCGACTCGAGACTGTTGGTTCGCGCATGAGAATTCTATGTTGCTCGACTCGCTGAAAATGCAAACACGCGTCTTCACCATTTCAATGGCTCTACACACTACTACACTACTCATACTTACGCTCTACACACTTGAACTCGAGGCTTTGCTCGACTGTGACAAACTCTTCTTTGTCTGATGATACCCTTGACTGGTCGCTTCCTATGAACGCACGATGTTCTCTAAAATAAAAAAAAGACTACGTTAGATCGAATAAAATTATGTATTGTCTCTTGTGTTTGTGCACGATTCATTACCTTGGAGTTGATAGTTTTTGGATTGATCACGTATGCTCTGTCGATGTTTACGTCGAAAGCATCCGACACCTCTTCTATCACAGTTTTCGTCGAGATCTCAATTTTCGGCGCTATAATGCCCTAAATTTGATGCCAATTAGTGGGAAATAATCGAACATATAAATAAATAAATTGCGAGCGTAACGAACACGAGTCTCGATGATCCGAGGTAAGCGGGGCACCGAGATAACCTCCAATTATCTGGACGAAGCTTGGATCAACCGGAACGAGAAATCCGGTGATTTTTCTCTTCGTTCTTTTATCGATGCTACGTTTCACCACTTAATCTTATTAGAGATGTCACGGGGGCTCTTTGGTCGTTTCGTTTCCGATGATTTACCGTTACTTCCTCGTGGGCATCTTTGCTCTGCTTCGGGGACATCGAACGATGTTTATTTTTATTACTTGATCGGTAAGAATCGACAACGTTACGCGTCTAAAACTAATCTAGATGCAGATTCGAGACGGAATGTAACCTCGAAATGAACGGTCGTACGTCGGAGAATGCGCAACACGGATCATCGAGACTCCGGTGTATACTAACGGGGAAATATTTCGTCGGATCCATGAGCAAATCAACGTCCACGCCGGGCATTAAACCTTTATAGTGAGACACCGGGTATAAGACATCCGACAAATTCGTTTCGAACGTGGCCAACACGATAACCTGGTTACACGGGCTAAGCCACTGTATCAATTCCGCGTAGAGAGGCTCCTTCTCCAAATTCCGTTGCAACTCTGTCAAAGCAGCCAGCCGTGTGAACGTTTTCTTAAAGTTAAACTCGTTGTGAAATAATAATGGAAAAATCGGTGATACTCTGTGAGATTGTAGGGTGGAACCGAGGCTGGTTATTCGCAAAGCTACGTTGCCGTTAGGGCATAGCCACACACCGGGACACGTTATCTGAAATATCGTTCGATTAAACTGTGCTTGCAAGCTTCTCGGTCGGTGAAGACAATCGTGATATGTACGGCGTGCAGATCCAATTGTACTTTTACGCAGAAACCTCTTCCCGCCATAATTGTTGCCGCTATCGTTTCCCCGATATCATTTTCTTCGTTTCGTTCACTTGTCGCACGAACGGACCAGACGATCACAATGAGTCCCCGTGATCGAAACTGTTTCGTCGAAAACAACGCGAGCGTACGCACGCTACGAACGCACTATTCCATTCTTGAAGCGTGATACAATCGTTGCGGTTGTTGCTAGGATACGGCAACGGCACAACATCGATATTGAGTTATCCCAACTCGACGATCGCTTCAATCGATGGCAACGGTGCACTGGGAACTCTTCGTTCCACTTTTGCACACTATGCCTCCTCTATATCGTCTAAATATCGTTTTTTTTCAGATGGAATTTCCGTTTGAAAGCTCTTAAACTATGAACGGTATTCCGGTAAACTTTTCGACCGGCAGGCCTCTCTGAACGTGACGAATCTGAAGCTCGTTCGCGATAAAGTCTATTCTTTTTCTGGGAAACGATAGCCTCGAATCCGTTGTTCTAGGTATCAATGGTTCCGTGAACCAGCCGTATCTACGAAAGATTAATTTGGTTCGAGTAACTGATCGTCGATCAAGTCTCACAGCTAATTTATTAATTGATCGTACTCCATGTTGACCGTCGGTGGTCTGAACGAGTAAATATCCTTTGGGATCGAGATAAATCGCTTCGTAATCAAGTCGACGTACTCCTGTCGAACCTCGGACGCTGGGATCACGTCGTGTTTCGCGTAAAATTTGCTGGTTAATGCGTTCGTTCGCGGTATGGCCACGAATTTCTCTTGCAACTGTAGGTACTTGTTTTCTTTCTCGAATCTCTCGGTGTAGAATCGTAATTTCATGGGATTCATGATTCGGACAGTGGCGTTGTACCCGGTGCTAAATTTTGAACCTGTTTTCGAAACCTTCGTCGATGTTGTTGGAAATAACGCGCAGACAAATGAATATTAACCGATGCAACTAGAAAACGTACCGCTGGAAGAAACAATATCGACGTGGTTGATCGTTTAAAATTTTAATAGAATCTACAGGGTGTTCGGTCAACCCTGGGAAAAATTTTAATGGGGGATTCTGGAGGACGAAATAAGACGAAAATCAAGAATACCAATTTGTCGATCGAGGTTTCGTTACAAAGTTATTAACGATTAAAGTTGCGCCTGTAGATAGGCAGCCTGCGCACAGCTGAATGCGCACTCGACACGAGAAACTCTACTTACAGTTTTCTGAGTGAGAATCATTATCGCGCGTGCGCAGCTGTTCGCAGGTTGCCGTTCTACAGGCGGAACTTTAAACGTTAATAACTTTTTAACGAAGCCTCAATGAACAAATTGGTATTTTTGATGTTCGTCTTATTTTGGCCTCCAGAATCTACCATTAAAATTTTTCCCAGGGTTGTTCGAACACTTTGTATATTTAAATTTCCAAACGTGTTCAGATTTAAGATGAACGACACTCACGTATTCTAATGTGTTATGTATTCGAGAATAGAAACTAGATTCTTCAAGTACCGATAATGTTTATTTTAAAATACGTATATGAATAGAAAACGCATACATAACAAGCGGAAAACCGTAGCCGATCAGTCAGAGGCTTCCACAATTCCGATTAAAACTGACGAGAGTCTGTTGGGAAACGCAGGACATTGTTGCAACGAGACGTCGAGACGGAATTCATTCTTCCACTGTCTAAACCCCATTCCGAACTATAATCGCCACGACGAAGAAACAGTTCGTGCAAACGCGGAACGATTCGAGCACAATTTGAAAAAACAAATCGGCGAAAATGTGCAAACCCGTTTCAACGATGACGATCGATCGTTAGACGCGAGCTGCCAATATCTCTACTTATATTTCTATAAATACTGGAGCCAACGTTCGTTTGCACGTTTCGCGGTTGTAAACGAGAAGAAACGAATCGAGTACGCGCGTACGACGGCTAGCGACAAGCTCTTCGAATCTCAGCTCTCAAACGGTCCCAAGTTCTTAACGATTGGAAGAATTCGAATCGATTCGAGTACGATTCGAAGCTTACGACTCTAGTGGCGACGGTCTAGATACATTTGTAAGCGTTAAGAGTTTTAATTACAGTTCGAGGTAGAAGTAAATGTAAATTACAAAATCGGGTAATGCCAGGCATTTTTTTTCGACAAACGAAGCGCCTCCGATACACATTTGTCGTTGTTGATTTTTGTTTTATGTATTATCGTATCAGTAAATTTGGAGAAAAAATTCTACTGTTACATAACTGTTGTTGGAATCCTTAACGCTCTCCAATATATATCGAGACCTTAAATATTATAGATGCAAGACTTTAGAGAGTTGAAAGTTTCGAAAGACACTCGAATCGATTCGAAGTGCTTGAAATCCCATCGCTAACGATGGCTCGCAACTGCACCCATACGGATGTATGCGTGCACGGAGATTAGACGTGTACGTCGAACAATACATGTAGCTACGAATAATCGTGTCTCTCCACGGGGAATAATTCTCCTCTCTACTTTTGCAAAACACACTCTTCTATAATATATAGTATGGGCGGTAATAGTAGTAATAATAATAATAGTAATAATAGTGATAATAGTAGCCACGATAAAAAAAAAAAAGAACGAAAGAGAGAAAAAACAACAACGACAATCGGAATCGCGTGTTTTTTCAGCTTATCGAAAAACCTTGGATACTGGGTTTTTTCGCCAAAACGAACGCGATTTCGTTGTTGGAACGAAAACGTATGGCAGTCGATAGAAGAGCTAGTATGCGGTAAATACGGGTCGTTTAGGCCATTCGTCCATCGTGCAACTGTCGTCGATGAAACTAGTCCTAGTAGAAAATCTTTGGTAAAGTTTACGGCGGCGATTGCGATTAAATCGACAAATTCGATCGATCGTTGGATGGTGGCAGTATCGTGGTTCGAAGCAAGTACTTGGATTCAGCTTTTGCTTCCCGATGAAATTAACTGCGATCGGTGGTACAGGTGGCGGGCTGTGCAGACTCTACGGTGGCGTCGCTGTTGCTCCTACTCCTGAAAAATAAATGGCGTTAGAGTATTGTCGTTGATGGTATCGAGACGATGTGAAACGGGTATCAATTGGTAAAGATGCGATCGTTGATCAATGGATTTCGAAACCGTGTTGTACCTTCTTGGTTCCGTGGATCGGTAGTCGTCCCGATCGACAAAGTCCGCGCTGGTCGCGTTTTCCTTGTAAGGGTTGCGCTTGCTCGATCGTAGCTCGGAGGTTCCGTTGTAGTAACCGTTCTCGCACCTGTTGGACAGATAGTCGATAGAAACGGGGGAGGGTCTCCTGATCGGTAAGTATTCCGAGCTGGTGGGGGCCAACAGTTCCTCGTAGTACTCGGCGGTCTTCGACTCGGACAAGTTGCTCGGGTATTTTCTCGGCAACGTGGAGGAGCCTAGACCGGTGGTGGTCATGGTGGGGTGGCCATCGAGGGCGGCGTCCATCCCGAAGTCGGCGCTATGGTATCTGGTCCTGGAAGCGGAGAGATCGAAGCTCGGCGATCGGAGGTACCTTCTCAGAGGATCGTAGGAGGAGGAAAGGGGGGCTAGGTGCTCGGTGGGATCGGAGATGTACGGCGAGGAGGCGATCGCGTCGTTGTACCTCGGTCTGTCCAGGGAGGAGTACCTGTTGCGTCCAAGGACGGTGTCGTCAGCCAACAAACTGTAACTTCTGTCCACGCGTCTGCTCTTGGGCACCAACGCGAGACCGTATCCGGTTCCTGTTCCATATTTGCTGCGATCACGGTGCCCGGTGAAGCTGTACTTGCGCGGCAGCGCCCCGGTGCCGGTTGGCAGACCCAAACCGGGTGGTGGCGCTGTCAACGACGGCCTTCGTCTGTCGTTGAACCTCGAATAGAAGCTCCGTCGACGGATCCGGTCTATCACCGACTCGGAGTTGTCGGATCTGGCGAGCAGAGACTGCGTGGGAGATGTAGGCGAGTGCAGGTCGGGTCTCGCGTGGTTCAACTCGGCGGAACTGATCGACCAGGAGTCGAAGCTCTCGGCCTCGTCGGCAGGGGAGAATGGCTCGCTCGCGTAGTCGATGGGCGACTCTTTCCGACTTTTTACGATGTCCGGGGCGGGCGCAGAGGGCGCTGCGGGCGTTGCTGCACGACTCTCGATCATTCGAGCGCATTCGGTCACCTCTCGCTTCAGCTCCGCGACGTCCTTGGCGCGCAGCGGTTTCTCGATGACGATCTTGTTCCCGGCGATGTTGGCGCGGTGCGTCACCTTCGACAAACAGTCCATCAACTTGTCCGTAGTTTTAGGAGACTCGAGGGAGTCGGATCGCGGCGAATCCTTCCTCGTCGCGGTCGAATTCCTGAACGAGTGTTGGGGTATCTTGGACAGATCTAGCTTCAGGTTGCTCCTGTTCGCCCGTTGCGATTCCTGACCGTTCTTCGTCTCGACGGTTGTCGTCTCTTTCCTCGGTGATGTTTTACGCCCAACGATCGCGGGCTTGGCCTTTTGCTGCTCCACTTCCTCGACCTTCTCTTTCGCTTTGGCGTTGTTCGCGACTCGCTCGGGACTCGTTCTCTTCAGGTTCGTAGGTTTCTCTTTCTCCTCTGTTTTACTCTCGGAGCTGTCGGACGACTTCTTCGCGACCTTCTTCACCGTTCTCGTAACGATCTTCTTCTTCTTCACGGCGTTGGTGTCGCTGTTCTCCGAGGTCTCCTTTGGTTTCGTGACTTTCTTCGTGGGACTCTTCTTCGCCTTTAGCACCTTCTTGTCCACGGATTCCTCGTCGACTTTCTTCTCGACGGATCCCTCCGAGGACGGTTCCTCGGGTGGTTTCCCCCCGTTGGCATCCACCGCCATTTTGGTCTCCTTCTCGCTGGAAGCTTTTCTCTCCTTGAGGATCGGTAGTTTCTCCTTGGGCGGAGATCGCTTCGCGTTGCTCTCCCCGAGTTTCTTTAGCGGCTTGGACTCAAGCTTGGTCGGTATCCTGCTGGTAGATGGCGCTTCTTCGCTACAGTTAACCGCCGCCGCATCTACGGGTTTCGTGCGCTTGGGAGGACTTCTCTTCAGCCTGCTGAGGATCGCATTTTGCCCTCGTTCCGGCTGCTTAGCGTCCGTGGTCTTGAACAGTCCCAGCACCGACGACACTCTGTTCCTGGAGCCCTGTTCCGCCTTCTTCTTCTTCTTCCCCGTCAAATCGTCCGCGCTAACAGTCTTCTTAGCAGTTCCAGCCTCCACGGACCCAGTCTCCGCAGTGGGAGGCGCAGAGTGCTCGCGCAGGGATTCCCCGTTGGCCTGCGTCGCTGGTTTGGTCGTCGTAGGAGGCTCTTCGTTCGATCTCAGCTTCTCCAGCTTCTTCTCCAACGAGTGCAAGAAGCTGTTTCGCGTCTCCTCCACCTTGGATTCCTTCTCTCTATGCTCGACCTCGCTATCAGAAGCCTTGCTCTCCGTTTTCTTTCTGATGAATCGCGATTTCCTGCGTTCGTTCTCCGCCGCCTTCTGCGCCTCCTTCTCCTTGGCGTACTGACTCTCCTCCCTGGGCGTGTCGAAGAAGTCAGGTCGCAGGAACCGCGATATCCGATGTTGCTTCGACTTCTGCGGTTTCTCCTTGTCTCTGGAGCCATTACTCTCCTTACTCCCGGACGCAGCCTTCAGCAGCTTGCTCAGTATCGACTTCTCCGAGGCAGCAGGTCGCGCAGCTAGGATATCCTGCGCGTTCGCCACCGATTTCCGTCGATCCTCGCCCAAGGTTGGCTCCCTGCTCAACGAGCCTGATCTCAGTCTCAAACTGGGGATACAACTGCGTCGTTTCGCCGCGTCGCTCATCGAGATCAACGACTGCTTCTCGCACTTGTCCGTATCTCTGTAGCTGGTAGTCAAATTCGGATCGAACTTGCTGGGACCCAGGTTCTTCAGCTTGGACTCCTTGATCAGGTTCTCCGCGGCCAGCAACCGGTTCTCGAAGTTCCTCGAGAGGTCTGACTTGCCGTAGACCGACCTGTAGTCCACCACGTTCGAGGAGGACTCGGTCGGAGAGGTCTCGTACGACTTGGCCGACACGCTCGACGTCCCATCCAGCAGATTGGTGTTGGAATTACAAACTGACGCGGACGTGCACTCGGAGGTGGACCCGTTGTCGGTGACCGGGTTCTCAGTGTCGATCTTCCACGAGGGGAACGCGTCTTGGGGCAAGATCGTCTCCTCTTGGATCTTGTCCGTTCCGTAGGAGCGAAACTTCTCTCTTCGAGGCTTCTTCGTGGCGGTTCTTGGATGTCTGGGGAACGCGGACGACGAAGACGACTCGTGTCCATTGCTCTCCTCCTCCTCGTCGTCTTCTTCGTCCTCGTCGTCCAAGAGACGACGTTCCTCTCTATTCGTGGGCCCCAGAAGGCTGTTGGTCCTGCGAATGGTTCTTTCCGATGATCGATCCTTGTACTCGGTCTGATCGGAGACGCTGGACTCGGAACGATCACCGATCTCTGATCCCTCCAGGTAGTTTCCAGTTGTCTCCCTGCTGATCGAACGACGATACAATGGTTGCTGTCTGGTTTGCTCGATGAACGTTTTGCTCAGCCGTCTGGCCAGGCTGGGCGTGAAGCTTTGCTCCACCGAATCCCGCTGCCTTTCTTTCCTAACATAACTTGGCTCCGCTTTTACGTCTTTCTCGTCTATTTTATCTGGAAAAAGAGCGAGGATAACGTCTACGCGACATTCTACAGAGGAGTTACAGGCGCTCGAATGGAGGCTAGAGTCGGTTTGGACCATGGCGGAAGGCGAGAGGCCAGACTGGGGGGAACAGAGATTGGATTTTCGTTGTTACGTAATGCAAGCGGACATAATACTCTCGTTTTGCTCGGTATTTACACTCCTTTATTGCTACGTACATCGAAAGTGTTGCTTTTCTTATATAAAATTTCTCGAAAAATTAATAAATATATATTATATATGTATATATATATATATTTAACCGATGAAAGAAATGTTTGCCCAGGGCTGTCTCTCGAGCCATCGTGTACCCTCTGTTAACCATTCGCGTACATAGTTTTTTTTTTGGTTTAACCGATGCTCGTGTTCTACTATCGATCATCGATTACAGCTACCAAGGCGTCTTTATACAATTATCACTCTTTGATTCCATTATAAAAACCGACGTAATTCACCAGCGATAAATAACAAGTTTCCGGAATCTTTTCTCGATTCTAATCGCGGCTGCTTGGAAGACGACTCCGGGTGCTCGGTTCTTTCCAATATCGTCGATTTTTAACCCCGACCATCGAACTCTTACAAACGAAATAATCGATCGCGAACCGTATCGTTGCCTTTAAAAAAACGTTCCACGTCTACGGCTCATGTAAATCGTTTAACAATATAAAATCAAACAGACACTTTTTTTCGTCGACTAGAAGATACTCAAACTTTAATCAAAATGAAAATGTCGCTGTAAAAAATGTCGTATTTGGCGTGGCACGATCCTATGGTAAAAATGTTTCCTTGGACACGTTGCTATTTAACGTTTCTCGAGCACGAATATAATGCACGGCACTTGTCGACTCGCAAAAGGAAACGCAACGCCTTTGGGACACCGATTTTGAGAGAACTTTGCACCCTGGTAGATTTGCTCCTCATATGTAAGCTTAAACTTTACTAAAAAACCTATCGAGTGTCTTACGATATTATATTGTTTTTAAACAGGAGAATTAAATCCACCAAGCGTGCAAGAGTCTGTTAAAACAGTTGGCCCCGAAGGTCTTGCGTTCTCCTTTTGTCAGAAGCAATAATTTCTTTTGGTACATCGACGGCCCTTTTTAAAAAGTGTACATCGAAAAAGAGTCAACGGCTCGTACATACATACAGGCACGCATACATACACGCATACACACATACATACGTATATACAAGTAGACGCGTGTTCGCGTATATTAGTGTAACAAGTTATCGAGCGTACATTCCGCACACTCGTCCAAAGATTACATGCAGCGAAAAGAGATTTACTATAATGTATACGTAGGAGAAGTTGTTATAGATCTTTAACGGATTTCAACAAATAAGAACGGTATTTGCGTTGCGCGAGGGCTCCGCTTTACCGATCGACTCGACGATCCATAAATCGTGAGTTAAGAAAACTGTAAAAATGCATGCTCCTTCCGACTGTTTCAAAAAATCTAACCATCTTCCTACTTTCGATATTAATTTTCGTCGTCGAGACGATTGGCAAAGTTGGCCCTCATGGTTGCACAACATCGAAACGAATTACATATCGTCCCGGATGTATAGATCGCAACGCATCGTATCTGTGTAAACTCAAGTCGAAAGTAATGCAGTGTACAATATTAAATACAATATAGTAGCATTATCAAAGCATGCCGAAGACAATGCGAAGTAATAAAACGCTGTTATTTAAACTCTTAAAAACACAACAAATATCAGCCATCTCAAACAAGGGTTAGCTCCTCTTCGTCCTTGTATTCATAGTATATATACGATTCCTCGAAATACCTCTCCGTCAACAAGTGTAAACATCTTTCTCTTATGCAACGAATTTAGTATTTTGCTGAAAAACTCGACAACAATTGCTAATATCCTCCGACGAGTCTCGCCTCGATCGATAACGGGTCCAGTATGATTCCTGCGAGTATTATCGCAATTCTCGTTATTATTACCCGTGACCGACGATCGTCGATAAAACGTGTCCGAAGGAAAGGATACAAACCGAAAAATTCGAAAGTAATAAACTATGTATCATACTGGAAGCGCAGAGTCGTACAGCATTTGCCTGTCGCAAGATGTCGCTTTGCTCTACCTCGTGGAAACGAAGGTTATCAACGTTGCACGTTTCACTATTTTTAAAATTCTCTTCCTCTTTGGCATGTTTCTCAAACGATCGCCGGAACAACGTGTTCGAACGGTTTTACATACAAGATACGTCTGCTGGAACGTTGGACAGTGTCTGTGTGTGTGTGTGTATAGAAAACTTGGTCGATCGTTAATTTAAATATTACGCGAGCTATCCGTACTATTTAAAACCCTTTGAAAACTTAGAGAGATTACGATCTCGTAGAATAATCGTTCGATCGCTAAATATATACAATATGTATCGGCCATGGTCTATTATGGAAAGAAAGAAAGAAACGTTGAAAATTAACGATCGGCCAATCGCGTGGTCGGAAGTCTAGTGTTATTTCATCCGTGATCGAGTGTGTCGCGATAAACGAATTAACGACATCGTGTGTCGGTGAATAATCGCCCGAATCCCATCGAGCAACCCCGACAATGTCGTTTTTTGTCCGCTGGATAGAAAGTGTAGCATAGTACCTAACTTGGTTTTTCTACTGGGGATTACCGTCTGCCCGCCTACGTAGAGTCACTCGCACGGTCGCTGCAACAACCGTCAGAAAAGACCGTCAGTTACACGTATATGTATGTTTACACCGCGATTATTGTAGAATATATTTTCGATAATCGTTTTTCCTTCTCAAATAGCTCTGCTGAATCGATCCAATCCAATTGATCTTCGCGCAGATACCTCGTAGACCGGCCTCAACAAACAATCGACGACAATGTGGCCGGATTTGGCATTACCGAGCGCATCCACGGCGACACTGGCAACGACGAACTACCTCAGCGCCCCCACCACTCTGTTGACCGCTAAGGAAGTTCGTCGATGCACTCGATTAAGCGAAATCTGGCCACAGAAAAGTAATCCAGCCGATAGAAACTTTATTTGGACAAACAACGACCGATCGAGCTGTAAAACTCTGATAAATCGCGATCGCGGATCGAGAACGGTCGAAAATATAGTCTCTCAACTATCGATCGGCGGTGACAAACAAATTATTCCTTTGATCGCTGATTGAAGAGTCGACGATAGACGTGAAAAGTGAATGCATGAAATATTTTTTTAATCAAAGATGGATATTCTGTCTTGGATAGTATAGAACCGAAATTCCTCGTGTATATTCGTGTTGTACATGGATACGCGTGCAGATCATGCTCTAAACTTTAGTGTACGCTCAATTAGAATCAGAGAAGAAAATATATGAATTACGGCTGCTTATCGTGTTAATAGGATAATATACATAGAAATCAACAACAACATTGCAACTTGCTACTACTGCGTATTACGTGAGGTTCTATGTCGGGCAAAGTGTGAGTTACGTCTGTTAAGTAATTTTAATCGATACGTGATCCGTGTCGCGATCGATGCTTCTCGAGAGTTAACTTTGACGATCGTCGAAGAACAGGTAAGTACAGGTACTCTTATCGTGCAAACATGCGCTTTAAAGAAAACGGTGCTCCCCGGTCGAGAAAAAAAAAAAAATTATTATACATTGTTTCTAGCGTTCGTTTGTGAAGAAATGTCGAGGATACCGACGGACACGCGATAAAAATAGATTTCTCGCGATGTTCGTTCTCGTTTGGAACGTTTACCCACCTGTGCCAAACATGAACCGTCTATTGTATTCGTTCTACCTGGGGGTTAGTATACAAAGTTGCAAAAAACATCGTCAGGCAATAAAAAAATCGGTAAATTAACTTGTTGGAGGTGGGAGATAGGCGGAAGTAGGTTGGCAGGACTGGGCGAAGAACGGAACGGCCGAGGAGAGTAGGAGAATGACAGAGAAAGATCGAATAAACTAAGAGACGAGAGGCGAATCGGTAAAAAGTAAAAAAAAAAGATGTGCTCTGTCTATCAACGACTCGACAACAGCTAGCTAGGTACTAGGAAATGCATAATCGAATACCATCCAGCATTTTCTCGCGTGGCTTGCGATTTATTAAACCAGTGACAAAATGAACAAGCAGCGATCGTCGTGTCGCGACTTGGCAGAAGCTCGGCTCGTCGAGTTCTGTGCTTCGAATCGTATAAAATCACGTCGCTAGGCCGCCAAAGAATAATCGTAGCTTCTGCAAAGACGCGCTCGTTGATCGAGTATACGTATACAACGTCAAAGATATCTCTTTCGTGGATTCGTCTGCTGATCGATACGTATTATAATGATCAAAGAATCGGCAAAGTTGCAAGAAAATTTTGCCACTGGATCGAATTACGAGCATCGACCCTTTGCGTTCCCGCGCCAGTCGATCGAATTCTAGACTTTTGCTCGGTGTTTAAAGTTCTGGACGATAGAGGTCGCATAGGGTCAACTTCCACTGGATATCGACGATTCGTTTTGCAGTTTTGACACGATTCTCGTGGTGAATTTTTACAACAATCATACGAACACTCTCTTACCTCTTGGTAATGTGTTGCTGCCGATATCGAAGACGGTTTCTCTCGACGAGTTGCCGTGCGATCCCGGGCTGTCCGGTGTCCCAGGGTTCGACGAGTTGACGTTATCTTTTTTCGAGAACACGTCGCCCTCGCGGCTGAGCGAATGCCTGAATTGTGACTCCGTCAATCGCCTGCGCTCGCAAAACAAATAAAACTGCCGTCACTTGTACAATCCCAGGGAAACGAATTGCGTTTAAACGAAGCTCGTACGCGCACGGAACACGGTTTCTCGACGTACGGAACGCGTGCATGAAAATAAAACAACAGAGCACCGGATCTATCGGGTCTCATCGAAGGACCTTACGTTTCTATGTCCATCGAACAGAGTAGATCTCAAAGTTGGTAGGTTCGAGCATGCCCGGGTGCAGTGAAATTCTCGCTTCGAATATGTGTGTGTGTCCAATTGCGTTTCCAACGTCGAGGACGCGCGGTACACGAGCCGACAAATTCGAAATATTACTCGTGATATCTTTTGCACTACCTTCTAAAATAATCGGCATACACTATTATTGTTCTACAGTTGTTGTAACAATTGGACTCACGTAGTCACGGTCCTTGTTTCGACGCATGTCTGGTAGCTTGCACAAACAAGCGGCGAACCGTTGTCATTGGATTGAAACGTTCATTTCTAGCGGGACGGCTTCGACGAGCTTACCTCGATAAAGGTTTGTTAAGGCCCCAGAAGGCTTGGGACGAGTTGGAACCTAATCTCCCGAACAAACGAGAACTTGGGAAACCGGTGGTTCGGTTGTCGTCGACGTTCAGCCTCTGCGTTAAGCTACGCACTCTGGATAGCAGCGTGGAGAAGAGGTTTTCAGCGGTGAGCAATTCGAAACCGTCGTCGTCGTCGTCCTCGCCGGATGACAAGCTGTCCGCGTGCTCCGGCGGCTGTCTCGACGGCCGGGAGCTTCTCAGTCGATGCATGTGTCTTTGCAGAAGATCCTCGCTGTCCCTGAAAGTACAATCAAAGATACAGAATGGGGGATGATCAGGTGTTTCGTTCAATGATATTGCTCTAAGTACCTGTGCAACGTAGAGAACGGAGATTCGTCTTCGCTGGCGTCCGACAGGAAGGAGCTCATTCTTCGAGGCCTGGTAAACCTCGACCTTGGCGCGTTCGCTGTACTTGGTGTGCTCGTTTTGCTCTCTGGCTCTACGCTACCCGAACGGGGCGTAACGTATCCACCGCCCTCCACGGCGATAGGGATTATGTACTCTCTGGGACTCTTTCTGATCGGTTCCGGGCCAACCGTCGAGCCCAGAGCGCTATCAGTGTCCGAGTCGGCGGTCGACTGACGGGACAACGAGCCGGATCGTTGGGAAACCAGTCTCTGAGGCATCGGTGGTTTCGCCGGCGGCGGTGGCGGTGGCGTCGACGAATGTTGCGATTCCTGATTCTCTCCCTCCATCTGTAATCCCAAGGACGTATCAGCGATCGTCGGGGATCGCGACTCTTCGAGCTGAGAACCACGTTTTCACCCACCTGAATCGGTATTATTCTCTCCTTCGGTGGAGTGTTCTTCCATCTTGTATCCGGTTCCAAACTAGCGCTACGATTCGTCTGTGGTACCGCGGCCGCGACAGGGAACGCTATCTCCGACCTTTGCGTTCGCAGCTTCTGCGGCTGAAACGCGTCGATCTTCGCCTCCACCTCTGACCTGAACGTAACAGGTTCGACCGACTTGGCGCTCGACAAACAGATCTCCGCCTTGCTCGTCTTTCGCGATCTGGGCAGCGTCGCGCTCTTCAGAGTTATCTCCATTTTGCTGGACCTCTTTGGCTCCTCCGGTTGCGAATCGTCGTCGTAGTTCTCATCCTCGTCGGAGACCTGAAAAAGTAATTTCCCATTGTTGACGATGTCAAAAGATCTGAAAGCGTACAGCTCCTCGTTCGCTCACCGTCGACTGTTTGCGCGCCTCGACCGATTTGCTGTCGAACGGGAAGCTAGTTTCGACTGGCGTGGAACAGGAGACGGTAGCCGTTCGGAAATCGTTCGCCCCAACCGGTATCTTTAAGGGAAGCTTCTTCGTTTCGTGACTCGGCGGAGAAATTGGCGGCGATCCGTTCACCCTCTTCTGGACAGGAGGCTTTCCTATCGCCCCGGTTATTATATCCACTGCTCGTTTCTTCGCCTCGTCTCTCTTCTTCTCATCCTCGTTCCGAGTCTGCTTTGCTTTGTCACCAGGTTTCTCGTTCCTGTCCGTTGGTACATCCAGGATGATCTTGGACGCGCTGGGCTTCGTAGGCGGTGGAGTGGCGATGGAAGAGAGACTCGCCTTCCTCTCGAACACCCGTTTCGCTCCACCCACGTTCACCCCGGGGATAAAGATCTTCTTTGGCTTCTCGCTCTCGACGTTCGACGCCATTTGATTGAACTTCTCCGCGGTCTCGAATATCTTCGACCGCCTCCTCTCGTACGTCCTCGCGGGAACGTCTCGAGTCTCGCTGGAGAGTTCCGAGTCGAGGGAGAGCGCCTTCTCCTTCAGTTTCTTAAATTCTCGCTGAGTCGCTTCCAAGTTGATCGTCTCCTCACTGGCATACGGTTCGCTCTCGCGACTATCTGCTTTGCTGACCGCTTCGAACTTCGGAGCGTCGTTCGCCAGCTTCTCGACGGTCGTCGTCGCCGTCGCTGCGTTCTCCGTCAACGGTTTCGCGCGTTCCTCCTGTAAACCTTCTTCGACGCGCTCCTCCTTCTTAATCTTTTCCACGGAAGACTCGTCCTGTCCCCGAGTCATCACCGGCGTCTTGCTCCGCTCCTTACTCGGTGACCTTTCGTTGCACTCCTTTATTAGCTCCAAGCAAGCTGCCGATTCTACTTTATTCATGTCTATGGTGTTGCTAGCAGGAACGATTACAACAGGATCTACTTCCATGGCCTCCTCCGTGATCGAATTTGGGATCGGTGCTGAGTGATGCCTAATGAAGTATACAGAATTTTATATACAAACGATGCAACGTGTTCTGTACTTAGTCTACAAAGGGGGTATTTCGTAACACGTGCACCTAATCCCCTTCAATGAAAAATGACTACCTGGAAACGGATCTGTAAGCTCTGGGTTCTCTCTCGTCCGTTCTCTCTTTCCTTCTCGATCGTTCTTTCCGTTTCACGCCAGCTGCAGCCGTCTCGTCCATCGATGGCGTCGTCTCCAGTTTCCTTTTGGCGTCCCCGGTCGTCCCGGACCTCGGCTCCTCTTCCAACAACTCCCTTATCCTCCTGTCGGAATTGTTCTGATCCAATTCCATCAGGCTACCTACAGAATGGCACCTGGTGGGCACCAGTGTTTCGGAAGACACGTTATTCGCGACGTCCCCGGCCGCTTGTTGGTCGCCCACGACGAGCTTCTCCGCGCTGGCGGACGGAGGCACCAAAGAGAGCAGAAGGTCCAACCTGACGGGTGTTTGAGCTGCCAGTTCCTCCGCGATATCGAGACAATTCTGTTCGTAGCCCTCGTTCACCCACCAATGGGTGCAAATCCTCTCGACGTCCGCTCGTTTCCCGGGGCACACCGTCAGCATATCTTTTATCAGAGGCGACGCGGCTGCAACGAGATTCAACGTTAACGCGGATGCAAAGAAGCAAAAGCAAAGGTCGTCGAAACTTACGCGATGGCTTTTTCGGCTCGAAGTAAGCAGATTGCGAGATCTGTTTGACTAGACGCTTAAAGTTAGACCCGTCGAAGGGCATGGCACCGTAAACCAACGTGTAAAGTAGGACGCCCAGGCTCCAACAGTCGACCTCGGGTCCGTGATAAGGAGTACCCTTGACGATCTCCGGGCTGGCGTACAACGGACTGCCGCAGAACGTGTTCAACAGCCTCTGCTCGTCGAACACGTTCGAGAGGCCAAAGTCCGCGATTTTCGCGTTCCCCGCTTGATCGAGGAGAATGTTCTCGAGCTTCAAGTCCCTGTGGCATATTTTGTGCTTGTGACAGTAAAAGACCGCGGTGGCTATCTGCCGGAATATCCTACGAGCCTCGTGCTCCGTCAGTACTTTTCTCTCGCTCAAGTAATCGTAGAGCTCGCCGCCGGCCGCGTACTCCATCACCAGCACCATTTTCTCCCGGTTTTCGAACACTGAAAAGAAAAAGCCGCGTGAAAAGAGCGTGTCCGCGTGTTTCGTTGAACAAAGGGTCAACGGACCAGCCGACCAAAGAAGCCTAGCCCCTTCTCTCTCCTTCGTTACGTTCTATCTCTACCTTCGTAGATGTGGATAATGTTCGGATGCTGTACGCTCGACATTATTTGTATTTCCCTTCGTATCCTAATCAGATCTGCCTCCGTTTCTATTTTACATTTTTTAATCGTCTTAATCGCCACCTCTTGACCGGTCTCCTTGTTTATGCCTAACTGAACTTTCCCGTAAGTACCTTGACCGAGCTTCTTGATGATGTCGAACCTGGACGAAACAAAGTAAACGGGGAGTGATGGACGAGGGATGTGGCTCGAGCCTACATAATTTGTCGAGTTATTCTACTCGGATTGGCCCGCGTACAAATAATACTGCCGCGTTGTTATTTACGTTCCGCCAAGTATTTAGCAAACGTGCCAATCTCGAGATTCGTGACCGATGATCTTGGCGCTTGTCGGGAGCAGTTCCCGACCGATCATCGGGACGGAACTCTCGAAATACTTTTTCCTTCTCCCCTCCTCGCGCGTCATTCGATCTTCGCCTGCCCGACGTACCTCTGCTTCAATTTCCGTTTGTGATTGTGAAGACGCACCCCGCCCGTGCTCTCCATGCCTCCCATTATATTGTGTATGCTCGCCTCCCCGACAACCATGTTTCCTTAGTTTTATCTGAAAACAGAACGTCTAGCTGTAACTATCAACTCGTACAACCTAACCTTCCTATTCTTTACCTTATACACTGATCAACCGTAAGTATGTTCTTAATTGTAACAATCGTAATCGCGATCGTAGCGCCCGGTCTAAAACCCAGAAATGTCAAGAAACTGTGCTCGACGTTTGGTCGAGCAAGGCGACGAAATAACCGACGCACGAACAACATTCTGTGCGAGATCTATCAAGGGCGCGTTGTTGTTCGAATAAAAATGCTGTAGGGCCGGTAACGAGCCGACCGTCGCGTGTTAAAATGGACGCGCGTTGGAACGAATTCAAAGTATGTATTGGTGGAGAGGCGAACGGAGGAAGGAAGGAAGGCGAAAATGCAGATGGCCCGCGATGGATCGCAAAGAGGTTAAAGCGTGGGAAGGAAATAGCAGGGAACGGGAGACGGATAAGTTCAGCGGTGGCTCACCGCGGTGTGATCGTTTTTTTTTTTCGGAAGGTGGCCGGTCGGCCTCGAAAGTGCAAGGTTCGTTCGCTGGATTTGAACTCGGGCATATGTCCCCGTACCAGCGATCGGGGATAACAGTGACGACTCCACGGGGTATGGTTATTGGGGCTCTCGCGGTCCGACGAAGAAGGAGAGACAGAGAGACAGAAACGTGGTGAGTTTATTTTGGGTGCCGAGACGCCACGCAGCGTCGCGCCTCGCCTCGCTCGTTCGCCACCTCGACGCGATGCCCGATGAAACTCGGTACCGATCCGAATTGAACCAACGCGTTCCACGATCTCTCGTTCCTCCGTGCTTCACCCCCCCGCCCTCTATCGTCGCTTTCAAAACAAAGTTTACACGGTTTTGCAACAATTACGTGGAAATATCCGACAGCGAGACGATACCGATATCGAACTTTACTGTTATACGTATTGTCAACTTGCCCAAGATTTACGCAATGATGCAACGAGGAAAATATATCGGTATAACGCACTTGATTATCTACAGAAACCGCTGGACGATCGTTTATGCCAGCGGAGACGTCCAAAGTTACAGCGACCTCTGTCAATGTATTACTTATATTAGCGACAGCTCCACCTACCGAATAAGCTTCGAAAGCGTGTGGAAGTGGATAAAGAATATCGTTTTGGCGCGTGACATCGTGTTGGTCCGAGGGTTCAGGGAAAGAAATAATCCTAACGGAACGAACGCGATGTATCATGGTGTTGAGGGTGTACGGCGAGACGATAGCTAGTCAGAGGTGGCTATTAATGCCTCGCAATATGGATAACGGATTGGTTGTTCGTTTTGGCTTCCAGAGGCGACTTTCTGCCTAGCCTCGAGCGCGCCAGTCGTTCGACTCGACGAGAAACGACCGGCGAGTCGAGCACCGATCCTGTCTTTGGCACGCGACAACTTTTCCGCGATCTCCCTCGCTCTCACTCTCTCTCTCCACCCCGTCTCTTGGAAGGAGATAGAGATAACGGAGAACAATAAAAAAAAAACTATAGAATTTAGAATATATCCTAAAGAGAGATCTCGAACGGAATATCGATGATGGGAGCCACGAAACGTTCCTTTCCCAGCACTCGCGGCGACCTTGCTCGATGCCATTTCCCGCGGAGAAAGCGAATCCCTCGCAATCTCGTTTCTTTTCCGCGAGAGGGGGCACGCGCGAAAGGAATGTTATCCCTAGACGAGACCACGTCTGTCCCGTTTTCGGTGAAATACAGAGACAAAAGTAAACAATACAAATGAAATAATGTCAACTTAAGATTCATTTATCGTAAATCCTCGCTTAACATTTCTCAAGAATTTTCGAAAAGAAACGCCGGTTCGGAAGATGGTTGGTCGCAAGGTTAGCAGGCGAAATCCGAGTCTAATCGAACGTGAGCGAGGAGAAAGTCGAAAGGCGAAAGCAGCGAGGATTTCACGATCGTTTTTGTCATCGCGATGCCGATTGGCAGGATAACCGAGGCAAAAGAGCGGAACACGTGCGCACACGGTCTGGCCTCGGCGTCTCGCTCTCGCTCTCGTTCCGACTCTAGCTCTCGGTCTCGCTCTCGATACTCGATCGGTGCGTTTCGATATTTTTAGCGGGCGCGTAGACCCGTCGCGTGGGCAGAACGGGCTTCAGGGCTGATGTCCTAATGACTTCCATTTCCTCGCGCGTTTCTGTCCCGCTAAATTCATCGCCTTTTTACTCTCGGCCGAGACCCCGCGACCGAGTCGCCACCGATTTACCATCGATCGATTCCTCCTTACAAAAATCCGCCAATGGGAATATTATCTACAACGCGTAAATAATTAATAACTTTATTGTCGTTAAGAAAGTAATAATAAATAAAGAATTCGGTCGCCACAACTTTATTTGTTGACAATGTCTAAACTTAATTTGTTGTTTAGAAGACGGTGTTTGCGTCGCTAAACAATTTAGATGCAAATGCTCTCAGGAACGTAGTAGCCAGGTCGCGATAATTTTTACCAGGTGCTATTTTTAGACAGGGTCGAAAATACTACTGTCAACGCGAAGTCTGAAAGAACGCGGGATAAATTCAACTAGCCAATTGGAAATAAAAGCACGATCGAAACGGTCGCGTCGTTTGAACGTGTCTTATTAATCGTAAGTTCGCGAATGCACCGAGAGGAGCGTCGACGTTTCTTTTTCGCCGAATTCTTCTGTCGTTCTGGTTATGAGAGGAGGAAGCGGACCACAAACTACGATTGACGTATCCGCGTAATTCCGAGACACGAACAACCTAACCTCTCTGCGCTTCAAATTTCTGCTTTGAGATCGCGAAAAATCGTGTACTTTGGGGGACAATTATAATGGGTCATTGCCTGAAAACACCCTTTCTTTTGTACCTTTTTTATTTGCCTGTAATCCGAACAATTTGCTTGCGTTTCCGTTTACGTATACTTTATGTAGGAACAAGTTACTATGTATACGTAACAAGCTGCTTTTTCTGTCGCCGTTCCTTGGTTTTTTGTTCGAGAAAAAGACGACGAAAGCGACGCGAAAGTATTATTTTTTTCAAAGTGTCCGTCGATGCGTCGAGTGTTTATCGTACCGAAGGATGTCGTTCGAACGTGACGTCATCCGGTAGCTTGTATGGTATCTCATGATTCACGTGTTATTATTAAAACCTTTATTATTTCTCCGCGCAACCCGCGTTGCGTGTATGAATGAACTTCTGTACGTTCGATGCGGGTGATTGTACGCGGGGATCCGTGATTTCTCGCGACAAAAGTTTGAGTCACGATGAATTAATAGACTACGCTCGGTGAGTTTCGTTCGTGACTATTCGGACATTTCTGTTATTTCGGTATTACGTTGAACGCGATTACGAAGAAAAAGGGCAAACAAATTGCACGGGAGTCAAAGCGTAAACGGACCTTAAAGTTATACGATAAAAACAATCTTAAAGAAAGCGTTGGACTTTACGGTCGTTTTACGTATGTAATAGACATGGAAACGCAATTGGTGTCGATTATTTATTAAGCGAGTAAAACGACTCTAAATATTTACGCATTAATTTTCTCGAGGGAAACGAGGGTAGTGAAACTCGATGTAAATATTGACGATAAAATCGAGGCAACGAAGCAAATATGCGTACTACGAGGTGGAAGGCCAAGGAAATGTATGTACAAGTACATAGTTGCTGGTAACAATCGGCAGGTTCGTAAAACGCGTTCGATCGTTTGAACAATTGTACTATCAATTAGGTTAAATGAGATGTGTGTCAGTTTGCGTGCACGTATTGGTGCATCGTATGCAACTGAAACGCATACCACGGTATGTAGGTTCCTATCGACGAAAATAGCATTCTGATATTTCGAAGGGATTTTTCGTAACATCCGTTAATTGTCTCGGGCGGCATAGCCGTGGATACCGGATGGGAAAAAAAATTGTTGGTCGGCGTTGCGTTCGACGACAATGCCGACAGATTTAAAAGGCGACGGACGAGACGTTCTTCGCGCATTATTAAGTAATCGAAAACGCCCACGAAAGAAAATCGGACGACGCTTCGGTAACGTTCTTTTATTAAAGGGTAGACGTACGTTCCCGAGACACGTACTCGCCGATGGAACGAACGGACGCTCTGAATGAGAATCGACACTCTGCTAGTGTCTAAAAATAGCGAGAATTTGTACCTTACAGTGAACTCTGGAGCCAAATTATCCTCTTTTTGCGGCTGCTATCCGCTCCCGGGAAAAATACAGGGGGGGAAAAAGCACTATTTACACTGTTATTATTGTCTCTAAGGTCGACCCCGATCACTAAGTCTCGATAACGTTCGAATTTTTCTGAGAGATCGCGAACCTTCTCCGTTTCCACTTCATTTTACCAGACATTTTTCGCGTGACGATACGGCACACGGCTCACGCGCTGCCACCATCTTTATTTACTAATTTTGGACTTGAACGCTGAGAACGGGGAACGGATAGATAACGCCGACACTGGCGACATCTGTCGACGTCACTATCTACACACTGAGCAATACGCGCCCTTTAAATGCGACTATTACACGATTATTCTATTCTTACGTATTTCTTTTCTTTGTATCGTATCGAGTGTTTTGATGCCAAACAAAAAAAGGAAAAACCTTAAAAGAAATATCCGGAATACAAACACAACGTTAATCGCATCGTATTTCAATATTGACGCAGCTTTTAATTTTCTTTGATAAAAAAAAGTGGTAAAAAATACCTTCTGCGTAAGTCGATGGTATAATATAAATAACGCGTAACAAATACATATTTTTATCGTTAAAAAATAACTCTACGTACTATTTTCGTGCTCGTTCATTGATCGTACATAAATAAACTATTTACGTATGCAACGTGGATATTATAGGTTACGTTCTTCAAGGAGCGTACAAAACAATATTTTATTAGTAATGCGTTCGTGTTGGTAATGCAATAACGACTAATATCGAGCGAAAGCAAAAGCACGATTTACGATTATTGATCGATATGGATCCTACGGAAGATTGGAGTGGCAATTGCCAGACATCGGACGACAATGTAACGCAAGAAAATGAGAGGCAAGAGGTTAGCCAAATCGTACCTGGATATTCAAATTTCGATGATTACATTCAGGTACGAGCGAACTTGCCAAAATTATGAACGTTTAAAACTCGTCTTTGAGCTAAATTAAAAAAATACATGTTAAATAATCATTTGTTTTAGCACGCGTTTGGAGCTATAAGATCTGGGATTAAAGCTGCCAATAATTTACCAATTGGATCAAATTTTAACTACTATTCGTGCTTTCCCAGTTTTCTTATCGCCAAAGATGATAATATTAAACTGCTATTAAATGCCATGCAACACATGTTTGGAACAGTGGGAATTAGAAATAATATTTTGCATCGCGATGTCGAGGAAAAATTTGACCTCCTGTTGGAAATGAATGATATACTTTTGGATAGAGCTGTAAGGTTTTTTTTAAAAATTGTCTATAATTTTTTTTCCATATAAACATGCAGAATATTGTCTATTACAGAATGCATTGATGGACAAAGAATCTGGTATTACAAAAGACTCTGAAATAGAATTAGTGGTATCCCATACAAAACAGCAAACACTAAATAGCAGTTGGAACGAACAAATACGTAGACCGTCCGAGGTTTCGGATGGTATGCAACCTTTACGCTTACTGACCGGTAAAAATATTCAGAGACCACAGCTAACGTTTAAGGATAAAATCGATAACGGTTCGAAACCTTGGTGTCCTAGAATCAAGGACAAACCAAATTCTTTAAAACCGTTAGCTATTTATTTGGAAGAGGACGAAAACGGCGGGGCGTTTAGTCATCCGTACGAATATGAGTTGGATATGTTCGTGCCTCCCGACGATCAATTAAAGAAATCTAATCTAATAAAGCATTATAAGTCTTTGGAAGATACGCCGTTAATAATTATCGAAAATGTAGACGACATTAAATTACTGCTAGCAGATCTAAAACAGTATAAGGAAATTGCCATAGATTTGGAACATCATTCCTATAGAAGCTTTCAAGGAATAACTTGTTTGATGCAAATTTCAACGGAGGACACCGATTATTTGATAGATACCTTGTCGTTGCGATCCGAATTACACGAACTGAATGAAATTTTTACTAACCGTAAGATCCTAAAAGTATTTCACGGAGCCGATTTAGATATACAATGGCTCCAGAGAGACTTGTCTTTGTACATAGTAAACATGTTCGACACGCATCAAGCCGCAAAACACTTGAATTTACCGTATTTGAGCTTAGCATATTTATTGAAACAATATTGCAATATAGATCCCAACAAACATTTCCAGTTGGCCGATTGGCGTATAAGACCACTACCGGACGAGCTTAAAAAGTATGCTAGAGAGGACACGCATTATTTATTGTACATAAAGAACATTTTAAAAAACGCTTTGATAGACATTGCTGGCGGACAATCGAATATCTTGAAAGCCGTTTACGACAGAAGTACGGACATATGCAAGCAAGTTTATGTGAAACCAGTGTGGACCGAAAATAACTACCTGAACATGTACAGAAAGAGTAAAAAAATGTTTAACAATAAACAATTGTACGCTTTAAGAGAATTGCATAAATGGAGGGATCAGACCGCCAGAGTGGAAGATGACAGTACCGCTTATGTTTTGCCAAATCATATGATTTTAAACATAGCTGAAACGTTACCACGTGAAATGCAAGGGATTCTAGCTTGCTGCAACCCTATTCCCCCTTTGGTACGACAAAACTTGTTAAAGTTGCACAAGATAATATTAAAAGCTAGAGAACAACCGCTCATTAAACCAGTTCTCGAAGATCTCAGGCAAAGATTAACTCAAAGAAATCATATTACAAATATAGAAGCGTGGATGTATGCTCCTCATGACATTCCGAGCGGCATGGAAGCAAGAGCCGATTTACCGTGTTTGTTAAATGATAATGGATCGGAAACATCGATCATGGACACTCTTGTGAAACATACAGTAACGGTATTCGACAGCCCGGTTACATCAGAGGACGAGGAAACAACCATAGATGGACAGAAAAATGTTAGAAAGAAAAAGTTAGTTTTCGTTAGCCCGTTTGAACGATACAAACGCGTTATACCTATGGTAGCGGCTGAAGAAGCACGAGAAAGGGAAAGACAGAAGCAGGAAGAAGATCTCAAGAAAGATGTTAAAAATGAACCACTGGAGATAATTGAAAGTAAAAAAAGAGTTTACCAACACTTTAAAGAAGTCGCTCAAATTAACGAAGACGATATTGTAATAACATCGCCGAAGAAACCACCGCAAGTTACTTTGGGTCAAATGCCTGGACGAAAAAGAAAACGAAATTCCAATATTAAGAAACAAAATAAAGAACGAGAAAAAATTAATGATAACTTATTGACGCCAGATCCATTGTTAGCGACTGAAATTGCTCAAAAAGTAAAAAAAGAACACAAATCAGAAAGTTTAAAGGACGAACAAAAGGCACAAGAAAGCTTGGCAAGGATTCAGAGCCAAGTTCCAAACGATACTTTTAATTTCCGGTAAGAACACTGAAGTTATTTACTAATTTCTTTCATAAAATTAACTAACTGTTAAATTAAATGTTAATGACTTGAAAATTTATTCATAGGCAAAGAAAAAAACTCGAAAAACGACGCATATGTAAAGGGTTGGAGAAAGAAGGTTTGATGCCATCGAAAAAGTTTGATTACACAGATGTGGATTTTAGTAGTTTTCAAGGAGGTAGCAAAAATATGCCTAATCAAGTGAACTTTGAACAAACAACGGTAAGATATATGCTTTCTTTGCGTTGTTATCTGATAATAAAAAATACTAATTTGTCGTTTTATTCGTAGAAGAAACAGAAAGACAGGAAACGAAATCGGAAGAAGCAGAAGTTGAATATATAAACTGCAATGTCGAAGCATTTATATAAAAGCAAATTATCGTGTTATACTATAATGCATAAATAGGTCTAATAAAAATTTTATATGTATAATATAAATTCAGAACTCATACATTGACTTATATTTTCTGTTGTATTGTGTATTGTACACAGTGTTTGATTATGACTAATATTCGAAAATGCATTGTTAAATATATTTGAGACGAAAATAAATTAACCATAGAAAGTAGCAATTGATTTGTTCATAGCAAAACCTTTAATATATAAATACTATTCAATTATTTGATATTTAAGTAGATAAATTATTTCGAAATATCGTTCCACTTGAAGTTAGTAATGATGGAATGTGTGTAATCATTAGGTCATGACTTCAACTATTTACTATAAACATCTATTGGAGATTCAAACATAAAGTTGTTTACCGGTGTGATTAAAAATTTTTATATGAAAAATGGTATCACCGATAATAATATTAATTCAGCTGACGTTGCTTATTAGTGCACATAATCATGTTTTTAAGAATAACGAAAATGCGAATACAAGTTTGGACTTTGTTAATAAAAATTCGTCTTACCGCAGTAACAATTTCACAGACTTTCTCTTTACGGTCTCAAATTCGTCGAGTTTTATAGATACTCGTTCTGAATCTAAATCGGACCAAGTCGATTGCTTTGGTTTGGGGAAAACATTAGCCACAACGTTGGAATGGTTTTTTATGAGCAAACCGAATGGGACAAACGCTTTGGACGTTCATTTTTTTTTATCCTCAAGAAAACAACCGCAACGTGTTCAAGTAATGGTAGGCAAACAATTTGGTTTAGAGTGGGCAGACTTTGCAATCGAACGTGGTACGATCATGATAGTCCATGGTTTCTTATCGCATGGACAAGAATCATGGATTAGCAATCTAGAACAATCGTTTCTACGATGGGTAAGTCAATGTTATAAGTTCTCTGTTTTTTAAAGAAAGTTAGAAACTCTATGCATCTTTAAAAAGTAAACAGTATTTGTTTATGTTTCAGAATGATGTTAACATTATAGTTGTGGACTGGGGTACCGGTGGTAACACTTGGAATTACTACAAAGCTGCAGTTAATACAAGAGTGGTGGGATATCAAATTGCAAGGTCTATTTAATACAATTTCATAACCATTGCACCAACTATATGAGCTGCCCTGTAAAATGGATTCTTTTATATAGATTTTTAGAGCATATAGAGAACGTAACAATCGCTCAAAGTAATTCCAATGCCAATAATTGGGGACCTTTACATTTAGTGGGTCATAGTCTTGGAGCACATATTTGTGGTTTTGCTGCAAAGGAATTGAAAAAAAGACAGAGCAAATGGAAGGTTGAAAGGATAACTGGATTAGACCCTGCACAGCCATGTTTCAAAAATGCAGATTCAACTGTGAAACTTCACAAGTCGGATGCATCGTTCGTCGATATAATACACACCAATGGCAAATTGCTATCTGAGATTGGATTAGGTTTACCAGAGCCTACTGGTCAGTTATACTTTACACATAGTTCGTAATACCATTTTTTACGTTACAAACACTTTTATCAGGTCACGTTGATTTCTACCCGAATGGCGGCAAAAGTCAACCTGGCTGCATAAAAACAGATTCGTCATATTTTGAATATTTACCAATTCCTCTTCGAGGTAAGTAGCCAAGGTCGTGTCACATCGTCGCGAACAGGGCTGTAAGAGAGTAAAATTCCGAAAACAGAAATGATGATACACTAAGCGGTATTCGTGCATAGTTGGACTCTCGTATAATACGATTAATACGTTAACCGTTTCCTACAACGAGGAATCGCGTTATACGAGAGTCTACTATATGTGGAAACGTACGAGAAAGAAAAGTCGATTAGGAGACGATATAATGCGATATATATATTTTAAATTATGATTTTATGTCCCAACGAAGTACCAATGTCTTTTCAGTAATTAATAAGTCTATATGTAGTCATGGACGTTCGTACGTTTATTTGACGGAATCATTGATATCGGACATCAAACACAATTGCACTTTTTGGGCACATCATTGGGACTTATCGTATCGAAACTTAATAGGAATAGGAAAAGAGGCTTGCAATAAAAGTGTTTGTACCGAGATGGGGATAAATGCAATAAATCATCCTCAGCGTGGAACGTTCTTTGTCGCCACTTCCAACACTGTACCATTTTGTAGTAAGTTACAATTAGTAGTAACACGTCGAAAAAAAAAAAAAAAATGGAAACTTGTAAGATTTTGTCATGAGCGATGTTTTTTATACTTTTTTTAGTTAACAATAGTCGTATTATCGACGAAGTAATAACTCAGTTGGAGAAGGACCATGAAAACGAGCTCCACGATTGATGTTTACCAACGAATTAATAATATGTGTATTATTGATTTATAAATAAACGTTCTGCACTTTTAATTATTATTACATGCAATGCTTAAATTATTAACGTCTTTCAAGTGCTATTTACAATTGGATTCCAAAAAGCGAACGTGTTATGTACATTTTACAGCATTTAATTCCATTCGCGTTAGCTATGCAAGCAAATAATCTGCGAAATATCAGAAAAGTGTATCGATTTTCCTATACTTCTTCTCATCGATCATTCCGTTACTCTTACGTTATATCGTAGTGACTTTGACGAAATGTTTCATTAAAATAGACACAATGTTATATCGTATCACGATATGTCTAGCTTATATCAATACTATACATTTGTTATAAATTATAATACATGGATCATAAAGTCAGGAAACAGTACTTGGTCGTATAAATATTTTTCAGATTGAAATTCACCATCATATCGAATATATTGAATTTTCCTTGTTATTGTCTGGTTTGCATAGTCTTAACATATGCTATTATTGGCACTTCAACAATGTAAATAGGCACGTAAATAAATATCTGTTTACCAACCGATTCTCTTTTCATTTCCCCAAATTATAATTCTAGATCCCTCGACGATCATTGTGGCGAACAAGTTTTCAACGCCACGCGTTAATTTCAACAGAAAATTTGAACCCTAAGCAGTCAAAATTAACAGACGTTTATAAAAAACGTGTCAAACACTTTCGATTCAAGCGTGCTTTGGTAGTTTCTCGATCTACTCGATCTTAATCTTTCACCGTTATTCAACCGGTACATTTCAATTGCAATTCTATGTATATTTTTTGTTTGAAATTTCAATTGCAATTCTATATTTGTCGTTTGAAATTTTAATTGCAATTCTACTTTTTTTCGTTTGAAATTTCAATTGCAATTCTATATTTTTCGTTTGAATTTCAATTGCAATTTTATAGTTTTCGTTTGAAATTGCAATTCTATATTTTTCGTTTGAAATTTCAATTGTTATTTTATATTTTTCGTTTGAAATTTCAATTGCAATTCTATATTTTTAATTTGAAATTTCAATTGCAATTCTATGTATTTATTTCAATTTCAATAATTTCAATTATATTCTATATATATATTTTTCGTTTGAAATTTCAATTGCAATTTTGTATCGTCGTTTCTTTCCAAAGAACATAGACACCGATACATCCATTTTTGAATGTTAAAAGGGAAAAATGGTTGGACGAATCAGTGAATAAGTTGCACGTACGTGGCCGGAAATATTCCAGTTCGTCCTCGACACTCGCCTATCCACCAACCATCCGGTTGCTTCTGATGTACCGTTATTAAGTCTCCGGGGCTTAAACTAAGTTCGTCGTTCAGATTAGCCGAGTACTGATAAATCGCTCTGCACTGTTCCGTCCCGTCTGTTTTATTCGGTGTCACGACAGCGTCAACGTCTTGATTATTATTGTCTTCCGAATGACTACTGAACTCGTCAAAATCGCTAAAATCGTCTTCATCGGGAGGATTCTCCGAGTTCCCGTCACCGGCCGTTCGATCGGTCCAGTGACGGCTCTCGGTCTCGTGATCCTTCGCAAGGTGAACTTCAATTTCATCTTCGTCGTCCTGAAATTCAAACGATTCGTTCTTCGCCCAAGAAGGAACCTGCAAGAGAAACCATTTTACTTATCCTACAAAAAACGCTACCGTTTTAAAACTACCTTAAGGACACTTTGCTGCAGGCCTTGCTTGTCTCTAGAAACTAAAATATGCTCCGCCAAGGGATGTTTCCCTCGTTTGCTGCCTTCCACTTCCGCCAACGTTCCTCCGACCTTATACCTCGCCGCCTCCAAGTAAAGTAACATGGAACGCATCTAAAAACGATAAAGAAAAGAAAGAGAAACGTATGTATATTTTCTGAGATTCGTTGTACGGAATAGCGAGTCGAGATTTAACGAGAAGACCTACATGATGCAGTTTGTCGGTAACATTCTGCGTACTCTCGTCCGCCGCGAATGCGGGCGTCGCGATGAAAGCCCTATGAAGCGTCTCTAGTCCCTCCCTTCCGCGTCTCTCTCGTTCCAGGTCCTGTCTGATCAAATGAAGAACTCTGACCAACGCCTGTTTCCTACGTTCCCTGTTCATCGCCAGGGTAACGTGTTCCGCGTAAAAGTCCGGCAACAGTTGCTCGAAACTGCACCCGTCGTTGTTCTCGACTCTGCGTATAAGGTTCTTCAAGATCTCGATGTCTTGGGACACGTTGCAATTACGCACAGGGGCTGCCAAACGGTCTGCACTCTGCAAAAGAGGGTAAACTGTAGCAACGAGGAGGTCCGTGGACGAAAGGAGCCGTTACCTGTTGCAGACGGGGAGCGAGAGCTTGCAGGTGCGCCAGGTAAACGTTCGCGAGGTCCTTGAGAGCGCTCAATCGTTCCTCCTCGAGTAGCTCCATCTGTTTCGCCCCTTTTCTCACTGTGCTTTCGTACTCGAGCCTCGCTCTCTCGGCTCTCACGCTCACCGTGTAAAACTCCGTGTCCGCCCTACGTGACGAGTCCTCGGCCTTTCTCCTCCTCGCCTCGAGCTTGCTCGCCTCCTTCTCCGTCATATGGTGGTTCGACGATTTGTTATTGCTCTGCTGGCTCTGGCTGATCGACTGCAGCCTCGCCATATCCTGCAGCCTCTCGTTTTCTCGCGCGCAAGCGAAACTTTGCTTTTTACTTTTCGTCGCGACATTACGCCACTCGTGAAGCGACTTCCCCGCCTTGTCCACGGAATTCTCCACGGATTTCCTCGAACGTCCTTGAGCTTCCGCTACTCCTACCTACGCAGCACGCAAAACACCCCTCTTTAACTCTTCTAGATACTGTTCAACAGATACAAGCTAATATCTTTCTTCGGATTCTTGGACACCAGGATATTGAGAATGGAAGCTATGGGACCCCACAGTATTCTTTTTAGTGGTGGATGTTAAGGAACTAAGCACTAATGGTAGCCCACCTATCACGTTCACGAGTCGATATTTGAAATTGTTATACTCAATGTTGTAATAATTGCGACTATGGAGGGAGTTGCAGGAACGAGTGTTAACTTAGTATATACCTATATTGCCCAAAAGCAGTCATCTTTATGCAGTGATACTTGTTCCAACAAGTTGTTTATTTTATTTCTTTTGCGCCCTAAATTCATAATATTAAAACCTAATATCAAAAATTAATTTTAAATATATATATATATACTTTTTGTTCAACATATAAATGCGTTTATTAATCATTGTAGTTACCTCCTCCCTCCTTCATTTTCGGTATATATATATATATAACTACAGGTAACTACAATGATTAATAAACGCATTTATACGTTGTACAAAACGTGACAAAATTCTAAGAAATTGTGTGTCATTGTATACATAATTGTCTTTCTAATTGAAATTAAAAAGCAGTCAAAATGACTTCCCTTGGGCAATGTAGTGTTAATGTCGGTTATGGGTAGAACGAAGAGCAACGAGGGACTTTAGCTGTCGTTGGATGATGGAGTAACGATCGAAGGTAAGTAAATAGGATCTTACTCGAAGAGGTTTGGCAAGCTGTTCGCCGAGCGTGATACCCCACACTCTATGGGCTTCAGCCGCAGCCTCCATTTCCTCGCCGACGCATCTCCATGCCTCGTTCACACCTCCGCTGCTATTGCCACCTGCGTTACGAAAGACCAGCCGCGCTCAAAAACTACATTTTCTTACGCCCCCCGGATTTTATAGCACGATCGATAAGCCGCGAGGGCCAACAACCGTCGTCTCAACTTCTTTTAGATCGACAACTCTCGGTATACCTTGATCCTTAGAACACGCCTTCGTCAATTTGTTGCTCAGTTTGCTGAGACCTTTGGCATACGTTGCTTCCAGCTCCGCTCTGAAATACAAAATTAAACAAGAAGTCCCTGGACAACCGAATCTTTTACTCATCCCAGTCCCTTGCAATAAACATTCGATCAATGGAATACCTTTCGTGGAGGATCGATGCCAATTCCTTGCAGAAATCACCGCCCTGTTTCACGAACCTTCGAACGTCTTCGAATCCCCCTTGTCCTCCCTGCAAGCAAAAAAGTAATACCGATTGATTCTGCTCGTTTTGCCTCTACGGTCGAACGATCCCGGTACTCGAAGGGAGCGCAGAAAATAGCGGTAACCACGCATCGTGGATCGCGGGATGCAACATTTCTGATGTCCTGCGGTTGAATTATGGCAATTTCTTTCGCCGGTGCCGTCCGCGTACACTTCCGGGGGCCCCGACGAAAAAAGTAATTCACGGTGAATAGCTTCCGTTTCACTCGCGCGTCGAAGTCTCCTCGCTCTGCACGAGTAAAACTTACAATTTTTTGAACGTCAGAGAAGATACGCTAATAAACGCTGTTGCGTTTAGTTTTAGTTTCACGATACACGGAAGCTGCCCAACGGAATAGCCAAAATCCAATTTACCACGAGAACGTGGACCCCCGTCTCGCGCATGTAAACGATTCTTTAACGATGCACTTTCTCGCGCGCGATTACATTTCTTCCCGTAGTCTCGAAAGTTACAAGAAAGCACGGCCAAACTACCGATTCGAAACTAGTCGTAAACTTGTCCATCGTTAAATAATAATAATAACAGCAATGAATAACGACTACAAACGTTTCTATAACAACGATCCTCTAAAACCAAGGGGAAACGCTTATTACGCGGTGATCGAACATCGTTTCGAACGAAGATAGATCGCTGTAGAATATAATACAGAGAGTTCTTAATTTATTATCGCCATGTGTGCCTATGATTCAATATTATGGAATAATTTTGTCCAAACAGCCGTGAAACGAGCAATGACACGTTACTTTCATATTTATCCACGGCAATTTCACGTCCATTTCGATAGCGAATGCGAATCATTTGTTTGTTGCATACATGTATACAACTTGAGCTTCAACAACTTTCACGACGGTAATGTTAGTATGTAGAAAGTACCGACAAGTACAAATTTCAAGGTTATTACAAAACAACTGAATAAAGCTTGTTTTCTAAATAAAATTCATTATTTTTTATATTTAAAGGATACTTTCAACGTCGGATGTTTCTCTATACTTTCATTTCAAGTCGTTAGATAAAGTTTACATTTCAATTATGCGGGTGTACACGAGTGTTTGCGTACGCTTACGAAACTTGTCCATTTTGCGGGTTTTATGCAATACCTCAGCATACGAAAATGTCATCGTAAGCAAAGTCTAAATTAGACTGTTGAACAAGATATCGAGATCTAACAATTTAGTGATATTTCATTGTAAATATGAGGCCAGTGCAGTGGAAAGGGTCGAGAAATATGTGTCTCCACGAAGCAGCGTGACTGTTAATTGTAAATACGTAAAATGGAAATCGGAACCGGTATATTTCTTGATAAAATAAACCGGTCATCGACGGACGAAAAATTGTCAATTTTTACTCCGTTCGTCGGATATACGACGTCTCGAAATATTTTTGCCCGATAACAACCTGATCGAAGAAAATATATCGAAAATGTCATTTACGACCGGTGTTACGCCCGAATCAACCTTCCTGGTGCCTTTCGTAAACTTCTGGCTCGACGGGTTTTCCGTTCGACGATTAAATCATTTTTGCGATATTCTCATTCCGACCAGCCGGATTTAATTACACTGGAACTCTTTCTAGGCGTTAAACGTAGTGCTCTTTGTAAAATGTCACTTTGCATGGGGGGATGGAAATGTTAAACTACCTTGTACGATTCTACATCGATACAGAAATATTACCTAAGCGTTCGTAAAAGGAAAACGATACGAGTGAAAACGTAAAACTAAAAATCTATCGTTTTCTACTTTCGTAATTCCAAAGAAGCTAGTCTGGTTATTCGTCTACCTCCTTTTAATATTAGCGTGGCCGCCATTGCGCGAGAGAGATTAATTAAGTATCGCACGGAGAAAGATCAACTTTCTTGCGATCCATCTCCTTCGACAACAGAGTTCTCCCTAAAAATCCAACTGTCCCGCGGAAGTTTCTACACCAACAAATTGATCTTTGATAAATCCTGATACGAGAGGATCGATGTAGTTTTGTCGAGAACTATGAGAGGTAAAAGGTTTATTGGAACGCGTTGGCTATTATTACGGTCGCAGAACAAATGGGGCTATCGTGTGCAACAGGTGGCGTGCAATCATATACATATGCATGTAGCTCCTATATCCAAGTATTTTACATGCGAAATTTCCATAGTTCCGCTAAAAATTGTTCTGCAAAGTAGTTTGCACGATTGAAATTGTTATTTATTGGACCGAGAGAGGAGATATCTAGGCACGGCCCTGGTTTGAAGATCGTTGTCAGGTGTACTACAGAATGTAAACGGATCTTCCTTTCCCTTTTACCTTCCTCGACTTCCTCAACGTAGGTTCACGCGACACGGTGAAATCGTGGAGGTCGCGGGCTCTGTCACCGTAACCATCTATTAATGCGCGTACTGTATATCTCGACTCTCGCACGATCCCCTGCCATGAAAAGGCATCGTTACCTCTGCTTTCTTTTTCTAAGCTAAATTTTCCACACGATCCAACCATTTCTACGATTACATCTCGCACCTTTCGCGCGCGGGCGAACATCCAATACGCGACCGCGAACGGAGAAAACAAATGCCAATGACACAGCCTGAATTCGGTCCTCTTTCGTGGATCAGCGATGGGAACGATGCTCTTTCGAGCTAACATTCTTAGAATTTCTATATATGCTTCGCCAAAATACGCGTTGTTTGCATTTCGAAACATTAAGATCCTCCAATTCGTTCGGAAGTTATGATTTTTTAAACATTTGAATGAAATTTCCAAGAATCATTTCTGGCCAGAAATTCTGTTTTCGGTAAGGAATTTTTTTCTCGAAAGTGCGTAGGAATTTGGGGGTATGTGTATTCACCAAAAATGATTGCAATTGACCCCAGCAACCGAAAATAATTTTTTTAAAACGATTTGAAATTTTTTTTTTACACCGAAAAATTTAGGCACCAACCCCCTGTCGATTTTTCGGAAAATTCGTTTTTGATTTTTAACAACTTTGTTTGACGCTGTACAGAAAAGTTGTTTAATACTCTTTTGAAGGTATCCATGAGCTCTACTTCCAGATTAAATTTCAATGAGATCCATTCGCTATTGTAGGAGTTATGGACGTGTGAAAATTGAACCATTTTTATAAGGTTTTTCTCATTTTACGGGTTGAAGGAGCAACTTTTCAAATATTTTTGGAATTTTTACATATTCTCCACTAAAATACGCGTAGTTTGCATTTTTAAAAATGAAAATCGTCCAATCCGTTCAGAAGTTATGGCGTTTTGAAGATTCGCATGACATTTCGGGGTGCCATTTTTGGCCAGAAATTCTGTTTTCGGTAAGGAATTTTTTTCTCGAAAGTGCGTAGGAATTCGGGGGTATGTCTATTGACCAAAAATGATTGTAATTAACCCCTGAAACTAAAAATAATTTTTTTGGAAGGATTTGAAATTTTTTAATTTTGTCGAAAAATTTCGCATATTCCCGAATTTTTTTCTCGAAAGTGTGTAGGAATTCGGGGGTATGTCTATTCACCAAAAATGATTGAAATTGACGCCTGCAACTGAAAATAATTTTTTTAGAAGGATTTGAAATTTTTTAATTTTGTCGAAAAATTCTCGATCTTCTCGAATTTTTTTCTCGAAAGTGCGTAGGATTTCGAGGGTATGTCTATTCAGTAAAAATGATTGTAATGGACCCCCGGAATCAAAAATAATTTTTTTAGAAGGATTTGAAATTTTGTAATTTTGTCGTAATTTTCGTATCTTCTCGAATTTTTTCCTCGAAACTGGTTAGGATTTCGAGGGTATGTCTATTCAGCACAAATGATTGTAATGGAACCCCGGAATCAAAAATAATTTTTTTAGAAGGATTTGAAATTTTGTAATTTTGTCGTAATTTTCGCACCTTCTCGAATTTTTTTCTCGAAACTGGTTAGGATTTCGAGAGTATGTCTATTCACCAAAAATGATTGTAATTATCCCCTGCAACTAAAGGTAATTTTTTTAGAAGGATTTGAAATTTTTTAATTTTGTCGAAATTTTCGCATCTTCTCGAATTTTTTTCTCGAAAGTGCGTAAGAATTCTGGGGTATGTCTATTCACCAAAAATGATTGTAATTGACCCCTGCGACTGAAAATAATTTTTCCAGGTCGATTTGTAATGTTTTAATTTTGTCGAATTTATCCGCTTATTGTTTTTTTTTCTCCGAAAATTTCTACTGTCATATTTTCAAGTATGGTAATCAGAGTGAGTCACGAAAGTCCATAAGGTGTAAGGTCTACTGATACACCTTGTTTGTGGTGATATTTCACGGATTACAGAGATCTTAATCGATTTCAGATACAAACGTCAAACAAATGCAATCACTCCCCGTTCTACGAACCGCCTTTCTCCACCGTCATTCATTTCACCATTTACGTAGCCTTGGAACTACTCACAGTTTTATTCATTGGTCGAGGGTTGAATCAATCCCATCGCTATCGCGGATCCCTAAATCGTTCGGAGATAAATTAACGTCAGCGGATAGCCAAACGGGCCAAGTGCCAAAAGTCTTGTCAAAACGAAAGTAAGCTAGACGATATTTTCGTTTTCGAAAATGTATCTCACCAAGTATTACGACGCTAACAAGGATAAATTCCGAGTCGCTGACTTTCTGTCAAGAAATAAGAAACTGAACTTGATCCTAAATTCACTCTATTCTTTCACAGAGCAAACGTGCATCTTTTAAAATTATTTCAAAGCCTAGTTGTAACATTTCTACGGTAATCTTCCACAGGACTTCGTACATACATCGAACGCAAACGACGATACGTAAAAAAAGGAACAGGTACGCGCGAAAGAGCAACGAGGAACAAAGATCGGTTATTTTCTCCGCTCAACTTTCCCACACTTTCCATGCTTTGATCGTTGCTTCGAACAGTATTTGTATTTACTGCCCGTGCTGTGCCTGTACTTGGTGTGTACAGTCCTCTAAACATCCTTAGAAACGCGTAAAAAAGGGCTCTACCAAACCCTAACGATCTAATACTCCGATTGTCACGAGATTTTAGAAAAAGGTTTTCCAATCCATGTTCGGTGTCTCTGGCAAGTTAACAAACAGTTGCACAGTCGAGCAAGCGTCGTAGAAAAAGAATTTGATTAGTTTCCCGACATTTAGCGTAATTAGTCGCAACTGGTGCAACAAAAGGAAACGTTTCACGAAGCGAAATAGAACAATATACCTCTTCAGTCTCGTGAACGTGTAGCAGATGAGTGGAGGCCATTAACCCTCTGATTGACCCCAGCATTCTCTTCTTAATCAAACCAGCTTTTCGAGCATGATCCCTGGTCTCGATCTCTACGGTTGCATCGTCCGCCTCCTCGTTCTCCGTGTCGGAACACAACTTGTCCATACTCTGAGAGACCGTAGCGACTCGTTTCTTAGTTTCACCGTCAAAAACATCCTCAGAACCGTTCGCAATTTCTCCCAATTTACTCGAATCGTTCTCCGCGTCCTTCATAGAAACGCTGCTACGTTCCGGAGAAGAGATCGCGTTCTCTTCCGTGACGGAAGTCAGACCGAACTCTTCGATCCTGGTGATCGATCCCGACTCCTGCGTCCTAGCGGTGGTTAGATCGTAGGAGGCGGCGGTTTTCCTCTTGGAAATCCTCGGGAGTTGCGTCTCCTCGGCGAGAGCGCCCACAGCCTGCAACCTCGCGTGCTTGTTCACGACCTCGTTGATCTTGGAGGTTTCGTCGCGCAGCCAGCTTCTCATCTTGTCCCATGCTTTCCCTAATCGATGCTTCTGCAACTGCAACGCAGATCGAGCACGCGATAGATCGTCGTCGATACGATTGCTTTGCTTTGATATCCAAACACGAAACGAAATTGAATCGAGCGAGTAGTTAATGTTAGAAATGTAGAAATCAAGGCCTTCATGGCCTGAAGCAGGCCATGTGCTTCTCCTTGGCGCGCCTCCCCCTCTTAAAGGAGGATCGTACTGTCAAGGGTGCCCTCACGACCCTGGTTTTCTATCAGGGTACAGAACTGTAGTGGCTTTTGCCGTGAGCAGAGATACGCTACAGTTTATTTTATACAGATCCTGATATCGAACTTTTCTTACATTAAATTTTGGGGCTCCCGTGGTTGAGATGGAAAGAACAGGGAGACGTAAATAATAAAAAGTATCGTAGTGTCGGGATATCAAAGCAGGCGATTCTACCTGAGGATGTCTGCTGCGACGAGGCACAACGTCGTTCGAGCATTCAGGATCCGAATAAGATCCCGACATCGAACCGATCCCCGCGTCGTATCCGTCGCTCTCAGACACTCCGTAGGTTTTCCGTCCAGGTCTCAACGATCTCGCCGATCGTATCGCTCGATCGTTCCGTCGGTCCTTTCTTTCAACAGGTAAATCGATCTTCGTGATCGTCGAGTCGACTTGCTTCTCGTCGTCCGTTTTGCCAACAGACTCTGTCGTCTCGTTGGATTCCACTTCCATTTTCGTTTCCATTTCGACGACTTTCTCGACGTCGGTTTCGTTCTCGTCGCGAACGTAGGAATTCTTAGGAAAGTCGTACAACCGATCCTCTTCAGACGAGTCTCTGTCGACTGTCGCTGGTGTCTCTTCCACGTTTGTAGTCGCCATTTCGTTCTTCTCGTTGGCGTGCAAGAAACTGAAGCTGATCGTGGGCAGTCCGTCGTCGTCAGTTTCCACCGACGTGACCGCGGTCAGTTCCACGGTGTTCTTGTGAAGTTTTCGTTCCCTCGACTCTTCTTCTTCGTCCTCCGAGCCCTCCTTTTCGCGAGATTCTATCTTCGCGATCTCCTGATTGTTTTCATAGAGTCGTTCATCGTCGACGATGGAGAGTTTCGGTTTATCGGCCTCGTTTATGTCGGGAAACTCGTGACAGTGTATTATCACAGGCGCCGGAACGTCGTACCAGATCGCCGTGGAGTTGTCGTTACCGTTGCCGTTAGCTTTCGACGACGATAATTTTCTGACCGACTTTAGAGAAGACCACGCGTGCCTCGCTTCTTCCATTTTTCGCGCCAACGATCGACCAACCGATAAATTTCACGCTCGAACGACTCTACGAGACGTCCATAATCTCTGTCTCGGATAGAACGTAACCCACCGAATTGTTTACACGGATATCCGTAACTCGTCGTCTACTTTATTACTATCCTCCAGTAATTACCACTGTCGCGCTAAAACTACCGTGTCACTGGTTTCCTCATCGCGTTCACCGATTCACCGTGAAAACAACAAACTGATCGAGACTCGCGATGTTTACGCGTCTCTCTCGAAATAAACAGAGAATATCAAACTCTGCTCGAAACCGGGGATCGAAAAGGCTCTGAAAATAGCTGTTTCGAACCGTTGTGCACTTCCGTCGATCCGACAAACATGTGTTTCGTTCCTATCTTTCAAAATTATTGTTTTTTACACGATCCTCGACGCATCGAAAACTCGTTCGATTCATCCGTATTCGATCCAAAGTAGAGGAATTATCGAGACTCTCAGGGAACAAGCTACGGTCACGGTCGATCGAGAATAATAATTTCTGTCTATGAAGATTTCTTTTGGTGTGAAAATAAGATACAGTTGAGTTGAAACGATACGAATGTATCTTGCGTGGACGAGCGCGCGATTTGACTACGGTTTGGCCGGATGAAACGAGCGTTTCGGGAGCGGTCGCGGCGCCGTTACGTAAACAATTCTCACCGGCGATTATCGTTCAACTTGTGTGTTCTAATTTTACGATTTATCGCGTTTCCATTTTCCGTAAATTCTCTCGTCGCATTCGGTTCTACAGTTTTACGCGTCTTTTTCCTCGTCTCTGCAAAATATCCATCAGTTACCAGAGTTTCACGCAAATAGTAACGCAGAGACTTTTTCTACAGGCCTCTCTACAATTTTCGAAGCTCTTATTTTAAAATTCTTTTGGTAGAAACGACAAAAGACCAAAAATGAAACGAGATTAGTTGAAAAGATAGCGATATCTGTTTCGATGTAGCTTCGTTGAAACGATACTGATGTAAAGTCCTTGCAGTCACGATCGTCCATTGTGTCGCGACGATCACGCACACGTTTTTTTCTTTCTATCGCGGAAAATTCGTTTTTGCGTGTACGTGCAAGGTACAAAGTGACGAACGATTACATATACCTAAATATAGACGGCACCGTTTACGACGAGATAACGTATTCGCGAATTATTAATCGTTCTGTACGGTGTCGTCACCGTAGACTCGCGTGCCACGAAGCACCGATGTCCGAAGCAACGCATTTCGAGCGTACGCGAACCGTACAGATGGAATCGCGTTATTGTTTCAAGGTTAATTGTCCAATTATACCGCGTTGCACCGTTCGGGGCAGGTATGTGCTCGATAGCAGCTGGCGGACCGTACACGGTGGGTTTTTTAATCGCGAAACAGAGAACCGAGAAAATGAACGACACTCCGGTGTTTGTGCGACGACGTTCCAGTCGTGACTGGATTCACGCTGGAAGCCGCATTATACAACGGCGTCAAACAATTATATCCGTATTATATTGCGTACACACATATTGCACAACCGAGCAAACGGTGCACCGTACCGTACCACGACAAAAATAAGACACGTCTGCCTCGCGTGAAAATTTAATCGCGTTTATGGTACCGTTCCAACAATAGGCGTTATAAATCCTCCAAAATAAATGTGGAATTTTTTCAAGCTTTAACCGATAAAATTAAGCCCTCTCTCTAGCGTTTCTCTTCGCGATGCTGCATAGTAATTTTTAGCCAGAATTAAAATTTCTATGAATTAATCATGCCCTCTTGAAGTAGAAACTCACTGCAGATTAGAGTCTCTGCGTTTTTTTATTAGCATTATTCATCTGACTGTGCAAAATCTCGATCGATCGATCACGATAGAAATCGTATGATTCACGAAAACGTATGACAGGTTGAGTCACGTGGCGGCTTGCATAAACAAGCAAATTGTTAGCTATTCCCTGATCGATTCGATTCACGGATTCGCGGTAAAAAAAAAAATGGATACTGTTTTCATACACGCGTCGAAGATATCATTATAAAATAAATATTCACTAACTAATTCACTGAGAACGTTCACGATGACGCAACACCCTGGAACGGAAGATTTTTTTTCCCGAAAAATCGGTAAACAAGCGAAATCACGTGTTCGTCGGAAGAGGATATCGCGATTAAGGCTCGTGACGACGGATGATACCAGACGACAGACAGACACGATCAGAGAGAAGATCTCTCTTTCTCTCTCGGGAGAGAGAGAGGGATAAATGTGGACAGAACGCGAAACGCGAAACGCGACGCATCGCGAACGCACTGGCGAGCTGCACTCCTCGCGGTCGGGGACCTAATGCACGTTAAAGCGTTGCGCTACGAAACGAATGCGAGCAGAAGTGGATAGTTTAAGCGTTATAACGCACGCGTTTCTAGGCGGGAGGTTCTTCTTTTTCTTTCTCGATTATATTTAGCTGCGTTACGCGCGACACTTGCGTTACTTCAAACATGCCCTACACGTGCGTCTCCTGTAATGCAACGTCGATAAAGGCTCGCGCGCGACTGGGCCCCCCCCCCCCGACTAACGTTTCTCAAACTGCACATGCAACTTTTATGACCGGTTAACGAGATCGTGCTGGTTACGCAGCGCGGACGTACCGAAAAAAAAGAACCAGATCAATGGGTTAATATTACGTTATTCTAATTTTTCGACTAACGTCATCGTCCTTCTCCAATTTCTACAGCGAATACACACGGCTCTAAAAAAAACAAATTATACAATTTTTTTTTTTCTATATTCTCAGACTATCTTTGCTACGTTCCTACCTAGTTTTATTTTAAAAAATCACGTTTTGCAACGAGGCAATGTCGATGACCAGCTGGAATTAGCGCTACCCGATATAGGTGCGTGTTATTATTTCACATATGTTTGTTATTCGTTCGCGTAGCTCATCCAGGGTGTTGATGTTATCGTGTCGTTGCTCTCGATTTTTTATGCAACTCCAATTCTTCCAAATATACGAATACCTGATAAAAAGAAGCTTCGTGAGAAATTTTGTACGAATCGATGGACACTTGGGAATAAAGTTTGATTCAAATTTTGATCGCGTGCATCCACTTTCACGAATAATTGAATTTTCTATCCGACCCATGGCTCTCGGTACGAGATTTCTTAAACTTTCTCGACTGCGTCTATTTTATCGAAAACGTGGAGTTTAACAAAGACTTTCGTTTTTTCTATTTTTTTTCGTTCGAATGAAACTTTGTTCACGTGGCAGTTTAAAGATTTATTATCTCTTTCGGTGATACGAGACAAAACGAAGACCTTTCTCCCTCTTTGGTAAATATGGAACTCGTAAATTTCGGAATCTTCTGCTTTGTCGTCTTTCTAGCGTGAAATACGACTGTCTGAGGCGATAACGGCGCTGTTGCACGACTTTTTATCGTCCGACCAAAGAATTGCAATTTCACGCGTATGGAGTGCTCCTTAGACTTTACGTAACGATCGCTGCTCTCGATGAAACGAAACTATTCGAGTCGAACCACTCCGGAAGAAAGTATTACGTCTTTTCCTCGAGTTCTGCGTGTCGAGCATGCGTCCCCGGTGACACAACGACCGCAGCCGATCGAGTGAGAAACGAGACCGGTGTTGGGCAAAAGTTATTCGCAATCTACGAGCAAATTCAATCTATAACACTCTGTTCGTGGCTCTACAACGGAATTGTAACTTCGAATGAGAAAACAGGAAACCTCGGAAGGCAGGATGGTCCATCCAACGCCTCAATTCTTTAAAAAAACGGGATAAAGAAAGAGAGAGATAGAAAAGATTAAGGAAGCCGGGGCCGCCGGAAGTAAATGCTCGCTTATCCGGTATAGAACCTTGCCTCGAGCCATAAACAACAGCCTGCTATCTCGTTGACCTACTACCCGTTATAGAATCGTGTCTTTCATTTTGTAATTGCCACTTTAAATGTTCGTCGTATCGTCCAATATGTCGCATCTAAAATCACAAGAAAATTATCTAATTTTAATCATAAAAAGAACTAGTTTTTCAATTTAATTTAACGTAGATCGACGCGATCGATGACGCAACTGCTACGAATTCTCGAGCATGTGTTTCGTATCCGGCAGAACGGAAAGAAAACACCGGGTTTCTCGCGGAATAAACGATAATGCATACATACATTTATGTATCTATGTAGCGTGCACATACTCACAACGAGATCCCGAAAGACCTTTGCACGAATGCAGCCAGAAAGCCGGTGACATTTGGAACGCATCCTATTCCCGGTTAACCACCTTCTTTCGCGATCGCGTACGCACTTTTTACAACATTTTTCTACGGCATGTTTGCGCCAAGCAATATAAACAAGAACTCTTAACGCGCTAGTGAGACAGAATTCGAACGAAATCCTGAACCGATAACGACTATAACGGACACTTATCGTACAAGTGTGTACGTTCGTTTATCGAACGGTCCTTTGTCTTATCCGATATCACATTTTTCCCCAATGCGAAATTACGATACATCTGACGGTGTTTTAAGTAATCTTTTTGTCAGATCTATGACGCATCTGCTTGACCATTATTTAATCTTGACACCTTTTCATTCTCGTGTTCAACCTGTAAAATAAAAATTATTCATTCCATTGTAAAAAACGTATTTTTTTTTTTTAGGTCCTTACTGATAATTTTTTCGTTTTTATAATTCTCGAGTTTAAGCGCCTGCAAGTATAACTTTCTCTTCTTGCTATTAAGAAGAGATGCTCAACGACTAATAACATGTATCGTCGGTCTTGAATCTTCGTTTGAAATTAAATGTAGACAAGTTGCAGACCATTCCCATTTTCGTCGCCATTTTTTTTCTTTTTTTTTCTGTTGCTCCCGTTTGAAGTGATCGTAAAGAACCGGCGAGGATCGATAGGCTTCATCTTAATAATACGTTGCATACGCCGCGTGTACATTCTAAGTTACGCGTAATATTTTACTATTGGGTGTGCCACGGTATACCGACTCTGAATTCCACAGCCAACGAGTCTCTCTTTATTTTTTCACATCTTCCGTAACTTTTTGCGTTCCAACCTTTTACTTTTAATATTAGCGTTCGTTTCCTGAAATAGAAGTAAATGTATGAACGTTTCGAATTAAAATACACTGCTAAATCGTGGTAGAATATTAACGACGACACCTAAAATTGGGCCAATATTTTAAACGGTTTAAAAATCGTTTCGAAGGTACTTATATTGTTAGTATGTATATCGTTCCGCGCGCTCGATATGTATTATACAATTCGAGTCGCGCCAATTCGCACACATTTATTAAACGACGTTACGACGCGACAAGGCTGAATCGCGATACACGCGTCGAGCAGAACGAAAATCGGTACGATCGCGCGATGAATATAACATAAGCAACGTGGTCGGTAAGAAAATCGAAAAAAAAACGTCGCGAATCGCACATGGCACGCTTGGAACATAATCAGCAGTGATACGCGTTTCGAAGAATCGATATGGGTTCATCGTATAGCGGTCTCGTAATGATATAGCGACGAGAATCAACCGGAAACGACCCGTCAACCGGAACGAGGTTCTTTCACAACGCACTCGAGCTACCAGTCAGCGTAACAAAATTTAACCTCAGCAAATTCTTCCGTGTATCGGAATGATAAAAAAAGGAGAACAAGCGCACAATGGCGGCCATTTTCTTACCTACAAGTCGTATTTCAATTTCGAAACTTTGCAGGTTATGAAAAGCTAAAATAAGTAAAGGTAACGCTGATCGCAAAAGGGATCGATATTACCGAGAATAATCTGTATCTGGTAGCGGTCGATATTCGTCGTTGCCATGCTGTAATAGTCGTATTTCAATTTCGAAACTTTGTAGGTTATAAAAAGCTAAAATAAGTAAAGATAACTTGCAACGTTGATCACAAAGGGGATCGATAAGAATCTGTATCTGTTAGCGGTCGATATTCGTCGTTGCGTGCTGTAATAGTCGTATTTCAATTTCGAAACTTTGTAGGTTATAAAAAGCTGAAATAAGTAAAGATAACTTGTAACGCTGTGATCACAAAAGGGGATCGATAAGGATGTGTATCTGTTAGCGGTCGATATTCGTCGTTGCGTGCTGTAATAGTCGTAATTCGAAGATTGCAGGGACGAAAGGGAAAAGCAAGTTCGCGCGGACAGAGAACGGGCAAGCTCGTTGCGTAGCCATCGCGGAAGCGTTTTCAAAGAACGAAGTAACAGGTTAAAGGCAGGTGGCAAAGAACAGCGAAACGGAACGACCGGTGCGTGGCGTGGCGTGGCGCAGCGGCAAGAAAATAATCCGAGGCAGAGGCGCGCCGTACGTTCTTACATTTTCCGTGGGAGTATAGAACCCGTTTCGTTGCGTGAGTCGCACAACCGTTGTCCAGCATAATAAGATGCATGTCTCTGACGTAAGACTTTCACCCCCGAGGGTCCCTCTGCTGCCCGAACCACTCGCAACGTTCCTTTTAAAACTGAAATGCATTGCGCCCGATAACCTGCCGCCTATCCCGCGTTTATCCACTACCGATCCTTCGTCCCTTCACCCCATCTATCGTCTGCTCGCGGCACGTTCTCTTGCGCTTGCTTTTCCTTTATCTTTTCTCTCTCAGGCTCGATCGATAATTACGTAACGAAACATAAAAGTTTATACTATGATCCCCGAGAGGATGTAACAACGTAGCCAACCACTGTTCACGTTTTCACGTCTATCTCCGAGTATCGTTTTCTCTATCACCGGGAAAGGATTGGTCCAATCAAGACTCCTATCTATTATTCCTCTTACCGCGTAACGCGATCATTACAAATAACTGAGATTTCAACAACGACCGAGCACAATCGTCCACGTTGAAATCATCGCGACGAAAAAATCGAATTCAAAGTCTTACGAGGCTTGGAACTCTTCATCATCTTGCGAGTCTTTTAGACTTTTCCTAACCTCTATAAATGGTTATCGTTATGTAGGCATAACGATTATGATTATATTCTCGTTACGAAGCTAAATGCATCGCGATACAATGAAAAACGATCGTCTCTGTTCCGCGTTTCACAACAACGAGTTCGTCCTTCGTCGATAACCCCGTCGTCAGATAAAAAGATTGAAAATGATTTTTTTCGGTTTCAATCTATCGGCAGTTGCGATAAGATTTCTAAAATGAAATGTAAGAATACGTAGATATACGATGCATACGCTTTAACGTTCACACGGTAAATAAACTTCAATGCCGTTCGCTGATCTTCGTCGTTGGATTTTACCACCTCGTTGAATCGTATCGCAGTCTCGCTTCTATGCGTTCGGTTATAGCGAGAATAAAAAATTTCATGAAGATTCAACGAGATAGAGAAGGGGAAGCGTTAACGAGATATAAACGAAAACCTTGTAACGAATCTCCTTTTCTATATACCGTACCGTAACGCTGTTACTCTTGATGTTCGCATTCGATGAAACATACGAAATATAGTAATTGTCCATCAATAACCGTAACGTCATTCGCGTATAATTGTTCTACGATGAGACGACAATGCATCATCGATGTAACGATTGCACGTGTATTAATATTGTTTCTAGCTTCCAAAGAACTAGAGAACGATTAACGATCGATCAGAAATTTGATGGAACTAGGTTCTAAGACGTTCAACCCCACAGGTACGATGTAACTTTCGATCTCAATGCGATTTAATGTGTGTACAAAATGTCAAATGATGGGTTAGGTGTTGACCAACCAACAAAGGTTTGTGGATAAGTAAATTGCACTAAGGTACATAAAAACGACGACACATCCTAAAAGTACATAGGTTGAATTGAATCTTTTAACCGCGAATGTAAAAATCAACGACGCGCAACGATCGAAGCGATCGAGAAATCGTACAAAACGAGTAAATATGTATTTACGTGCGCGTATTTATACGTAGAGATTTTTACGCAAGTGGGTCGAGCTTTCGACATCTTCATTAAAGGACAAAAAATCCCGAGAGAAACAAATATTTTCAACGTTCCTAATAATACGTATCGTATTGTTTGTATTGAATTGAATCGTGACTATATCGCGGAAACATGTGTCGCGTTAAAATAGAATAAGGAAAGTGGGGAAAAAAATACGTGGAATATCGAATGGTACATTGGTACTTACGGAATACTTGTCCTTGTAAAAAAGCGAACTGGTCGACATGGCGTTAATTCCGAAGCAACAAGTTGCATAGAACGTGTAAACTTCACGGCTTCATCGTCGTCCTTCGTTATTTCGGCCGCAACTTTTCACAATATCCATTGAGCGTCGATGAACACGCACACATGCACGCTCGCGTACCGATATTGTTCTTGCGGATCGAGGAAAACAAGAGAGAGACTCGTCGAGATAACGATCTAACGTTCGTTGGTTAATTTCGAATGTTGACAGCGTTTACCGGAAAAAGCGAAACGAGGTGGTCTCGTGGCGTGGAAAGAGCCAAGTGCGCGACTGACGGATGTGACAGGACGGGACGGACCGGAACGGGACGAGTCGAAGCTAAGAAAGAAAGAGACTGATACACCGTGTGTATGTCCTGTTAGTTTATGGCCATGGTTACGGCAAGAAAGGTACAGTCCTCCCCTCCCTCTCTGCCAGGCTGACCTACAATCTAACGCGAAGGCTCTCTCTTTTCGCTCTCTTTTTCCCCTCTCTCCCTCTCTCTCTCTCTCTCTCCCTCACTCACACCCTCTTTTTTACATCGTACACCATTATTTTCCTCAAGCATTTTACACTTACTTAGTTTAAGGTGGCTGAACCCAGTAGTCGATCAGTATCCAATAGTTCATCGATTCTGTAAACAGTAACGTTTTAAAATGATTAGTTATATATTTTTCTATTTAAAAAATCGAATGAAATAATGCGTAAATTGACTATTTAAAAATACTTCTTCGTTCCTTTTCAATTTAAAAACAGTTCTTCATTAAAAGAAGTAAAATCATTTCTCGCTAAGTAATCGACTACTTTTAATATTTCTAAATGTGTTTTGTTCAATGTGCATCTACATTTTCTAATCATCATAAATATTATATTCGTATGAAAATCTAAAGGCACTAAAATCCATAACATGATGTATTTCTTTTGGAAGAATACCAATACCATTTACTGCTTTAGTTTTGTTAGAAATAATTGTACCAGAAAGACGCGCTAATATTTTCAAAAGTTCGATTCCGGAAGCACGATAATTCGAGTTCGAGAAAACCGACCAATCGCCATTTTGTTTGGTCGACAGTTGAATCTCGAAACACTCTCGAATCAGAGTTCTACGGCGCGATACGTAAGTGCTCTGTGTTTGTTTGCTTCTTGCAGAACGAAGCTCCGAAATATGACTCAAGAAGGCCCGTAAGTATATCGGAATTCACATAAAACCTCCATTAGTTATGTTCCTTGAACTGTAAATTCCGTCTCTTTCGTATCATTATGAGAAAAGTAACAGATATTCGTGGAAATAGCTCAAATGCCGCCCCACGGCTTTCGAAACACCGCCATGTTGTAAGACGACTTTATTGATTCTCGAAATTTCTGGAAAAGAATCGCAAGAAATTCGTTTATATTCTTTTCCCCCCAACCTGCGACACGCTCCCTTTTGATTTTTAATAAATAGTAGATTTCGAACGACGAACTTTATTATTTTCTATTCGCTTGAACGAAATATCGAATAATCAACTTTTCGATAGTATAAGCTTTTAATAGCCTGTATTTCCAAGCAATTATTTATCGATATTCGAGCAACGAATAATACGCATCAATTTTTTTATGTATTTTATCAAAGCACATTTAAATCCGTATGATTATTCCTACTTTCCTCGCTTATCCGGCAAAAACGGAATATTTTATCTGCAATGGTTTTTGTCGGAAACCATAGAACCTCGTTTCTAACCTTACCAATGTTTTACAAATACAGCATTGCTATGCATACTTTAATATTCCATTATTGTATATCGCGAACGTTGCATTTCACCTGCATTTAAATAAAATAATTATTCTAAATTATTAAATAGTAATTTAGAGTTGAGTAAAACTATAATATTCCATTTAATCGCGTGTTACAAATGTGTATGCGCACATGTATATTATACAAAGCGCACAATGCGATTACATACATTTAATGTTCCGTAAAAATACTCTTTATGTAATTAACAATAAATGAGTAATGTAGACTATGAATATTACTGTCTTAGTAATTTTTTGTCGACCGTAGCATCGTTTTATAATTTAATTGTTGCTATTGCTCATAAAATATATTCATTGCAACATAAAAGTCTTCGAGTTTTAGCTGATATAACTAACTCATAATCAATTTCTTGATAATTAAATATTTTGTTCCTTTTACGATTGTTAAAAATTGTTAATTGTTTAAAAACTTTTAGATACCCTCCTCCACCTGTTATGTGGGCCCAAAGGAAAGATGTTTTGTTTCTTAGTATCTGTCTAGAAGATTGCAAGGATCCTCTTTTTGAAATTGATCCGTTGATGATACATTTTAAAGGAATAGGTGGAACGGAAAAAAAAATGCATGAAGTTAGAATTAACCTGTATAAAGAAATTGTTGTAAGCAAAACAGAACAACACTTAACGGGTAGAATTTTTGAGTTAATTCTCACTAAAAAAGAATTGGGACCATACTGGCCAAGATTAACAAAAGAGAAGACGAGAGTTCATTGGTTGAAAAGCGATTTTAACAAGTGGAAGGATGAAGATGATAGCGACAATGAGACTTACATGGGAGGAAATCAGAATTTGGAAGATGTAAGAAAGATTCTCTTCTAACATAAATTTTGTTATAAAATTTGAAAAAGTACAATACAAAAAAAATTGTATTAATGTTCGACAAATATTCAAGTTTTGTACTGATACTTCCAGATGATGCGACAGATGGGTGGCTTATGTTCAGCGGACAATAAACCAGACTTCGATGATTTATATGATTTAGGAGGAGACGCCGAAGCAATAGATAGCGACGACAACGATTTACCTGATCTGGTTGATTGAAAAAATTTTGACGCTACTTTAAAATAATTTTCATTTAAAAAAAGAAAAAAATAAAAAATAAAAAACAAATGGCGACCTAAGAATAGTGCACCACCAGGCTATATTTCAGTAGGCCGATGCTATTTGCATTTTCTGTTACAAATAAGTTTTGCAAATTTGCTGACGGCCCATGTCGCGGTAGCAAACTAGCAAATAAGGTGCGCGAAAAACTGTCAAAGTAACAAAAAAAAAAAAAAACAGTACAGTGGTCAACAAAAACGAACAGTAATATACTTTTTAAAGGTTCTCCAATCCTACTTTAATCTGTAGTTCATATACTAAGTTATAATGAACAAGCTTTTTTTAATAACAATTGCTTGTGTAAAAGATGAAGTAATGAAAATGAATTAAATTATGTGTGGAATTGCTTATTTCAGGAAATCCCGTTCTGAAAAAAATTTTTTAGAAGTCTATAAATTTATGTAATGAATTCTATAATATTAATGAAATGATCTTCGTCTCTTTATAAATTTAGCATACTTTTTTGTTTATATTCATCATACATCATAATTAACCCTTTCTATACGACGATCTTTGTCCCAGATACACTACTACGATTCAGACCGATTAAGACGTGAACGGTACCATTCGCCAAAGTCAAACTATAATATTTGATATTTTCTTGCATATATATATAATATTATTGGATTAAAAGTTCAAAAAGTGGAGTTTATCAATTTGATTTATAAATGGTATACATAAGAAATTAGAAATAAATGCGCGTCAGAATAATCAAATTTAAAGAATTGTTTAATGATATACGCGAAACTTTAACGGGTCACTATAGTCACCGGTAGGATACAACGAACGTGCAATGATTGATGACTGTGTCACCATTGGTATCGAAAGGGTTAAAGTGCAGAATTACGCTACGTTCGTTACTCTAAAATAACTATAAGTAAAATTACTACATAAATATTAAAAAACCTGATAGAAAATAAAAATTATCAATTTATTTATCCAACAATACTGGAAGCGCCGCGTAACGCTAGATACCCGGCAGTTATATCCATTGGTAGACTTCGAACTGTTGCAAATTCTTCAGCAGTTGCATAGTATAATTTAGTCTGTGGATCTGTATATCGTGCCTGTAAAATAAATGTAATTTATGCATACATTTACATTTTAATAATGTAATCAATTGTACAATCGTAAAAGCAGTTGTCACTCACGGGCAATCCAGAAATATCCGAATACTTTTTTGCTGGTCTGAAGCTTGGCGGTGCATTAATAGAACTATCTGCAATTTTTTATAAATTTACAATACTTTCATCGTCGATCGAAATTCATCGTATACATCCTATTGGCAAATTTTAATCACTGCTAAATACCGAACGATTAAGTCTCGAAAGATTAATACGACGTACTTCTCGAAATTTATAATATTGAAAAATGTAAACATTATTTATACATAGAAATACAAGGCATCCATCTACGATGGTGCGAATCTACGCATTAAACAAAGTAAAAAATATAGTTATATTATTTATATTCCTTAATTTTCGAATTATAATTTAAATATCAGGTATTCCTCGAATCCGTATTGTATTCTTTCTTGTGGATCTTTAATATTGTTCACTTGTTTTGCATACACAATAGATTTCAAATGATCCCACAAGTAACAATCAAAGCAGAAGACCGTAATGGCCATGTACCTTAAAGAAGGACAAAGGCATGTCTTAATGCACGTGGCGAATATTCTTTTTAATCGTTCGTAGCTCAAAAATTAAGGAATATAGAACATGTGTTCGTACGGTGCTTTTTTCGACGTTTTTTTTTGACGAAGGAATTTCTTTCTTAACTATTCGTAATTATTAGTATTAAAATCGTTTAAAATTGATTAAAGCAATTCATACAATGTACTACGTCGACTGGCCATGGTAACGCACGTTCCTGAGCCAACACTTGCTTTAAAGAACGCCAAGTTCGTTTCTTTCCAGCAGTACTAGTAGGCCGAAATTTCCGTTGAAAAATTGGGTTTTTGAAAACTGGCTGTAGTTTCTTGTTAAATTCCGCAACTTCCTCGCTCACCATCTTTCATTATACCTATGAAGTTGTAAATGTTTCATAGCTAGTAATCGATATAAAAAAAATAATTGATATTAATTGGTACAAACGATAAATTGCTTTTATTAAAATTAATTACACAAACTACTTATACAATAAACCGTCATTTAAAAAGTAAACTGTAAATTTTGTCACAATACGGATACATTGAAAAAAATTTCTTTATTTCAAAATTACATTATGTTCTACTTAAATCATTTATAATAACTTTTCTTCCGGACTATCTAGAACTAATATTTCTTGTACATCGCATCCCAGTATACCGGAAATTGTAAGCATCATCGTTGTATTCAAATGTTTAACTAAAACTTTGGCCCACTGACTCAAAATAAGTAACGCGGTACAGGATTCTTGTGAATTTCTATAAAAAGTGTTTATCCATCGGAACTTAAAATATTTACAAACATACATGTACTGTTTTCTTTTTTAATAAAATACCTCTGAAATTCAAAATGATATTTGTATCCTTGAGATAAATATTTCTGGATAATAACTGACAAATCATCCTCAAATAAAACGAAAGCCTTTTTGCTAGGCTCGATCAGGCACAGAATTGCATGACGGCAAAGCAATTGGTTGTATTGTATTTGATCTTTTATAACATGATCGTAACTCTCATTCTGTATAATAATTGTTAAGTAAAATGAAACAGATTCTTCTCTAAATTTGACACAATTAATAATAAACATATTATACAACCTTTGCAATATAAAGAGTAACATGAACTTTTCTCTTTAGGCTTTCTATATCTTTTGTATGCAAATATAAGAATCCCTCAGCCATTTCTGTTTCTTTTTTTGCAACATTTATTAGATTATTTGACAAATCATGCCTGACAGAAACTTTCTGATTGTTGTTCTCTATTTTTGAAATATTATCTTTGCAGCTTTTAAGCACAGGCGTATCATGACAAACTATGTTAGGATTTTTAAATATAGTAGCTTTCCTACATTTACTTCTTTTATAATTATGTAGGTTAACGGATGTTTCTGAGCATAATGTTGGCGATAATAAATTCTTTTTCAATTCATCCAACTTATTACTTAAATTGGTTTGTGCTTTCTTTTTGCAATATATCTTTTTATTTAACGTTTTAGCTTCCACTTGTTTTGCGCTTTCAAAATTTGCTCTTCTTGCCTTAACTTTTTGAAGAATTCTTACATTAAGATTTTTCAAATGAGACTTTGATATCCATGTATTGCTCAACGAAGCAAACTTATCAAAAAGTCTAGTATGTTTCTCTATATAGTATTGTACGTCTTTCTCGTTGGAAAAATCCAGATTCTGTTTTATATTAATGTCTCTGATTCTTTCTATGGTATAAAATAATTGCTGGTTGATTCTACAAGCTCTGTCTACGTACTTATTAAAGGTTATTTTGCTAAAATTTTTATAAACTGGAGATTGAATTCTTAAACCTAAATTTTGGATCAATGTATGTACAAATTTGTCTACGTTGAACGTTGGCACTTCGAACATGTTTCAAATCACAACATCACAATGTTATGCTTACGCAGAAAAATAAATATTATTGAGCGTAAACGTTTTCAGAGAAAAATATTCAAAAATACTAATTTGTTTATTATGAAATAGTTGACAGCACGTTATCATAAATAACTTTTAGCAACTGTTTTTATGTGCAACTTCATAACGATATACAGGATGTCAAAATTTAAGCGGGCCATCTAAATATTTTTGTATCTGAACCGTTCAAATCAAGCCACGAACAATTTCTGTATCATTTAAAATAAAGGACATATTTAGGTTTGTTTCAGTTTGGACATCTGGTACAATGAAAAATAATTCTCAATAATTCATGTTTCACAAACGAGTTGATGCAATTCACGCTGCTATAATAAATGATAAAGTCGATATATCGTTTAAAAATTGTCATTAATATGCCTATTACTTGGTTTCGTTGTAACTATCTTATCAAGGTATGTTACAAAAATATGTTACACGAACAATTTCTGAATCCTTGTAAGTATATCGCATATATCATTTAATAGTAATTACAAAGAAAAATTGAACAGTATATCAAACTTATTAATTTTTTAACCTACAAAACAAACATTTGTTAAACATATACTGAGGTTTTAAATTAACACTCTATTTATAATAGTACTTGTAATGTGTTGAATGTTGCATATAAATATTCTGATTCGCTAGATTATCGAAATATTAAATGTTATTTTAAAACGTACAATATTTGTTTATTACTCACCACCGATAGATCGAAACAACCGTTGCTTGGAATTCGTCGCTAATTTGAAACATACAAATACTATCTATTATATTAGTATACAAGCTAGGTGGATATTTCAATAAGCAGTTTTCTTGTTTTAGGAAAATAGAAAAACATTGCTAATTAATTGTAATCGAACAAAGTGTATACGTATATAGTCTGCTTGAAAAATATAGATTGTTAGTTAATGTTTCATAATATTACTGCTTCTGTTATCTGAAAATATCTATTATATCATTTTAAGACAGATATACTCAATTCAAATTTTAATTTTTAATTACGATTCGAATTTATGCCAAAGTTATAACGTTAACGTAGACTTGGGAACATCAGTTGTTGATCATTAAAAGAAAATCGCCAACTCTAAAACCAACCAAGATCTCTTTTCCTTCGAATAGGAGTGTTAATTGGTGCTGGAGTTGACGAATTTTCCCTAAAAGACAAAAAATAATGCTCCCAATAAATACTGAAGTTGGATCGTGTAAACATACCCTGCGTATACAGGATGTTTCAGATTTTAGTGGTCGGACTCGAAATATAAAGTAATTTTTCAAGAAATATATATGTATCTCTATTTTCTTAATTTAATTCGATGCTAAAGAAGTATGTCTGTCTCCAACGAGGAGACAAGCATTACATATATCGATAACAGAATTAATAAACGTATTACTCGATCATGGAAACAGAGGCATTTCGATGTTATTAATTTCTAAGTCTTGTAATTTTAGAAGACAATATCTTTTAAACAAGGAGTTTGCAGGCATAATTCCAGAGGAGAAATGAATTTTTTTTTTATGGCGCTATATTCATATTTCAGATCTGACCACTTAAATCTGAAACAGCCTCTACATTAAATTCAGGATAGAGTAGTAGGGGTTTCGTGAAACGAGGTTTGGGAACGTGATCATATTCACCTTCTCCTCTCTTGAAGGTCAGAAGAACATTATTTGAATTTGTTCTAGACTTGCAAACAAGTTGCAGTTTTCTTTTTGCCAATAGCTTACGGAAATTATTCTATTGTGAAACCATGGGTCGTAAATTCTTTGTTGGTGGTAATTGGAAGATGAACGGTACCAAAAGTGAAATAGATGGTATCGTAGCGTTTCTAAAAACCGGACCGCTCGATCCAAATGTCGGTACGTTTCATCGATACATTTTAATGTTTTATTATTCGTATTTTCCAATTTTCCAACAACGTCAAACTACGTGTTGTTAGACAGTGTTTGACAATTCTTATTCTCAAAGAAACGTACATCAAAATACTCAAATATTAATTATACTTTTATGTTAACAGAGGTTGTTGTCGGTGTACCATCAATATATTTGACTTACGCAAAAAGCATATTACCTAGCAATGTTAGTATCAGCGGACAAAATTCATACAAGGTTGCAAAAGGAGCGTTTACTGGAGAAATTAGCCCTGCTATGCTTTTAGATAATGGAATCCCATGGGTAATTCTTGGCCATTCAGAACGTAGAAATGTGTTCAATGAAACAGATGAATTGGTCGCGGACAAGGTAGCTCATGCTTTGGAAGCTGGAGTGAAGGTATCTACTATTTCTATTTAACCAATTTTTTTATTGAAATATGTTTGTGGAAATTATTAAAAATATTGTTTGTACCAAGGTGATCGCATGCATCGGTGAAAAATTAGAAGAACGCGAAGCTGGAAAAACAGAGGAAGTAGTCTTCAGACAGACTAAAGCTATCTCAGATAAAATCAAGTCATGGGACAATGTAGTCGTTGCCTATGAACCAGTATGGGCAATTGGAACAGGCAAAACAGCCACTCCTCAACAAGCTCAAGAAGTGCACGAGAAACTAAGAGAATGGTTTAGTAAAAATGTGAATGCAACTGTTGCAGAAACTGTTAGGATTATATACGGAGGATCAGTAACAGCAGACAATGCAAAAGATTTAGCGAGAGAAAAAGACATAGACGGATTCTTAGTTGGAGGAGCATCTTTGAAACCTGACTTTGTAAAAATTGTTAATGCAAAACAGTAAGATGTTATTTATTCACTGATTAATAAAACAGAAAAATATTATTTGGTCATCAATTGATACACGTTGGGAACGTGTATTTTTAAAAGTAAAATAAAGTATTAAACTTATATTTTCCTTGTTATTTAAATAGAAATATATCTAAGTCATGTTGTCGGAATGAAAAGTTACTTTGAAATTGATAATAAACTGCATTGTATTATGTTCTGTTTTTCTTTCTACGAATATACATTTCCTACAAACATAGAAACACGAACGGCACAATAAATGTTACAACAAAGCGCAAATTTTATTGTTTTGTAATTGTTTTTTTTAATGTTGTTCATCGACTAATCCTTTGACTACAACACTTTCAGGCATGGGAGTATCGGAAACTTCTTTGAGTCCTCCCAGTTTTGCCTTTGCGCAGGCAATATTAGATAAACACTTAAATGTCCGTGGTTCCCAGATAGCCAAAGTCGCTAATGATTTACGATTAAGTAAAATGTTACATCTACTCAACCCTTCCAAAAATGGCCTCAAACTAATACCGTGTTCATTTGTAGCGGCATCTATCCTAGTTTCCCAAAGCTACAAGCAAGCAATTAATTATACAACGAAGAAAACAACAACCGTGTAAGAGATAAAATTATTTTGTACTTCTTTCATATCTTGTTTTTTAAGCTGCCTTCCCACAGTAGATTTTAACAATGCTCTCTGGACATTTTTTATGGCTATGCTGTAACAGTTCCTTCTCCGTCCAATGTAATGCTGAAAATTAAATTTTATAAAGAAACATATAATTCGTTCCTTTGTACGCTACCCCTGAATAAATTTATTTACCGCGGCGAGCTTAAATATTTGTCGCTTTCGCCAGAATTCGTCAGGACCTCGACATCTCCCAAACAATTGAGCACTTAAAAACACCATTCTTCTAGATTCGAATAAGAAACGAGAACAGAATAAATACTTTTTTCTATTTCAATTTTCCCAGGAAAGGATTCTAACCTAAAGATTCACGTAGAATTACGTAGATGGAATTAAAAGATACAGCAAAAACTAGGCAATTTACAACTGTACTCTAAAAACGTGTATGGTGAACTTGAACGAATTGCTTTATTTACGAAAAAACTATTCTTTTACTCGGTATAATCCTCAATTGTATATAGCTATACACAAAATTGAGTGTATGGTGTATACGGCGTATGTTGATAATGCAAAAGAGCGGAAAAATTAATTTTGATCCACACAATTAAGCGTGAAAAAAACAATATACATTTTATTTAGACATATTAATAGATAATTCGCGAAATAACTTTTAAATAAAATTAACCATTCCTTTTTATTTAACAAAAAATACAATAATATACTTATTTTAGTGTCACAAAATCTTAATTAATTTTATTTAAAAATTTTAAGTAATTGCTCATTCTCTTTTTATAAAAAAAAAAACGACATGAAGTTTTGCATTGTAGTTCACGCCTTAATAAAGTGACCTTGTACAATCTAAAGTATTTTATGATTGTGTTAAATACATAATTTTGTAGGAACATAAATAATTTTAAAATCAGATATGTAAGACTTAGTTTAAAAGAACGAATATCCCTAGACGTGACAGATATCAATTTATATTTTAAATCATTATCTTGTATTTCTAAGATTAAATAAAATTTTGTACTCGCGCGTTGACTTTTGTATCGCTTTGTACTGAAATTTCAACATGAAAAATAAACAAAGGTAAAGGGAACTTAAAAATCCAATTGAATGTTAGTTTATATTACTCAAGTTATGTTAAACCCATTGATTTACAATGCAGAGATCAAATATGTTGAGAATGTTTTCACAGAAATATAATATGCGCTGTTATTTTTATGTTTTTATACACCTGTATCGAAAGAAACAATATTTGAAACCAAATTTAATGCCCTTTTTTACATATCTATCTTTTTAACGAATTCTCAAGTCTCGAGTAATATGAAAATACAAACGTGAGTGTTAGTAGGTACAGGTTAAACTGTATTCCTATAACATACCAAGATTTTAATTTTTAATAGGTCAAAAGTAACCAAAAAGGTTGAAGAGATGGAAGATTTAGAGGATATAAATATGAACGAAGTTACAGATTCTGAAGAAGAATTATCAGAAACTGAACAGAAATTACTTCAAAAAGTACGAGCCAGGCATTCTTCTGAAAGTTACGATAGCGAATATGAGATTTATGGGTTACGTGACAAGGATCAAGATGATATCGAGGATGAAACGGAAGCTGACTCCATGGAGTCCGATATTGAAGGATTGCAAGGAGATTTAGATTTACCGAATGAAAAAGCTTGGGGCAAAAACAAGAGAGCTTATTATTCTACGGATTATGTAGATCCTGATTATTCTACTGTCAGCCAAAAAGATTTAGCAGAAGCAGAAATAGAAGAAGAAGAAGCTAAAAGTATTCAAAAAAGGTTGGCAGAGCAACTAGATGATGTTGATTTTGGATTAGATTTCATAGAACCACAAGAAGATAATAAAGAAAAGATTTATGAAAAAACAGAACAGTTTGTAAAGACCGATCTGAGTAAGCTTAGTAAAAGGCAGAAACAAGCATTAATGCAAAGAGAAAATCCTGAATTTATGGCACTTGTAAATGATTTTAAAGGTACATATACAATATTATTAAAAAATACTCAGTTTTTGTATTTTTAATGTAATTTAAATTTAATTTATGATCTAGATCGTATGATAGAAGCAAGAGACGTGTTGGCACCATTTTTGAAGTTAGTTAAAAACGGTATAATACCAAACTGTCCCGCAATCGCTTTTGTAAAAACCAAGTATCATCTTTTATTGAACTACTGTATCAATATTTCGTTTTATTTGATGCTCAAGGCCAAAAGGTCGCCTGTAAATTCTCATCCAGTTATAAAACGTTTGGCACAGTATCGTCAGTTATTAAATCAATTGGAATCAGGACAAGGTAACTTAATACAAGAGATACAAGAATTATTAAAAGCGAAGAGGCAAGGTAAACCGTTATACAACATACTTGATGGGAGCAATGTAAACAGTAATGGGAAAAAGATAACTAGTTCCTTGAAAGAGAAATTGAATCATCTAAGAAAACCTGCAAGAGAAGCTATAAATAATCAATCGACCAAACCTGAAAGTGTGTCCGAAGCTGAATCTAACATAGAAGACAATGAATTTTCGGTCGAGGAGGATCTGAAAAACGATATATCCATAGACAAAGATCAGGAAGAAGGAGATATTAATACAGGAGATTCTATAACCGAAAGTAGCGAGAAAAGAGCAATTACTTACCAAATAGCAAAGAACAAAGGTTTAACACCGCATCGTAAAAAAGAACAACGTAATCCCAGGGTCAAACATAGGAATAAATATCGTAAAGCTAAAATTCGTAGGAAGGGAGCGGTATGTATATATATATCTTTAGTTCATACTGTGAATCACAATTATGATAGATATTTAAAAATAAATACTGATTTTTTATTTTACAGATAAGAGAAGTGAGAAAAGAAATCACTCGCTACACCGGAGAAATATCCGGCATTAAAGCCAGTGTAAAGAAAAGTATTAAATTAAAATAAAGCTGTAAAAACTGAGCAATTTTGAAATATAGCAGATATTAAAATCTATAGAATTAGTTTATTTTCTATCAACGCATATATTTCCGTTTTACATGCCAAATATAAATGTAGATTCATCGAACGACTGTATTTTAATTTTGTCAGTATCAATAGGTTTTATTCTATTTTTAGTAGATACAAAGTAACAAGATCAGAGAAAAATATAACAAGAAATAATATGTAGAGTGATAATTATATAAATGTAATGAATAAATGATTTATTTTTTTTTCATACGTACGAGGTCGTAACACTTACATGTAGATATCAAATTCACGAAGGAACAAAGTAATTCTATAGTGTAACGATGAACGCAGCTATATTAATTTCGATATCACTGTTTCTTATCTCTGCATTATTCAGAAAACAATTTGTTGTATTTGAAAAAATTAAAAATACAAATTTAATAAAATCTTATACTTCTAATTTTGCCAATATATCCGTTTCACGGAATAAATGGAACTCTTTGTTGTCTTCGAGTTCTACTTTAGTTCCACCGTATTCTGGCAGTAAAACGGTATCGCCAATTTTAATGCTTAAAGGAACATGTTCCCCTTTCTACGTAAATATTAATCGTTACTTTAATTCCTTTACCGTTGGATTCATAACTTTTATAATTGTTAAATGTTTCGATACATCGTTTCGTTGTCCAGGTCCTACCGCCACAACCGTTCCCTGCAAAACTTTTGCTTGCGCTTTCTCTGGTAAAACAATACCACCTTTCGTTTTTGTTACAGCTTCGGCTCTCTGTATAAGAACTCTATCAAACAGGGGTACAAGTCTCTTAATAGCACTAGTCGCAGCCTAAAAATATTAAACAGATAATACACGAAGAAGCTCGTCCGAACACACACAGTGAAAACAATTACTTTAAGACGATGCATGATGCAAACTTTCGTAATACACAGAAAACTAGAAAGATCTTAAAACAAATGTTAATCGAAACGTAATTCTACGAAGTTAATTTATTAACAGTGTCAGAACAGAATTTTTAATATTGAATCATATAAGTAAATGACCAAACTGTACCATTATACGAATTCTTTTATTTTATCGAGTTTCATAAGCATTTGTTTTCATCGTTAACAAAAACCGTTCGATACCGGCCACGCGGTAACATATTCAAAGCACGGTATTATTCGAATTGTTATACGGAACAAAACAACAATGTATTATATATTCTTTTAATTTTATCTACATTTGCATCTATCAAGTATATTTCTTCAGTTACAGTACTTTTTTTGTAAAAGATGTATCTACCATTTTACTGATTTGAAGGTTATCTTCGAAAAGACGTACAAAACGAGACGAACTGATCTATTATTTTGAATATAAAAGTACCGATAATGAATTCAAGATGTTATGAATTTGTTAACTCTCACCATTGTTAAAATAACGTATTTTTAAATTCACAAATCCTAAACAATTCACCCGGCAACCACTCTAAAACACGTTGTATAATCTACACGGCGGTCGGCGAATGCAAGTAACTTCTTCGATTCTCTCGAAACTTCCACTCTCCCCCCTATCTTGTTCTTTGCCCCCCCCCACCAACTTTTATTGATTTCGCGCTGAACAGCACGAACTGCTGTTACGTAATTATAGACGTTAGATTTAGAGGAGTAGAAATTCTGTCGCGAGATAGCGCTCGCATGCGTTTGATCCCGTGACATGCTGGAAATCGCCCCAGTATAGTAATAAAAAGGAGTAAAAATAAGTATCGTACGCTCCTTTGTTTTACTGGTTTAGGAAATCGTATATCAATTTTTGACAACGAAAGAAAATGAATAAAGTAAACTCTGAGAGCTCTTTCATACGATGATACTTGTATGATTGGATACCAATCGACATGTAAATTAAATAGGAACGTTCAGACGACGATTTTCGTGGTCCACACTAGCAAGAAGAATCCATTAGTATGAAAATCGCTTTTAGAGTAAGAATCTGGGTATGATTTATAGTACTGGTAGAAATTTCAATAGCTGGTAACATATTAATTAAAAGTTAATTTAAAGTCACGTAATGAATATTGTTTACTATAGTGTGAAGATCACGTTTATCAAATTATTTATGCAAAAAAATAATGAAGATACGATAAAGGTCAAAGGACCATTGCAAGAGATTCAACGTGCGTTCATCTAGATTTCTGAAACGAGTGTGAGTGGAAGTTGTTCTCGAAAAATACATTAAAAGCGTGTTATTTTAACGGGGAACCCCCTTCTTCTTTATCGATATACTTCAAACTGTTTAGAATTATTTACAAATCGGTTAAATCATTACTTTATACCGATTTGAAGGTTGAGAAACACTGATTTAAAAATGAATCCGCCGGCTATCAACGAATGAACATGATTGGCGAACGCTAGGTGATTGCATCATATGCGTTCTCGTACATTCTAGAAACTCGTAATTCTCTAGAATAAAACGGCACATTGATAAAACCGATGCATCGAGTGCCAATAAAAAATAAAATGATGATTAATTACAAGGCGGTCGTTTTATATATACTCGATTTATTTAAAATTTAGTGATAATTTTTGTATTTGATCGAAGTAGGAGGATTAGGTTAGAGTCCAAGAAAAGGGAGGGGAAGGCTCCGCTCCATGTGATAGCGCAAGCTCTTTCACACATCTCATTCTACCGACCAGCCAACGTACGGTTACGCTGCGACGATTTTCAATTACTTTTATAACTTTGATCTCTTAACCAACGACTTTTCTTCTTCCGTTAAACAAAGGTAAAATTCTTTTTTTGGTAAAACTATCGTTGCGTGATACGCGAGAAGTGCAAACTTATTTCTCGACAATATTTAATCGGTTAACCGTTTTCCAAGTAATTAATTTCGCCGATAACCGATTTATACATTTATTTCTTTCTTCGTTTTCTGTTAATTGACTTTGTGGTCGCGATAATTTGTTTAATTTTGTGTTGTCGGTGATTTGAAAGCATTTATATATTTACGTGGATGTTACACGTTTTCAAAAAGGTAGTCGAGAATACGCGATTGAAGTAGACGAAATTTAATATTTGTGCATGTGATCGAGATTCCTTTCGACTGTTATAACTTTTTAAAATTATTCCTATTCTTTGTACGTAATAATATATAATTTTTTATTGTTCGAGGCGAATACGCCGGCAGAGTCATTGTGCACGCGATAATATATTGTAATTCGTAATATCGAATAAAGGAAAAGAGAAAGAAAAAGAGAATGGAGAGAAAGCGAAAAAATAAAGATTGTTAATTGTATATAATCTGTTGCGAACAATTTTCATAGTTCTTGAGATAATTTACATGCGGGATAGGATACGTCGATGGTCATCCACGCGGTAGTTTACATAACCACGTTTTCTTTTAAAAAGCAATAGCACTTTTAGTTCGTTTGAATTATTCATATTATAAAAAAGTAATATCTTTTCGAAGTACAAATTGTTAAATTTTCTTTCGTTAAAATAGAAAATTTAATTGTTATAACATATTACTTTCACGATATGTATACTTCATATATATTTCGTAAAATTGAAAATTTCATTTACAAATGTAACAATAAAAGAAAATTTGTTTAGATGCACAGATTACCGACTGTATTGCGTAGTACAGCTTTGCGCCAATTACAATTTCGTGCCTATGCCAAGGATGTACGGTTCGGTGCGGAAGTTAGGGCACTTATGCTGCAAGGAGTGGACATTTTAGCAGATGCTGTAGCGGTAACAATGGGTCCAAAGGGGCGTAATGTTATTTTGGAACAAAGTTGGGGCAGCCCGAAAATTACTAAAGACGGGGTCACAGTGGCCAAGGGTGTAGAGTTAAAGGATAAGTTTCAGAATATCGGAGCAAAGTTGGTACAAGATGTAGCTAATAATACTAATGAGGAAGCTGGCGATGGAACGACTACGGCTACAGTCTTAGCAAGAGCCATTGCTAAAGAAGGCTTTGAAAAAATTAGCAAAGGTGCCAATCCTGTAGAAATCAGAAGAGGTAAGCGAAGATATTAATAACTACATGATAAAATTCTTACTGGATCAATGGGTATGTTACAGGTGTTATGTTAGCAGTTGATAAGGTTAAAGACGAACTGAAAGCCCTAAGTAAACCGGTAACAACTCCCGAGGAAATTGCTCAAGTAGCAACTATTTCTGCTAATGGAGACAAAGCCATTGGTAATCTTATTTCAGATGCCATGAAAAAAGTTGGGAAAGAAGGTGTAATCACAGTAAAGGATGGAAAAACTATGCACGATGAATTAGAAGTGATAGAAGGAATGAAATTCGACAGAGGCTACATATCTCCATACTTTATAAATTCTAGTAAAGGAGCAAAAGTTGAATTTCAAGACGCGCTTTTACTTTTTAGCGAAAAGAAAATATCGTCCGTACAGTCTATAATTCCAGCATTGGAATTGGCAAATTCCCAACGAAAACCGCTCGTCATTGTGGCCGAAGATATCGACGGCGAAGCACTGTCGACACTGGTGGTCAACAGATTGAAAATTGGGTTACAGGTAGCTGCGGTTAAGGCACCTGGTTTCGGAGACAATAGAAAGGCAACGCTTCAAGATATGGCAATTTTGACGGGAGGAATCGTGTTCGGAGATGATGCGAATCTTGTCAAATTGGAGAATATACAATTGTGCGATTTGGGCGAAGTAGGAGAGGTTGTAATTACGAAGGACGATACGCTTTTCCTTAAAGGCAAAGGAAAAAAGAATGACGTCGATCACCGAGCGGATGTAATTCGAGATCAAATTTCAAATACAACTTCCGACTATGAGAAGGAAAAGTTGCAAGAACGTTTGGCAAGATTAGCATCAGGAGTTGCAGTTTTAAGAGTCGGTGGGAGCAGTGAAGTAGAGGTTAATGAGAAGAAGGATCGCGTCAACGATGCTCTTAATGCTACTCGTGCTGCCGTTGAAGAAGGCATTGTTCCGGGAGGTAAATATGAACAGTTTATTAAATTACAATAATCTACGCGTAACTTTCATCATTGAGTCCGAAATCTTTGGAAAGTTAACACTTGGACGTTGGACCGTCGGGCGACACTCACGTAAAATCTATTGTCACTATTACACCTTCACTATCTATCAGCCCGTGAAAAACGTCGTTATTTTCTGACGAGTGTTCTTCGTAATGTTATGGAATAATTGCAAAACGTTATAACACGGTCAAATAACGATGATCTAAATGCGACTTAACCTTCGAGTGTTTCACAGAATAGTACAGAGAAATGTGTCCTCTGAGCCCTGTTCCTTTCGTTATCGCTCGAACGTAAATACAAAGCAGGACAAGTATCGAAGAAGCGAGCGCTTATGTTTAGAGTGGGGGTCGAGCGGACCCGAGCGTTAACTATGCATTACTATAAATTGTTTTTAACTTGATGCTTTCATGTTCTAGGCGGAACTGCCCTTTTGAGATGCATCCCTGCCCTTCGAAAAATGAAAGCGTCGAATAGTGATCAAGAAACGGGAATTAAAATAGTGGCAAACGCTTTACGTATGCCATGTTTACAGATTGCTCAAAACGCGGGCGTGGACGCTAGTGTGGTAGTAGCAAAAGTTAGTGAAAGTAATCTTGGTTACGATGCACTAAATGATGAATATGTCGACATGATCGAGAAGGGTATCCTTGATCCAACAAAGGTAGTGCGTACGGCGCTTACCGATGCCGCGGGTGTTGCATCCTTGCTTACGACCGCGGAAGCGGTAGTTACCGAATTGCCTAAAGAAGAAACACAAATGCCAATGGGTGGCGGTATGGGCGGTATGGGCGGTATGGGTGGTATGGGAGGTATGGGCGGTATGGGCATGTAATTAAGTGAAGTCCCATGCAAAGACTGAATTTCATATTGTAATTAATGTTTGGTAAGAATTGCAATTCAGTTGCAATATTATTTCTCTTGTTACAAATTCCGATTGGAACTGCAAGTAATACGATCTATCCTTTTTCCAATCGCGAACCAGAAGAACCGAACGCGTTTAAGGCAATTGTACTTTCAAGCAGCAGATAAAGACACAGAAAACAAGTTTATTGCCTACATGTTGTAATATTTGTTTTTGTTTTGCATTTGTAAGCATTATTGTTTTATTAGAAACATAGATGATTCAACAAAAATTCAATTTTTTATTCTAACAAACATGCATATTTGTTTTAATGGTTAAGTCCTTGTTATGAAAGATGCGTTTAATGTTGGAAAAATGATCGGATCGATTTCGAAGTAAAGCCATTCATTCGTGTTAACGACAGAATATTTATCAAATCATTCATAAAAAGTACATTTTTTCCACTTTACCGTTGAAAACTTCTTACCGGAAATAAAATTATATTTGTTCATGAATTAGAAAAAAAGTTTGGAACAAAGATAATACTTTTTAATGCATTTCATATAATTTCTCATCCGTGTGGATGTGTTAGAATGAAAGTGTACAAACGTGTGTATTACAATAGGATAAAAACGCAAGTTATCTTATACTTTTTTTAAATGTTACAATTTATTTTCCATTTTTTAGTCTCAATAAATGTATGTTTAAATTATGTCGTAGTTCTTGTTTTTTTAAAAAATTCTCCTCTATTAAGAAAATGTTATTGTATTTCCTTTATAAAATTTAATGAGCCAGAAGGGTCGTGATCGCAAAATAAGTATTAAAATTATAAAAAGTATAACGTAAATTTCAATTATTACAATAAGATAATAATTGATTTTTATTTGTGCAACGTTTAATCAAACTAAATCGTTATGCAATTAATAATATAAAATTCCCTTATAAATGAAAAATTCAAGTAATTGTTTTTCAACAACAGCATTTAATATTCCGTAAAATTGCTACGTTAAATTTGAATAGAGTCCGATCTATTGTTTCATGTGTCTTGTCGTAATATTTTGTTTAAATTATATAAAGTATGCAATATATATATTTATGCAATAGTTACGATTTATCCGTTTCAACGTAAATTAAACGTAATAGTCAAAAAATAATGCACGAAATAATCTAATATGGCGAAACGATCTCTTTTTATAAAAGTTCAATAGACTATATAAATCATAATCGAATTGAGGCAAGGACGCTACAACATTTCCTTGTACAAAAGTCACTTTATCATATAACATACAAAAATATTCTTTTATTTTTTATACTCTGTGAATTCTGTGATATTCCTGATCCAATCGCAATATCAAATAAATTGATGGTATAAAATCATGAAAAAAAAAAAAAATCAAAAATAACATTTATCGGTAATATATGTATGCTATTGGAAAAGAAATACAAAGAATTGGTATTAAGAATACAAAGATCTATTCTTTTCGGAAGTATTACAATACACCTACGTACGTTAAACGTTTAAAGCATAATTATATTTCTTACGCGTTAATCTAAGCTCCAATTTTTTCTATTTCATCTGCGTCATCCGCATCGAGATATTGTATTTTCTTTCCAAAATGTTTCTCTATATCTTTACATAATTCCATTGCGTGCGGTGAATCTATCAAATTGATAGCAATTCCAGATTTACCAAATCGTCCGGTTCGACCGATTCTGTGCAAGTATGTTTCACAATCTGCTTGCCGGTTTTGGTCCATTGGTAAATCGAAATTCACTACTATCGTCACTTGTTCAACATCAATGCCTATAAATTATAAATTTTCATCATCTATATTTTTTCAAATATTATTAAAATGTTTAAATGTTATATAAACATTTAATAATAATTACCCCTTGCTAAGACATTTGTCGTTATAAGAACTTTTTCGAGACCAGCTCTAAACCGATCCAAAACAGATATTCTTTGTTCTACCGTTAATTCCCCAGATAAAACGGCTACTGCGTGACCATCTTTCGTCATTTTCTCAGCTAACCAGTTAGCTGTTTTTCTCGTCTACACGTAGTTACGAACTTTATAATTTTTAAGCAAATAAAATGTTGTATTAACGTTGAAATTTGAAGTATCTTACATGACAAAAAATGATCGCTTGTCCTATTGTTATTACACCATAAATGTTAGTAATAGCTGTATATTTTTCATCCAAGTCCTTGCACTTGACATAGTATTGCTTAATGTTATCTAAGCTTTCCTCTTCTTTCAATAATCTTATTATCAAAGGATTATTAACTATAATTTCTGCAAATTTCATGACTTCTGGCTCATAAGTGGCAGAGAAGAACATCATTTGACACGTGCGCGGAAGTTGCCTGTGTGTATACAAATGTAAGAAACGTATATACATAAATAACTTCTAACATCATATGAAAATCTTTTCGTGTTTTTGTACAGTAAAATAATTACTTATGAATACGAATACACTGATCTTGATGACCTTGCGTTGCGATCATTATATCGGCTTCGTCTAGAACAAAAACAGATATTTTGTTCAAACTAAAAAACTTGAATTTAACAGCCCAGTCCAAGACTTTTCCAGGTGTTCCTATGATGATGTGTTCCGTGATTTTCGATCCGCGACTTACTGAAATAATTAAGAAATTAAGATAAATGCCTCTTCCACGAGACACTACTCTTAAAAAAAAAGAAAGAAAGAAAGTTAATAGTGTACATTACTTTCTTCTCCTCTAACAGCATATTTTATTTTAATTTCATTGCAAAATGCAGACATTTTTGCTGCTACTTCCCCCGTTTGTATGGCTAATTCATACGTTGGCGATAAACAAAGTACTTGAGGGTAATTTTTAGTGGTATCAACTCTGCTAAGCATTGCCAAAACAAATGCTGCTGTTTTACCGGTTCCAGATTGTGACTGAGCAATCATATTTTGAGGTCTATAAATGATTATTGTATTTCATATTTGTTGGAGAGATTTTATAAAATGCTCTTTATAGAAAAAGCAAACTTACGGGTCGGCGAGCAAAGTTGGTAACGCAGTTTCTTGAATTTTGGACGGAGCATTGAACCCCATAGCATATACACCTTTTAATAAAGCTGGTTTACTAAAACGTGCATTACAAATTACATCTTTTCGAATTCTAAAAATAAACGAGAATTAAGAATAAAAAATACCAACAGATGAAGAGCTTCGAAAGATTTGACACTGTATAAAGGCGAAGATGGGTCTATCCTTTGGATTTTTAAATCCTTTGTTGTTTCCACCAAACCCTTGCGTAAAATTTTTTGTAGTAATGATTTTTCCGCGGGCGAGATCTCGTCCGTTCCATCGTCGCTCTTGGAGTCTGTACTGCCTGTTGTGCTTTCCTTTTGTTGTTTCTCTATGTTTAAGTTGGCCACCTATCGACGATCATTGATAAAAATATCAAGTACCGTGTTTCATTAATTAATCGAACGTTAATGCATCAACGATCGTCTTTGAAAATACCTCGTAGCGGAAGGGACGAAGTCAAGACGTTTATTTATTGTACGATACATTTGAACTGTTATTTAATCTAATCATTGTATGTACGTAGACAATGTATTAGGTCGTCCCATATGTTCGTGCCGAGTTTTCTACTGCAACTCGAAGTAATATATTAAACATATGATGGAATTTTATGAAAAATAGTAAACCTCTTCTCGTTCAAAAACTCCTTCCCCTTCTTTTGGCAAAGCCATTGCATCGTCGCTCGAAAACTTGCTGGACATTTTATTCAAATTTAGTTTAACGCTTTTCATTGAAACGTTTACATTTTCCAATTGTTTATCCACTAATAAGCCTGGAGATTGTTATATCTTATGTCTTATAAGATTCGGTTTTATTATATGATAACAGAAATATTTACTCAACCAGGCTCTACCACGGATTAAGAAAATTTTGTTCCATAAGCTGGTGTGGATTCCAAACTTCGAACATTGACACAATATCTATTTGTTTGAAATTTCTATGAATTGTTGATGTTGCTATGTTTGAAATTTCAGAAATCACCTCAACTGACAAATTTTCTTTGTTTTTTATTAGATTACAAATTTTATCCCCATCAATTTCAGAATATTGAACGGCACGAACTTATGGGACGACCTAATACAAGTGTGCAATATAAATTAAACAAAAAGGACTTTTGTTTTCGACGACAAATAGGTTAAGCCGGTGTCATAGATGCACGCAATAGAAATATTACCTTTGCGGATAGCTTTTCCTGCTCGTCCACATATTTTCCCCAGTCGAGTTTAGCCGAAGCCATACTAACATTGATACACTTAGGATACTTCACAAAGATAATTTAACTTTCAATAAGAACAGCAAATTGACAAAAACTCACTGTTTTTGTGAAGTATGGTTGAATACTCGGGCTAATGTGTCAACTTTAACGAAAATGCTATGGGCGCCATCCACTGCCATCTATTTGATAGATAGAAGATCAATCCTTTTCCCCACTTTTCCCTTACATTCGATATTACTTCGGTATCCAACAGTACCCGACAAGAATCTAAAGATATCTCTGTGATTGCGATTAATGTTTAATAGACTGTTACATCTGTGGTTTATTGCAAAATCGGTAACTCGTTTTATTCGATTTTAAACGATTATTTTTCTCTAGATTCGAACGATCGTTTGAATTTATGACCTGCATAAAATCTTCGTCGTTCAAATTTGAAATAATCTTGTACGAGAGCTCGTGGTTTTTTGAAATCATTTACGTTCTAAGCTCGTAACGAATGTGAATCGGTTCGCGTCACCGTAGGTATTTTTTTTATTTCCAGTCATCGAAAGTCACGACTGAAAAATTCTTCGTAAAATTTTTTTTATGAATTATGAAACACCAGTTCCATTCCGTTTAGTTTTATTTTTGTGTTGTCTTCGGTATAATTTATAGACATCAAAGTTTCAAAACGATTTTTGAAAGCATATGCTACGAGACACTGGTAGGTAGTTGAAGTAACGGATGAATCGAAGGGAAACAAGTTAACCATATATTTGGCTTTTTTGTGTTTTTTTGTTCACGTCGTAAACGTGGAAAGTAGCTTCGAAGGGGACGCACGAAGTCGAAGAAATTATGGCCACATGGGATGGTTCTTATTCAGGACCGAACGATCAAAATTACGTGTACCCTGATCAAAATACTCCAGGCACTGCTGCAGGAAACTGGACGTATTTTTCGAACAATTTAAACAACGATTATCTGCAAACTAATCGCGAATTCTACGTGCAAAACAATTCCGTGTACGAGCAAAATTGCCCGAACACGTTCTATCGTTCGGACGCGAACGTTGTGCCAAATCTGTTGTCCCAGACTAACAATTATCAGGAGCATTTGACAAACGCTGTAGACAATTCTCAAATATCGAATAATCTCGAATATTTTCCGACCGTCGTCAAGTCCGAACAATATTTTGTACCCGTCGATTGTTGGAGCAATAATTACGATATAAAAACATCAAAGAGCAAAGGTAATTTTGCGAAAGGAGTTAAAGAAACTGTGCCCAACGTAACCAAACAGTCAAATTTGCATGCAACGGCCGAAGAGTTTGTGCCAAATCATGTTAAACCGGATGACGAGAAGCACGAATCGAAGAATGTAAATGTTCCTTGTTCGGCCATTCAAGCGGATTCTTATATCAAGGATACCAAACTTGCTCTTAGAACATCAGATAAATACACCTTTGGTGATGTAAATAAATATGAAAGAAAGTATGATAAAAGAAATGTAAATTATAAGCCCAAAGAAGGACAAGATCAGTTTTATAAAAGAAACACGTATAAAAATTCTTATCAGCAACAAGGTAGGGCTTCTCATAAATTTCAAGGTAATAAGTACTTTGCCGATAAACATTATTCAGATAAATCGCAAGTAAATGCAAAAGACATAGGTGCTAACGTGTCGGGTAGAAATACAATAAACGGTAATAGTTCTTGTAATTATAAAGAAGCTTCTGCGATAAATTTAAACGAGAGAGAAGCCTCTTCGAGTATGAATGTAAATTCGCATAAAAATAAAAGATCATTAAATGATGGCAGCGATAAAGGAAATACCATTACCAAAGATGAGAATGCAGAATCCAATGGAACGAAACAGTCCAATAATCGAGTCAAGGAATTTACCTATTATAACTCTGGTTCCATGCAATTGCATAATCCTCATAGAAATACAAAGAAATATCCATACAATGCTAGGCATAATAACAGAGAAGAGCACAGTTACAAAGAGAAGAAGCGCAATTATCAGGGGCATAATGTAATTTGGGATAACCATAGCAAAGAAAATAAACCTGGTGCGAAAGAACAAATGTACAGTCACGAGGAATCTAACGAGTTTAGAAAATGTTCGAACGAGGAAGCCAGACTTAGAACAAAGGAAGTTAAGGAAAGGGGGTACAATTACCAAGGATATGTCGGATATAGGGAATACAATAAAGGTGATAAAACTGAAGTTTCCAGAGAGAAAGATAGAAATAAAAGTTATACATTTGAAAGTAAAGAAAAGGGAAATGAAAATTGGAGATATAAAAGAGAAATTAATGAAAAGAGTAGTCTTCAAAAGCGGGAACAGAATAAGAGACCTTCGATCGGTACGTGCATAATTCAAATGAAGTTAATTATATTATTTTTTTATAATAATAATTATATTATTTTGCTATTTAGACGACGTTGCGAGTCAAAGGGAAAGATTGACGGATCAACTGAATAAAGGGCAACTAGAATGTCTAGTGTGTTGCGAAAACATGAAACAGAACGATTACATTTGGTCATGTTCCAACTGCTATCATGTCTTACATTTGAAATGTATTAAAAAGTGGGCAAAATCATCACAAGGAGGTAGGTGGGAATAGAAAGGACATTTTAATATTTTACTTGCCGGGAATCGTAAATAATCGTTCGCATCGTTTTAGAAAATGGCTGGAGATGTCCAGCGTGTCAAAACGTGAGCTTAACAGTTCCCGAAGAATATTACTGCTTTTGCGGCAAGACAAGAGCACCCGAATGGAATCGTCGTGATATTGCACATTCTTGCGGCGAAGTTTGCGGTAGAATATTATCGAAAAATAGTTGCCCTCATAAGTGTACTCTTCTGTGTCATCCGGGATCGTGTCCACAATGCATAGCAATGGTGACAAGATACTGCGGTTGTAGCAAAACATCGCAAACGGTACAGTGCAGCACGCATAAATTATTGTTTTGCGACTGTATATGTGGCAAGGATTTGAATTGTAGCAGGCATAAATGCGAAGCGAAATGTCATCACGGGGAATGCGTAAACTGTGAAAAGACAATAGAACAAGGTACAAAAATTTTGGTATAATAAATACATACAGATTAATTTCTGTTCAACTTTAATGTAACAGGTTGTGAATTTGATTTTAGAGTGTTACTGTGGCAAAAATAAGAGGGAAGTAACGTGTCAGAAGAACGTTTCTCTTACATACTCTTGCGAAACTGTTTGCGGCAAATTATTGGAGTGTGGTAATCATACTTGTACAAAGTTATGTCACGCGGATGCTTGCGAATCCTGTTCTTTAACCCCGGAGAAAATTACTACCTGCTGTTGCGGGCAAACACCGTTAACAGAGAAAAGACAAACGTGCTTGGATCCGATTCCAGTTTGCAGCAAAATTTGTTCGAAGAGACTGAAGTGTGGCCAACCGAGTGAGTATTTTTAAACTAAGAATGCAACTTATCATGAATATAAATCGAATACATTTTTTTTACAGATAATCCTCATACGTGTAAGGTGAAATGTCATCAGGGAGAGTGTCCCGTTTGCGATTTAACCACCGACGTGAAATGCCGTTGCGGTAATATGGACAGAGAAATTCCGTGCAAAGATTTAACCTCGAAAGCTGACGACGCGCGTTGCGAAAAGAGATGCACGAAAAGAAGATCTTGCGGCAAGCATAAATGTAATCAACTCTGTTGCATAGAAGTAGAACACATTTGCCCTTTGGTGTGTTCGAAAACTTTGAGCTGCGGTAGACATAAATGTGAACAAAGTTGTCATAAAGGTATTACACTGTTATATTAAGTACATTAAGATTTTCAAGTCGCAACGTACAAACACGACTATGTTCGTTAAAGTTTAATATGAAAAGAAAATAAATGGTATATAAATGCAGGAAGATGTCAGCCTTGTTGGCGTAGTAGCTTCGACGAATTGTACTGCGAATGCGGGGCTGCTGTGATATATCCTCCAGTTCCCTGTGGCACGAGACGACCCACTTGCGACAAACCTTGTTCCCGTCAGCATTTCTGCGGACACGAGGTATTGCACAACTGTCACAGCGAGCCAACGTGTCCTCCTTGCACCGTCCTTACACAGAGATGGTGTCACGGCAAACACGAGCTACGGAAAGCCGTGGCGTGTTACGTAAATGAAATCTCGTGTGGTTTACCATGCAACAAACCTATCTCGTGCGGCCGGCACAAATGTATCACCATTTGTCATTGCGGCCCGTGCGAGAAGCCGGGGCAACTATGCTTTCAACCGTGCACCACGCCGAGAGAAATGTGTGGACATAATTGCGCTGCCCCCTGCCACGAGGGTAAATGCCCGGAGACGCCTTGCAAAGAAACGGTGAAGGTAACGAATTTTCTTCAGGGATAAAAGCGGTAAAAAGTGCGATCAATTAATCATATTATTTTTTGTAACAACGAACATCTTGTTCAGGTAACGTGTCAGTGCGGACGTAGGACCATGTCTCGCGTTTGCGCGGAAAATTCGAAAGAATATCAGAGAAAGGCGAGCAGTATGTTGGCTAGTAAAATGGCTGACATGCAACTGGGTCATTCGGTGAATTTGGAGGAAGTTTTTGGTCAGGGGGCAAAGAAACAGAATCAGCTGAAAACGTTGGAATGTAACGAGGAATGTAAAATAATAGAACGTAACAGAAAACTGGCGCAGGGTTTGCAAATTGTGAATTCGGATGTAAGCGGGAAGCTGATGCCCAAGTACAGCGATTTTATGAAACAGTGGGCTAAGAAGGACCTGCATTTTTGTCAAATGGTTCACGAGAAGCTAATAGAATTGGTACAATTGGCAAAAAGCTCGAAACAGAAATCGCGCAGTTATTCGTTCGATAGTATGAACAAAGATAAACGTCGTTTTGTTCACGAGTCCTGTAAGCATTTCGGTTGCGAGAGTCAGGCATACGATCAGGAACCTAACAGAAATGTTGTTGCTACTGCTGTGAAAGATCAGGTACATATAACGATTCTTACCTGTTTTCAATCGTAATAAACCATATTTTTTAAACAATTTGTTACTTAAATAATCGTATTACAGTGCTGGTTGCCCAGCTATAGTCTATTAGACATTGTACAACGAGAGAATGGTCAGAGGAAAGTCCCAGGTCCGATGTTGAACACTTCAAAATCCGATGGACCTGTAAAGTAAGTAGATTCTATGTTAATTATAAATGTAAACACCGACGTTCGTTTAAAATTTGTTATATTTTAGAACGATTCTATCACTGCCTACAAAAAGGAACCAAAATCCGGAAACGCAATCGAAAACGAAGATGTCAGATCCGGAAATAGACTACTTTGATTATCAAGGTTAAGATTATCATGTGTATATCGTGTACAGTGTAATGCGAATAGAACAATTAATACCAGAATTGAGGGAAACGTGCTGCTAAGTATATCTAATTAATTAAATGTTTTAGTAAATCTTATTTGTAAAATATGAATGCTTGTGTAATAACGAATGCAGGTTGTTTAAGTATTTCTTGAAATACAAACGTATTGAAATTGTGAAATTAAGGGTATAACGATGATAGATTAACTTTTTAATTTTAATTTAACGATAATAGTTTCTCTTTAATGCACAAAGTAATCTTTCGTTTCATTAATGTTCCCTAACTTACGATTATCATTTAACCGAGGAAAGAAAAAAAAAAAAAAAAATTAATAAGTGTTTTTGATGTAAACGGTAGAAAGAAGAAAAGTCACTGTAATTATCATGAATGTTTTTTGTTTTAAGGATATTATTATAAGATTATCGAGGCTAATACGAAGCATAGTTGTAATTACGATAACAAACAATGTTCACTGATTTATGACTTCTTGTTGCTTATACATATTTTCTTTTTTATATCTGTTCTCATTTTCATTAATAATTCGATGTATCTACGCTTGTCAGGTACTATGACAATGTGATAAGATGAAAAAAAAAAAACAATAAACACGCATCTATACAATACTATATAGTAATACTATGTCTATTTAATATATCGTTACTATCATTTTATTTAATAGAATTAGAAGTATGTAAAAACATTCCTTATGTTCCTATTAATAAAAAATTAAAATCATAGTACATATTTTCCATAGTTTTTATTTTCATTCCCCTCTACCTATTCCCACGTTTTTACATGTAATTAATAAATTATAAACGATTACTGGAAGCGATATTTATTTAAATATTGCGCAAAAATCTGCAAAGAAACGGTATCGCCATCTAATATCAGGAATTCGAACTGCTGAAATGCATATATATATATGCGAGCTCACGTACGTGAATGACCTATAGTTGTGTGAAAATCTGCAAAGAAACAGTGTCGCCATCTAATATCAGTGTTTCGAAGTCAAAAAATCGTCCCAGGATCACAGAATGTTAGTGGAGGTATCCGGAGTACAGCTACCCCCACTCCTCCTACTCCTGACGCGCAGTACCTTGATTATTCATTAATAACTCCTTTCCTGGGAATAAAATATGAACTTTTAGAATTGAAGAATGTAGTGTAGACCCTTGGCTAGATTCAAGGATAGTTTTTAGAACGATTCCGCCAGTAATTAAGACGTTATTAACGAATATCGGAAGTCGTAACATTTACGGCTGTATCACTGTCTGCTTTAATCGATTAATTATCAATTTTTTAACTATAATACCCATATTTTGGTTATTAGAGAACGAAGTAGACATCCCTGGGAACATTCAAGGACCGATTTTACTACGCTGCTTGTCCTAATTAATTACTTATTAGCGATAGATCCCTATGGTGTCGCGTTAAAATGTTAAAAACAGAGGGCCGACTTCCGATATCGGTTAATAACTATTTAATAACGTGTGGCATGGTTGCAAAAGGTATCCTTGAATCTTCCCAAGGGTCTATACTATATTCTTAAACTCTAAAAGTTGATAATTTAATCCCAGGAAAGGCGTAATTAATAAATTACGAGCAGTGAGTCATTGAAAGCAGTTATTTCTACTGTGGCGCCACCAGTGGCGAAAACAACGAACTATGTGTTTCTCGGCTTGTAATGAACTTATTGCTCGTTAATTTACTAATTACGCCTTTTCTGGGAATAAATTGTGAACTTTTAGAGTTTAAGAATATAGTATAGACCCTTGGGAAGAATCAAGGATAGTTTTTAGAACCATGCCATGCCTTATTAAATAGTTATTAACGAATATCGGAGGTCGGGTCACGGTTTTTAACCTTTTAACGCGACATCTTGGTGATTTATTGCTAATAACTAATTAATTAGAGCAAGGAGCGTACTAAAATCGGTGCTTGAATGTTGCCAAGGATGTCTACTTAGTTCTCTGATAGCCAAAATATGGGTATTATAATTGAAAAATTGATAATTAATCGATTAAAGCAGACAGCGACACAGCCGTAAATGTTACGACTTCCGATATTCGTTAATAACGTCTTAATTACGGGCGAAATGATTCTAAAAACTATCCGTGAATGTTGCTAAGGGTTTATACTACATTCTTCAATTCTAAAAGTTCATATTTTAATCCCAGGAAAGGAGTTATTAATGAATAATCAAGGTACTGCGTATCAGGAGTAGGAGGAGTGGGGGTAGCTGTACTCCGGATACCTCCACTAACATTCTGTGATCCTGGGACGATTTTTTGACTTCGAAACACTGATATTAGATGGCGACACTGTTTCTTTGCAGATTTTCACACAACTATAGGTCATTCACGTACGCGAGCTCGCATATATATATGCATTTTAGCAGTTCGAATTCCTGATATTAGATGGCGATACCGTTTCTTTGCAGATTTTTGCGCAATATTTAAATAAATATCGCTTCCAGTAATAGTTTATAATTTATTAATTATATGAAATGATCTATAGAGAAACGATCGAAGAAGTTAATTAGATTCGAATAATATTTGGAGTAGTTTTAAGGGATTATGAAAGTTCAGAATTTAAAAAGAATGAAGGAATTAATGGGAAAGGTAGAAAAGAAAATTTTTGATTTTTTATACTATATAATTGATTCGACTTGGGCTACTCAATATCCTTTTTTTAATAAAAATATTGTATTTACACGTATCAAAAATTCCTTACGATCTACTATACAGTAACATTTATTACACAAGCAACATGCAAGTACCATCAAATTGCAAATTCAAAAATATATTATGTAACTTTCTAAATAAGAAACGATGCCATATACGAAGTGATCTTCTCACTGGACGCTCCGAAAACAGCTGACAATAGTCTTTGATCAGTCTTTGATGTCGCTACCAATGTTTGATTGGACAGTTTGATTAAATTGCGAAGCCTCCGACCGAAAAATCACGCTTGTGTATACCTGTTTCGCATAATACAGTAAGTCCACGAGTTACACGGATTCGCAAATGCACGATACACGTATCCTTGTACATATCTGGTATGTCTGTATGTCAGTACTTATATATTAATTAAACTTTTCTTTTTCCTGCTTAACATTAAACAGAAATATTATTCTTAGGACAAGATTAATCTTTGTTTTTTCCCCGCAATGAATTGCGAGAATGAATTAATCGCGTAAGTTGTGAACTTACTATAATTGTATACAATTACATTCGCAGTCTTGAAATATTCTAATATCCACGCAGAACTAGATCAATTCACTTATGACACTAAAGAAACCTTCCTGTGCTAAAACCATGTTAATTCCATCGACAATAATAAAACTCGATCTAATAAATATTACGGAATGTTTCTCATAGCTCATCGGAGCTAATTACTTGACAACTTCTTTTAATAGAGACATGTGGATATTGTTGACGCCATCCTTGTATAAAATCACTAATACCCTCGCAGAAACTAAGATCAATCATTTCCAACTTCGGGCAAAACAATAGGCATCTGTAATATATTGCGGGAGTAAGGGAACGAGCTCCCATTAAATCCAATTGTTGCAATCGTGGACAATATAAAAGTGGTTCCAAGTCATGGTCTGTTAATCCTCTAAGAGCTGCTAAAAATACTTTCTCCAGATATCGACACGAGGATAGTAATGCTCGTAAAGAATTACCAGGAGCACCCAATCCACCACTATACAGATACATAATTATTAGACGATGTTAAATTAAAATATATTACATATACGGACGATAGAAATTATTTTTCATTGACAACGTACCACCATCCGAAATCCACTTCGCGAAGATTGGTACAACGGGATAATGCTCTAACTCCGTGCGGTGTTAAAGTTTGAGCCTTCCAAAAATCAACGCTCTCTAAATATGGACAAGAATTTCCTAATTTGATCGCAACTTCATCTATATTTAAACGATCATGCATTCCTGCTAAATTCAAGTGTCTCATCTGAGTGTTTTTCTTCAATATAGAACATAACGTAGCTGTTTCGATATTTGTCCTGTAAAGTTCCAGGCGCTCGAGCAATTCCAAGTTTTTAAGTTTTGAGAATCCTTCGTTCGTTACTCTCATACAGTTCCGTAAGCACAATTCTAAAAAAAACATATTTAGAATTAGTAAGTTGTATACTTTCGTGAGGTATCTTATAACATTTCCATTTACCTTTTAAATTCTTACAGATTTTTGAAATTTCAAGAATAATCGCGTCGTTTACAAATTGACAACAGTTCAATCTCAAATGTGTCAAAAGAGCCCCGGACGCGCGAAGAAAATTTATAAAATCTTGATGTTTGATCATATTATAATTACCACACCATGAAAGATCTAACTGTTGTAAATATTGACACCTAGGTGCTAAACAATTCAATGCCGATGTATCTAAGCAGTACCAATAAGGTTTTAAATTAAGATTCGTATACAATAGAGCATCTCTTGCAATGTTATTAAAATGTCTGTTTACTCTGCATAAACAACATAACGATCGTAAATCTAAATATTTTAAAATTTTTAGCACTGTTTCGTCCTGCAAGAATACATTGAATATAAGACATTGCTATTAACATCGAAGCGAAATTTATATGATGTAAGTAATCAAAATATGGTACTTTACTGGAAATGCAGAGAAACTGCCGCATGGTTGATTTTCAGAATCTGTTAAAATCTTTTCCTCCAGAGTATTACTATGTTCGCTTATCGGCGTCGAGTAATGAATATCTCTGATAAGTTTTGGAAAATCTTCTTGTAAAAATTGTTGTAAACTATTGAATGCTTCTTCTATAGGAGGAACAGACTGATAGTGTTGACCTATTTTAGATATCAGCTTGCCCTTGGAAATATTATCTATTATCTTGCTAAAATAATTTTTTTTAATACATCACTATGATTATTACATTAGTATATAAAGTTAATATCGATAAAGTAATACCTCTTAAAAAGTTTACAGTGCTTGGATAGTGTCATTTTAAGAACCGTCAAATCCTGATTTGCCTTCAAGTAATTCGGTGTCAGATTGTAAACATCGTCGCTACTGTGTTCAAGGTAGCCCAGTTGTTGCGACAGATCATTCAAATTTTGATTATGCAAATTATTATTAGGTACAATTAGCTCGGACGTTCCGATAAGTAACACGGCATCCAGCTCTGTATAATAATCTAATAACGTGTGATTAAATTCTAGCCTTATCATTTTTGTTTTAAAATTACACAGCTGCAAACGCGGGGAGAATATCCTCGGTTTATGCGGTACAATTTGAGGAAATCCGCTCCATAATTGTGACCATTTTCCCTCGGAATTTTGTGCCCAAATTCCAACTACGCTTCCAGGGTTATAAGTTTCATATATCGATACTCTGATCGGATATACCTCTTGATAATATTCTAGATCTTGATAAAACAAAATATTTTAACATTCGAATAATTAATCATTATTTAACTTTTATATTAAACATCACATACCTATATAATCTTGACTAATGACATCCTCGTTATTCTGCGGCATATAATCTATCAGTCTTGAAGGCGCTTTGTTCCACCACTGTCCGTACGTTCTCTACAAATTAAAATCATTACAATTCTTTAAAGACGTTAACGCAAAAGCATGAAATATATTTATTATCAATTTTGTGTTAAACAAACTATGTATCATAAGCTATTCTATACTTCTAAAGAGAATGTTCTTTTACAATTTTAGTTTACTAGTCTTTAAATTTGAATATTTAAATTACTAATTTAGATTTACGGTAACAATATATAAATATCATTTCTGTATACAGTACGTAGAATTTTATTTTAAACTTTATTAATAACATTGTACCGCTAGTCTGTAAAACTATAATGTACAATTAATTACACAATTCGCATTAAGTATAGTTTCTTTTAATTTACATGGAAATTAACGTATATTTTCGTTTTATATTTCGTGCGATTGATAATTGCCACGCGAGTTCATATCGCTCGATACATTAAAATAATTAACTTACCATAACGAAAGCATGCGGGAAATCTCCGTAGTCCGGAAATTTACTGGGATTCCCAGCGATATTATAGGCCGTATAAGAAATACTGATATTACTTCCATATTGGGAACTAAAATCGCATACATCTTTCACAAACTGTTCGACAAATAAAACAGTTTCCTCCTCCTTTCCTTCGATTCTTTCTCCATTTATTGGAACTATTTCGACTTTTGTCTCGTCATAAGATATCATGTCATTTACAATTAATCGAAATGTTTTAACATTAAACTTCAATTAATATAGGTTAATTTCTGTCACTCGTGCGATTATATGTATAATATGCATAAAAAATTCCTTAAAAATTAAACGTATCACAATCTATTGTACGAAACAGCTGATTTTCATCTAATTTCGTCTCGCGCTATAAAATGTATGTACGAAAAAAGCACGATAAATGATATTTCTTTGATCGCAATTTATTGAACGTTCTAACCATTCGTATATTGGTATTTCCTGTATTAAAAGAACACGCTACGAAACGTCACAATCGATCCAATTTCAGTTTGAAAACAAATTCGAATTTTCTTAATGAATAACTTAAAGAACATAAAACAATGAATTACTAAATATTGTCTTAGAATTTATGTGACATTTATTATAATTGTATAAAGGAATTACTACTTTATATGAAACGAAGCCCAATAGCATCCGACAAACCGAAATACGACCATTTCTCATAACAAAAGAAATAGGAAGGTCCTTTACCATTTTGTAATCTACTACGTTTTCAAGATAAAGTAATTAAAATTTCACAATCAAACTTCCGGCGCGGGCTATTTAAATATAAGACATATTTCTCATACGTTATAGCATTAAGCAACTATTTAAAAATATCTCAGCAAAACGAGGTGATGTAAGTGTTGCTCGGTAATTTTTTTTTAATGATCTCAACATTTATTTAAAAGTACTCAATGTAGTAACAACGGGTAGGAACATTGTTGCGGTACTTTCTCGATATTTATTATCTTAGAACTTACCAAATTTTCTCGCTTTGATTATAGCAAGAATGTAAAACATTGTCGCAATGTAAAGTTAAATGATATTCAACATTGCACAACCCGGCGTAGGTGTGAAACTGAATGAAATACGCGAAAAAGTTTATTTGCCCATTTTCCACTATTATTTATAAATAACTATATGATAATATCGGTGCCAATGGAAATTTTAATATAAATTTAAAGGCCTTACAGTCCTATCCCATCAATAGATCTTAAATTAAATTAATAACAATTATTGTAACGCAAGAGGATATCTTCAACATCTTATTTTAGATGACTATGTATAAAGTGGAAAGAATGGTGATTTAAATGTCAAGAATCATTAGAAACGGAAGGTTTTTATATACAATGGGGTCTCTTTAAATCGTCCTACTAACACAGCTCGCTGAAATTTTGCAAGCCCATTACAAATCATTCTTGATTTATAGACATTGTCGTCGATAAAACATACAGTAATATTTGTTGCTTAGAAAGAACTGGAGTAATTGATATTCAAACATTTATTTACCTTTTTATTTATAAATTCTAGTAACATAACAAATTAAGATTGGTTCATTAACTTCTGTATTACTTCTTTTCGTTTCAGCGTGGTATTCATTAATGTCTTCATTCTTTCTTGTTTTAACTTCCTTGTAGGAACATGTTTCAAAGCTGTGCCCCAATTATTAGTGTGTCTAAGATCCAGTAAGATATTCATAACCTGATTAATGGCAAGATTTTTTGCAGATCCACTTCCCCAGTCTAAATATTTCTCTAAGGGAAATTTGAGCATTTGAATACCTTCTCGTTTAGCTTTTACCAATGTGGATGGCTTAGGATGAATCTGTAAAATATGTGTACTTACATAAAAATAAATAATTTTTAAATAATTATTAAAATTGTTTATAAATCACAGTCATTTTAATTAATTAGAAACAGATCCAATGAATTGTACCTATAAAATAGGATTGTGCATAAATGTTGAATTTAGTACACTAAGTATTGTATATTATTTTTCAACCATTATTAATTATTTGAATACTTATAGATTACATAAAGAGTAAAAATAAAACATAAAGTATATTTTACCTTATCTACCAAGCCACCAATAATATATACTTTGTCAGGATCAAATGCTTCCATATATGTGTTAGCATGCGGAGTAAGGTACACCAATTCACTTTTATCAAACAGATCTAAATAAGATTTTGAAGTGATGTGTAATGGAAAATCCAAATCATAGATAGTTGGTATCGATTGATGAAGTTTTTCCATAAGGTAACCGGACATATTAGCATTACAAAAATAAAGATTAAAAGGATTAATGTGCGCTCTGTTAGCTGCGAATGTTAATACTAATTGTTTCGCACAATTCTGTGTCTCGTATCTTGTCATAATATCGTCATACCCAAGATCAAATACTATTTTCGGTTCGTATAATATAGCATTTATTAAACCTTTGTTATAATACTGTGTCATTGTTGTATCAGATATACGCAATAACAATGAATTATATTTCAGACCATATTTTATATGATCAGTTTCTGGTTCGGACAACGGCGTTGCAGCCCTTAATTCTTTTTTTTTCTTTTGATTTTCTGCTTTTATTTCATTTTTCCAAAGATAATACAGATATGACCTATATATTTGGAATATAAAAAAAAATATTATACTAGATATAATGATCTTTTTTTCGAGATTTAAACTGCTAAATAAACAAATGGTATATTCCTAGGAAACGGACCATTCGGTGATCAGGGTGAGTTATACGTCGTTTGATTCGTCTGATTCGGTACCTGGCATTTATAATTTACACCATGAACCCAGTAACGACAGTCATTTGTTTCTACTTGTGAATTTCTCAAAATATGCTTAACCTTACGTTTTTACTGCAACTTTGTAACAAGTTTAAACAAAAATAACGAATTTCTGCAAATAATGAAATGCATATTAATAATGTACTGAATTAGACGAATCGAATTACGTGTAACTCACCTCGATCGTTGAACGGTCCGTCTGCTAAAAATGTTCCAAACAAAATAATCCTAGAGAAATTAAACAACCTTCTTTGTGCTTTACTATTTCCTGACAATAACATTATCCAGTTTTCGGCAGTCACTTCTTTCGGAAACTTTCCACTTTCGTATTTTATCATTTCTAATTCGTACTCTATTTTCTTATAAAGCATTTCATTCGCTGGACATTTAAGAAGCTCGTTAAGCTTTTCTTCACATTCAGTATTAAATTTAGTAGTTATTTCGTGCGATCTAGTGTTCGAACTGCTAGATCGTACTATCAACACACGATGTTGAACATGTTCTCGATCAAAAACTTTGAGTCTTGTGTTTATGAATTTACATTGTGTCAATTTACAACAAAATTGTCTCGTCACCATACAATAACTCCGAAAAACGTTATTATACATTTTAATTATAAACAATTTTAAACGTAAAAAACACGAGCTGTAATTACTGTGTTACAACTATTGAATAGAACATTTGTAGTGTGAGCTGCATACGATATTAGTATTCATAGATAGGAAACTCTAAAGGTTTTACCAGTCCCTTTGAAGCACCATACGAGGGATTGCCATAGAACTAAATCCACGAAAAGAAATTTAAATTTTACTTTTACTTCAAATTTTCTTTTTCATACTTTTATTCATTATTTATAACTCTATTAACAACACTGTTGAAATGTAATCATAATCTGCGTAATATCGAATACGAGCAAAGTAACGAATACTAATTGTTAAGTGGAAATTTTTATATTCAAAGTAAAATTAACATTCTAATAAATTAAAAGAGTACAATAGTACATTAAGTACATTATTACTAATACAATATGTCTTATTATAAAATTTATAGTAATTTTATTATTACCCTATGTTATTTACTATTATTATTAATTACTAATTTAAAGGGACAAGTTCAAGGAAGAACTTAGAATATATTGCTCGAAATGATAATATGTATTAATCAAATACAGCAAATTACTAAATTCAATTCTGGTTTATCAAAACGGACAAATTTTGAAGAAAAATTATCAAAATATGCATCAATAAATAAACTATTATTGAATATCTAAATATTACAGTTATTAATAGTTAAATATATATCGTACATGTACGTATAAATATGTAAAAAATAAATACCTACAAACTATAAATATTTTCATGTTATTTAAAACAGTTTTAATGTAAAATAACAATTTGTCATACTTTCCTGTTATTATTACTTGTTATTTAACTTTAATAAACAATGTAGTTTAAATGTTCACCTTGACAACAGTTATTTATCAATGATAGTCAAATTTTTCAAATATCTGTGAACGTACAGCGACGTACTGTTGTCTTTCCGATAATATTGAAAGCGTAATAACAAATAGCTTTGAAAGTAAATTTTAAGCACTAACATGGTTCTGTTAGGTGAAATTTTTCCAAATTTCGTGGCAAATACGCAAATTGGCACTATTAATTTTCACGATTGGCTAGGCGACTCGTAAGACGATATTTATTCAGTGGTTATAACCTCTAATATTGTACATGATTTTTAAGAAAATTATGCTTAAAGCTCTTATCCTTTTTTTTCAATATATTTAGAAATTCTTCACGAATACGTAGCATTTGAATTACTGTTTCAATGATTATATAGTTAGAACAATAATACATCGAAACGATCTCTGTGAAATAAATTTTGTATGTTTTACAGATGGGGAATATTATTTTCTCATCCGAACGATTTTACGCCTGTATGCACAACGGAATTAGCTCGAGTTGTCAAATTGATGCCCGAATTTGACAAACTGGGAGTAAAAGTTATCGCATTGTCGTGTAATTCTGTCGATTCGCATCGTAAATGGATAGAAGTAAGATTTTCAATGTATCAGATTAAAAATTTATTTCAAGGATTTACGAAGATAATAAACAATACAAGATGATTAAGATTCGGAAAAACTTGATCTCCACTCTTATTTCTTCCCTGTAGGACATAAAGTCTTATGGCGAAATAACTGACAAGGAGTTTCCTTATCCGATTATAGAGGATGAAACACGGAAACTCGCAACATTATTAGGAATGCTGGATCCTGCGGAAGTTGATAGTCATGGTATACCGTTGACTGCTAGAGCGGTATATATTATCGATCCTGCCAAAAAAATGCGATTATCAATATTATATCCTGCCACCACTGGAAGAAACTTTGAGTAATTTCTTTATATTTTTTTGTATCCTCGATATTTTAATTTCTATTTTCATTATTATATATTTATTTATATAATTTTGTCGGGCACAGTGAAATTTTACGAGTGATTGAATCGCTTCATCTGACAGAAGAGTATAAAGTAGCAACGCCTGTCGATTGGAAGGTTTGTTTTTATAATTTCAAGTGATTGGTTCATTGCTACTTGTATATTTGAAAAAATGTTTAAACTTTTGTATAATGATTTTCAGAAAGGAGAAGATGTTATGCTTCAGCCTACCGTGTCCGAAGAAGAAGCGAAAACACTGTATGAGAATATGAAAATTTTAACAGTACCTTCGGGCAAAACTTATTTGCGTATCGTACCGCAACCAACTGCACATAAATAATTCTTTGAAATATGAAAAAAACAAGTATTTTACAGTGTATTCTCTTAAATTGTCAAAACTAATGTTTGCAAAAATTAAAATACACATTCCGATGATATATTGAATTTCGTGTAATATTAATAGTATTATTCCTCGAAGTATAATTATAAATAAGCGTATTTTTCAGTTAGTGCCTTAACATCGGTACATAACAATTGTATCACTTCAAAAAGAATACAGTAGAAATGAACATTTTTTTTATTTAAAATTTCTTATTAATAATTTACGACAAAAATAATTGAAAATAATGATTTAAAATATATATATATATATTTAATTTTTCATGCTTTTGGGTTTTCATAGTCCATATCTTCCATGCACACTTTCCACTGTTTCTATTACTACAATTCACAAACTTATTTTTTGTAAGGCTGTTCATTGACAAAGGTGCGCATAATTATCAAAACAATGATTCTAATGTTGGCATTTGCAAACAACAAAAGAAGCTGTTTATTGTATCACCTAATGTAATTAAAAGTACACTGTGTTATATACATTTTTCCAAGTACACGATCGCTTAAGGTCTCTAGGCATAATGTATATAATATTTACACTGTTCCTGTTTTTTTTTATTAAGTTATTACTAAAGTTATTTTGCTACAATATGATTATATCTTATTTTATGCCTGAATGATCCGCGAACTGTCGCACGACTACGCAATAGTGTGATAGCAGTTATATAAAACAGTCCCTCGTCAAAACCAATAAAGATCATAAAGAATAATAAATTTAACAAAACTATATTTTGTTATTGTAATGTTATATAATTAAAAGTTAATTACCACACAATATATCGAGTGATAAAATACTATTGCCAGCCTTCGTACTTAACAGCTTCATGTTATACATTCACACTGACAGTAATGGTAATGTGCACGTGCTTAATGACACGAGCCCTTGTTTACTTGTCCCATTTCTTTCATACAAAATGGGAGAAATCAATTTCTATAAATGTTTTTCTTTTTTTTTTTATGTTCAAGTTCTTCGAATGCACTTGTGCTTTTATTTTAACTAACAATTGTCGATGCATTGGATCATTTTATTTAAATGTCTATCGATCGACGATTTATCTGGAAATATCGTTGTGCGAATATTGCAGAATTATTGCAATAAAAATAGACGCAACAACAGAAGATTTTATCGTTATCCCCAGCCATTATTCGGAACTCACTTAAAAACGTTCACTTCACTCGCTCGTTGTATGAGTCTCTTGTTGTTGGTCAGATTGTAGTTCACCTTCCATTCTCGCTTGTCGTTCCGCCGCTGCTCTTGCCTGTCTTCCAGCACTGGAACGAAGATTTTTTCGTTCCGGAGGCGGTTCTACGCATAGCCGTTTACCACTTCGTGCTTTCTTCCCCTTGGTGCCTTTATTATCTTCTTCCATTTCCGATGAAAGCTTTGGCGTATCTCCCTTGCTGTTAGTAGCGCTTTGCTGCGATGTAGTCGCATCATCCGAAACCGTCGTTACCGGTGTAGAACCAGACGTTAGTATTGGTGTAGATGTCGATATTGATGATGTGGATGTGGAGGTAGGAGTTGGTGTAGGTGTTGGAGTAGATGTCGGTGTATGGGTAGAAGTTGGGATGTGAATTGGTGTAGGCGTTGATGTACGTGTTGGTGTTGCTGTAAGCGTAGTTGTACCTGTGATTGTTGATACAGATGTTGTTACTAAAGCAGCCGTTTCGTTAATATCTTTTTTAGTAGGATTTGAAGATACTTCGTTGAAAGGAATATTCTCCTCTAAAGGAGCCTGTTTAACCGCCGTAGACGACGATCGAATTGCTTGTTCTATTTCAACTGTTGATACATCCGCAGACGTTATAGTTGTTACCGGCGTGACTGTCATAGGTTTTGCACTAACTTCAATTTCGATCCTCGACTTTTTAGTAACAGGTTCGAGAGTTACTTCAAGCATGCTCGATGGCTGCTGCTCGTGACCCTGATTATAATCCGCATTACGGCCTCTTTTTTCACCCGATCGTTGAATATCTTCAAGATTTCTTGTCAAAAGTTCTGCACTGGTTCTACTTAAATGTTCCAGAGCTTCCTTCATTTCCTGTTCTTTGTTCTTTCTTTCGATTCGTCTTTCAGAGAGATCTGCTATGTCGTTCTGTTCTATAGTATCTCTTTTTTCATGTTCTATTCTACGTCTGTCCTCGTTATGCAACGTCATATCCGTATATTGTTGCAATGTTATTCCAGGGTCGACAGTATATCGGGATTTCTTCTCGCTATCCTTTCGTTTAGTTGTTGAATCCGTGATCGTGTCTCGTTGCCTTGAATTATTTCCCGATGATGTAGGTTTACGCACTGCTGAGGCACTCGAAGTCGGTGGATTTAAAAGACCACACTGGGCAAGACTTTCATAGGCCGATGATACTCCACCGGGTTGCATCGAGAATGGATTCAAACCACCCAATCCTAGCGGTGTGTATAAAAGACTGGGATTTGGGAAAAAGAAAGGGAACGGCGTCGTTGTTGGTATTGTAGACGATGCTGATGACGTTGAAGGCATCGAAGATTTACTTGTAGGTGGTTCCATTTTACTGCGGGATTTACCGGAGCTACTAATATTTGTTGAACCTGTGTTTTTACTGTTAACAGAACTAACGACTGGATTTGTGTCGGCCGCTGTGCTAGTCGCGGTCGCGCCTAATGCAGCTTCCATACCCGCTAATGATGGTAAACCAAGTCCAGCAAGATTTGCGAATAAAGAATTTGTTAAACTCATGTTACTTAGGTTACTAAGATTGCCCAGTCCGCTTAATGCGCCTAAATTTGGTAAACTACCAAACGGCATTAGAAGAGGATTATTCTTCGGGTCAAAGTTGCCGAGAGAAAGTCCAGACAGAAGCGAGTTGTTTAAATTACCCAGCGAAGGGAAGTTTAGGCCTGAAGCCATCGACGTAGCTGCCAAATTGGCTTGATTTGCTGATTGCTGACTAGTAGGACTCGGCATCATGGGAGGTCTTCCTGGACTCTTACCCTTATTAACATTACTTCTATCATTTCCTGATAATCTCTTTTGCAAATCGTGTGGAAGGTTACCACGTTCTTTCACAAGTTCAGCCCATTTCGGATCTACGTCAAACATTGGATTTTCAATTAACCATTGACCTAATCGTTTCAGTTGCGGAGCCTTACTGCCAGTAACCTAAAACAAATGTAAATGTTTTGTCGTTAATAAATTAAACTTATTACTTATGGGGCATATCTGATCGGGGTAAACGCGATTTTTTAAAAGCTACATTTTTCCAAATAGTTAAGAAAAAATAAATGTAGGCAAGAGTCATAAATTACGACAAGTCTACAAAAATAAATACCACGACATATGTTGGATTAACAGTCAATGTGTTAATATAAGAGTAAGTAGGAAAATAGTATATAAAAATTTTCTATTCAAACCTTTTTGCCTGTTAATCTATTAATTACAGCAACATTTTCTTCACCCGTTAATTTTTTCCAATCTAATAAGGATGGATCGACACGTGGCCGTCGTCGTCTAGGTGCATTTAAATATTCCGCACTCAGCTGTTCAGACATGGCGGTTTGTTCGGCTAACCATTTGTTTACTTTAGCTTCGTGTGAATAGGATCCAATTTTTGATGAATATTCAGCAACTTTATTAATGTCAGCGATCATTGCTTCGTAATGACTCTTTCTATGACTGCTTGACGACGAGGAATGTGCTGAATTGAAACTTTGTTGTTGATGCTGTTGTTGTTGTTGCTGTTGCTGTTGTTGTTGTTGCTGTTGCTGCTGTTGAGACTGTTGTTGATGTTGCTGTTTCTTAAATTCGCGATTTTGTTGCTCCGCTTGAGCAATTAAAGCAGAGAAGCTATCTTTGTGCGAATGTAACGATGGAGGAGGTAATCCAGAAGTAGAGCTTGATGCTCGCGAAGAAGGAATAGATGTAACAGTAATAGAAAATGGTTTCTGAGTACTTGTTGGAGGATTAGGAAGACCCATTGGTGCGGATGTTGGAGTAACAGTTACATTCGGTGTAATTGTACTCTTTTTATTGTGTTCAGGATAGTGAGTGCTTTGTTGCTCTTTTGCTGCACTCAATCCTAATACTATCTCATCAAGCTTTCTACGTTTTTTCTCTTTTCCAATAACAGGTTCGTCCGTCGGCTAATAAGGATAAAAATATAAATTTCAATTTATATTGCCCTTTCATTATAAATTATTGAATAGTCAGTGAAAATATATATATATACATACACAACTTTTTCTCTTCATTAATTTGTCTAACATACTATCTAACTTTCCTTTATTACTGCTAATTTGTTTATTTTTATTTGGCATTGAAAAGTCTTGAACCTCATTCATAATATCTTTACTATTATCGGTGCTCGGTTTCGGATATCTGAAAATTGCATATTAACCGAGTATATGATTAAAAGTGTATTTAATATTATATGCAATTTGTAAAATATAAAAAATCTTACCCAGCAGATAAGTCAATAGGTGTTAAAGTACTGGATGTTCCAGGAATTACAGTCGGTTTTCCTGGAACTGTGTACTTTAAATCAAAAGGTATGTTCGGTGTTCGTGCTTGTTGATGAGCTGGAGGTGGTTGAACCGGCGTTGAGCGTCTCGATTCTTCGGACGGCGATTCGTCATTTATTTCCCAAGTATTGGATCCAGACAATACTGCAGGCTTACTTAAAGTCGTAGGTGGTTGAGTAGTTGTGTGACTACTATTCAACAGAGCATGGAGTTTCGCTAAAAATAAGAAAGAAAAACAATACGTGATAATCATGAATTTAAGAAACAGTTTGATATTTTAGTTTTTTTTAATTACCCCTTTCAGTTTCAACGTCAATCGCAATATGCCTTTTGCGTTTCTTCGATAACGGCATATTATTGCCAGACGTCGTGTTCCGCGATACTCCATGATCTGTAGTTATAGTTATAACTTCTGAACATTCTTTTTCATTTAAGGGAACATCTATTTCATCACCGGCGCTAAAGTTTAAAGACACAGGCCATTCTTTGTGCTCGATCGCATGAACGATATGCATTAAACGAGCTTCGATAGCATGTTCCTGAAGCATTGAAGAAAAATATTGAGATGCAATAATGAAAATATAAGAAAACTTTAATAAATAAAATTAATATAAACATGTCCATATATTGACATTTTATGTAATGAATATTTACAGATAAGGGGTGCAACCGAAAATGTTGGACGTTTTGTCAGGATCAATTTATTATACTGATGTGATACTAGTGTATTAATGTGAATTTCTAGTATGTGGTCATGGACTCAATTAGTCTCACATTTTCGGTAACTTTCTCTCGTAGATACTTTATGTAGAAAACACAATAATATTATATATATATATAAATTGGATTCTATTTACCTTTGGCCATTTTACAGCACTGTTAGAATTGTGTGACAAAAGATGCACAACCGTTGGTTCATTATAATCTGTCGCTTTGTCTCGAAGAACAAACGTATCAATTTGTGTTAATCGTGACAAAGGTTGAATAACTTCCAAATCAGGAAACATTGCTTTAAGTTCTGCTGCTTGAACACTACATTTATCTTCGAGTTTGCACACCTTTGCTTTATCCCTAGACATTTCTATTGTTTTTTCTTCTTGAGTTTCTATTTCCTCTTTAACAGCTGGTAGGTCAGTTTTTACGTTCGTTTTGCTATCCTCGGAAATGATATTTTCATTACTTTCTGTCAACTTTTCTATTGTTTCTGTAAGATCTTTCTGTTCCGTTGAATTTTGTTCACTCATCTCGTTCGATGTATTTTGCGTACGAGACTCGTCAGATTTCTCATCCTGCGTTTCCTTTTCAATTTCTTTCGGTAAATCTTTCTCCTTATTTTGATTTTCTTTCTCCGTTTCTGTAGTTACAGTGTCTTCAACATTTACCGTCGCATTATTTATTTTCGTTTCGTCGGTTTTGTTAATTCCCGTAACCTGTTCAGCTTTCGAAACTTCACCTTTGACCGATTCTATTATAATTTCATTTTTCTCTTCGGTTTTTATTTTTGTGACATGTTCTTTATCCAGAGGTGTATTTCTCGCAATGGTTGTGATTGTTAACGCATTACTGATAGATTTCTCTTCGGTTTTATTTTCAGCCTTAATGATCGTCAGTTCTACCTGACTCTTTTCCGAATCAACATTTTCCGCCCTTTTGTCCGTTGTACTCACATCTTTATCTTTTTTTGCGCCAACTTTCTCAATTTTTAAGGTCCCTTCGCCCTTCTCCAATTTTACAAGTATTTCATCTTTATCGAACTTTAATATATCCTCCCTATTCTCAATTTTAATTGCTTTTTCAGATTTGTCTATGATTTTAGACGTTTGAATATTACCGTACATATTTTTGTTCAAAAGTTTATGAAATGAAAAATCTGGATCATTCAAGATAGTTATGTCGGTACGCCCTAAGCCATGTTTTGCGGCTCCAAGCAGTAATTCTTTATCGTGCTTTCCAGGTTGCCACCAATCGGGTGTGTCATCTGATGGTTGACACAATGAAAGTCGTTCCTCCAAATGGGGATGAGATAAAACTTCTTCGCGAATTTTACTTAAAAGATCTACGCGATCTAATATTTGTCTTGCTTTTGTTGGGCTGAGGTGATCAACAGGAACGTCTGAAAAATCTAAGATATGTATAAAATGTTTAATATCTTAATGCCTAAAAATATTTAATATCCAATTCTGAACCAATAATTAGTTAATGTCTATATTTGCGATAACCACATAGATAAAAACAAAACATGTTTCTGAATTTTCTCCATTAATATATTCAACTCTGAGCAGAATTTATTTTGAGATACACTAGTTCGTGAGATCGAATGTAAGGTAGAAATGTAATATCAAACGTACCTTCTTCATCGTTCAACTTAGCATTACATGCTTTCTTGCACATTGCTCGAAAAGACATGTAGTAATCGGTAAGGTCATTATCGGTTTTTTTATCAAATCTAGCAATACTTTTAAATTTAGTCCAATCGTATTGTGCTTTTTTTCTATCGTAATTAACACCGTACGTTGATACAACTCGTAAAAATTCACTCTCCTCACGGCGGGACCATTTTGCTTTTTGTTCTTCGATACGAGTCCGTTCCCTTTCTTTAACCATGGCTTCCATTTTCTCCCTTCTTTCCATTTTCTGTGCAAAATAAAAAAGATATTATAGCTTAGCGGTTTGCGTAACCAAATAATATTTTACATATTATCACTTACCAAAAGATACATAGCAAGTTGTTGCAAGTCCCATCCTTGCATATTTAAAGACGGCTCGTTCATTGAAGTGGTATGATTTATAGTCGTGTCGCCTTCCATTCCCGTCTTAGATTTTTGTAATATTTTTACGTCTTCTTTTTTCACACTCCGCTGATAAGAAGAAATTACTCGACGCAAGCGTGTATTAAGGTCAACTACAGAAGGCCAGGTCTTTTCATCATCTAGCAGACCATCATTTCCCTCGTGGCTGCTGCTAGGTTCTGGTATAGGTGTATCTGCCTTGTTAGACATACCAGGTGAATCAGTAGGCGTTTCTCGATTAAATTTATCAGAATCTTTTAGATCTTTCATCATTCCAAGTGATTCCCCATCTTCCATGTCGTTCTCTAAGCTAGTATCATCTCTGCTGCTGCTGCTGAAATTTTTATGGTCTATTAACTTATATCGGATACAATAATTTTCTGATATTTTTTTTTTTACATTTACTTTAGTTTTAACTAAAATACATTTGTCTAATATGTATGCATTTGTGAAAACAGATACATACTCAACTGATTACAAATATAACAGTTATATTGAAAATATAGTCTACAGGTACACGATATTAAAACTGAAAAGACTTCAACATTTACCATTTTAGAATGCTGTAGATATTGAAAAAGTTACATTATAAACATAAGTTACTGATATGTACAATACAATCGATCGTTTATAAGAAACACACAAGGATCTCTGCATATTGTTTGGCGTACATATGCATTATCCTCCTCCACTGTAAATAAATGCTGGTAGAAAATAACATTTTAAAATAGGGTGAAAATGAGAAAAATTTCCTTCGTTGTTAAATGTACGAATAAAATGAAAAAGGGGAATTTACACAAATTGTAGCGTAGGCATAATCGTAAGCAAATTTAAAAAGCGTGCAAGCAAGTGTATGTTAGAATGAATTGGCAATAGGCACATAGAGATATAGAAAGAAAAACAATTAACATAAAGAGAATAATTACTCACTTCTTTCGTATAATCTGAGACTGGGAAGGGGGAGGGCAGCTTGTAATGAAAGAAAGAGCGGGATCAATCCTCATCTGCTCGTAATTCTCGTAGCCATGTTTGTAGCAGCCAACTATTAAGGATTTGTCTGCTTGCGAGTCCCACCATTTCACTGGTCGTTCCGTCAACTGTGGAGGGTTTATCCGCAACGCACTGTAGGGCGGTTTCATTTACAATTTGCCAATTTTGTATGCCAATCGAATAGTTAAAATTATACAAATTTTGCACTCTAATAAATTTTAATAACACCACGAACTATAACGTTCGTTATTAAGTAAACATAGCAAACAGGCTTATTTTATTAAACAAATTTAGAGAATATTTATATTTTTATTTATTCGTACTTCACACTATTCATATTTAATTTCTTAGAATGAAGACAAAGATATATATATATATATATATATATATAAACTGTAAGCTTCCTATTCTGTTTGCCCTTTAATACAGTGCACTGCTTTTTTTAGTTATTTCTTACCCATGATACTGCTGAGTTGACCATCTTTGACCGTTTCAACGCGTACAAAGTGTTTACAGTAATTTGAAAAATTGCGTGTATATTTGTGTACATGTTTATAGAATAGGATGTGAGGATTTTCATATTAGTAATGTAGGGTCAGCGATAGCTGTTTACAGAGCTACGAAGTAAACATAGTTTAGCTCTATGAGCATTCCTCATACAATTACAGCTCCCAGGATAAACAAATACATTACACATGCAACTATAAAGCTCTGTATAAGCACATATGTAAGTGCACGATATTCCATGATAGTTGAGCAAAGAATAATGAAAATTTATAAGTGATCTAGTAGACAAAAAATCACTAACCTGACATGAACGCCGTCAGAAATATGTTGAACTAAATCCCCGATGATCTCGTGCTTAATATAGTAAAGCATTCGGACGCGTAACAGTACTCTGTACAATAACAAAAAAATTACTTAGAACATTTTTATATAAAAAATAAAGATAATATCATATTACACGTTCCTTCTCTATAAAAAGCTAATGCTTGAAAAAGTTATATACGTACTTATTTGCGTGGCGGCTTAAATGTTTCCTGTAGTTACTTTCGAGAAATATGTCTCCGTCGTACTTTTCGGCATTGCTCCAATGATTAGGATCACTCGGACCACCGTTGATGATCGATCCACGTGTTTCTCTACCCTCTCTGACTCGACCTTTTTTCTTTTGTCTACTATTCCTTCCGCTAGCATTAATACACACGTTCTTGATTTTTTCACCATTTTCTATAGGTGTAATATGATCCCAAATAAAGTTACGAATCTTTTCATCGCCACGGTAATAACGAAGGCAATAAAGTAAAATGACTCGTGCACAATCCTCGACGTCGACTTCACGCCATCCTCGACGGAATTGGCTGTGTTGAAGGATCTCTTCCCATCGGCCCCAACCAAACGTTAGCAAACCACGTTCAACCTTGAAGCATTCACTTCGTGCCCAGCTGCCATACACCACTTCACCCTCACGGGGAACATATTCGTCGCAGAACTTCCGTGTCTTCTTACCAAATTTGTCTCTTCGTTTTTTACCTTGTAATAACAATAAAAGAAATATGTTACACGCGTTATCGTGAACTTAATATTTAAATATAAAATACAGATAAATCCTACTTTATATGGCAAAAAACATTAAGTGTTTTTATTATAACGGCAGGCCATAGTACAAGAATGAACATGAAGAAAAGCAAGATTTGTTAAAGTGATGCTTCAAATAATTGTTTAACGTAACAATTCACTTTATCGATGTTTCACGTGGCATTAAAAATTATGGATGTTATGAATGAGAAAAAGGAATAAGTGTTTACTTTGCCATGCATTACACGATACAACAGAAGAAACACTAATGCTGTAATCATTAGCATTTTAAACATGCATGCATGTGTTTACATGTGTTATGTACAAAATCATTATTATAGTGTTATTTACACTATTCATGAAGAGTAAAACATTTTATTTGCACTTGTAAAAATAAATAAATTATATTATTTTGCATTGGATTTTGTAATATTAAAAATATATTAATCTGCTTGTTTATAACGAGAAAAAAAAATATTCGATGATATTAATAAACTGTTTTGCACCATGAAAGAATTTGTTTCGTAATAATTACTTGGTAAAATTGTATGAATGTTGTGAAATATTGATTTGAATCTTTTAAACATATTTAACATACTGTATTGTGAATAATAGTGTAAATGAGACTTTTATAAAAGAAATACTATTGCAAGCACCATTTACTTACTGAAATTCCAAAGGTATCAATTATACATAACAAATCATTGCCACAGTGCAGGTTTAGTGGTTTATAATATTTTAATATTTATATGTATGCGTAAGTATGCATTGGCAAAAATCGAATTATTATTATAAAAAATTTGTTAGGTCGATAGCTATTAGCTCTTTAGCTAAACGTGTGAATATAACCCAATACCTTCATAATCATTGCAGATCATTAATCCACTCCAAGTATAACAGCAACGAAGGGATGTATTTATGAAATAATAATACTAAGAACGGTGTTGTGCTTTAACATGCACCAACAATGAACATACCTCTACCTGTTAACCCACTACTTGTTTCATCATCGCTATTATCCTCCGAACTGTCCAGATCTGACATGACGACGGATTCATCGTGACCGTATCGTTTAATTTGTGTCCTTCGCCTCGGCTCCGATATTACTAATTCGTCCTCTTCCTTTTTCTCGGTCGTATCAATTTCCGCTTTTTTTGCCCACTTTTTCCAAAAATCTGGATCGTCAATATTAATATCAGTTCTATTGGATGAACATGCAAAGCTGGCTTTCGAGAACGTAGACCCTTTTTCCGCTTCTATCGTTATGATCTGTATAATAAAAAATTTTCAAATTACTATAAATCGGAGAAAAAATACACATGTAACTAATAGAACAGTAAATAGAGATTCGTTTCACTTACTTGCGTCCTTCGTTCAAGTATTTGTTCTATATCTTCTTCGCAAAACTTATCTCCAGCATTGTCATCGTCCATAATAGCACCATATGCGCCCTTTTTTAATAGATCTTCTATTTCTTTTTTGGTCAGTTGTTTGTTGCTGGGATCTTTACCTCCTTGACTCGTATTCATCGATTGTAAAATAGCTTTATCCAATCCGAGCTTCAAAGAAGCTTTATCGAACATTTCTCTTTCGTAAGTATTGCGGCAAAGCAATCGATATACTTTCACCATCTTTTGCTGACCAATTCTATGGCATCGCGCTTGAGCCTACACAACCAATGTTTATATTATACATTTATAATTGTCTTTTAGAGTTTATAAATATTTTAATTAACACAAAATTCTAAACCTGTAAATCATTCTGTGGATTCCAATCGCTGTCATATATAATAACAGTATCCGCCGCTGTAAGATTAATACCAAGACCACCAGCTTTGGTACAAAGAAGAAAAACAAATCTATCAGAGTCAGGTTTACTATAACGGTCAATCGCGGCTTGTCTCAAATTTCCTCGAATACGACCATCGATTCTTTCATACGGATACCTAAAAATACATTTTTTTTTATTATAAATTGTGTTTTTTTTTTTAAATATTTAGAATAAAAATTGATAACTTACTTTTTGTATAAGAGATAGTCTTCCAACAAATCTAAACATTTCACCATCTGACTAAATATTAATACTCTGTGTCCACTAGCTTTAAGCTTCGGCAATAATTTATCGATCAAAACCATTTTTCCAGAACTGTTTACCAGTGCGTGATAGTAAGCTTCTGAATCTTCCTTTTCGCCAGTTTTGTAATCTAATTGTATTTGATCTTCTGCGCCATTAAGTAGGAATGGATGAATACAGCACTTCCTTAATTCCATCATTGTATTCATGAGATTCGGAATGTTAGCTGATGTGGTTCCCTTTGCAAGAAAAGAAAAATTCCTTTCTAGGATGCCACGATAATATTTCTTTTGTATATTCGTTAATTCCACCTGAAACCGATAACAAAAATTGATTAACAAGTCTTCGATCGATATAAGAGAACTCTAGCCGGGGTAGCTATAAATCACCTCAACCACTGTTTCTTCCTTTGGGGCTAATGATTTTTCCACATCTTCCTTAAGCCGACGTAACATCATTGGTTTCAGAAGAAGTTGTAATTTATGAACTTCAGTTTCACTACTCAAATTACCAAATTCTTTAAGGAATGCTTCGCTACTAGAAAACTGCATTGGTTCAAGGAAGTTTAGTAATGAAAAAAGTTCATTGACATTGTTTTGTAAAGGTGTACCAGATAAAAGCACTCTATGCTCTAAATTCAATTGCCTAAGACCTTCAAGTAACTTGCAATTTCTATTTTTTAGTCTATGAGCTTCGTCTATAACACAAAGCCTCCAATTATATCCTCGTAATTCATTAAAATCTGTTATAATTATTTCAAATGTAGTAATTAGTACATTAAATTTAATTAAATCTTTAATTTGCTGCCCTTTTTCATTCTTATAATAAACTTCGTATTCTTGAAGCATAGTCCGACTCGCTGCGCTATAAACAAAAGACTGTGTAAAAAAAAAAGGTATTTTATTTTCCAAATAAATGTATCAATAATCTTTATTAAACTTACGATCCATGGTACACTACGACGTTCATGTCGGTCCAACTTTCGAATTCACGTTGCCAATTTGGAATGGTTGAAAGAGGTGCTATTATTAAAAATGGTCCACGAATTCCGTACTTGTACACCGCATCCACAAATGTTAAAGACTGGATGGTCTTGCCCAAACCCATTTCATCCGCAAGGATGCAATTATGCCCGTTATACCATGAGAATAGCAACCAATTAAGACCTTCTAATTGATATGGTCGTAAACTGTTACTGCTTTTATAAATTGGCGACTCTTCCAATTTTACCCACGCCGAAGCAGGTGGTTTCTTTTTTGGCTGCGTGGAAAATCACATTAATAATAAAATATAAATATACATTAAATAATTAATTTAAGAAACAATAATCACAACTTAATTATTTATAATAATTACCTTCCACTGATCTTTCGGCGGCAATTTATTAAATTTCACAAACTGAGCTATCTTTTCTGGGTCAACATCCTCTTCCAACTCCCAAGTAGAATCTTCATATTGAAGAGACCGCCATTTAACCAAATAGTGTTTTAAAGTTTCGCCAGTCGTTGGATCAGTATGTGTTGCCTCATCAAGTACTCTATCAACTTCCACAAAGTCTGGATTGAACGGGTCATCCTCGGTCTAAAAGAAACATAAGTTATCTTCAATTGTTCACGTATATGTGATTGGATTCATGGCTTTCGAAATTAGCCACGAAAGCCTAAATCTCATTTTCACATATATTTTGCTTTAAATTCTTATTCAGATTAACATCTTGCTGGCCAGAGTATGCATACGCTTTCACAAAGTTTCTATTACGTCAACTAATAATTTACAAAATGAATTTCATTTTTATTATATATTTGACCAAAAATATACCATATTATTTTACTGGAATATTTAGTATTTTGTTGGTGGATAGTCGCATGATAATCAGCCAGCAAACTGTCAATAACAGTGAAATTATTGAAATATATTAATCACAAGCAAATAACTACATTTTCAAAAATATTTGTATTCTGTTGCTGTCTCTGTTTGAATCTTTTCAATTTCGCTTGAATTCGTTTATCGCCTTTGTATAATTCTTCTTCGGTTCTCCATTCGCAATGTAAATACGAGAAATTTCTGTATTTAACAAAATATTCCTCAACTTCTATTATTTGAGGTTTTACTTCTACCACTGTGTTTTCTTGCTTAGACTCTGTAACCTCTTCGTCGTGTTTGACCTTATCTTTTGTTGCGTTATCAACATCGTTACTTTTTTTATCTTCAGACACGTCGGTATCTTTTAAATCTTTATTTTCTGTATCCGAGACTGATTGTTTCTCGATCGTTTCCTCCTTCGTTTGATCTTCTTCCTTGTTATCCTTGGTATCGGATGCTGCGTTCGAAGTATGTTCATCTTTTTCAACAGACGATTCCACTTTTACTTCTGGAATTGTTGATTTCATTTCCCTTTTTCCCATACGAGAGCATAATATGTGTTGCACAACCATAGAATCTTCATCCGTTGTATTCTATAATGTGACATGAAATATTATTATTTACAATTATGTACTTGAAAATTAAAGATATTGAAAAATATGACGTTATACGATACATACTATATATACAAAGTTAGGCTTGTTAGGCCCAACTTCACCACCTTCGTTATCCTTTTTAACAGAAACAGGCTTTGTTGCGTTTGTACCTTCTACTTTCTTAGAAAGCTGGGCATCCTGAAGAGGTACGTCGTCGTCGGAAAATCTAAGCATTACGTCATCAACATATTTTTTGCGATGTGTATTTCTCGCGGAACGTCTTTTATTATCATCTCCAGCTTCGGGCGATGGCGGAGGCGTTGCTGCTAATTCTTCGCCATCAGAGTCAGGTGCAATTCGACTTTTACGTTTTCTAAAATCATTTAATGAAGAATCGAAAACAATTATTAACTTGTCCTTACAATATAATGTAAAAAGAAAGGAATATTTCAAAATAACTTACTTCGAACTTCTAGGAGATTTTCCTGCCGAAACTTTCCCAACGGATGATCTTTTCCGAGCAGCAGCTTTCTTTTTATTAGGTGTAGCAGTTTCAGCAACAGGAGCAGCTTCCGAATTTTCTTCTTTCTTATCATCCGTTGAGGCATCTTCCGATTCTCCTTTTTGTTTAGTTTCATCTTTTGTTTCAATTACTAAAGGTTCAGTGGTTGAAGAGTCTACTTGTTCCGGATCACCTTGAATGGACGGCTCAGACGGTTTTGTATCTGTTTCTTTAACTGCACTTGAATCGGAGACTGTAGTCTCTTCTGTTTCTTGTATAACTTCATCATCGGCTGATTCAGATTGATTAACTTTTCTATAAAAATATAACGTTCGATAAAATAATTATTTTTTTTAAAAGGAACAATGAATTTAAGAAGCAGCATTTATTTACAAGATAACTTACTTTCTATTACGTTTTGTCGAATCTTTATCCTTATTTCTCTTTCTGGGTGTTTTAGGACACTTCCCTTCTTTCGGAGGTTTTGGCTCTTTTTTAACTTTCGATTCTTTTGGTTCTTTCGGCTCCTTTAGTTCCTTTGGCTCTTTTGGCTCTTTTGGTTCCTTTGGTTTACGCGGTTTTCTAGGAGGTCGTGACTTTCTGCCTTTATTCCATTCCTCCTCCATATCGCCAGATGATGGCTTGATATCCTCAGAATCTGCAGCACTATCAACAATATTGCTACTATCTCCAGGAGTTACTTGATTATCTGATAGCGGTTGTTCTGGCTGTGGCTGAGTAATCGGTGTAGGAGTAACAGCTTCTTTATCAGCCTTCTTTCTACTCTTTTTAGTTCTGGGTGTACCTTTACTACGACCACGACCAGTAGTGCTGGAAACCTATTTATGAGAAAATATTTTCAAAATGATGTGTCGTGTTTTTGTAAATTTTGTATCTTCCTTGCCACGTGTAAAGAAGAAAAGAAAAAAAAGTAACTTACCTGTGGACTATCGACAACAGCTGCTGTAAACATAGGAGTTTGAAGTATACATTGAGGTCCACCATTACATTGGTCATTAGTTTCGTGCTGTTGTAATGCTTGCAACTTTTCTTGTAAAGCTACAATTTTCTCTTGATTTTCAGTGGCTGGAGGCATACAATACAATTCTTGTAATTGTTGTTGCAACGCGGCTCTTTCCTGATGATGCGTAACCGGAGTACAAGAAGTAGCAAAACCACCAGACGTAACTGCTGTTGATGTTGGATTTTGTGGCATATTATATATATTTGGCATAGTACTTCCACTAATTATATCACCACTAGGAGGATATTGTTGACCAGAACCCACGAGCATGTCATTTGGATAAATAGTACTTTTTGGGATACTTGTATATTCTGGAAAAGCTTGTACTTGATGAGGAGGTTGTGAATTTGGCACTGACACTGCAGTTTGATGAGAAGGTAGTACCATAGCACTGGTTTGATTAACCGTAGCTATTTGTTGACCATTTAAATGCGTAGGTGGAACTTGATTAGTTTGGTTTTGCAATTGCGGAGTTGGATTTTGTATGGAAGATTGTAACTGTGGTTGATGTGGCATTTGAGACGAAATCAATGGTGAATTTTGAGGCATTATACCAACTTGCGGGGTCATATGTGGTTGAGATTGCTGTGTTGTCTGAACTTGCGTTACACAAGGTGGGGCTGACTGAGGAGGCGGTGGCTGTGACAACTGGGATTGAGAAATTTGCGTCTGCGGCTGTTGCGTTTGATTTAATGCAGTTTGTTGAGATTGGACAATTGGAATTTGTTGAGGAGTATTCATTTGCTGTAACTGTTGATTGATTTGTTGTTGAGGCGGTGGTGCTTGACCTATTTGAGGTTGTACTTGATTTATTTGCGATGGTTGTGAAGATTGCAATGACTGTTGAGACTGTATCGGAGATTGTTGCGTCGGTACTACCTGAGATTGATTTATATGAATTTGTTGTACTTGTTGCTGTGGACAATTAATAGGCTGTTGCTGTGTTGCCTGACTACTAACTGCGGGTTGAGGATGTGCAGTTGCATTATTATTAGCTGGTGGACGATTTACTGAATTCATCTCTAAATGTGGATCATGTTGTTTTGTATCACACGGATTTTGGCTTTCAATAGTAGAAACAGGATTTTGAATCTGAGTTGACATCTGTGGTTGCTGAGACAATGTCGCTAAATTTGAACAATCAACATTTCCATTTGTACTAGATGCCGGTACAGACTGTACAGTTTCTATCTGAGAGATACTTCCGGATGAATGTTCCAAAGGTGAATTATTTTGCGAATTATTTTGCATTAAAGTATCAGTTTGTTGATTCAACACATCTTGCTGCTGATCCTGAACATTTTGATGTAACGCTTCGTTTTCAGATTTAGAAGGTTCGATCGGGTTATGAATTGGATCTGCAGAATCTCTAGTTGTAGTTTCTGCAACGCTATGAATAGTTTCTGTTCCAGTTACAGAAAACATTGGTGTGCTTTGTTCGGATACCGGTGGTTGAGTTTCTACTATGCTTCTATCTTCGTTCAGACTTGGCCTTATTTGAGGCTGTTGCTGTTGTGGATGCGACCACTGAGCAGGCATTGGCATTCTAGGACCTGTGATAGGTGGCATAGAATTTTGTGCGGTAGACTGAGATAAAACATTTGGCGCTTGGGGCATTGTTGGGCGTGCCTGAAATTGATTATAGTCTTGGTTCGGAACATTTGAATTTGACGCAGCAACGCCTGGTATTACCATTTGCTCCAAAGCTTGAAGGGTAGTTTGTTGCGATGATGGATTTATTTGTATTGAACTTGGAGGACAAGGTGACACAGATATTGTACCAGATTGAGTTGGTTGTTGAAGTGGAAGTTGAACGTGTGGATGCGGAGATAATGTATTAGGTTTAGCCGGTGACATAATTGGTCTAGGAGACATTTGTTGTTGCACTGCTGGTGGCCGTGGCGACATCTGTGGCCTAGGTGACATCTGAGGTGACAATTGCGGGAAAGTCGCACGATATTGCGGACTTGTGGCATGTTTAGCTGTGCCAAACTGAGTTGTTGTTCCAGAATGTTGCGGTTGATTAAACATTGAAGTCGCATGATGAGAATATTGAGGATCTATTTGTTGTTGTTGTTGTTGCTGCTGCTGCTGCTGCTGCTGCTGTTGTTGCTGCTGTTGTTGCTGCTGCTGTTGTGTATTTGGATGCGGTGAGTGTTGCGGATATTGTTGAGGGTGTGAAGGATGTGCCTGATGACTTGGATGAGATGGATGATGATGTGGCATTCTTTGCGGTGGTTGCTGTGCTTGTTGTTGCTGCTGCTGCTGTTGTTGTTGATGGATGGCCGAGGCAAAACCTGGATAGCCAGGAGATGTTTGATACATTGTTACAGAGTTTCCTTGCTGGTAATGTTGTTGTTGCCCAACCATATGTTGATACACACTACCTGTTCCACCAGCTTGTATTGCTTGATGCGGTACACCCATATTTCCTATCATGCCTTGCTGATTGCCAAAATGTTGCTGTTGCTGTAATTTTTGATTCATAACTCCACTTTGGTCTTGTTGATGAGAATACTGTGGAGGCATATGCTGTCTATAAGTACCAGGTTGTGGCGCCATCTGATTATAATGTCTCTGCATTTGTGGATATGCACCACTACTACTTGGCCAACCTTGCATACTTGGATCCATAGACATATTTGCTCTTGTCATTGAATGTTGCTGCTCCATTGAATACATATTATCATTATAATTAGGATACTGTCCCCCACTCCCAGGATGAGGCCCTCTATGTTGCGGTGCCATATTTCGAGCTTGATTTTGAAATGCTCCTGGCACCATAGCACGCTGTGGTGCACTACTATCAAATGTTCCAAGATTTTGATTAAACATGTTGCGCTGTGATGGATTTTGCAATTGATTAGAACTTCCAAATTCAGATCCACCGAATGTACTTAATTTTTGAAGTGGAGATTCTTGAGATATAAAAGATTGACTAATGTAACTCCCTCCTCCATTAACGCCAGGATTTGAACCATCTCTAGATACTACCACAGAATTATTCGTGCCTGTAGGGTCAAAATGATCGTTCCCCCCAAGATCAGGAAGAGCATCAAGCATCGAGCCACTAACATCTTCACCAAACAGATCGTACGAGTCCATGTCTACGCCGCAGGACTCTTCGCCTCTATTTCAGGCTTAAGAGGATACCGTATAGTCTCTTTTATAGTCATTAACGTGCCCATTGTTGATCCACGTCTTTTTTGCCTGAAACAACATATAAAAGAATTCATATTATAATTGAATTACATACATTTAATCTTAACAATATTATATATGTTTCATATGCTTAATTATTTACAAAAATATTTTTGTAATAATTATGATTATGAATATGAAATAATTTAATACAAATTTCTCCGATGACAGTAACAAATGCCAAAGGGGAAAAGCTATACGCTTATGGCTTAATTTCTCATAATCGCTATAACCTTTCCCCCTTGGAATACGTCCACATTATACACAATTATGTATGAATTATTATTTCATTAGGCTTTCCTACAAATGAAAAGGTAACACAATAAAAAGAAAACTTAATGACAAATTTAGATAGAATTTTTACACATTTAGCATGCAAATTTACGAGTAACAAGTTTTATATATACATTATTTATAATTTGATATAATAAACATGATTATTCAATTTTTCAATGAATTTTAGAGTACATAAATGTTAATATTTGTATTATAACTTAACTTTATATACCAATCTTACAATTTTGAATTATTTAAGATTATTACTAACTATTGTACGTAATTCTTTAAGATTTAAAGTTACTAAAATGTATGGTATAAAATTTTTAAATATTTGAGCCATTATCTAAATTTATAGCGATGTATTATGTATATATTACAATAAATAATGCATTATTTATATAAAATAATAAATTATTTTGTATACTTTTATATTTGTTGTATAAATATAACTTAGCATAAAGAATTAAAAATGTCATTGTTGCGCATTAATAATTATTGTATATATTTTTCTGGAAATATTAGAACTATAAGTACAGTTTCATTTTTCCCTTTTTGTAATAATTGCTCACTGTATATAATATATTCATATTATTTTTCATCTATCAAATTGATTTATATAATACTTAGCGAATAATAGGTATAATGTTCAACCGAGTTAACATAACCTAACACTTGAGAAAAAAGAATATTTAAGAGATTAAAAATAAAAAATATGAATAAATTAACCTAACAAAATGCAAAATGTATGTATACGTAATTCCAATAAATCCAAATTTTACAAATTTAATAGCTAAAGTATAGAAAAATGATTACAATCATGTATTGAATTTAAGGCGATTACAAGCAATCGTTGTATTGTAAATATGTACAATTTAAGCAATGCAAAAAAGAATCAATAATATTTATTACAAGAAGCAACCGAAATACACATCGATTGTAATAAAAACTTTTACATATTTCGAAAAACATTTATCTTTATGGTTTATTTGTTCGAAACAAATTTGCAACATTTAATAATAATCAAAAGTTATTGAATAATTTTAGAAAGCAACAATATGGTATTATTGCATGTTACTAGCTGACATGCTGGTAAAATTGAAGAACCAATATGTATAAATTACCAAATATCTATATACGAATAATACATAAACAGAAAATGAAAAAGAACACAAAAAACCTTACAAACCTGAAGCACTGACAGCGGCACTAAAACGTATTAAAGAATATTCTCGTTCTCATTAGAAAATGAACTAAAATACACATTAAGTATACATTACAAGGGTGAACAGAAAGAAACTGGCAAGACGGCTATAGAAAGTTCTCACAATTATTTCGAACGCTTTTTTTATCTTCAAATATTTCCCATTGATATCGACAGAACGCGAATGCGCGGAAAACAGAAATACAAGCGTATTATAATATTGAAAGCGAATTGATGCGACTTCGTGAAAAAAAAACACGGATCGTCGGAAAGTACGCCATTATCGTGAGAGATTTCCGTTTGGGCTTCCGAGAGAACTCGTAGCGGCCACCGCGACGCTCGATATTCCAGCAGCAAGAGCGTCACTTCACTTTACCACAATTCACTCTTTCTACGTGTATTTCGTACGAGCACGGCTAAAAATTTAATACCATTCGATGAAAATAGTTACGTGTTAATGGTTTATCGAAAAACCACCCTCGTTCGCGCGCGCGTTCACACGATTTTCACCGACGGTGGCTGCGGCTGCGGCGGCACGGACCGTCGAGGTGCAAGCGTGTCCATAGGTCCGAATCATTCTACACATCTCTGCCCCCCTCCCCTAGCCCGTTCCCCACAGTTCACAACGAAGGACTACTCTTCTCTCTTACCCTACCCTATCCTATCCTGTCCTGTTCGACGGAGGCCGCTACACACACCAGCCATACATCGTAACATCTGTAGAAACTCACACAGCCACCTTCCGCATCATGCGCGCACACTCACTTATTGCACCACCTGGTGGCGCGCGCATCTCTCTTTGCCACTTATAAACGTCGTGCATGCACACACGTGTATAATGTACACGAAGAAGCAATAAGACGTCGAGTTACATTCGAGTTGATTAAAATCTTCATTTCATTAAGTTAGTGTGTATGAAATGTCGTTTTCCTTTCTCTCTCGTTCTTTTAATTTTACTAATAAAGAAAAAAAAGTATTGTAATAAAAAAAAATTTCGAGAAATTTTTTTCCAAATACACGTTCTAAGACCCCTCTTTTTTCACGTGCTGGTAAAACAAATTTTTGTTCAATGTACGTGCGCATGTATGTATGATTTTTCCCGTATAATTTTTTTATTTTTCTGATATACATATTCGTAATTTTCATATAAAGAAAATTAAACGTAATATATGAAAATACAGTATCTTTAGGGGGTGGAAGGAGGGTCTTAGAACGTACTTTTCCTGAACTTTTTTTTGTTGGAATAGTTTCTATTTCGATCGCGATTTTATGTACAACAAACGTATGAAATTGGTACGACAACGTACGGTAATTTATCATGTAATAGAAAAGAGTTCTTGTTTTCAACACGTTTAAAAAGTAAATTTAAGTAATTTTTTAGATTTTATGTATTATGTTTACATACATTTCCTTTTTACAAAATCGTTAAAAACATTTACATACATACATATGCATGCCAATTATGGAAATTATTATTTACATTAAAGCTTATATGAAGATATGTTATAATAAAAAATTCAATATTAATTTATACAATTTGAAAAACATGGAAAGAAAAAAATAAAGCAACTTGCGTGCATAAAAAGTTCATTTAAAATGCCTTATATAGATACTGTATCTCAAATTAATTTCTCGATACTAAGTTAGAATTTCACGTTTTTACGTATACTTGTATAAAAAATTGTACATATCGTCGTGTCATTTTTAAACGCTTTCTCTTCTTACCATTAGTTTATAAGGAAAAATAAATATATTTCGATAATTGATACCAAGAGATAGGTTTTCCAAGCAATTAAAAATATATAGCTGAATTTAATTTTTGTAGTGAATTTTTAGAAAAATATTTAAGCAAAATGCAGGAAACCCTTAAATTTTTGAGGTGTTAAATTTATGTTAAACGTTTTGAAAGGTTAAGTTCGAAGTAGTTTATGTTTAAAATATGATATTTATGATTTGGTGGTAAATACATGCGTGTGAGTATACGTATAACTGTAAAAACCATAATTCAGTAAGTATGAACAATAAAATGCAAAAAATAAATTGGGAAAAAGAAAGATTGGTCGCCGCAACCTCTCAAGAATTACGCTCGTAACACAAAGTATTTGGTATCGTGGTAAAAACGCACAGCGCAATTGGCGGTAGTAAGGCGGAGTCCGAATTATACCACAAAGAGAACCAATCAGATTTTACCTTATAAAGTAGGATACCAGGGCAGGATATTCGATTAACCAATCCTGTCCTCTAGATACCATATTGAATACATATGTGTATATACGTGACATATCAATGAAACAGAGTCGTATTTGTTATTGCATTCGATTTTTCTTGTTTACGCACGAATAAGAGTCAACAATGTTACGAAAAAATTATAACAAATGAATAAAGTTACATAATTCATCGATTGATAATGAATGACAATTTTTTTGAGAAAATACATGCAAACAAATTTTAGAAATTTTATTGTTTAGAATCATGTCCCGGATATAATTCAATTTTCTGTTAAATAAATAAATAGTTATATCGAGTATCGAGCCAAAGAAAATTTTGAATAACTTGTATGGATAAAAAATAAAAAATTTCTTATTTAATCAAACATAAACGAAACAACAATGTGATTGATTGCATGTTTTTGGTACATTTTCATTGCAATACGTGAATTAATAAAAAAAATATTGTTACTAAAAATTTATAAAAAATAATCATATGCTTACCTTGCTTGTAACGTCAGTATCAATGAATCAAATTTCATCATTTCATCAATATTAATATTTTAATAAGTGTATTAATTTCTATTTTCAAGTTCTAATAAATTACAAAAACTACAACATATAAAACAAACAGCATGCAATGTGCCTTAATAAATTATTCGATATAAAGAATGGTACTATATGTAAACTTAATAATTTATTATAATTGTATATTATATTGCACAGTATATTAATGCTTCGTATTATTAATTATATTTTTTATATTTGACAATCCCAAAACTTAAGATGAAAGTCAAACAAATTGTACAAAATGTAATCGAATTAATGATAGCCTGTGCATATTACCAAATTAAAATTTGTTACGTGTTATTATGTTTTCTGAAAATGTTGAGAACAGAAGCAAGGGGTAATGGATTTTAGGTATTCTTTCCTTAATAAAAGATACCAAAAGATATTCACGATAGCACACAATTCGATTGCGAAACGTTAGAAAAGATCAACAATAAATTCATTTTTGAAATGCTAGAATATTATGTATGTACATAATACAGTACTGTACAATTCTGTTCACGATCGAAGTGTCAAAATTGTGTTTCAATATTGCTAAATTAAAGAACATACCAGCGAATACCAGAAATTTTTGAAAATATCGATCTATTGTTGAAAACTAGATTCTAGCAATGATTAAGTAAAACTCACTGTAGCGTACACGTTAATCCCATTTTCCTGGACATTCCATGTAAATCTACTGCACAAATGTTCGCTTAATCGTTATCTTGGTGTCCATTTTGTTTGGTTAATTACTGAAGAGGCGTCAGTGCTGCCGTGGATTACGTTGACACAACATGACGGCTCTTCCGCGATTGGAGCACAGTATAAATCAAAAATTCAACTTTTTCAAACAAACTAGCGAACAATCACATTAATATCAACTTTACAATGTTATTGCAAGAGGATGAAATAAAATTTTAAACACTATACCAACAATACACATTTCTATTTATGTTTCACATATTGACCGCTTCATTCTTTCCGACAATAACCCAATTCCATAGACGAATAGACAAGAAACGAAACGCTTTCTTGCTTACAAATGTACCGATGGTGTCGACGCATCACGGTGTGTCTCACGAAAAATTTGCAAGTCAATAGTACGCCCTAACAAAATAGTTATATCTCTTTAACAATATATCGTTATACATATAAACATCATAGTTTACCCAACTCGGGAAGAACTTTTTATTCGTATATTATATATGAAACTTCTTTAGATTACTATTAATTCTTATTTGTGAAATGAATTTTATTTTTTATTAAACGAATGAACATTATGTCTTTTGTGTTATTAATAAATAGTAGTCTATAATAATCCAAGGTTAAAATAATTGCAGGTACTTAAGCAAATATGGAAAAACTATTTTTATGCTCAACGACTTTATATATTTTAATGGAATTGTAATTACCTGCGATAAAATGTAGTAATAAAAAATATAATTCTACAAGTATCATAGAAATGAGTCATTATACGAACAAAATTATACAAGAGTTTCCAATCTATGGCATCCATAATTTTCTGTTGTGTGTGCAATTATGATAGTGTTGTGTTTGAGCAATTTACTTTTAAACGAACATATTTAACGAAAGAGGACATATTCTGTTATTTTACAGTGAATGATTAAATAATTGGGAATACATTAACACAGACGAATTTATTACACATAAAAGAAAAATAACTGTATACAGTTGGAAGTTGATATAAATAATTCTAATTTATTGTTCAAAAAGTGCCAAAGGAAATTAGGTATTTGTAAAAATATATTCTTTTTATTAATTATTTACGTTTATACCTGTTTTTTGCAATTTTTTTTTTATTTATTATGTCGATAACAATGCAAGTAAAACAATGAAAACAATGCATAGTTTTGTCCAGTTTGTTTATGGTTTTAATTTTAGTTTTTGTTTTCTTATTTAGTACTTCCCTTTTAAAACTAATTTATTAATGTGTAATGTCGTTATTGCACTTATACCGATAAAATATTTTTTATTATCACAGAAACATGACCAGCACATCACAAAAACATAAAAACTTTGTTGCCGAACCAATGGGTGAAAAGCCTGTTACGGATCTTGCTGGAATCGGAGAAGTTTTAGGACGCAGATTGGAAGCTGCTGGTTTTGATAAGGTATAAGACAGAAATGAAATAAATATTTTATTAATATTTCCTCGATATTTGGAAATAAATGTTAGAACATAATTTCTATTTGCGTGTACTTATATTCGATCGTAAATTTAAATTTATGTGTATTCTTACGCCTGTTGAAAAAATACAGGCATATGTAGTACTTGGACAATACTTGGTCTTAAAGAAGAACAGGGAGTTATTTCAAGAATGGATGAAAGATGCATGTTCTGCCAATGCAAAACAGTCAAGTGATTGTTACCAGTGTCTCTCCGATTGGTGTGAAGAATTTTTGTAAAATAATTATAAAATTAATGTTAATATTGAACAAAATGAAACTGTTACTATAGCAGAATATCTTTTATAATATTTTAATGAAAAATATAAAAACTACTTTAGCGAATACAACATTTTAGACAACTTTACTGTAGCATAATTGGATCAAGTGTCCATGAAAGTGTTTTGATAATTTTAACATAATTGTAATATGATTTGATCTAATTATACTAGAAAACAACAGATATGACAATTTTATGCGAGAGATTCATGTTACTAATAATTTTCGGTTAAATTTTATTTATTTCTCTATAGCCGCGTTCTTAACAAAACAGGACATTCTTTGTATCTATAAGTATGTAGAAACCGTTCAGTGTTCGTATGTTTTATATATGAAATTTACACATTTTTAATTTATCTTGTATAAAAGTGTAAAAAATAAATGGAAAAACTTAATTTGAAAATATATTTTTGGAAGTAATAACGACAATTAAGATGTTTTAATATGCCACAAATATCTAAATAAATGTTGAAACTGAAAAGTTGAATTATTTACAAAGTAATTTTAAATCTCTCCAATAAAAATAAAAATAAATAAACTTTTGTTTAATATATCAATTTTTGACTCGAATTTCTTTTACTATACATGGCAAACATTTGGTTTCATTATGGTATCTGCATATTATTAATGTAACTTGAGTTCTAATTTATTTCTAAAGGCGAAGATAAAATTATTACTTTAAACATAGATGAAAGTACTGTTGAGATTCAAATTGGTTACATCATATCTATTATATCCGAATCAAAATATTTCTGAACAACTTTCAATGCTTTATTTACCTGTTACATTAATTATAATATACAAGAAAGATGAAATTTAAAAAATTATAACTATTCGCAGATACTCACTGTATAGGTTAGGTAGCCGGGAATAACAGTGGTATAGGTACGTACACGTTACTGCAGGCTATAGGTTATCTTTTTCAATTTTGTTACTATTTAGTTATCATGATAAGAATATCATCGATATGTACGAAAAAGTTAAAACAATTTTCACAAAGTGCAACTCCCACTAAAAGAAAGAGAATAGATAAATTAATAATTGAATTCTGTAATTATTCATCACTTCCTATAACAAGGTTATTTTTTAAAAAATATTTCTGTTAAACTAACTTTCATTAATGTAATACAAAACAACCAATATGTCGTCAGAAATACGCCATCGATATCAAACGCAATAGAAAATGTAAGAGTAAACACGAAATTTGAAGAAATGGAAAACTGTTTGAAAACGCAAGAGTGGATGAAGAAAAGTCATATCGAAAATATTTTGGAATACATATACACCGCAGGTATTATATGTACACCCTATATAATATATAAATAATAATTTTTTTCATTATATTTTATATTCGTATAATATGAATCGGAATATTTAAATGTATAAGTTTACTAGAAATATCATTTCTATTATAGATAATATAAAAAGTTTCCAAGCGCTTACATTGCTTCAGTGGTGTAACATTGCAATGGATTGTTTGCCAGCGGAGAGACTTAAGCTTGGAATAAGTATATGGAATTACTTATCTATATGCAGTATGTTATTAATAATTCAATCTTACGTATTTATCTTAGACAATACATAAGTATATATATTTTATAGAGTTCAAAATGAGTTCGTCTCATTACAATACACTTCTTCAAATATATATACAAAACGATCATGATTTCTCGCCTATGGAAATTTTAAAGGAAATGAATCAGAAAAAAATTAATCCAAATAGTATCACGTATCAAAAGTGCATAGAATATTATTGTATGAAAGGACATATTAATTCTGCATTAGAGCTTATTAAACATACGGAAGAACAAAAATTTGTTTTAGACGAGGCTATTTATAATTCATTAATAAATGGATATTCTCAAATTAAGTAAATACATGCGATTATTTAAGTAAACATTTTAAGATTTTATATATATATAATATAAACATATAATGTTTATTCGGTGTTTTAATATTAATATTTAATACCTTTTGATTATAAATTGTTTTAACTTACATATTTTTTAGCGATATAGAAAATGCAACTAAAACTCTAATCACCATGAAAAAGAATAAAATTAAAGCATCTTCGGAGACGTATACCGCTTTGATAAATTTCTATGCTAGAAATAACAATATTGATAAAATTATAGAAATAATTGATACTTGTAAAATAAACAATATTCATTTTTCTAATAAGAATATTTTGAATGTGATTTATGTGTTGGTAGTAAACAATCACACGAAAGATATCGACAAAGTAAGCAATTTCTAAGAATTTTATAATAAAGCATTAATATTTATATTAAGGTGTAAGAACTTTACATTTGTATTTTATTTTAGATGTATCAATATATGAACACATCGACGGCTTTTTCTTATGACGAATTTTATTTTATATTGAAATTAATAAATAGTAATCAAATGGATGTAGTTCTAAATATACTTCCATACATCAAAAACATTACAATTATAGAGTTAATTTTACAAAATATGGTTTACAGCGATACGGTAAGAAAAAACGATATATTTTTATATGTTTTTGATACCATTCGCATTAAATAATATATTTATTATTTTAGACAATTGATCATATTGTTCACGTGTGTACATTCTTAGAGAATGAAAGAATGTATAAAAAGCCTTTACTACAGACACTCTATTATTCATATCTTAAAGATGACGATCATCTGTGTCTACCTTTGCTTATAATGTGTAAACATCGTTATATAATAAAACCACATTATTTTTGGCCCCTTTTAATGAAAAAAGCACAAATCTATGATTTGAAAGGTATACCGTTTGTATAAAAATGTAAACACAGTACAAGTTTCTATGTACCGCGAGTGAAAATGTGTTTCCTCCATTCGCAGGTATTTTAATTATTCTTGAGAGTATGAGCAAGGTATTCAATGTATCACCCTGTATCGATACTGTTACCAATTACGTTTTACCATTTACTTTTGGAACTATACCCGAAGTAAGAAAGATGTTACATTTCTATGGCTTAAATACAATAATTATTGATAATGCTTATGTTTTATTCCTGTTACAAAGGTTTAAACTTAAGCGAGCTGCCAAATATAGTAAGTAAACGATATTTAATACATATTCGCATTCTATAAATTCATAATGAATTTAATTAACGCTTATTTCTTACAGTGCAATATTATCCGAATTATTATTCATATACGACAGTTGAACATGAACTTAGGCAAACTTTAATTATTACAAATGATATAATTTGTTTTGTACATATCAGTAATAATCTAGTAGACGACACGTCTACAAATTTAATGACAATGTACGATAAAAAAGCAAATATATCAGCACATACTGTATCTATGGAAAAACAATTGTTAGACTTCATGATCAATTATCCATTCTACAAGAAATTGTTAGTGAAGGTACGAAATTGTAATTTTCATAAACATTATAAGGACGTAATCTGTATTTGTTATTAAAAATTCTGTTTAAACTATTGTATCTATGACAGTCGGATAAAAGATTTTAATTTCAATTATTTTATTTATTAAGTTTATATTAGCATTAAAGTTATACAAGTTATACATTGTATCAACGATTTTCTATACAAGTTATTATAAATTATTAAATATTTCCAAATTTTATTATTCTTTTAGATAATACTCTATTTGGGAGACAGAAGAGTCTATATATCGCAAAGTACAGCAACAAAGATATATAACTTCTTAAAGGACTATATAGAAGTTGATGTACGATGCGCACTTGAAAATATGTCAAATATAATGGTATAAACTTGGTATTTATAATAATCGTTTTCAGTTCTAATAAATAAAATACCTTTACGTGAAACATTTAGTATTTAATTTAATTTCATTCTAAATTACTATTATATTTACTTTCTAGCGAAAGAAACAGATAAATTAATTGCCAGTGAAACTAATTCAAACAACAAATGAATCCAACAAGAAAGATGTACAATGAGAATCTATAATGCTTAAAATAACATAATAATTATGTTGTAAGTATTTACAATTATTATTAATCCTTACCTAATCGTGTAAAACAATTCAAAACAATTTCTTTTTTATTTAACTATCCGATAATGTATCGTGTACACATGAATAATTAAATTTGTACTTTTCTGAAAGTGTCTATTTCTAGGAAGAGAATACTAGACAAAATCGTAGTTTTCATAAAAGTAATTTAACATGTCTTGTAAATTAAAAGTCATTTATTATTTTATATGACAAATATTTCTTGTACAATTTAAATAATTTTCAATTATCTGTCACTGTTTCTATTTCTTTTATCTTTTTATTCAAATAATGTTATTTTATGGAGTGACAGTTCAACACACGCAAACAATAAGTATGTAACTTTACTAACGGACATATTTTAGACAGAATCATTGCTTATTGTATTTTTCATTTTTTCATTATTTATATTTTGCTGTACTTTTTTTTGAATAAGCGGTATAAAGAACAGTATTAATCCACTAATGGTAATCATACCACCGGCAGTGAAGAATCCAGGATCATAAGACTCGAGTGAATCATACAACCACCCTAAACAGATACAATTTATAAGAAAATTAAAAGATTCATAGTTACAGTTGTTATGAAACTCTAGTTATACCTGCGATAGGTGGTCCTAAAAGTGATGCAAAACCTTGAAATAATAGAAGTAGACCAAAAGCATTTGTAACATGATTCAAACCTAATAAATCTACTAAAATTACAGATGTCAAACCAACATAAGCACCAGACGTGAATCCAAATATGGAAGAATAAAATGCAAATGTTGCAAAAGATGTACATACTGTACTAAGAATTGTAGCTGTAAATGTTAACAAATTAAACTCCGTGACTGTTTATAAATATTTATATTAAATTTAGTAAATTAAATAAACGAAACTTACAAACACCACATATTGTAAGACATAAATTATATACTAACAATCGATTGACCCACGATTTATCCGATATGTATCCCAAAACGATACGTCCTACAGTATTAGCAATTCCAATTACTGCAAGAAGATAACTTGCATCATTTTTATTAATTCCTTGTTCCTCTGCTTGAGGCTGCACAGGAATAAAAATTCATATTATTATTAAGTTTCATGTTTCGTATAAGCTACTAATAAATGAAGTATGATTGAATTAAATTTTCAATATTGGTTGAATAAAAATAGCAAGTTAAAACTTTTAGAAATAAAAGTGTTATAAATTTTGTTGTAATATTTGCAATTAGAGAGTCTTTGATAATAAAGCTATTTCCAACTTGTTTTAGACATAAATTTAATTTACATACATACCAATACGTACACATATGGTACATAAAATCCAATACTGGTGCAAAAGTTGGAAAAGGTAAATAAAATAAATACTGGATCCTTTAATATAGAAATATCCAATATTTCTTGAAAATTACCTATCTTGCTTTTGCAGTAGGCTTTAAACTTTTTATTATTTCTGTTCGAGTATTCTATCTTATTAGGTAAATTTTTTAATGATTCACGAATATAAACCATTTCTTCATTATGTCTTGGTAGCACATTTGGCCTGTAAAATAAATAAAAAAGCTTTTATCAGAGGGCCAAATGTTATTATACATTTTGAATTTAAAGTAGATTGAAAAGCAATTAAGTTTTTAAGGAACATTATTTATAGTTTTAAAATAGTTTAAAAATTAACATTTAGGAATTAATGTAAACAAGAAGTACGGACATTTCTTTCTGGATGTCCTCCAAACTTTCTTCACATGGTACATTTCGAGAGATTAAAGCAGGCTGACTAATGCTGGATATTACACCAGAACCGTTCGTCACCCTTCGAAAACTAACTGTATACAATTTTGTATCATCTTCTTGACTTTTTGCGGAATCCTGCAACGATTAATGAAAGTTGAATATTAAACGAAAAACTTATACTTCAGAATGAAGTGTGTAATAATTCTTAAATTACGATCCGTGGACCTTAAGGGGCGTGCGATTTGTACCAAACTAATTTTGCTTGAAAAAGTGCGACCACGTATAAATAGTATTGTGAAAATCGAGTCACCGTTGTCCACGTAAAACAATAATATTATCATTATTCAAGAACTCTGTACCTTCGAAGAACTTCTTCTTTGCGATTTGCTTGTCTTGAGTGGCCTAAAGAGTGCCCCGAGAATGATGCAATTCAAAACAATCCCGGAACAGATCATAAGCGTTCCCCGCCATCCGTACCATGCTATCAGGTACTTTAGACACGGGGCAAAGACTAACGTACCTAAGCCGGAACCGCATACTGCAATTCCCGTTGCAAGGGAACGATATTTCTCAAAGTAGCATGTAACGCTTACGATCGCAGGCAAATAGATTAAGCCGAATCCTAACCCTGTACAACAATAGTTATTAGTAAATATACAGGGTGTTCGACCAGACCTCGGAAAAATTTTTAATGGGAGATTTTAGAGGCCAAAATGAGACGAAAATCAAGGATACCAATTTGTTGATTGAGGCTTTAGAAACATTCCCGGCCACACAGTATATTCTCGGTAAGGAATTTTTTTCTCGCAAACGCGTAGGAATTCGGGGTTATGTCTGTTGACCAAAAATGATTGTAATCGACCCCCGTAGCCGAAAATAATTTTTCCAGAATGATTTGAAATTTTTGAATTTTGTCGAAAAACTTCACACTTGCTCGAATTTTTTTCTCGAAAGTGCGTAGGAATTCGGGGGTATGACTATTCACCAAAAATGATTGTAATGGACCCCCGTAGTCGAAAATAATTTTTCCAGAATGATTTGAAATTTTTGAATTTTGTCGAAAAACTTCACACTTGCTCGAATTTTTTTCTCGAAAGTGCGTAGGAATTCGGGGGTATGACTATTCATCAAAAATGATTGCAATCGACCCCCGTAGCCGAAAATAATTTTTCCAAAATGATTTGAAATTTTTGAATTTTGTCGAAAAACTTCACACTTTCTCGAATTTTTTTCTCGAAAGTGCGTAGAAATTCGGGTGTATGACTATTCACCAACAATGATTGCAATCGACCCCCGAGGCCGAAAATAATTTTTCCAGAATGATTTGAAATTTTTTAATAACTTTTTAACGAATCGAGAAATCGATATTCTTGATTTTCGTCTTATTTTTGCATCAGGAATAAATATCAGTTTGGTAACATTTTATTTAATTTTGTTTCAGTTTTCAAAACGACATGGCGAACCTACAATTGAAATTGGTAATCTTAAAAACATGTAATGAAGATGTTTCTCATTTCACCTGTTCCAATACCGATCGTCAAATATAGGACTATGATGCGTTGAGCCCACACACTCGCCAGTAAACACGCGCTAGCTAATATAGAACCAGCTATTGTCACTGTTCGGCATCCGAATTTATTTACAAATGAACCTGATATCGGCCCTGAAAATAATTTTTAGTACATATTTTTTTTTACATTTTTAGGAAGCCGTAAAAACTATGGTAAACAAGAAATTTACCCGAGCACAATGTGACACCCACTAATATCGACGCAACCCATGCCGTTGCACCTTTTCCTTCTTGAAAGTAATGTAGAAATTCTAAGTAAAAGACACCGAAGGAATAAGTCACGCCATCGGCTGAAATAACGAACAATGATTGTCGACACAGCTACATTTCCAATATTGTAACAATTCTTCGTTGGAATATTGCATTACAAATATTTTAAAAACATTACGAAGCAACTATGACCTTGAAGCTTAAACACGTTTTTCTCGAAACAGCATTTTTTTTAACCGACGTGCACGATATTTCAAGTTATTGTTGATCGAATGGCTTGAAATTTTTGTAAAATTTTTAGCAGATGTACAAATTTTTAAAAATATTTACATGTAATTATATCGATAATTTGGTAATCTTGTATCACTGTTGTTGAAGACACGAGGAAGATCTTATTTATAGAATGATTTTATAATAGATTTCAAGAATTCCATTTGTAAGCTAAATTATACAAGGCGTTTACGCGTTTACTTAATTTTGCCTTGTGCAATTCTTTTGTAACTTTAACAACTTTAAAAATATAATTTTTCTCGGTTGCAGGTAGAAATCGTGTAAAAGGGAATACGTTTACGAGATACGTTTACTTTCGCAAAAATTAAGGAAGAAACAGATGTGCATATACCGAAAACAACATTGTCGGAATCGCGTGCATATCGAAACGTATTTGCAAGGCCAATTATTTTTCGAACGATTGCGCACTGATAATATTATTTTGCTTTCCGTAAGCAACGCGATGGACATTCCTTAATTTCCGCGTTCGATTAAGCTCCGTTTCGGAATGGAAAATTGATTGGCTAGAATCACCAGTTGACCAAGTTGAACACGTATCGTAGATCTGCGTGTTCCGGAGAAAGCATGTCACAAATCTCGAGTATCATATTTTTTCTCATTCCGCGGCACTAATGAGAGATAGAAAGTTTAAAAACCTAGAAGACTTTGATCGACTTAATCGCGCTTTGTTCGACCGGAACAACGATGATGCATGCGCGCGCACGAGAGGATACGAATCGTTTGGATAGAACAGTTTTAATAAGATGTAAAATGGCTTCGAACAGATTCTAAATATTTTAAATATTTTTTAGACCACGAGAGGATAGATCATTTACATTATACGCTCCATTACAGAATCCACACCTTGATCCGAGAGAAAATTTGCGACCAGAACATCGGAACAAATGTCGCAGAAGAAAATAACGGAAACAAAGCATAGAATTTCAACTTAGATACTATTATAAGACGACCGGGAAGAAAAGGAGCTACCGCTATTGCAAACGAAGCGACCAACACTTACACCAAATGAAGAAAAACCAGTTTCATACCAAGACCTCGTAACCCAGATAAAACATAATTTAAAAAAAGAATGGAGCAAAATGTGGACCACCGCCATTATCATGGAAACCAGTTAATAAAGCATAGTCTCGATGAAAAATCCGTTTAAAATATTTTTTATCATATTTATACGGTAAAATGAGGTGAAAGAAACAAGGAGTTTGGATACGGGATATTGTACAATAACTGTTCTTCATGATAATGTAAGAAAAAAGAATCGAATTTTTGAAAGATTTACGGTAGAATACCTACTTAAGTGGCTTAAAGAAAGAGGTTCGCATCTATCGTAGTTGACAGACAAGGAGTTATAAAGAATGTGTTACTAATACTCGAATAGTGACTCAACTTTATAATACAAATAGCTTTTAAACCATTCGCTTGAAATATTAAACTATTTTCGTTTGTAGTGTCAATCTCGAACACAAAACCTGTACAACGTCCATATGCGTTACTGTTTATTCGCGTGATATCGCGTACCGTTTTACGTGCGCTGTATAACGCAATGACCAAAGATATCATTCGTGCGATTAAGTAGCATGTTCGAAATGAAATTAAAATGGTAACGAAATCAGAAGAATGTTTGTAAACAATTTTTCAAATAAGAAAAGGGACCTCTGATCGCGAAATGCTTAAAATAAAATTAATATTAATCGTATACAGTGTCCATTACGAATGACAACCAATAATTAGTCGATTCATAAGTAAAGCTGTCAACAATATCTTCGTTCTGTTGGAACAAAAATTACAAAGGTTAAAGCCTATATCGTGTTTCGTAAACTTGATTTTAAGTTTCATAAAATTAGTATAAACATGCTTCTTATTAGACAGCGTATGTTTATGCAAATAAAATCTTACAAACATCCTGTATTATATTTCGTTGCCAAAAGATTATTGGTCCGATCTGGATCACCGATTCAGCGATTCGGATAAATACTCAAATTGTTTTTTCTGTGCCGGAAAAGAATATAGGGTGTTCGTAATGTTATATTTGCATAAACATCGTGTGGAGTAAGCGTCACTGATTATTAGGGAGTATAACGAGATGAGAAAAAAATCAATTACATACTAATTACATGGATCAAGAAGGATGCAAGGACAACGACGTAGCCCCATCCTCCATCCGGTGGTAAGGGTTGTTGCATGGTATCCGACGTGATGTGATCCATTGATTTACAGTCGACATTTTCGCTAGTACTTTTTTTATCGTGTTTATTTGTCTCGTCCGAGGAACTGGCAGTCGTGTGTGCCATGAGTTGCAATTGCAGAACTTAGCGAACGTTCTTGCCCGCGATACCAAGTACCGTGCCGAGTTGGTGCTCATGATGGAAGGGAACAAAAGAGGAGAAGGGGAGATCCTAACAGACGCGAAGACGTCGAGAAGCATGTAGCTTTGAGTCATACAGAAAACTCGATATAGTCAATGGTCCGTCCTGCTGGGTGGTTACGAGAGCCTCCTGGGGCGCTCGTGGCAGTCATCCCTCAACCACCAAGCAAGACGTACTAGAAAAAAGTATTAGACAACATTTCATTTTGATTTAGATTAAAAATCAAATTTATATTGTTTTAAATTCGCAGCCATTAGCTCGGTGTTGCCCATAATGAAGAAGTTCGTCTTCAAAGGTAACACCGATTACCAGGTCTCACCACGAGGAGGTTGCTGCGAGCGGAGACCCAAAGTTCGATCAATCTTCCTTTTTACAGACTTAGAAACTAGACGACGCAACTAAAAAGATGCCAAGTAATTACTTTTCTAAAACAAAGGAGGAAGCTAAATTGTGGGAGATTAATTTACACTTTTCTTAATGTTTCATATCACAAACTAAGTTCGTTAATATTAGTTATTATGCATTTATACATAGGTTGCATGTAACAGGTACTCAAATTTTGTGTCATTCGTTATTTTATTTGAATCAAAAGTTTGTTAAACATTATACTGACTGGCTTTTTTTTTTTTGTCGTGGGGAAAATCTTCGAAAGACTCCCTCCCACCTCTTTGGGGAGAGGCGGGAGGGGTGTGTGGGATTCCCCGCGCCCATTATAACTGGCGCGGGGCCTACCCACTAAAAACCCCACGGTGACCCTTCCGCACGATTTGGGAGGACACCGGGAATCGCTCGAAGCATACTTCCGGTATCCTCCCCGTGCCCGCGCTTTGCGCCCAACCGCGGGGGGACAAACGGTTCCCCCGGCAATCGCCCTGTCTCATAGCGGCATCATCGTCGTCTTCATCTTCATTGTCGTCATAGTCTTCGTAGGCTGCCTTCAGCCTCCCCACCAACTCAGCCTTCTTACCTGTCACCTTCAGGCCCAAGGCGCGGAGTCTCGTCTTGACTTCGTCTTTAGAGAGCGCGTCGAAATCTTCTTCGCCACCGTCATCATCCCCAACGTCTGTCGTCGTCTCTCTTCCGCATTCTGCATGGTACCCCTCAGTCTAACGGCCCGCACGGCCTTAGATCCATTTTTCGAACGGCCAAGCTCCTGCAGCTTGCTCCGCAGCTCCTCGGTCGTCATCGATTCGCCAGCGGGAACAGATTTCTCATTCGAAGACTGCATTTTGACACCTTAAATACACCGCGTAATATAAATCTTCTTGCGGCCGTCTGCCTATCACGCGCTGCACATCACCATATACAAAGTTACTGTCCAGAATGAGGTTCTGCACGACCACTGTGTCGCACGTCTTGGACAACGCGAATATTCACGCACAACCAAAAGGTAATTTTGCCAACATATGATCCAATTCGATCACGGACGAGCCCCCACTATTGTAGGATCATACGGATCAGGGATTGACAAACACCCGTTGATATTTTAGCAAACGAATATATTTTAACAGAGAAGACAAACGATAATTTACAGGATTGATGCGCGTTCCTCCAGCTCGTCGACTCGCCCACGTTGTCCTTTAATGTAACGTTCGGGCCACCTGAGTCGACAATCGCCCAACGTTCGCGGAACGAAGGCTCTCGTTAAGAGCGAGAAGGCAAATGTGAGCCTTTCTCTCTCGACTTCCACGAAGCGGTCCGAAATTACGACGGTGCTATTCTGGCATCACTGGCGCGTCGGGATATGTCGGCTTTCCCCACCACTTCGTTGAACGCTAAGGAAGTTCGTCGTTACTAATGTCGCCGTGGATGCGCTCAATTATGCCAGATCTGGCCACATTGGTCACAACCTCTTTGTACCAATAATAATATTTTGCATACTTTTTTTTGAGACTACATCGGTGCATCGTGGACTCTGTCTGGCATCGCTGCTATATATTTCAATTATATTTAGTAGGACGTGTCAGGGGTTTACAGCTTCAAGTGTACTTGAAACAAAATAATTTGTAAATATTAATGTAGGAAACGTTGTGACGTGTAAAAGAAAAAAAAAAACAATCGTATGAAACGTAACGAGAAATTCGTGTTTCTTAGTTTTTAAATACTTCGTTGATTCATTGGGAACTGTGCTCCGTACTTGTATTTGTGAACGCTTGACTTATTAATGGTGATTCCATAACAAATGTATATTTGCATGCCGCAGTTATGTGCTTCCATTGTGAAAACATAATTGTTTTATGGTGATAATATGTCAAAATCAAGCATAAGGAAAATAACGGTTGACCCTACGAAATGTAATACAGACTCTCGTCGACCAAGTGTATTTGAGAGGTTGGGGACAAAACCAGCAGTCACTGCCGGCCAAAATTCTTCGGATTATTGCAGAAACTGGGCATTGAATGGCAGTTGTTCATATGGGAAGAATTGCAAGCAAGTATAATTTTGTAATTACTATATTTACAAAAATTACCCGATACATACTACTGCATGATTTAACCGAGTAATTATATTAAGAGATAAAATGAAATTCTATGTTTATTTACATAAGTAGCGTTACCTATTCAACGTAAAATAATTTTTCTCCTTTCTTGACATCGAAAATAGATATGCAAATACTCACACGTTAATAAGTCCATCAAAGCGTGCCAAGAAGGATAATGCTATTGCGAGTACAACAGGAGTAAGTATATAATTTGTTAATTTCTATAATTTTACAATAAAGTATCCTAGCAAAGATTAACACATCCCCTACCAAATGTCACGTGTACGTGATATTGATAATTTTGAATTTTATGTCTGTAGGAAAGCCAAAGTACAAAATATAAATCAGTTTCACGTTATGCGACATATTATTCAAAATATTAAATTGTTCTACTAAATACATTTTATTTGTACATAGGTAACACCATATACTGTGTTAATCCTTATGTTGGCAACAGGTTATCCGGGTGCCCATTCCTATATTCTCTATAATATTTTTTATGTTCTCACAAAAACATTGCAAAATCGTTCCAGATCCTTATTTCTTGGATGTCTCTACATCGATTTATGCAAAGATGTAGGAGGAATATTATTTAATGTAACTTGCTTCAACCTATTCGCCATACTTTTTATTACCTAACTTAGTAGAAATATATTCTGTGATTGCACATTCAATAATTGGCATTGAATTATTCAAGATAAGGGAAAATAAGGGAATAAAAGGAAATTTAAGCAAGATAAGGCTTCCTTCGTCGTTGGACCAAAATCTATCATCTATTGAAGAATAGGAAGTTGAAAAGTAAATAGCGGGAGATCTTCATAGAAGAACATGTATATAAAGAAAAACATTGATAATTGATTTTATTATCAGACTATATTATAGTTTTATATAATTTATTGGCATGAATCATTTAAAACTGTATTTTCTGAATTATATAAATGGAAAATTAAAAGTTTCAGGAAAAATATGGGAGTGAAACTGTCATTCTATATTTTATGTCTGGTAAAAATATGCTTAAAGTACCTGGGTAGCCCAGTTACCGAACAAGCATAAAAAATGCAATTGCCAACATAAGGGTTACATAAAATGACTACAAAATTAGTATAGTCTGCGGCAAATGGTTTCCCAATTGAATGGTGGCAGTGAATGTGTTAAAAATGTATTAATGTTTCAACCGGAGATAGATTTTTACATATATATTTATCAATATGTAGCTTATTGAGGATCCGTTTAAAAGGCTTACTTCTAAGATCGTAAAAAAGGCATCGCACAGTCCTGATTTAAATCTAGAAGAGTGGAATCAGACAGATTTGGAGTACGAGGACGAGAAAGTGTTGGAAAGGCGTAGACAGCTGTTACAACGTGAACTGGAGTTACAAATGAAGAAAGATAAAGAAGTTCATGGAAAGGACAAAGTGAGACAGAAGAAAAAGGCAATGACGTCTTCCTCTAGTTCTCGTACTTCAAGTACATCTAGCAGTAGTACTAGTTCTAGCAGCGAGGATTCGTCTTCTAGTTCAACGTCAGATTCACGAAAGAAGGTTAAAAAAATTAAATCTAAACGGCATCATAGTGGTTCCACAGATTATGATGAAGATAAGGAAAGACGAAGAAAGTAAGTTATTGCGTTTGTTGGAACAACAAAATTTAATTTCCTCTCATATTTTTAATACTCATTTATTAGGCAGAATTAATTTTATCCATGAAATAATAAATTTAGTTTTCGTTGATACAATGAAATATATGAATACCATCTTGCTTAAAGATATGTTATAAAAAGATGACGCGGTTCGACACTTTTACGCGCCACTATATTTCCTTTTTTGTCTGTTGTGTATATGTAAATATTTTTACTAAAAGTTACTACATTGGCAGATTGAAATTGAAAAGACTTGGAACGAAGAACGAGAAACCGGCAGTTAAGAAGAAACGCAAGTTTGAAAGTAGCTCTACGAAGAAAGACGTTACTGCTAGGTCAACAAAGAAGTATACCTCTACAACAACATCAAGGAAACATTCTTCTACTCCTCGCACAAGATCACCGGTAATACAAGTGCCTGTAACGGTAACAGTCGCAACAACGGCAGTGTTAGGTTCCTCGGTATCTGTACCCCATCATGGAACAACTAACAAAGTTCGAGAACGAAATAGAAGCGAATCTCCAAAAGCAACAAAAAATCGAGACGTCGATAAAGAGGACAGGCATTATAAAAAAGTACGAGACGTGGACGAATTATCGAAAGATAACACTAAGAATAAATCTCTTGAGAAAAACAAGGAGCAGGATAAAGAAAAAAATCGTGCAATAGATGAAAAAATGAAACCCGATGAAAGGTTAAAAGTGAAATGTAAAGACAAGGAAATACGCTCCAGAACGCCACCGACGTCTGATAGATCGAAACATCAGCATTCGAAGGAAACAATTTCGACGAAAACACGTCGTAGTCGTACGCCTGAAAAATCGTCAAAAACAAGACAAGAGCCTCCTTCGTCAAAGACCCAAGACAGACAGATTTCCACAAATAGATCTCGAGATATAGAGAAGAAAGATCGCGAATCGCATAAAAATGAGAAAACCAAAGACAGGGAAGATATCAGAAAATCTGAACAAAGTAGTAAAACCAGACAAATGCCGAGCCAAGAAGAAAATCATAGAAGAATTGGTAAAGAATTTGACGACAAAGCTTATGTCGGTGATAAAACACGGCAAAAAAGTAGAGAGAGACGTGATAAAGACCATACGAGGGACGAACGTGGACATTCGAGGCTTGGTAGAGATCAACGAGACCTTCGAGACAAGGATAAAGAAGAATTACCGGAACGATGTCGCGAACGACAACGAGAGAGGGATCGTGAACGTGATAGAGATCGCGAACGCGATCGTGAAAGGGACAGAGACAGGGATCGTGATCGTGAACGTGATCGAGACCGGGATCGTGATCGGGATCGGGATCGTGACCGTGACCGTGATAGGGATCGTGACCGTGATAGAGACAAAGAATCAATAAAACCAAGGGATAGAGATGTCCCGCCTCTGGTTCCAACCTCCATAAGTTTAACAGCGGATAAGAATTCCCGTTATAGTCGGGACAAAGAACGGATAGTAGGAAAGGATAATGCCTTTGAGAAGAATGGTACTCGTGAACGTAGAAGCGATAGAGAAAGGGAACGATCTGAAACGAAAGCACTTTCTGATCGAGATAGAACGTCTACCCAACGAATTGATAATAGATACGATAGAAGTACTGTTGATAAGGATGCGTCTACACGTAAAGCAGGTGTAAATTCACCGAGAGATCGCGTTGATCGTTTCCCGCGTGAAAGGTCTTTGGACAGAGCATCTTTGATCGATAAAAATGTACATAATGTGCCACCGCCGTCGCAAGCAGCTTCTTTACCACCTGTTCAATCCTCCATAGCGTCTTCATCGTCCTCGTCCGCGCCAGCTACTCTATCAACGTCGCGTGATAACTTAATCGACAGAATAGATCCTGGACATTATGATCGAGAAAGGCATCGACGATTTAGTACAAGGTATGATCGAACTCATACAGCCGAACATGATCAGTCGCGTATTACACCAACCAAAGTTGATCGTTTGATCGAAAGACGAGAGACTAGTCCACGGCGTACTATCGAAATAGATAGAAATTATAACAGAAATTATGGTCGATTGTCTGAGCATTGGGACGAACAAGAGGAGGCGTCGACGCATTTGGATTACCGTGAGCATCATGTTCACGAAGACGATAGAAGAAAAACTGCTGATGGAAGAAGATACGATAGCCCGTTCGACGAAAGACGTGGGATTCGCGAAGAAAGATCTCGAGAATCCAGATACGTTGTTCAAGCAACGGATAGGACATCTTTCGAGGATCATCGACATCATCACTATCATCACAGACACCCACTCTACCCTGGAGAGAAATTAAGGAGCAATGCGTCGATTCGGTACGTGAATAATCTTAATATATTACCAACACATTGACATACAAGTAAAACGTAACTCGATGGTACCCGACAATACCAACGATATTTAATATGTTTCAAATATGAAACCTTGTGTTTACTTTTTATCAGAGATGAAAATGTTCCCAACGATGATTGGGATAATCATCATCGTGATGTGGAACACAGCAGAGAACGAACTTATGGGCCAGTTGACTGGGAGGAAAGAGAATGGCGAGTAAGAGCATTGTGGGATAGCAGAGATAGTCTTCCCCGATCGGAAGTGCACGATGACGACTGGAATTCTCGATATGACAATTCTGTATCGGACTGGAAGTCAAGCGACACCCGAAAATGGGATAATCAATCCGTACATATACGTGGCCATTATAGAAACGATCGATCGAAGGAATTAGAAATAGGAGAATCTACGTCGCATAAGTATGCTATCTATTAACAATCAACTTTGTCCTAAACGAAAAAATGTCAGAAGTATATAAACTATAAATGTAATTCCGTGTTTTTTTTGTCCAGCAAAAGGAGATCTTATAATAGTTCTGAAACTAGAGACGAGTGTACAGTTCATACCTCCAAACAAGCATCCCTGTATGGTAGCATGAAAGAAGAACCTATCAATAAAAAATTAATGGAACTCGCTGAAGGTAAAATATCTACAACTCGGGAGAAATCTACCGACAGTTTTCAAAAGAAGACATTGCCGAAAGAAAAATCGGAAGTAAAAGAAACGGTTACGAGCGAACCAAAACGTTCTTGTATCGATGAATCTTTGCAAACTCTTCATACCGAAAGTGATCTTAGTGATATTAGTGATGATCCAGACGATATACTAAATATGGAAGATATTACGGTATACATTATATATTCTATTTCATTTTTCTTTAGTTTCATATTTAATTAAACTCTAAAGATTTGCAATATCGATGCTTACAGGATGTTGATACGAGTAAGACACGGGCAAATAAGAAAACTCCCGATATTATACAACGGGATGTCCAGTCAATAACTCAAGAGGCAGATCCATCGTCACCCAAGGAAACTATAGAAGAAACAGTTTTTAATACTAAAGGAAAAGATAACACAGACACGATGTCATTTAGGTACTACATTTAATTTTTTATTACTTATACAGAACTATGCGGTTAATTTTTGCAGACAGTTAGCAAATTTTGTATATTGTGTATATTGTTACAATACATTTATATTAATAATTATATAACTAACATTATATGTAGAAACATGGAAGACGATAATATGGAAACTATGGACTTTGAAGAAATTTCCGACGGTGAACTGGAAGAGGACATTAAAACCAGTGGTAAAGGTTTAGGCGATGCTTTAGGTGTCGATTGGGAAAGCCTCGTGAAAGAAACACAACCACGAAGATCTGTATCGTGCAATCAAAATGCTGAAAACCGTTGGCAGTGTAAAGCGATTCTCCATAGAATTGGCGTTTCAGCGAAATACGCAGGCGACGATCTAATGAAAAAATTAACAAAAAAATATGGAAAAGATGGTAAGTCGTTCATTATATTTGTTTTAAAAATTAATTTTAATTATACTTATTATAATGAATATTTATTTACAGATCACTCGGAATTTTTTCTTCACAATATTGCATTTATGCACACAGCACTTGCACGGAATCGTCTGTTACATGACTTGAACAATGATATATTGCCCGCGGTCGATGATTTTCTGTATAGGTAAATAGACTTTACACGATCCTTTTAACACGTTTAAAATTTTCTAGGAGATAAAAATTTTATTTTCAGACAATTTAAAACTACATTATGTAAAATTAGAATGAATTTTATATGATTTTGTTATAGGAATGGCAATGTAAATAGTGAAGAGGATTGCGAGGACGTGGATTACGATTTAGAAGTTCTGAGACCTTGTACAACTTTATACGAAGAGGCAAAATGTTTGTTACAACAAACTGTGTGAAAAGAACTTTTACTTGTAGGACATGACTAACGAAATTGCACTTCGCTGCTATATTATTAGTATATTTTAGGGCAAAAGTGCACCGATTTGTTATTATTCAGCTAAACTAGTTCAGCCTATTTATCTATTTGCTACAACTAATTTAGCCATTGGTGATGCAATGTAGAAAAAAAAATTAAATTGATACAGTTTTTTAAATACGTAACTCTTTGATTTACCATAACTGAATATCCTTTTGTAAACTATACAATTATTAAATCGTGCTCTTCTTATAACAATTGATGTTGAATATTACCATAGATAATTTTTTTCAAAAAAATATATTTTGATAACAAGAACGTTAATAGCAATTTATATTATAATGTTTTCTTTAAATTAAACAAAAATATATTCATCATAGGTAATTAAATTTTAAAAAAGCATTCTTTTGGACAACGTTATTTTTTTTTTAGTATTTTTATATTGCAAACTTTATAACTTGGTAATTTCGATTTTTATCAAATATATTACGAATTAAATTTTGTGTACGCTTAAAAACTATTTATAGAGAATAATACATATAAGTATACATTTATAATACGAAAAGATGAATTTTACCTTATTAAAAATTAACTGTTTCCTTTATATTATTTTTCAGGCGACAATTGATATTATTTAAAAAAAGAATTTTTTGTCATATTCGAAAGTAACAACCGCAACAACGTCATTCTGCAATATAGCCATTGCTTTTTCTAACAGATGCTCGTTCCCGTCGTTCTAAAATATGTATATGTATTATGTAAATATTAAGCACATCAGAGTAACATAAATAAATAGATTACGAACGCACCTGTATAGAAAAACGTCCATCTTCATTTTTAATATTTTGCTTCTGTCGAAGTCGTTTCATTTTTTCAACGTTTGTGCAATATAATTCATATAAAATGAGACCTATAATATGAAAACAAATTAACTTAGAACAAATATTCTACAGCTAAATCATTTAACAAAATAATTTACCTCTCTTTTTACAGTTACCACAATTCAAATGGTCTAAGACAGAGAGTAAATCATTGCAGTATTTCCATTTTATATCGAGTTCGTCGTCGGTTAAATCTGACATTGTTTAAATTAACATTGATTAATATAATATGTATTGTACCGTATTACTGAAATTACACGACGAAAAGTGTTTATTCGGTACTGCATATACATCGTACCTGCCCACTCAAGATTTTCAGTTCTACCATAATACGAAATAATTCGGAACTTTAAGTCCATCATGAGATAATTATTTTTAGGAACCACAGTTGATAGTTCCGTTTGCATAAATTTCAAAATCTGACGTGGCGTTTTATACAAAGATTCTTCCATTATAGCCGCCAGGCCGGAACGAATCGAACGTATCTAACGAAAACGGAAAAAAACAAAGTGCTTACAATCGAAAGTTATCGAGACCAAAAGATAATTGAAAAATTGTTCCAAACAGTGTTCATCGGTTTCCAGATATTTTCGGAAAACTATTTCAGACATTTGTTATAAAACAAATGAATTTATTATCTAGATAAAATCAAAAATGTACAATTTTTCAATTACCTTTGAACTAGCGTGATTTATTCATTCGAGGTTATTTGAAGGTTATTAGTATAGTCGTTGGAATTCATCTTGATGTGCACTGCGATGCTGCATCATAAAAAAATACATATTAATGTGCAAAAGAATGGCGATGACATTCAAAGGTTTGAAAAAAAATGACCTCGAAAGAGAGACAATCGAATCGTGGTGTTCTTAACTTGAAATTTAAGTTTGTTGTGACACGTTTCTTTTTATACCAACGAAAATAATGAAGATATTAAAATGTACAATATAAACAATACACAAGTGAACACGTAAATGTTCGTTAATGTTTCGTACAAGATTATTTAAATAAATGGATAGATACCTGTCGATCGTTTATGATCATCGAACATTTATCGCATATCCAAGGGGATCCTATTTTAAGGGGATCTCGGGGTAACAGATTTCCAGAACAGTCATCGGATGCACAATAAAGCGCTCCTAATCTAGATCCGAATTCCTAGTATCATGTAAGTAATATAGACACATGAAAATCACACCGTTCAATTGTTATGAAATCTTATGAGAAATATAGTCTGAATAAGAATAATTTATTAGACGTTTTTACTTAATTTCGATCATTTTCGGTATACAAAGTAAGTCTTGCAACCGAGCCATGCTGTAGCTCTGTTCTAAATGAAAAAAATCGCGGAGGAATATTTTATTATCCTGCGATACGATTCTTTCGAAGTGCATCAGTGCATTTGCATTTATTCTTACCGATTCTTCGACGATTTTTTTCGTTTTACAAATTTTTTCTATCGAACTGTCGATGATCTTACCTAATACCATTTATTCGCAGAATGAAGAGGAATGGAAGGAGGAAGTAACCGAACGACAGAAACTTACGGGATGACGTAATGCACGCAGGATGTGCTAGTAATCGTAATAGAACCGAGAAGTGGGTGATTCTTCGTACAAAAACAAGAGTACGATCGAAAATATAAAGTACAATTTTTTTTAATCGGTTGTTAGGAATATGAATTAACTTCGGAATCCGTTAAATCGAGGGTTTAGTATACTTAACTCTATAGTCGCCCATCATTGCACATTCGTTGTATCCTACTAATGACTATAGTCGGTCATTAAAATTTCATGTATATTATTAAACATGTATTTATTTTTAAGTTCTTATACAGGGTGTTCGGGCCACCCCTGGGAAAAATTTTAATTGGAGATTCTAGAGGCCTAGATTCTAGATTTCTTGATTGAGGCTTCATTAAAAAGTTATTAAAAAATTAAATTAAAAAATTTCAAATCGTCCCGGAAAAATTATTTTCGGTTATGGGGCTCAATTACAAGCATTTTTTGTGAACAGACATACCCCCGAAATCCTAACCACTTTCAAGAAAAAAATTCATTACTGGCGGAACTTTGAACGTTAATAACTTTTTAACGAAGCCTCAATCGAGAAATTGATATTCTTGATTTTCGTCTTATTTTGGCCTCTAAAATCTGCCATTGAAATTTTTCCCATGGTTGGCCGAACACCCTGTATATTGCTCGAATACAACTTATTAAATTGACTCTAATTTTTGTACTCTATAACGTTTACAGACTTACCGTAGGATCACTGCATCTTTCGCATACGCATGAAAAATGTTTAGTGGCGTTTAAAAATGGCCTCCGCAGCGTTGTGTCCCAAAATAAGCACGTGTAAGACATAGTAAGCTCGTCTCCAGCAAAAATTGGGATTGCGGCGTTAACGTACAGCCGCTGCTCCTCATCGAAATGATGTCTCGTGTTCGGTGCGCAGGAATGATTTTGCAACGCACCCATCGGATAGAGCCCACGCAAACTAGACGAATGGTCTTTATCCCGGACGCTAACAGTTTCGAACGCGTTCGTGTCGAACGCTCCGCAGACGCGTCTCATGATTTTCAAATCCTCTTCGCTCGGTGGATTCGCCACGTTCCGCTGAAGCAGCTCGATCTTGCGGCAAACATTCATCGATTAAAATTACGAAACAAGAAAATGAACAGTTCGTTAATTGAAATGTTTGAAGAAAGGCCGGGGGGAAAAAATTAACATTAAAAAAATGTTTGCTGTGAATCGTTGTACCTGTTACCGCGAAGATTGTAAAACGATTTAAAGAATACGCATAGACGACAGATCGTCGCACGAGGTGGCTACACCTCTGCACGTGTACCCCGTCGTTCGAAGCTCGACTAAGAACCTTCTTATGTCTCGTCCTGATCGAAGTACGCAAATACCCAGTGCCGTAAATAATTTGTATCCGGTTGCCCCTGCCTGAACTTATCCCGGTCTTATGATACGACTCTTAGGTCTAAATTAAAATAAATTTCTTAAAAGTATTTAATTTTAATGTTATCGCACGAGACTGCCCCTTTAAAATTCAACTCCTACTTCTTTTTTTTCCAGGCAATGATGCAAATGATCCGTACCTCGTGGTCAGGATTAAGAGTCTGGTCGCACTGGAGCACGGCCAAACAATCACGTTGCTGTTCCGTCATGAAACACGCGCGTATCGGTATCACAGCTAGCAATAAGTTCAAGGACCAGTCGGTACCGCAAGTTGGTACCAACGACCTGAGGTACTTGCATTCGTAGTCCGTATGGTTCGGTGAATTCTCGCATTGCGCCGAGCACACCGGTAGACCGCAGCCTCGATCGCACGGAAACAGCGGGCACTCGTTCTTGTAACAGCACACGCACATTTCAAGATGTTTGCCTCTGCATTTCGGGCCGATTATCAACGGCGCGTCTACGAATATCAACTCGTTCGGCTCGATGTCACGCGTGGCGAACAAACCACGACCGCTCAGTCTGGAGTAACCGACGTTCCACGGTTGTTCACCGTTCCGATAAACGTTGTTTTCTTTTAAATGCGACAACAACACTTCCCTCGTATGGCCCGGCTCCATAATGCCTGGAAAACTCATATCGTATTTGACACGCCGCGTGAACGAATCGATGAAAAGCTGTACTATACGTTTAGAACCAAGAGAAACGTTTGTTAACGTCTCCGACGGCGGTACTTGCCGTAATGTTCGCGTTCTTGGATCACATCGTGGTATATATACGTTTCGGTAAATCCTTGGATTATGTAATACACCCATACTTACCTGTATATGCAACCATACGCGGCTATGCGTTACGTTGACCTTAGCGCCCGCGAAGATGAATGAAAAGTTTACGTTTGGCGGAAAAAAACCGTTGATCTTCGAAACCGAAGATTACCGGGGGAAATTGCACAGCTACGAGGTCCTCGAGCCTTGGCGCGCGTACATGAAAGAGTAGTGGTATTATTTTATGCACACAGATTCGGTTTAAAATAGAGTTGGGATTTTGTAACAGCCACTCGCATTTTGGCATCTATTATTTTCCGCTCTGTAGTCGATCGTTTCATCTCGAACTGCTTGCGAGACGAATGACGATAAAAAAAAATTATGGCGTTACCGCGATACGCCGTGTTCATTTTAATGTAAATGGAATAGTAAATTTTATATAACGACTGTTAAATAGATTTTACGATTAGTATGCGTTGGTAATGATAACGTTCGCTCGTTTATTTTAGCATCGATAGAATTCGACATTTTCGAAATAGAATAGAAATTATTATCGATGAAGCAAAGTTTCACGCAAGCGTATCCGATACATGTCACTGCTTGTGTAGCCAAACGTTGCTAAGACTACCAGGTAGTCCGACTACCTGCAACGAATACCATCTATGCTAACAAGTATATATGTTATATATGGAGAGACGTATCATCGAGGAACAGTGTATAAATTGACCAAAGGCGTCGTTATAGCTCGCGATTCACATTTCTTTAGTTGATTCGGGCAATCGACAAATACGTTGAAACGATCTATAGGTGGAACAGTGAACGAATCGCGTTGAATAAAAGTAATATTTACGTCGATTTTATTTTACAGGTGTAATTTTTATACGCTGACCGTGCATGTACGCTTTAACGACGACGTTCGTTCGAGCAACAAATTTAATCGAAAACACATGTATCTTCTAAAGGTCTTCAATTACTTATAGCAAACGCGTACAACTAGAGCCACGCTGTTTTCATTTAGAATGCATTATACAAGAGCGCGGGCAGAGAAATTCATGAATGAGAGAATCATTGTTCTGACGACTGTCCTGGCTTTAACGACCGGTTTTTCACGAGGACTGAATTGCAGCGGCGATCCCTGTATGTACGGGATTTGTTTAGAGGACGCGAACAGGTACATAAATAAATAATAGCCTTAGTTCGATCTAAAAATATTAGAACGACAAACGGTATACCTCGGGTCAGAGTTGGGAAAATCTTATTCGCGATCGACGAATAAAAATTTTAAATACTCGCTTTTTTAAAGTTAAACTGATCGACACCGTGAAATAAAAGAGGGGGGTCGATCGGTTTGGCTTCCGAGAAGCTTCGAAATTAATGAAATTAATCGTTTATAGCACCTACTCCTGCTATTGCATCGACGGTTATACCGGAATCAACTGCGAAATTAATTGGGACGACTGTTGGTCTAATCCATGTCTGAACGGAGGGACGTGCAACGACGCCGTTGCAGCGTATAATTGCACCTGTGCAGAGGGTTTTGTAGGTAACTCGTGATCCCTGCGTTTACCTTCTATCGCATGTGTGATACTCGACACGCCGAAGTGTTAGCACAGAGAATGATTAAACGATGTTCGAGCGTGAGGTTTCCTTGACCCCTTCACGTACGATTCCGTTATAAGTAATATTCCAAATGTACGCTATTTCATTTTGTTTAAATTTTTTTTGGTACATATTTGGTAAAAATGTGTTGATTTTAATATATCGGAACGAGCGTAATAATTATGACACTCGGTACACAGAACTTATGGCTCGATTTATCAGATTTTTATCAGCGCGCAGTTTGAATAAATTTATGCGTTTTCATGGCGTGCTCTCCTATATTTACAGGCATAAATTGCGAACAGAGGTACAGCGAATGCACGAACCAACCGTGTCTGAACAACGGGACATGCTTGGATTACGATGGTATCATTTGCCAGTGTCCTGATGGATATTCAGGTAGAAAAGTCTAATTACAAGAGCATATACTTGATAGAAGAAATATAGCGAGACCGGTAAGAACGAAGTAAAGAGCCCGAAAACAAGTTTTATACATTTGTATGCCTTTTGAACGCTAAGTAGCGAATTACGGGCCTAATCAGACCAAGAAGATACCTATTGCAGGCCTCTGCATCCTCTAACGAGTGACGTAAAAAAACGCGTTGCTAATTTACCGTATTCCTTCCATCCAGTATATGTGCTGTAACTTGTTCCACCTTGTTTTTTATATTTATATTTCCATAAAGGTGATTATTGCGAAATCGACGCCTCGGTTTGCAACGACACTATATGTAAAAATGGAGGCGAATGCGTGGAAGGGCCTGGATTCTCTTTCTTTTGTCGTTGTCCCGAAGGTAAATTCATTAAAAACAAAATGATCTACGGCTGCAGTTATAAAATAATTAACGTTTTAATTTCGATGCTCCCGTTGAAAAGGCTGGACAGGTCGACTATGCGACGAGGACATCGACGAATGCGTTGCATCCCCGTGCAAAAATGGTGGTCTATGTATTAACATACCCGCTTCGTATACATGCGCCTGCTTATTCGGTATGTTGCAATCGATTCAACGCATTATTCTAAACGTAATTACTCGTTAATCTCAACTGTTCTTTCAAGGATATACCGGCAAAGATTGCGACAAAGTAATCGTGCCCTGCGAGGAGAATCCCTGCAAAAACGATGCAGTATGCTTGTTCGAGGACGAACGACCGATTTGCTATTGCGTCCCGGACTATCATGGAATGTTATGCGAGCTAAAATACGACGACTGCGAGTCCAAATTCGCCAACTGCGAGAACGGCGGTTCATGCATCGACGGCATCAACAGTTTCGTTTGCGCTTGTCCGGCATTTTACAGCGGACCGTTTTGCAATGTACACGATCTTCCATCGACCTCTTCGACGCTTGAGACTGATAACGATAAGATCACTGCCAGTACATCGTTTTCACAGAGATCGTCGACGCAATCGGGAAGTGATACGTCACCACTACCGACCAGCTTCACGACTACGCAATCTCCGACATCCCTTAAAAATACCAACCGTTCATACACAAAATGGTACTATCTCACCGAAACACCATCCAGCATAGGCAAGAATGGCGTTACCTTTTTCGATAGCAGCGGAAGCACTAGTACAGAAACTACACAATTAATCACCGATATATCCTCGGTGTATACCGTTGGAAGCAAAGAAATATCTCAGAGCGAAACGGTCTCGTTAGAGCCGCGAACATTTCCTGATATTTCGAACGAAGTCTCGCCGATGTCTTTGACGGTGAAGATCGAGCCGGAATATACGACGCAAAAGTCAATTCGTAACGAAAGTACCACTGCCGGAAGCACGACTATTGAGACTACGTATCAAGAAGAAGGTACTGGAACGTTTGTGTCCATCGGTGATACAACAATTTCTGATGCGAATAGCACGACGAGATACTTCCCAACTACAAAGTAAAACAGTCTTAGCGTACCTTTGCTTGAATTACTTTAGAAAATACAGTCGAATTCTATTATGACGAGCATGGGATATACAGCGTTCGTTTTATCTGGAATAGCGTAGGGTAAAAGTACCTAATATCTTGCGATACAAGCACTGAACTTTTTTTGTGGTCAAAGTGATCAACAATTAACAAATAAAATGTTTATTACGTCCGTCAGTGTTCGTTGTAACGAACTTCGACTATAAATCGCAAGCTAACAAATAAAACTACAACTGAAAGTAATTACAGTGGAATAAACATTTTAACATATTATTATTGTTACTTAGATATTACCCTGTGGTAACTACATCTTCTGAAAAAACTACCGAAGGAACCACAGCAGCGGCAGGAAGCGATAAAAGCACTTCATTTTCTACTGTCACGTGGTCCTCAAGTTTTACAGAGTTCTGGCAGAACAAAAGTTCCGAGCCGAGTTTAATAACAACAGAAGTGCCAAAAACTACGGCTTCCTCATTTACAGATAAATGGACATACACGCCGCCATTAAAATCTTCAAACACAGATACGGAAAGTTCTACGTTCGCGTACACTAATAACGTTCCTTTGTTGTTAACAAGTAGTACCTCAACAAGGCCAATATTCGAGGAAGTTACCACCGAACTGGAACAGTTGTCGACCCAAGGTCAGCCATCGACGACTGAACAAAATAGTACTAAATGTTACGGTATGCTGTGTACAAATTCCACGGTAACACCCACCCGTAACGACAGCAAGGTAAATAATTATTTAATCCTTCGATACTGGCGGGAACGTAAATGTTGCTATATTTTTACAGTGTAATTGTTCTGATCGCGGTGACTGTAAAACCGATCCAAGTATAACACGTGCAGCCTTCAATGGGAAATCTTATGTAAGACAGCACGCCGACGTAGAGCTGTCGGATGACAATAATGCAACGTTAAAGATTTTCGTAAGGCTCAGAGCGCGTTTCAAGGATGGCATTATATTGCACGTTTACTTTGACAATGAGAAATATGCTTTGGTGTATTTGGAATATGGCGCTTTGAAGTTCCAATTCTCTTGCGGGCTTGAGACTATGTTACTCGGCGAGATCGATTCACCCATTGACAACGGATACGAAGTAGATATCGATACAAGGTACACCTTTGAATAATTTGAATTATTCTAGATCGGACTTCTACTCTATGTATACTATTTTTATTTTACACGTAGATTTCAATACTTCGTCAGAAATGAAACCAATAAATGTTCAGCACGTTTGCTGGTGAACGGGACCACGGCCATCAGCGGCGAACAAATTTTACCACTGCGTGGAAACCTTCCACGACATGCAAATTTACATTTAGGCGGCATACCATTAATATTTACGCACTATTTCTCCCATGTATCCATGGGATTTACTGGTTGCATGGACTCCTTAAAGGTTTGCTTTACTGTTTAACACTAGATTGCCCAAGGAAGTCATTTTGACTGCTTTTTAATTTCAATTAGAAAAACAATTATGTATATAATGACACAATTTCTTAGAATTTTGTGACTTTTTGCACAACATATAAATGCGTTTATTAATAATTGTAGTTACCTCCCCCGACCTTCATTTCCGGTATATATATATATATGTGTTATACCTATATCGCCCAAAAGCAGTCATTTCGACTGCTTGAGAAATTTTAAATAATCAAATGACTCTTATTATTCAATTGAGTAAATTTCTTATATGACCAGTTCGACTCTGTATTGAAATAACAGTTGAGACACAAGCCTTCTTAGGTTGATGACCTCATCCCCGCATCCCATCCCAGCGTACCTAACCCAGACCTAACCCAGACATAACCCAGACCTAACCCAGACCTAACCCAGATCTAACCCAGACCTAACCCAGACATAACCCAGACCTAACCCAGACTTAACCCAGACCTAACCCAGACATAACCCAGACATAACCCAGACTTAACCCAGACATAACCCAGACTTAACCCAGACCTATTGATAAATTGCAGTTTCTCAATAAGCTAAAGTAGTACTTGTTATTCGAATCTTTATGCAGTGATACTTGTTCTAACAAGTTGTTTATTTTATTTCTGCGCCCTAAATTCATAATATTATAACATAATATTAAAAATTAATTTTAAACAAATTTCTTTACACATTAGTTAGTATTTCACAATGCAGTCATTTTGACTGCTTTTGGCCAATATAGGTATACACTAAGTTTCAGTCTTTCTAGTGTTAAGGAAGACCTGTTCAGTGAATTGAAAATTGACAATTTGTGTATAAATGTGACGCACAAATTAATGAAACTTTAACACTGTTTTTGTTAATACAGATAAACGATGTTCAGCGTCATTTCATTCGCGATTCGACAGAAACGTTTCAAATCGAGGATTGCGTTTCTTTTCTGTGTTTGTCGAATCCGTGTCAAAATTTCGGTGCATGCGAGGAAACGAATGGCGCGGTACGTTGCAGATGTATAGCCGGGTAAGATAATTTGATAAATTAATTAAAAAGAGAAGCGAACTTGGCGGATGTTATAAATTATCACGATTGGATAGATACACAGGCCCATTTTGCGAACGCTCTATGTGCGATGAAAATCCTTGCGCGTTAGGTGCAACGTGCATCAGCTCGCCAGGAACGGGCTTCGTTTGCGTTTGCCCTCTTGGAACTCATGGGCTCTTATGCGAAGAAGGTATTCGAGTCACGCTTTCGTTACACGAGGCGGTATCTAAAACGTAAGCGCCAATTGAAAATTTAACAAACTTTCAGATACCGTTATAAACCGACCATCGTTCTCAGTACTTGTACCTGGATTGTCGTCGTACGTGGCTTACGGTGTTTCGAATTCTATAAAAGATACCATGGAATTAAAAATGAAACTCATACCACGAACTTTGGAACAAATATCTCTTATAGCTTATTTAGGACAAAGCGGATCGCGACGTGAATTATCCGATCATCTTTCCATAACGTATGTCCGTGGTTACATCATGTTGACATGGGATTTAGGAGCGGGTAAACATACATCTTAATGTTTCACTAGTTATGCACCATATGCTTTCTCATACTCTCTCTCTCTCTCTCTCTCTCACTGACCAAAGTTGATCTCTTGGATCTCGCTACTTGCTCGTATTCGAATCACCCCTTTATCGATTTCCAGGAAAAAATTTCGTTGTTAGGGCCATTAAAAAATCGGAAAATTGAGTCAGAGCCCTGTAAAATCTTTATTTGTAATTGTTTCGTTTCACGATGATGTTTTACAGGCGTACGTAGAATATTTACGACTGTTCCTTTGAGTGCAACAACAATGACAACAACAGCAAACAGGAGTTATATAGCCCATACGGTTCAGGTTGGAAGAAGAGGTAGAGATGCATGGCTTGCTGTTGATGGCATAGCTAATGTGACTGGACAGGTGGTTGGATCCATGACCCGACTCGACGTATCACCGATACTTTATATTGGTTCGTTCTTTTTTTCATTCTACACCTTTGTTTGACGCAATTTGTATCGCAAGAAAAATAATGCTCGAACGTCGTTTCATGTTGTTACATAGAGCGTTTCACACAACTGAGAAAAGTGATATAATTTCGCCTTATGACACTTTTAAAGATTTAGTTTTTCCTAGTTGTGTGGAGCACCCTGTATTTATAAAGCCTATTAATTAATTATTATTATTATACAAATACTTTACATAGTTTAAATTGAATAGAATTACAAAAAAAAATACTACTACTGCCTAGGTGGATACAAATCGAAGAACTTCGTATCGTTGCCCCATGATTTACCCCTCCATACTGGATTTTCTGGATGTATATTTGATATTGAATTACGTACGGAAAGCGCTATTTATCCAATAACAAGTTCTAGCCCTGCGACGGGACGTGGCGTCGGTGAATGCCATAGAAACGAATGCATCCGTCACTCGTGCAAAAATGGCGCAGTGTGTTTAAATCACGGGGCTACATATAGGTGAATTATTTCTTCAAATGTAACGTGCAGTCTTTAATATCCAATCTATTCATTAAATACCGATTAATTATTTCAGTTGTATTTGTACAAAGGAATGGATGGGTTCTGACTGTTCCATACCAGTGGAAGCATTGTCCTATGTTAACTCATCCTCCTGTCGCTCTTAGAATTAGTAAATATGTTGTTGCTGTTTCAATACATTTCACTATATTTATAGTAAAAGTTTTGTTTAAATCTCATTCGATTAATCCTCGAGTATTAACTAACATTTTCATTACTAGTTTTTGGTTGACAAGTCACCGAACTAGAATTTAAATGCACGAATAATATCGCTGCAGCTAAACGAGTTTGTAAATCATATTTATTATGATCGTGAAACCATTCTACAGTTCCCCAGTGAGAAGTCTATAGAAAGGAACAAAAAATACATTTATAAATTGAAAGGAAATCAATTTTACATAAGTTTAGCAAACAGCGTAGTACAAATACCTGATAATCTTCCTCTAAACGTGACAGTCTTACTGCGTCTCGTATACTAATTACTCTTTCTGCTGCAGCTAATGTGAGGATAACAGATTTTATCGCGTCTACACCATACATAAAACCTATAAACGAAAACAGTATTATCTATTATGTGAAACGTATATAAAATTGTACATTTTAATAATAAAATTACTTACCATTAACTGCACCGCAGCTGTAAGATAATAAATGTCTTAGCAATATCGCTTTAGTTTCCGAAGATATCACGGGAGCCTCTATACTTTGAGTTTTTACCATATTTACGCTATAATTGTCACAAAACCATTGTACCAACGGGTCCCACTGTTCGGTTTGCAATTTATATAGTTCGTCATTTTCCTATAATATAATATCATTCCATTTAACGAGTAAACTATACGTAGAAATATAGATTTACTTAAATTTCTATAACTTCTAGAGTATGTAAAATAAAAACATACAACGTACTTACATTCGAATGAAATAGAAGTGTATCCATTTCTAAGCAATTCACAATATAATTTACCATATCTATCTTTGTATGTTTGTGTGGATTATCTATTACAGTATTACACAAAGCTGTCTAGAAAAATTAGATACATAAATACGTATTACGATACTAATCGCTTATGAAATATTTGGAGGCTCGAAAAGAAATTTACCAAGTGCATATTGCCTCTATCGATAATATCTTTCTGCGCGTCCCATTCTGCTGCCACTGCGAGCGCAAGCGGTTTGTTATCCACTTCAAATATGTTTCCTTGCGGAGTCTTAAGTTTTCTTTGATCAAGCGCAATCTCAAATTTTCCACTGCTCGATATAATATTTGTTTTTCGATAGAATCTCTTGACATTGGCTAAAAAGTAATTCTTGCGTTCAGTGGACGATAATAACTAATTAAGAGCATTCTTTAGTTAAACAAAAATTAGGTTAAGAGTCGAAAATATATCCTTACCCATATTTCTCACTATACCAAAAGATGTAATAAATTTTCTATATTTAAAATAATACATTTTTAGGAAATATTAATATATCTGATTGCCATAAATATTATTTTATACTTTTTCGTAAGTATATCCGAGAAACAAAATCCCTAAAGAGAATTATAACGTTTTAGTGTAGCGAATCTCTGATAGTTTGTCATCGATCATATATCATCGTGCTTATATCTTAAATATTAGTTGCATCGAATAAAGATCATTTTCTCAAACAACAAATAAAAATAAATCATAACAAAATATTATGAAATTTTATGTATATATTATATATATATACATACATATAATTCACCACTTGCCGATGCTGCCCTCTACAAAGTACATAAATGCATAGGTAGTTCTTACTAAAAAATACTTGAATCTTGAATTGCGTGGGTGGAACCTGTGCTTGTTAAAAGGTGCAGATGAGTGGTGGTAAAGTAAAGAAACGTATACAAAAATAGTGCTGTAGATAAAAGCACAATAAGTCCTGGAGTCGATTACACAGCTTTTTACAAAAGCAGTAAATCATATGTGCGCAACGATTGAAATTAACCGAAAATGATAAGACATCAATTAACTTGGTTCATTTTGAACGTATGCTTAGTGTATACTTTCAACTTGGAACCAAGAATACCTGTTATCAAAAGAGGCCTGAATGGCTCTTATTTTGGTTATTCCATAGCCGAACATCAAGAAATATCTGACGATAGTACAGAAAAACCGAAAAGTTGGTAAGTATCACATAAATTACTTTTGTTACAGTTAAAACTACTATAAACGTTGTATAAGAATTATATTTTCATAATGTAAATACGTATTTACGCTATATACTAGGTATTACAACTTCATTATTTATTTACTTTTAGTATCTATGTACTTATGAAAATAAAAGTATTTAAGTTTTTACGATCAAAGATAATATAATCTATGTAATTAAATACATAATTATATAAATTTGTTGTATCTTAATTACGATACTATATTAAAAGCTTTAATAAATTTTACAGGATGTTAATTGGTGCCCCCTTAGACCAAAATAGACAACCGAATACTAATAGGTCTGGTGCATTATGGCAGTGCCCTTTAACAACATACCAAAGGGACTGTGTTCAAGTGATCACAGATGGACGATTAAGTATGTCCTATATTTAACTTTTTTTTTCATTTATTCCATCGATATCAGTTCATTATTAACAGCTTAAATATATAATTTAAGATCTTTATTTTTTCATATTTCGTTCTGTTCATTTTATTCATGATAATATTATATGTTATATCGTTTAATTCTTGTACTATTGTATACGAATGTGCTCAAGTATAAGAACTCAAAACACTGATTTAAATAAAGTGTTAATACATCACTTTAATTAATTCAATGCGCATGTTTTATGTTACCGCTGTATAGAGTTGTTAAGTTATCGAGCTTTATTTTATGTTATACACATAATAAGATTATTTTTTTGTTAAATTATGTATTGGTTAACGAGCAGCAGAAGGAGGTCTGTATGATACAAGTAAGTCGATAAATGATGTTGTTTGAATGAGCAATTTTTTAATTTTTATCAAAATATTTTATTTTACTTATGCATACATTTTCATTAAGTTATTACGATATTAGCATGACATATTAAATCGCAATGAAAGATTATTTTATTGTATTATTCGCATTAAGTCGATCGAAAGAATGTTATTTCTAACAAACGCATTAACAAACATTTCTATAAATTTAAATTTATATCACTAATATATCATATTATCACTAACTATGGAATGTGTCAATGTGTCTGCATTTTTGTATATAGTTATATGATATGTTTAATGAGAAAGAGATTGTGTATTCTTTTACTTATTACCGCAAGTAACATTTATTTGCTGTTACCTTTTATCGATTCTTGACAGCCTTTTTCATGCATATTCTTTATCTGTTTTAGCACGAACTGTAATGCTTAATTTGTTTTTTATTTATTTTTTCATTTTATACTTTTAGCAGTTTTATTTTCTAACACGCGCGATAACATCTACTTATATATATATATTTATAATCATCATACACGTATTTATATAATCACTGTTGTTCGATAAAACAATATTGCTATAATACTTATGGAACGTATAATACATTCATAAAATATATAAAATAAAATTGCTCTATCATTTCATATAGAAAAAATTTTTAACCAGTTTGGAGGAACAGTTTGTATTAAAAATATTAAAACGATTTAAAAAATGAATAAATGAAATTATTACTATACACAATTAGTTAACAAAGATCTTTTATTTTTTTAGGTTTTGAGTCTGATGATTTAGTATCGCCTGGTAATGATGAAATTAAAGATAATCAATGGTTAGGAGTAACTGTTCGTAGTCAAGGTGTCGGCGGTAAAGTTCTGGTTTGTAAATTTTTTTAGCGCTACTTATGTTAGTGAATATTTAATTACTTGACCATTTAATGAATTTTTAGGTTTGCGCGCATAGACATATCGTAAAAACAGCTGATTCTCAATGGGGCCAAGGACAATGTTATATATTAACGCAAGATTTGAAACATCAAGATTTAAAAAAACCTTGCTCCGGGAAACCAACAAATAAGTAATATAAAAGCTTTAATATGTATATGTCTAAAACAATAATTTCTTTATATCATTATGATTGAAATAAATATTGAAATTTTTTATTTTATTTAATCAAATGTATAGATTTGCCTCTGTTTCAGAGCACACGAACAATTTGGGTATTGTCAAGCTGGAACTAGTGGTGTACTTACTTCAGAAGATCGTGTTGTGATTGGTACACCGGGTCCGCACACTTGGAGAGGAACTCTCTACCTTTTTACCATTTCAGATGAATTTTTAACCAGAGATAATACAGTTTATAATGCTCCGATGCAAGATGCTTCTCCTGTCAGTAAATACAGTTACTTAGGCACGTACCTTATCACTGAATCGATAAATTTAATGTTATATGTCGTGTTATAAAATATTATAAGTGTAATTAATGTGCAAAAGTATTTGGAAATAATGAAAATATTAGAGTTTACTTTATAGGAATGTCTGTTGCTGTGGGAAACTTTTTTGGTACCGGATTAGCTTATGCGGCTGGAGCGCCACGTTCAAACGGTACAGGTCAAGTTATTCTACTTACAAAACGAGATTTCAAACCGGACATGGATGTTGCTCTTATTTTGGACGGTGAACAATTTGCTTCGAGTTTTGGATATGAAATTACTTCCGCGGATGTGAACGGAGACAAGTACAGTATTTCACATATATATATGTATATCTTTAAACACGTAAATTGAATTAAGTTTGCTCTCGTTTTATTTTAATCTATACATCCTCTGTATTTCATATTTTTAATATCTTTTAATTTTCTTTGTCTTTTAGAATCACAGATCTTATCGTGGCAGCGCCATTTTATTTCAACAAAGCGGAAGGAGGCTCTGTGTATGTGTATACAACTTTGCAAAAAACTTATAAGGAGGGCGAAAAGAGTAAGCCTGTTAAGCTTGTCGGGCGCGAAGAATCAAGGTAAGTTTTTCAAATATCTATATATGATTTATTTTCATTGATATTTATATATTAATTGTAGATTTGGATTTGCATTAACAAATCTAGGAGATTTAAATAAAGATGGATATGAAGATATAGCCGTTGGAGCGCCTTATGAAAAAAAAGGAACTGTATATATATACCTTGGTTCTAAAAATGGAATAATCGCAGTACCGTCACAGGTGTTATCCAAATTACATTATTTAATATCATTGTAAAAAATTTGTTATATAGGCTAGAATCCGTTCATTTTTTAGGTAATACATGCAGACGATATGCCAGAACCACTGCAAACATTTGGTTACTCGTTGAGTGGAGGGATCGATATGGATCAAAATGGGTATGCGGATTTGTTAGTGGGAGCTTATGAAAACGATGCTGTAGCACTCCTTCGTTCAAAAAAGATTATTGATATTACTACTTATATTCGTTATTTAAAAAAAGATGGCACAAATCAAGAAAAAATAGAACCTATCGATCCCAATAGATTTGGATGCCCAGAAGACCCTGATTCAAATCATACATGGCAAGTATAACTACATACTCAAACGCAATTCTCTCACTCTCGATTGTCGTTTTATTTTGGTGTTGTAGAATCATTCCCTAGAAGGATTATCATTAATAGTCGAACACTATGCATAACTACAGTTAATTTATTACAGTTTCTCGTTCGAAGCATGTTGCAAAACGGAATCTCTCGTAAAAGAGGAAGATATGCAAAATTTAAAATTGAATTATTATATCGAAGCTGAAACTTATACCGGAGTTAAAAAATTCTCTAGAGTTTGGTTCGGAGTTGGTAATTCACGACCACATTATATAAATCGCACGGTTACTTTAGACACAACAAAATTTGAACATTGCCAAAAGGAAATAGTTTATTTAAAGGTAATTAAAAGTAATGTTTTAGTACATTTTAATTGAATTTGAGGTTTACGAATATTGAACTTTCTTTAGGAAAATACACGCGATATCCAGTCACCTATTAAATTTCGTTTAAACTATTCGCTGATTCAAGAAGATCCAATTATGCCCGCTGAAGGTGAACCATTACCCGATATAAAGAATTATCCTATATTGAATCAACAAGAAGCTGCCCGTGTGTTCGAAGCAACTTTCCAAAAAGATTGTGGCAATAACGATATTTGCGAAAGCGATCTACAAGTAAAGGCTCGATTAAATTTATCAGGTGCGATTCTTAATTAAAGGAAAAATTATATAATATCATAAACGTTAGATTTATTAAAAGCCGCGAACAGATTATTTAATAAATATTTAATTTTTAAGCTTCGTCTGTGAAACCAAATTTCTATGAACTTCTTTTGGGCGAAAGGGAAGAAGTTGTAGTGGATGTAAATGTGTCTAACATCGGGGAATCAGCGTATGAGGCACAACTGTTCATCGTTCATTCTCAAAGCTTAAATTACATTGCCAGCAAAAGCAATGAATCCGTAATATGCAATTTACACAATACTACTATAGTGGCTTGTTCCATTGGAAACCCATTTAAGAAAGATAAAATGGTAAATATACAAGTACGATTTGATCCTAAAGAATTGGAAGATAACGAGTCACAGTTAGGATTTATGATATTTGCTAATTCTACTTCAAAAGAAATAAAAGAAAAAGAACCTACGAAATTGCGAGCAACGGTACTAAAGCGGGCAGAATTATCGATTAAAGGGTAACATTACGTTTAAGTTCATATTATTAAGTGAAATGTATAAGTTATCGCAAAATCAAATTAATAATTCCATATATATTATAAAAATTATAGGAGTGCAAAAATTCAATGGGCTTTCTATGGCGGACCAGTCATAGGCGAATCAGCTGTAAAACATTTAAACGAAGTAGGACCTAAAGTTTCACATATTTACGAAGTATTTAATGAAGGACCATGGAGAGTAAGTAGCTTAGAAATTCGCATATCGTGGCCTTACGAGGTTGCAAATGATAAAGCTCACGGAAAATGGCTTTTATATTTAGAAGAACTGCCAACTGTTAAAGGTGAGGTCTTGTTTTTAAATTAAAATCGTAAAATATAGTTTATTTATTGTATTACAATTTTGTTTGCAGCTTTAGGCGATGGTGAATGCATACTGCCGCCAGAACATGTAGTTAATCCATTAAAGTTACAGGATAGTATTAGTTACGATGATATGGATGTTTTTCAATCTGCAGTGTCCACTCCTCCTACATTGTACAATCACACCAACCACGTAAGAACGAGAAGAGACACAGAAAAAGTTGTTAACACGCGAACCGTCATCGATAAAGATGGCCATAGACGTCAAATAGTTTCGATGGTAACCGATTGCTCAAACATGTAATTTAAGACAATCCTAATCCTAATCCAAACTTAAAATTATATAATTTTACTTTACAGAATTGTAAAGCAGGAACTGCAAAATGTTTTGACATTACATGCTTCATATATAACTTGCAAAGGAAACAAGAAGCAATCATCACTGTTAAAGCAAGGTAACGTCCGATATCGTGCATGTTACGTCAATTTTACCAATAAAACAATTCTCGAGCGCCTAACGTTATTTTTAAATGATTCGTCGAATTAAAAATATTTTCATCTACTTCAGGTTGTGGAATTCTACACTTGTAGAGGACTATCCAAAAGTGGATCAAGTACACATAGGTTCTAACGCAAAGATAATTATACCAGCGAATGTTATAATACAACAAGAAAATTTAAAAGATGATCACACAGTTGTAAGTATTACTTTTTTTCGCATAATTAATTTAATTCGTACGATAATATTTCCATGTGCAGGCAGAGACGATTGTATATCCGGATCTTCTTGATCAACAAGATGCCGAGCCTGTGCCAATTTGGGTAATCGTGGTGGCTGTGGTGGCAGGTTTGATCCTATTTATTTTACTTACGTTAGTTCTCCGAAAGCTTGGATTCTTTAAGAGACGGCGACCAGATCCGACTTTGTCTGGAAACCTCGAGAAACATAAAGATGACAATCCGGAAAGTGAAGCGTTTTTTAAACGCTAAAAGTCGTAACAAATATTTGTTATGGATACATACTTAAAAAGTGCTTTTTCCACAAATTATCATGATTACTTACGTTTAGAGTACTTACAATAAAAATTAACAAAAGATAACAAAGTTCGAAGACGAGAGATATATACGATGCAACAATGAAACAACTAAATGCAAGAAGTTTTGGTATCGATATTGTGATATATTGACTTATTTATAGATATATTTCTTTTAAACAAAAAGGTGCAAAATTGTTATTAATGCAACTTTTTGATGTATCATACATTTTCGTGATTTCGCGGTCATAGTTATGACTTACCGTTCATACATGTATTCGTACCATTGACTTCAATTCATTCAATTACATCGTCTTGCAAATACTTTTTCTATTAGAAATTTCCGGCTGATGCAATTTTATATATTTTTATCGTTACATTTTATTAATGTAAAATATTTAAAATATTTTAGTAAAGAATTACTTCTTGACAATAATACTACTTAATTTACATATTCATATAAACGCACAAGTCTGCAAGGTAAAGTATACACAGGATTTTTTAAAAATATAAACGTGCCTTTACATTATAGGATTATGTATATATTTAAAACATTTATTAAGTCGTAAAATAGTTTGAACATATACTGCAGGTACTTAATACTTATTATTTCATCAGTCAGTCGATGGTTTAAGTATGATAAAACACATTGTGTATTACTCTTTTACAATAAAACACATTCCTCAAAGTATTTATATATCTGCATGTATTAGGTAACATACAATTTTCTGGGAATACTACATAAATATTTAAGAATATTAGGTCGCGTGGAAAAAAAACAAATACGTATGATCACTTTAAGAAATCACTGTAGAACAAAATAAGTTTAAATTTGCTATCAGATATTGACCACATGCAATTTACTTAATTTTTTAATCGTTAAATTGTAGCTTATCGGTAGTTTTGTATTCGCATATTGAAATATAAACATCGTTAACTTTAAGGTAATTTACATAATATCTGCTGGTAATTTATATTCCATTGCCAGTAAAAAATTAACACTGCCCTGTAAAATATATTTACAAGAACGAGAAATAAACTGGAGGAATCCGTTTAGCAATCTGCTAATATTTTCTGCAAAGTATTTAACAAAAATATTTCATTACACGCGTTAATAGTTATCTTATTGAATGAAATGTAACTGTATGTATAATGCAATTTAAAAAATTTAGTGTACACGAATGTAAGATAAAAATTTTTTCATTTTATTTCTCGATTATAAATGCAATGTTATATTTTATACTTTATTTAATTTAAAATTATATAATTTGTTGTAATCAAAATATTGCGAAATATGTAATAAATACATAAGAATTTTTAAAATCATGTATACTTTCATATATTATATTTATATAATTTTATAAGCAAAACACAAAGACGAAGATATATTATGTACTGTTTATAAATGCTCAAGTTATAAACGTTACAGTTGCATAAAGTTGAAATCTCAATTTATCTGTAATTTATCGTATGTGGTGATCGATGTCTAAAGTCAATTTACTATAACATGTCTTCAAATAAGCACAATCTGCCATCATAAATCTGAAAATTTTGTACTTGAATACATATGGAATATTGAAAATAACATTAACATCTAACATGATTTTAATAATTAGACATACCTGTACAATAAAATCGTAAGAGGAGCTGTACTAGCATGCCATAAAGAATGAGCATCGAATATCCAAAATATTGGCGCAAAATCTGCTACTTCTAATACAGTAACAAGAACAGTTAATACATTGAACCATCCAATTAGGTGAATGTAAGATAACTTTTTACGATTATGATGCCACCAGATCATTGTTATGACAAACGTTAAAAATCCTGTAAGTATTATAAATTAAATGTAATTTTGGAGTTGGGCAAAAAAATTTTTTTTTGTACAAAGATATCGCACGAAATTACCTATAGCTACATTGAATTTCATATTATAGTCATAATTAATATAACCAGACCATAAATGAGATAAATGCGTATATAAAGTACTAAAGTATCCACATGTGATCACAGCTAACATTTTATTACTGTTATACGTTATCCTGAAATTAAAATGTAAAATGAACATATTTCAAACGTTTGTTTACGATTCCGTTTGACTTATCGATTTTCAATTACCTTAATAACATACAATAGAATAATGTAAGAACCATAATAAATGCACAAGAATAATCCATTGCTTCGGTAAATGGAGTGTCGCGTGCATGAAAAACAGAAGACCAAAACCAGCCATGTATGCATATCTAAAAATTTTTTTTTTCATTCGTATGATATTAAAATTGAATTATCTACATAATAATAGAATAATTATTTGAAATGCATAGAATAAAATGAAAATTTCTATTTATTTCAAGTAAGAAAATGAAGGATACCATACTAAAGTAAGTCCATATATAAAACATGGGATCGGTGGATCTCAATTTTTTTTTAAACTTCCAATACATGGTAACATGAGCGTAAAGATTTAATATAGAAAATATGACGGACGCGGGTTCCTGGCATCCAAAAAAACGTATAAACGGCCACTAAAACAAAAATCATGGATTATTTCTATAATTCTTTGGTTGTTAAAATTTAATACATATACTATATCAAATATATATCATACTTTTCCATGAAACTGAGGTACGTGTAACCCATGAGAAATAAAATAGTTAACTGTTTCCCAAGAACATCCGTAACTACAGTCTTCTTTACAAGACCATAGTAGCAATCTTAACAGTATGGAAGGTTTCGCTTTAAAGTCTTCATCTGCGTAATTAAATATAATCAAATAAAGTATTGTTACGTTTTCATTTTCAAATGGTGTAAATAAGATAATATAAACTGAAATATTAACACGTGTACAGTTTGTTGCCAGGAATACATGATAAATTAATATCTGTTTGATTAAAATAAATGTTATAAAAAGCCTACGTTAAACATACGAAATAATAAATTTCTTAAGTTTGTAAAATATCGAATTTGCAAAGTAATTTTTATATATTTTATACATAAAAGTTGAAGTTTCGAATAGTACATATTTCATTGTTATCTATACGATATTATTACAAGAAATCCATACCGCTTTCGCAATTACTGTCTTGACATTTTGCAAGGCACAGATTGTAAAATTGTGACCTGTCTCCCACCGAGCCGGTTGTATTTGCAATAAAAATCGTTTGAAGTACTAAAAAGAAAATCCATTTTAATTCTAACATACCGTTTATACGCTTCACATGCTGCCACGAACTGCACTAACTCGGTGCATTCCCGCCAGTGCAGCGTGGCGGCATGATGCACGAAAGACAACGATATTTCATTATTATATTCATGCAATGTCACAAATATCAACAGAATTAAATTGATTAGAAACATAATGCTGAAATAGAAAAGAAAGTTATACATAAAGTTTAATTAACACCTAGAAATTACACAAAATAGACATGTAAATTCAATACATATATTAATAATTTGATAGTATAATATTATTGCTACTTGTCGACAAGTAACTACCAGTGGGCAGCACCGATCGGCATCGCTCAGCTGTTCAATGAAACAAATAATCAATACTCCAGGCAGTTAAAAGTTAAGACTGTTTGGTCTACGAAAAGGACTAATAATAAACATTATTTGCTATAAAATCACAAAAATTATTATTTGAAATAATAGAACAATTAGAAAATAATTTCGAAAGTCTTGCTTGATAAACTATATTCAAACGATTTATTTAAAGATACAGAAATGTTCGCTTGAAATTTCATGCGTATGTTTAAAACATTTAGAACTTTTTAACGGATCGAAGGATCTTAATGTTTCAAGTTGCAAACGACGCGTATTTCGATGGAGAATATGTAGAAACGCTTTATATATACCTATAAGTATTCCATTATTGAAATAATGATTCTTTAATTTTATGTTGGGGGATAATTCGTGAACAATTCGTCTATCAAAATTGCACAGATGTCGCTCGGTCACTCGTCATGGTCCGTGCTCCTAGGATATAAGAGCCCCCTGTGGCCCTCGCGCGGCAGTTATCTCCCAACCACCAAGCAAGACGGACCGTATCGAGATGAAGAATTTAATCGAAGATTTACATTCGATCAAAATCGAAGATGGCGGCCAAGAAAATCTCATTTGTGGGAACAACTTATGCAATGAACTGAACAACTTTTATATTTAACAACTCAGACACTTTTTACATCTCTGTTTTGTAACAACTTTTATATTTAACAACTCGGAGACTTTTTACATCTCTGTTATGGAACAACTTATGCAATAAAACTGAACATGGTATATTTGCCTATATAGGCGAAATATATACAAATACAAATTGAATTTAAGAATTGATATTAAATAAACATTCTTTGTTATAAAATCAAAAAATTATTATTTGAAATAATAGAACAATTAGAAAATAATTTCGAAAGTCTTTGTGCCCATATAACTTGAAACGTAAAAATGTCGGGGCAGTCGAGATTCGAAATTGTATGCCGCGAAGACGGACTTCAGCTGTTCAAGATCAAGGGGGAAATTCTCGCACTGGCCTTCTTTCTCGATTTCCTGAAGTTATGCGAATTGCCGGGCTCGCGTATATAACATGGCTCGCGCGATAGGATGTGATTAGAGACAGCGACGACTTGTCTCGATTTTTTTTTTTCATGAAGAGTGTAAAATAACCTACGATTAGTAATCCGACTGCTTTAAAATAGTGTGAAATGTACACACTTTTGTACGGATTGTACAAGTATCTTGTGCAAAAAGATGAATATTTTATATTAATATTAGGACTTGACAATGCCGGGAAAACAGTAATAACAATAAACTGCATGTAATTGAGGTTAAAATATTTTAACATAATGTCGCTTACGAATGATTTTTGTACTGTAGACATACTTGGAGGCGGCAAAAACTAAATTTACGAAAAACTACAAGGGTATGAATCCTAGCAAAATTACAACAACCGTTGGTTTAAATATAGGAAAGATTGATATCGCTGGTGTTCGTTTTAACTTTTGGGATCTTGGTGGACAAGAAGAACTTCGGTCATTATGGGATAAAGTAAATAATATTCCATTTTATATTTCACAGTATCATACCTTTTTCGTCATGTTTATATACTGTATATTATTAGGCATTTTAAACGTAATATCCGTGTATTGAAAAAAAAATACATTACTTTTACATTCGCAGTACTATGCAGAATCGCATGCAGTAATTTACATTGTTGATTCTTCAGATCGTGAAAAGATACCTGAATCTAAGGAAACCTTTGGTAAATTATAAAAAGAATGTTATGTGTTACGTTGTTATATTTCATTAGAAGAATATTTATATTTTATTGCAGATAGAGTTATATCATCAACGCACCTGATAGGTGTACCTCTTTTAGTTCTAGCAAATAAGCAGGATGTGCCTGATTGTATGGGCGTTAGAGAAGTAAAACCAATTTTTAATCAAAATGCACATTTGATTGGTCGAAGAGACTGCATGGTAATACCTGTTTCCGCTTTAAACGGGTATGTAAATCTATGTACTAAATTCATATACAAATTAATTTTATTTAAAGCGTATTAAATTCATACATAATTATGTTCAGCTGAAGCAAATACAGCGATTAAAGTTTTTTGTTACAAATATGTACAATAGATCATTTGCTAGTAGTTTCATTATCGAATAAATGTTAATTTTAACTTTCCTAATGTATACAATGAATTCTGTCAGCAATTTCCATGGTTACATAAATAGATATCTATTTGCAAATATTAAATTCTGCTAGTTATTAGATATGTATGTATATAGATGCCATATTAAAAATTTATTTCAAAATAGCAAGTATATAATTAGAACTATAATAACTTAATATTATAAATACTTACTAGAAACAGTTTCGTTTGTATTTTTCGAATTTTTATTTCATTTACATTTTTATTTAATCTAATTCTTCTTATTAATTTTGCATAAAAGATATATGTATAAATTCGAGTCTTGGGCTTGTTATTAATTATCTCAAAATATGAAATGATGTACGATAGAAACGATCAAATACAAAATAAGTAATGTTATACTGTAAATGATAATTTTAAATTAGCGTACTATGAAGCGTATGAGAATTGTTTGCAGAATTTTTAAAAATAATAAATAATATTTTAAATAACCATTTGTATGATATAAAAGGGATGGTGTAGACGAAGGCATTCACTGGCTGGTGAACTGTGTCAAGAGAAACAACGATGTTCGGCCACCTCGTAATCAGAATGACAGTTATCTGTCTTAATATGACCATTCCTACATTGTTTTAAAATATAGGTTATTCTGTGAACAGTATTTTAATGTATAAAATGTGTGCATTTACATTAGAAGTAACTACGTTTCTACCAATAAATTTTGTTTTCTAATTAATTTGTAAGCATTGACTCCTACCTTTGAGGATAGAAAAATGTTACAGGATTATTGATAATTTTATTAATTTTGTTATAGTTTAGTTATATTCTTATTAACGTTAACCTGATTGTAATTACTGTATAAACTAACCATTAATAATTTCTCATATTTTGTTGCTTGTTATTTAATCATGATTAAATCTATTTCAGTTTTTATGTAAAAATTGATCTAATATAATTAATAGATTATTCAATTATTCTGGTAACACAATTTGTCTGTGTTGCTGCTATCAGGATAGTAACAGAGATAAGAGATAATGCCAACACCTTGCCTCATATTCTGTCATGTTTGTGATAAAGTCTAGAATACTTGTAGCACAGGTGTGTGCCGGATAATATATAGATTGTAATTTTAGCATTTCGGCTTTGTACAGAGTCCCTTGTTTGTTAAGATTTAGTACATCATGTGGTCTTATTATGATTCTGAGGATTGGAGTGTTCTACCACCAGAATTAAACAGAAGGTGACTATTCTAACAATTCTAATCTCTATAAAAGAAATCAAAGTTTTTCAAACGTAAAGAAATTATATATTATTATATGACTATTTTTTAACGAAAAATGCTTTAAAACATATATTTACATATAGCAACAAAAATAGTTGTTAAAATATGATATAATTAAAATGTAATTTTTAAATAAATATCGCATAACTGTATTGGCATATTACTTAAAATAATGATTCGGATTGCTGTGAATTATTATGAATTATTTAATTAAAATTTTTAAATATTTCATATAGATTGAACAGAAAAGCATATGTTTGTACTAGCGTATAGTAAACGCATTGTGTAAACATTATATATTACGCTCTTATTATTTTTAACAATTGTGCAATGACACTCTGATCATATGTGAATGTCCCAATATAGGTTTTTAAATTGCATTATTTATAATAAGAAAAGCGGTTGCATCATTGAATATATTTTAAGCAACGCGTATCATCGAAACGGAAAATGAACGAATCGTACGAGATCGTTTCTCGTAAAACAGTATGAATTTCCCGCTTGAGAAACAAGCATCGATGTTACTCACTACGTTGAGCAAAAGTATAAATAAGAGATCGGCGATTACAACTAACGAACGAAAGAAATAACATGATATACATCGAAAGAATAATATTTGGCGATTGTGCTCGTTGATGATCCTGATCGAGGGAACATACATGATACGAAAATTGGTCAGGATACCATACATCGAGATGTCAGTATTATCAGCAACAACGTCAGTGACAATGTGGTATCCATCTTGATTTTTGGTGCGCGAAACCGCGGACTATTGAGGAGAGTGTCGCGGCTATAGGCTAGACTGCTGCGAACAGTTTAACTATGTCCTATGGTTTTTTTCCCCGAAGTTGATTAGGTCCTCGTTGTGAATAAAAGTTTTACACGGTACGTATTGTTGATCGTATGACGTAAAATACAGAAGAAAGTTCCACGGAATGCAACGTGTACCCTATATACAAAACCAATACAAGTCCGATATACTCAGGTGCAGAATAGGGACTATGCAAAAGTGAGTGAGGGCGCACGACTCGCGCCCTGGGAGGCGAGGCATTTCTCGCCGTATTTGTCATACGAGTTGCGTGTAAAAGGTGGGCGATACGACAACGGTACACACGACGCACCTTCGTGCTATCTCACACGTACGTCGTTAAACGTTGCACGAAATTCCGTACCTCGGGTTTTCTGAAAACTACGTCCTTGACTTGGTACTGTTTGACAGCTACGAAACTAACCCTTGGTTCGATGCCCTTCAGTGCGAACGAATTCTTTATATAACCGGTTTACACATTTTACAATATGCTGTCGACTAATGCGAGCGTGCGACCGCGACGCGTTTTTATAACACGTGAATTCGTGGTCGAATGACATTCAAAAAGAACTAGGTAATATCCATTGCATGCATTGCAAACAGTTTTGATCGAGTGCTTAGATCTCGGCAGTGAAACCGGTTATTTTGTGTGTTACCGCACGTTCCTAATGTGTTGCAGAAATAATTAGAACATTAAGTTTATGCTCTCCGCTGGCCAATGTAACGTGTTCAATTGTTTTCTTCTTTACCATTTACGTGGTATACTGTTTTGTACTGCACGATCTCAAAGTCAGTGACAAATTCGGTTACAAATAAGTTTTCATGTTAAATTTCAAGTACGATAGTTTTATGGAGAATTTTCATCGATATTCGATTCCTCTTAACGATGAAACTCTGCACTGGATACAGACAAATGCAAAATTGTGATTTGAAATTAAAATGTCGATTAATTTTACACATAAATGTATCGGTATGATCATTTTGAATTTTTGTATGTATTATTAATCCCGAAGAAATAATTTAGAGGTATTATCTGACATTGTTAACAAGATTTGATATTATGTTTACGTCGTAACGATTTTTAAGCCCATAGCGATAATTTACAAAACGGAGAACATTTACTTACATTCGTTTGACTTGTGTTATAAAAATAATTGTGTAAGATTTTTTAAAGTAACTTCTTAGAATGTTCCATAATATTACCTTACCTTTTCCCAATAGGAAGCAAACAGTTCGTGTTCCATATTCAGCTAACTTCGTTTGTATTACCGAAGTTCATCGTATACGGTTGAAAACTACACAGAGAAACCATGAATGCTTCAGAACATGGGTAATATATAATTTCTAATAATATAGAAGTCTTTAATATACAAGAATAGAATTTTTTATACCTCATCTATCGTCTGATTAGTCTTAGTAAAGTTATCGCTGTTACGCTTTAATTAAAGGAGCAGTTTGTTGCAATTGTAACGATAAAAAGAACATTTGGTTAATTGTATTTATATAAAATTCATGAAATATTCCTTACACAAAGTAAATAAGAAATAACATTTGAAATCAGATTACGGGTGTCATTGCACAACAAAGAAAACGGTATGTAAATGATTTGTGTGTATAAAATAGCATGGGTGTGTACGTTACAGGTTTAACCCAGCCTTTAACATGGCCTCCATAAAACAAGCTTTTAACGAAGCAGTTGAAAGAGGTAAGTACAACATTTACAAAACAATGATTATCTTCATTAATTCCTATTATATTTAATATTTTTTGCTTCCTATTATTAATTTCTGTATACATATGTTTTTAGCATTAAGTATTAAATTTTAATAATATCAGAATTTTTATATATAAATTGCATTAATATAATATTCATTTTTTAAATATATTTTCTTGTTAAAATAAAATTGAATTATAGATATATGACTGTAAAATGTCTTACAGAATGTTGTAATTAAAAAAGCTTTATAAACTTTTTGTTTTAAACATTTGAATTACTTATATATAACATTAAAATATAATTACTTCCTTATTAACATAAAAATATAAAAAGTAGATTTTATAATAATTACATTTATTTCTTAGCTACCTTATGTTACATATAATTTGCAATGCTGATATCCTATTATTATGTACATAGATTATTGCTATTTTATTTATGCCATTGCTTTGTGGTTCTCGTGAAATTTAGTTTTTAACATGATTATTGTTCATAGCTTGAGCACTTAACTCATTAAATCTTACTAACACTGAAATTGATAACATATTTGTAATTTGGAAGTTTCAACAGTTAGAATGCCTGCGCCAACACGATTGAGGGATCTCATCAGACAAATAAGAGCTGCGCGTACTGCGGCAGAAGAAAGGACAGTTGTTAATAAAGAATGTGCATATATACGCTCAACATTTAGAGAAGAAGATAGCGTTTGGAGATGTCGCAATATTGCAAAGCTCTTGTACATTCATATGCTTGGGTTTGTACTAAATTTTCTTACCATATCGAATAACATTTGTAACTATTTCGATTTCTATAAAGAATAACATATCGATTAACTTTACAGATATCCGGCTCATTTTGGTCAATTAGAATGTTTAAAACTCATTGCGTCTCCAAGGTTTACAGACAAACGAATTGGTTACTTAGGCGCAATGTTACTTTTAGACGAACGGCAGGATGTTCACCTTCTAATTACAAATTGTTTAAAAAAGTGAGGGTCGTTTTTTAATAGTATCACGTTATGAATTTATTTAAAGTATATACAATAATAATAATATTAAACATTTTTCTTATAGCGATTTAAATAGTTCACAGTTTGTTATTGGTTTAGCATTGTGCACTTTGGGTGCAATTGCTTCGCCAGAAATGGCAAGAGATTTGGCATCCGAAGTTGAAAGGCTGATGAAATCATCGAACGCATATATTCGGAAAAAAGCAGCACTTTGTGCGTTCAGAATTATTAGACGTGTACCAGAATTAATGGAAATGTTTCTGCCCGCTACGCGAAGCTTGATTACGGAAAAAAACCATGGTGTGTTGATAACAGGTGTTACGCTTATCACAGAAATGTGTGAAAATAGTGTCGATACACTGAATCATTTTAAAAAGGTGAGCTTTACATGTTTTAATAATAATAACAATAACAACAACAACAACAATAATAATCATAGGAATATTAGTATTGATACAAAGAACAGTAGTACAGTACTTAGATGTCTTGAACATTATTAAAATGTTTTACGTCATTGCATCAAAGAAGATTTATATTATTTTTTTGATACAATTTAAGTTCTTTACTACTAGTGTGATAGATGCAGTCTAGACTGTAGTAGCATTAATATGTACCAGATGCATTGAATTAGTAGCGTTAGTAAAACTTCGTATTGAATAAATTAACATTACTACCAAAGAATGATAGAAAGGAATGTAGACTATAAATTTATGGAAATTATATTAACAATAATAATTTGACAAATGGAAGAAATTATGTATTATTTTTCATTAATGATTATATATTTAATACCAATAGGAAATAAATATAAACTTAATATTTTGCGAAGAATCTTATTAACTACTTAATTCCGGGATCCGTGAGATAAATATAATTTTTTACCTCCTCATTAATTTTCTGTTCATGATAATATACTCATAATATAAGTATGGTTTTGTCTTCCTTAGGAATGCGGCCATCGAGAGGTAAAATGCATACAAGCATCCTTTATACGTTTGCATGTTATGCTTATTATGGACTTCATTCTTTTCTTTTATTTTATATAATCTTTTCATTGTGTTCATATTATTGCTCGTGTTAATTGCTTCTTTATAGTTTCTATACTTGAAACGAAATGGAAATATCTGCATGTATTTAAAGGTATAATGTAATATAAACGACTTTTAGGAAATACGACTGAATCGTTATTTTTATTAATTGAATACATTGTTAGTATTGATTACATTTAAAAATGATCTTTAATCATTAAATTTAATAAAATCAGCATTAGGTACTTATATATTTCCTTAATAATTTATTTATTTCTTAAATTAGACATTCGTAGTATTGTGTATGTATATGTATATACATATGTATATATATATGAGCATATTTTTTAACTTTACAAAATATAGTTCTTTATTATTAACTTTTTTTTTAACAGTAGTTTGTCCTAAAACGTGAACATATTTTTTTGCCCACCTTTCTATTTAGTATTTAATATTGCTTTTTCAAAAACTGAGCAATATTGTAATCGATACAATGAATATGTAATGTTACTGTTAAACTTCTTTATTGTTATATGTTTTCAGATTTCTTCGTTTAACTTTTTTTTTATGTAAATTGAAATTGATAACGTATTTATTATTCAATAAAAAAAAACCAACATTTTTTCAGATTGTGCCAAATCTTGTAAGAATTCTGAAGAATTTGATACTAGCTGGATATTCCCCAGAACACGACGTATCGGGAGTGTCTGATCCTTTCCTTCAAGTGAAAATATTACGTCTTCTACGAATTTTGGGACGTAACGATATCGATGCATCCGAGGCAATGAACGATATACTTGCACAAGTTGCGACTAATACAGAAACTAGCAAAAATGTTGGAAATACGATATTATATGAAACTGTACTATCCATTATGGATATAAAATCAGAAAGTGGTCTTAGAGTACTGGCGGTGAACATACTAGGCCGATTTTTATTAAATAATGATAAGAATATTCGGTATGTTGCATTGAATACATTATTGAAAACAGTTTATGTGGACACAAGTGCAGTACAAAGACATCGTTCAACTATTCTGGTAATGTTCTTATGTTATTTCTGTATTATTTAATATTTAAACGTATAATATATATATTCATGTTTTACGTATTTGTTCTTTAGGAATGTCTGAAGGATCCGGATGTATCTATCAGAAGACGAGCAATGGAGCTGAGTTTTGCGCTTGTAAATTCTAATAATATTAGAAACATGATGAAAGAATTGTTACTTTTCTTGGAACGCGCTGACCCAGAATTTAAAGCTCAATGCAGCAGCAATATAGTAATGTCTGCAGAAAGATTCGCGCCAAACAAACGTTGGCATCTTGAAACATTGTTCAAAGTTCTTGTCGCTGTATGTAATTTATTCTCTATATTACCATTTTTCTTTGTTCTGATGTTACATAATACTTTCAACGATTTTTTTATTCATTCTCAGGCTGGAAATTATGTTCGAGATGATGTGGTAGCGTGCACCATTCAGTTAATTTCGGAGACACAATCGCAGCAAGGTTTTGCTGTTACTGCACTGTGGAAAGCACTGGAGAAGGATACCTTTGATAAACAACCTTTGGCTCAAGTTGCAACATGGTGTATTGGCGAATACGGTGATTTATTATTGTATGCGCCGCCATCAGAAGATATTGATGCTCCGGTCAATGTATGTAAATATATAGATACAGTGTTTCTCAAATTGTGGGCCCATAAAGATCTACAAACTCTTGTAAGAAACTTTCGGAATAACTTGTTTCTTTGTTATTAGTTAACAGAAGACGAGGTTATTGATGTTTATCAAAGGTTGTTATGGAGTCCACAAAATACAGTTGTAACAAAACAATACACCTTATTGTCTCTCACAAAACTTAGCACAAGATTCCAGAAGGGAAACGAGTAGGTGTTGTCCATAAGCCTGATTATTATTATATTTTATAATGGCGTATCTTTTCCCCCTCTTATTTGTTAATATAAATGATGTTTTCGCGTTATAGAAAAATTCGTCAAATAATTGATACATTTGGGAGCAATTTACATATTGAATTGCAGCAACGAGGTATTGAGTTTTCTCAGTTGTTCAGAAAATATGATCATTTACGTCCCGCGTTGCTCGAAAGAATGCCTCCTATGGAAACAGCAAGGCCACAGGCCAATGGTATTATTGGTTTGGTAAACGGCGAACCAGAACCCGAAGAAGAAAAATCAACAGTTTTGGAAACAAACACACCAACATCTGATTCAGTAAGTCCGTAGCAATATGAATTAAATTGAAGCACAATTTTAATTTAAATTATTCGCGTGAATTTTATAAAATATAATTTTTTTGCTCTTTATAGAGTGCACTTCTAGACTTGCTTGGAACTACCGACTTGGGAATGACGTCTACAGTATCAAATAAAAATTCATCTACCAGTTCGACTGCTGTAGTAAACAATAATGATCTCTTGGATTTGCTTGGAAGTTTGGATTTAAGTGCACCAACACCTACATCTACACTGCCACAGGCACAAACGCTAACACAAGTATTCAGTCCCACTAATACAGCCAACTATTTAGTAGACGGTTTACTTAATTCATCGGCGGTCCAGAGTGGTTTGTACAACTTAACGGAATGCATATTTATATGTTATTTTAGGCGAGGGAATACAAACGGCAATTTTGTTTGTAATTTTAGATATACCTACCATGATTGTATTGGACAAAGCGGGACTTAAAATAACCTTCAGATTAGAAAGACCACCAGATATTACCGATCTGTTAATCATAAACATGTCGGCTCAGAATTCTGGAAATGCAATACTGACTGATTTTCTTTTTCAGGCAGCAGTTCCTAAGGTTGATCATTTAACATATACATATTTCTAAATTACAAACAGCAATTAAGTTAATCGTTGACATTTTCAGACATTCCAATTACAAATGTTGTCGCCATCAAGCACAGTCATTCCCCCTTCTGGACAAGTTACACAAACGCTAAAAATTACAAATATGAACAAAGTAAATTTCTATGGGATATTTAATTTAATAATTTAATAACGGCATTGCTTTGACGCTTAATATATTTTCTTGGAATGTAGGTATCTCTAAGGATGAGATTACGTATCTCGTACACTGGACCAGCTGGACCAGTCTTGGAGCAAACGGAAGTAAATAATTTTCCTCCCTTAGCATTACAGTGACAACATATATTAAGGAAGACAATTGTACATATGCCTGTCTAAATAAGTAATTGAGTCTGAAATAGACTGAAACCCAATTTCATCTTTTCATTGGGTAAAAGGAAACATATTGGTAGGACACATTTGAGATAAAACTTTCCGATTGTTTTAAACCGATATTTCATCACACGTCGTACGAATTTTATGGGATGCAAATTCGTAACGAATTTTGATTTTTTCTTTTTTTTTTAACATGCATAAAAGTATTTTTCATCTGCTCACTGGCCATATTTTAAACTTGCGCGGAGAATGTACAATTTTTGTAAATATGTTTCAATATGAATATGTATTTTAATATTTTTATTTCATGCTTCTGGGTGCAATAGCAGAACGGAACAGTTTTAAAAAAATGTTTTTTTTAATTACACGATAATTCAGAATGTAATAAGATTTTAAAGCAAATATTGTTGGTAAATTGGTTATTTACTTCATCGATTATATAAGTACACTTGGAATTTATTTAAGTTAATGCTTGTTGAGCAGATGGTATGATATTTAATTTGAAGTCTTTCAGAATTTGTAAAATTTATTACTGAAAATGAAGTTTTTAAATTCCAAAGCAAAAGAAAGGAATGTAAAATTTGTCTTGTACTATGCTGCATGTATGTGAGACATGTAAATATTTTCTCTAATCGAATATAGAAACATAGAACAATAATATTACATGCAACACCGTTATTTGATTTATTGTATTTGTATTCTTACGGCTCTTGATTTAACGTATAATTTTTCGTGTAGGATAGTTTTAAAAAAAAATGGATACAAAAAGGATACATAACAAAATATTAAAATCACTCGAAAAGTGTTTGTCACAAGAAAATGTTGTTGCCCAATTATCAACGACAAGCACTTAAAATCTTGCAGTAATAATTGATCTTTTCTACCTATATTTGTAAGTAATAAATGAACGCGATTGCCTTGTAAATACTTAAATAATTGCAATGACATATAAGTGATTAAATTCATATTATGCGGAGTGCAATGTGGGATTCTTTACCGTATGTGTTTACGATATAATTGCCATGTCAATAATAGAAAAACTTTGCTTTGTTCAAAAAAAAAATTGTTTTGAATGAGAGGGGGGAAAGGGTTCTACATAAATGCATATACATGTAGCGTGTACGTTTGCTATACCTTTGAATTTATATCTGTTATGGGTGATGTTTATACAGTTTCGAATGTATTTGGAGTATATGATGTCATTGAAGGGCTGAATTCTGATTGTCGTATTATTTTATACGTACATATACGTTTATTAAGTCGCTTGAAATTATATCAAACATCGTAAAAATCTGAAATGTAATTTTATATTGTCACATGTCATTTCAAATCGTTTATGAATATTTTATTTAAAATATCGTTACAATGGACATTGAGAAAAATTTTGAATCGCTATTATTTCTGTTACCAATCGAAGTTAAAATTATGATTGCATAACGTACAATTTAAGAAAGAAACGTACATAAATATTTTTCGTGTAGTAGTAAAAGTCTTAATAAAAATTACGACAGAAAAAAAGTATTTTACATTCCTTTTTATTATAGGACTTACCGGGGGTATATAAAATGTAAGATTTGAGTTAAATGAAACTTCATTTCAATATTTGTAATTAGTAAATTAAAAATTTGTATGTGTGAAAATGACCTTTCAAAGCAGTATCATATCTTTTTATACATGTTATATCTCTTTTATCTGATGCAAATATTTGACAAAGAATGTACGTTTAAACCATATGGAAGATTACGCAAAATAAAAATTGCGTAAAGCGTAGCAATAGTGATCCTATTTACGAGTATTCTTTTCCAAGATTTTATGTAAATGAAAATAAGGTACAGTTGTACTTAATTGTATTTAATTTACCTTATTGTAATAATATTATATGAATACGTAGTTTTTAAGCGCGATTAGGTCTAATACAAAAATGAATCTAGTATTTTGGCTGAGTAAGTGGAGAAATGTGTTTTATTATATTTTTCTCCTGAATTTCTCTTACGATCATAAATATTATAACGTACCAGTAAGTATATTATCAGTATAATTGTATGCATTTTAGCTCCGTCCCTTATATGTTGTGCGCTATGAATGCGGAGATGTATAATTCTAGAACAGGTGGGTGTGTTTCTGAGTGGCCTTGTCCTAAAGTCTGTGACACAGTGTCAGCCCTTCGGTGGGGATGTACTCTGCCTACTTGTTCTCAATATTATATTAGTTTTATAAATATAAATATATATAAATCAACTGTGAAGATATTGAATAATGATACAAATACTGTATATATACTTTCTAGAGAATCAAGGTGTGAAAATAAAATGTATTTTTATTCCACTAATCTTTCAGAATATTATCATTAATATTTTACGTATATAGTCGACAATGTTGAAAGAATTTTCGTTAATATGTACATTAAGTAAGAAACAAAACGATGATTATATTAAAAAGGAAACTAAATACAAAAATTTTATGTATTACGTTGTAATTAAAAAGTTTTCCGTACATTAATTACACATTATGTATATTATCTTATTACAAACTTTCTTTTTATAATAATTATTTTTTTTGTACATAGAATTTACTGCTGCTGAGACTCGACGGCGTTATTGCATCCGACTTGATTGAACAGTCTGTCTTTAATTATTTGTGCCATTAAACCGTGAATGATTTCAATGGTGGTTTTACAACTATCTCTTGTCGCTTTGATTAATTTTTCTACTGTGCTTCGATCATGAGGATCCGTACCGCCTAAAATAAATCCTCTTCCAAGCGCAACCTCCGACTGTTCTAATTTATCCGATAAATCAAATATTTGTCCAGTAGTATAATCAGCATTCGTTAAAAGACTAGACGAACTTAAAGTATTCACCCAATACTTATTCCATAAGGAATCTAATAATCGTCTATCTAACGAGGATTTGAAATAAGATACTTCCAAGGAATAATATTGTTTGCAATGAACGCCAAAATCTTCGATCTTATTCAATGGAATTGTTTGATATTCCGATGGTTCCTCGTTTGCTGGTTTATATCCCTGTAAATGTAAAATAATTAATCAAAGGTTTTCTTTTATCGATAAAGTCCATGAAATGAGAAAGCTTGAGAAAGCACGGCTATAAGTTATGGACAATACTAATTACCTTTGGGTAAGTTCTAAATGCACCTAAACAAACTTTTCCAGCGGAAATTGTTCTCACAGGATCAATAACAATGGCAACAAAAGGTTCTTGAAAATTTTGATTAAGCATTTGAGTAGAGACATCAATGCCTGATAACCAACACCCGTATCCAGGATGACTATGATACCATCCAATAGCATTTTCCTGTCTTCCCACCTTAACAAACAAAATGTATTTAATTACAAATATACATACATACAAAATAAGCGACGGTACAACCATGTATTTAAAGATAGTATAACTTATGGTTTTACTGTGTATACTACACCTGTTTAGCTGCATCCACATATGCAGACATATATTCGTAAGCTTGTGCTTGAGCATTTACTCTTGTTTCCGTGCCTTCTACAGGCAATGCAAAAGAATCCATAACGATCATTGTATTCGCCGCTACTTTTCCAAGAAGAAGACCCATTACTTCTAAAGTCCCTCCGGAACGAGCGTGCATAACCATTTTTAACAATGCCAATGCAGAGATCTTTATATCTTTGAAGAAATGGGGACTAAAAAATTAATTATATTAAATGTACTTTGATTTAATAGTATTTAACGTGCCAAATAATGAAAAGATTACTTACTCCTTTTCCCATGGCTTTGCAGCTAATATATCCTGTTGCTCTTTACGATCATATCTATAGATCTCGTCAACGGTGCTGATCGTTTCGATATTATTTGTCATTTCCCATGTTTTTTGAGCGACAGTACTTTGGTCCAAAGAAGTACTTGCCATAGTGACAAACTTTTGTTATAATTGAGATTCTATACTAGAATCAAAGAATATGGAGAAAGCAAGTTAAAAGTCGGAATTGTACTTTGAGTAAAATGATATTCGCCAAGAAAAAATAATAATCACAACGCTTGTTAATTATAAATAAAGTTTCGAAACAATAATGAAACGTCAAATCACTGAACAAGATTTAAATTAAGACAATACGCTGTTGACACATTATAAAAGAAATACTATATTCCGTTAATATTTAAAAATATTTTTAATTTATAATTTGTTACTTATTACCGCTTATTGCTGGTTATGGTTTGAAGTAAAACTATAGAAAATGTACTCGAACAGAGGTGAAACTCTTTTGTTGTTTGTTGCAGTGTTATCAAATCGGGCACTGGACAGAGATCAAAGATGCCAGACGGAGCCCCGTGGTGCACCGGGGACACCTCATTCCACTTTCTCACGCTATGCCAGATCATGCGTACGTGAGTGACAAAGGCAAACTGACGCATGCCCTCTTTCTCGATTCTCCGAAGCTGCCCGAAGTAATTTCGGACCGTCTCGTGGGAGTCGAGAGAGAAAGACTCACGTTTGCCTTTTCGCTTTTGAACAGACGCGCAGACGCGCAGACGCGCAGTGTATAAATACATGTGCGCTGGTGCCTGCGGTCAGTGGGAAACTGAGAGTGGCCCGAGAAGGTATAGCGCAGCGGGGGACTCGATGATGGCTCACTAGAGTTCTCAGTCAGACGTTTGAAGATGATCACCGTGGAGTTTTAGCCGGTAAGGTACCGTCCAGTTATACGCAATTTTTAATCGTGTTAAATAACTCTATCAATTAAATAAAATAAAATTTTATTAAATAAAAACATGATTTTCTTTAAAAACAATTTTCAAAATTAAATCAAGGACTATGATATCCATTAAATGCTGTTTTTCTTTTGTACATAATCCAATATAGTCTTTTTACTATTTCTTAATATCATTACAATTAAAATAAATAATAGTATATAAAATTTTAAATAATTAATAATCTTCCTCGTCATATCCATATTCAAAATCGTTTTCTTCTTCCGACGCATGATGTCCAAGCATTTGTCCAACAGTCATTTCTGTAGGATCAGCCTCAACATCTTCGTCAATATAATCATCAGTTTCATCTATTTTACATAAATGTTATCATTACTTATAAAAAGGTCTTGTATACTTATGGCATTGAAGAATTATTTATTAATAAGTAAGGATTAATTCCATTAAAATCGTAAATGTACCTATATCACAGGCATCTGCTTTTGGGAGTGTAGCTTCTGCTGAAGTAGCATCTATTTCAACAGGCGTTATTACTTCTTCTTTCTTCATTTGCTGTATATATGGTTTAACTACGCGAGACTTTCTTGTCGTTACTGTTGGTTTGTCTTGCAATTTCGACGGACTAAGAACATTGGGTCTACAAAGTAAAAGTCATTCATTATTTCATTTTTTTTTTTTAAATAAAAATATTTAATGATAGATAAAAAAAATGTCTTGAAGTTATAATTATTGTTACTACATATAATACATAAAATACAAACGTTTTAATGCAACTTATATTATCTGCTTCCAATTTGGTTGGCTGGACGGGCTCTTCGACTTTTTGTTGTTCTTTGCTCGCGGTATTTACAGTAACGTTTAAACTTTTCAGCACTTCGTAATTAATTTTAGACGAAATTTTCTTTTCTTGCAACATTTTCTCGATCGCTTCTCCTATCGCAATTAATAAACTGGTCAGTCAAATAAGTAACAGCAAGCGAACCATTTACTATAAAATTGAAATTGACATTTTTACCTGCGGTATTAGCAGGTACTTGATTTTTATTACGTTTCGTGGTTCGGCGCCGTTTCTTTTCTGGTTTACCCTCTTCTTTTTCTTTCAACCGCCTTTCCTCTTTTTCTTTCTGTTGCGTCAAATACTCGGCATTCACTTTGTTCCATAAATTATGTTTAAATTGCGCTTCTTTCTCCGACATGATATAACTATCTAATTCGTCATCGTCCAAATCAGTGACGTCAATATCCCCGGAATTCTGAAATAACAAATATTTATAAATAATGGATATAACACAATGTATAATGACTTTCGTCGGGAATTGCGAAACAGATTGATTATATTACAGTTTCAAACGTTGTGGTCTCTTGTTCTTTCGCTTCACTCTCTCTATCGTTCGTCGATATTAATCCCATGGAAGCAATGTTTGGCCCTTCAAATAGTTACACGTATTATGAATTTTATAGTACGATAATCATAATGGAATAAAAATGATCACGATCAAAACGTTTTATTCCTTACCGAGACCAGTGATCAAGCGATTATTTACATTTCTCGATTGGGAATCGTGAATTTCGCTATCAGGGTCATCTACATCGTTTTCAACATAGTTGTTAATAATATCTAAATTACTTTCTCTTACAAATCTCTCTGTGTCTTCTTTTTCTATACAATCATCTAAAAATTAATGTATTTTATAATAAACTGATTGTATCTTATAAAACGTATTTTTTAAAAACGCTTAAGGTTTGATATAATACTTTAATTATATTTTATCGGCTATTTTTAAATGTACGCTTTAAACATCTTGTTTAATTACCATCCTTTCGTTTTCTTGCTTTTCCTGCTTTACGATCTTCCAAATGTTTATCAATCTCAGCTTGCAGTTCATTTATTTCTGTATCTATATTATCCAACTGTAAATGTAAACATTAAATTTGTAGCAAGCAATCTACCATTTTTTTTTTTAAATTATTTCGAAAAATATCAATTGATTAAAAAGGCTTTATATGCGCATAAAGAATCTGTACCTTTTGTAATCGTTCTCTGTCCTTTTTCCGCGCAGCTTTGAAAGCTGGAGGGTCCTGTTCCTCTTCCAGGTCGACCGTCATAAATTCCTCGAGCGTTAACGCGCTCGAAGGTGTATCGCCGAATTCTATGAGCCTAAAAAATTATAATAAATATTAATTGTTATAGATCGTAAATTGAACGTCGGGGAATAAGATTTCAAAGTGTTCTTACCTTTTACGCAATGTGGTTTCATGCACCTTTACGATTTTAATGATATCTGCTGGCGACCTGTTAAACTCGTGTAATCGCGCTGCCATCAGTAACGCTGTTTTACAAACAAAGAAATGTTTATTTAAATTCAGTTAAATAAATAATCATTAATGAAAATATTTATATCGCCTGATGAATCGATACTAATACTGTATGATAAAACATTATCGATTATGTGAATTGAACGAAAGAAAGAAAAATTAACGAAATAAACTGTATCTTTTCATACCAGCTCCACATAGGCCCGATGGTTTACGTCCACTGTGTATACTATCTCTTTTCATCCTTTGAACGACTCGTATCGCTGTCATCGACACTTCGTGAGACTTTTCACCAAATTCCAGTTTATTTGCAAATCTCATTATATATAAACATGGATCTGTAATGAATAATAAATTATATAGTGTACATGTGGAATTTAAACATAATACATACATGCATGCATATAACGCTGTCTAACGAAACATAAACTTAGTTAAAAAATCTGTACAGTAGTTATTGTGCACGACGTACGCGAAAATAGACCCTAATTTGAATAATAAAATTGTTAATACAAACGCAAATTATTGTGCAATAATTCGTATGAATGGTTTGATTTAAGTAAACCAATAGTAATATTTAATTAGTGCACAGTTAACGGTAGCGTTTATTAAAATTAAACTCTATTGTACTGCGCAGATCAAGGTCCACGGTTTTTAGAAACACCCGCTATATGAACGCGCGTGCCCTAAGTTGTCGTCTATCGACCGACGTGCGTAACTATCTAACCAGCGCCCGTCTGACATGGCGCCCATGTAACTGAAATCCAAAATCGTTCCGTGTTGCAATTGAAGAAATAACAGACATCACGTTTGAGAAGTGACAATGGCGATGTCAAATCTTTATTCGAAAATATCAACGAAACCGATGAAACGCTTCCAGGAGAACGTCACAGTTAAGCAGACTAATCCATGGTTAAACGGTGAGATATGAATTTATTAAATATAAATAAACATAATATTTGGATCAAACATTACGAAGCTTAATAATGCTTGTAACGAAACGATTAAGACGATTTATTAAAATTGTGTTAAAATGTGTAATTTCGAAGAGTAAAATATATTTCAGATTTTTATTTACCATACTTTAGATACTATTCACATAATACTACGTAATTATTAATTGATTTGTACTAATTTTCTGCGAGTATTTATAACAATTCGTTTTTTTCTTAATTTCTTACTTCGTGATTCAAAAAATATAATATTAAAAAAGAAAAAATATAAATATTCTTTATGGTTTATAAGTTAATATCCAAAAATAGTTAAAATAATTAATTTTTTTTAAATGGATCATATAATTGCATTTACGAAGAAAAATATATTATAAGTTGAGAACACGCTTCTACCAATGTAACGTACAACTCGTATTCTAATGTGTCTTTATAAATTACCTGCACGTTAAACGAAATGTTGTTACTAAGCTTTGATAAAATATAACAATTTTTTGTCGTATCATAATGGAACAAATATTTGCATAGAAATTAAGTGTACTTCGAACTTAACAGAAAATTTGAAAACTAACTAAAGGTACGTTAACCTGAATCGCGCGTTACAGCATATACATATTTATTTGATGCACATAGTACTTACGTGCATGTGAGCACCTACGGAACTACACGAATGAAAACGAAACAAACCGAGCTCAGTATGTCTCATTGCAAGAAGGACTTACCCATAAATGAGACATTTGCTTAAGCTGCATATATGTACATGTATGTGTTGGCCTGTGTGTTCGTACAATTGAAAATAAGAGGGGGCCTCTAAAGCATCAGTGATATAAAATCTTTTACTATGTCATAATAAAACTAAAGGATTCTATTCGAAACTATTGTCAAAACTGTGGAATAATGTACACTAACGGTAAAATTCTGATGATTTTATGGTATGCGTTTATTTTGTTGGGAATATTGCCAAAAGGTGATGAATTATACATCATCTTATAGCGAGAATAAATTTAAATGAAAGGTGTGCAATATGAAAATTTGATTAATTTGTAAAAAAAACAACAAATTCTACCAAGAACTCCGTTAACTCGATTAAGACTCGTTACATGTTTTCATCCTACATAACCTCTTTATTAGCGTGAAAAAGAATTGTTATTTTTGTTGACGAAACACTATACATATGTAGTCGGAAATTTTCAGTCATCAGTGTTCCATTCGGTCTAAAAAATAATTAATAAAATTGCTCGAGAGAAACAATTTTAAACATACAATCAATTAACATTATTTAATACGAAATAATATTATTTTTTTGATTATTACTATACTTCAGATATACGTTTAATTTCCATTGCAATTATTTAATTTTCAAACGGCGAAAGCACGATTGTAATAACTAACGTAATTAATTATTGCACGAAAATGATGTAAACATTAATGTTTGTTCTTAAAGAATTTACACGCAATCTATTGTATTATTAAATTATTTTTTTTTATAATAAATGAAAGAATGATTTGTTTTTCTGTTAACTGTTATTAATATGTGCAGTACAAATGTAAATATCTATTAACCGATACATTGTCTTCTATTACTACATGCGAAAGTAACATAAATGTGAAAAATTTTTATATTATATATGTTTTAGCGGAATCACCGATCACTGTATCAGATTCACCACCAACAATAAGTCCACTAACTTCTTCAATTGTACTACAGCGTGAGGGAACAATAAACCAACCCCTTAGCGCACCTGCTTCACCTTTGTCTTCCTTGTCACCTCTTATAACACAGTTAAACTTATCATCACCAGAAGACTGTACACAAGATCCTAATTGGCAAGCAACAAAATCTACAGTACGCGAACGGAATGCTGCCATGTTTAATAACCATCTGATGGCAGATATTATATTTATTGTTGGCAGTCCAGGTAATTAATCGACTAACTTCAACATCAAACTGTTATATTTAAAACTTGTTCGAAATTAGATAACATTTCGTGCTATTAATAGGTCACACTCAAACTATACCAGCACACAAGTACGTTTTAGCTACTGGTAGTTCTGTATTTTATGCAATGTTTTACGGTGGGTTAGCAGAAAATAAGAGAGATATAGAAGTACCTGACGTAGATCCAGCTGCCTTTCTTGCTCTATTAAGGTAAATACCATTTATTTCTATCGAATTGTTAATTTAAATTGTTCAAAACTCATTCGATTGTCCTCTTTCATAGGTACATGTATTGCGACGAAGTACAATTAGAAGCCGATACAGTTTTAGCAACGCTTTATGTCGCTAAAAAATACATAGTCCCTCACCTAGCAAGAGCATGCGTTAACTATTTGGAAACAAGTTTGACAGCAAAGAATGCATGTTTACTTTTGAGTCAGTCACGTCTATTCGAAGAACCAGACCTTATGCAGCGTTGCTGGGAAGTAATAGATGCTCAAGTAAGTTTAAATCAAAAAATGTTGAAGTCTTTTACTTTAAACGATAATTTAGATATGACATTAAGGACTAAATCAAGCTTATCCACTGATGGCATTGATCATACTATAAGTTTCTATTCTTGCGGAGATATTTGTTTGAACAACAGATTAAAGGATTTCCAACAGCAATTTACTCATAAAACTGTAAAGACCGGTGACAATAACTATGGAAATGTAAAGAATAGATTGTCAGTAGTGCCACATTGTCTCAGTTTGTCTGAAAATAATTGTTGTTCAACATTTGGTAACAAACGATTATCGTTTTCTTTGTTTCGAACACGAAGTGAACCTTATTTTGCGGATAATAAATTAGAAATTGAAGTAACACAAAATATAACTTACGAAGATAATTTCATTGAAGACTATGAACATAATAAAAATGATTGTAATAATTTTCCAAGAATAACACATAGCATTAATTCAATGATTAGTTAAATAGACAATTTTTAAATGTTTTTCACGAAATTTCTTATACGGTTCTTGAAAATAATTTTCTATCTAGTAATAATGTAGGTTTTTATGTTATTTACGTAAAAAGTAGAAAGATTAAATTTTTAAGATTAAATTTTTAAGATTAAATTCATTAAAGATTTGAAAGACTGGTCAGTAGAAGTTATAAAGAAGATAGAGTATTTATACTTTTGAAGATGCATTTTCAATGAAAATATTCAATATTACAGGATATCTGTATTTTATTTAAATACACTTAAAGAACTAAACTGCTGTTCATTATATATTAAATCTATATAATTTCTTTTTAATCGAGTGACATTGTATTATAAAAAATATTCAATTTTGAAAGAAATAGAAATAAGAAACTTTATCATAAATTTCTTCTTTAATATTGTGTTAAATCACAATCATTTAATCAATTTTATACATGAATACACATTATCTATTTATATTGATAAATAATTTATTTGTAATAAGTTTTAAGGATACGTGATTTGTAATGCAATTAAACACGTTTCACAGAAACGTTTAAAATCAATTTTTACATAATACAAATAATAATATTTTTAATATAAATTGTATAAAATATGTTTCGCAATTTTTTTTTCTATCTTTAAACGATGTCTGTATCAAGTAATAAAGCATTTTTTGTAGAAAATATAATAGATGTCAAAAATTAATAAGTCTTAATTGAATTATTTGAATTTTAAGTTCTGCATTATTTATTTTTTTTTGTACAATTTATGTGTACTAATTGCACATAATGAATAAGATTTTTTATAAATATTACATAAACGTTTAAAAGTTTTTAAAGATGTATTAAAAGTTTTTAATATATTTCATGTAATAGATACGCGTAAAAAATACAAAGAAAAGTGTTCAGTGTGTTAGATTTCTTTCTTGTTGTACAATTTCTTGCAAATTACTTAAGTAAAACTTTTTTTTATAAATAATATCTCAGCAGGTGTGAATACTCGATAGATATTTCCATTGCTAACAATATGAAATAAAATGTTGTAATATAATAATAAATTATTGAGAGAGTATGTAATTTTAGAAAATCCTAGTATATAATACACATAACTGTACACAAATCTTAATATTATTTAGGCAGAAATGGCACTAAGATCAGATGGCTTTGTGGATATTGATATTCATACTCTCGAATCGGTACTTTCTCGTGAAACATTAAACTGTAAAGAAATACATATATGGGATGCTGCATTGCGATGGGCAACCGCTGAATGCATTAAACAAGAACTTGAACCATCGGCAGCGAATCAAAGACGGCTATTGGGTAAGTATTGGCAATAGGTATTGTGAAACGTAAAGCTAATATCATTAGTTCCTTTCTTTCTAGGATCTGCTTTGTATTTAATTAGACTTCCCGCCATGAATTTGGAAGAATTTGCCAATAGTGCTGCACAAACTGGAATCTTAACGCAACAAGAAACAATCGATGTCTTTTTGCATTTTACTGCCAGCAATAAACCTCAACTTTGCTTTCCTATCAAACCTCGTCAAGGCTTAAAAACTCAGGTAAATCTTTCTATAAAATTTGTTTTTATATCGTATTTATTAATCTTAACGATTAACGGAGATTTTCGTATTTGGTGTATAACAAGATGAAAATTAATGGTTTCTAATTCTTTGTTTTACAGGTGTGTCATAGGTTTCAGTCGTGCGCATATAGATCAAATCAATGGCGCTATAGAGGCAGGTGTGATTCAATTCAATTTAGTGTTGACAAAAGAATTTTTGTTGTCGGTTTTGGACTTTATGGGAGCTCATCTGGTGCTGCAGATTATAATGTTAGAATTGAACTAAAAAGATTGGGGTGTGTTTTATCCGAAAATAGCACTAAATTTTTCTCAGATGGTTCAAGTAGTACGTTTCACGTATATTTTGAGAATCCAATTCAAATCGAACCAGAATGCTTTTATACAGCTAGCGTAATATTAGACGGGGGCGAGTTAAGTTACTTTGGCCAAGAAGGCATGTCAGAAATAACAGTTGGTAATGTGAATTTTCAATTTCAATGCAGTTCCGAAAGTACGAATGGCACAGGTGTGCAAGGGGGACAAATACCCGAACTAATTTTCTATGGACCGCCAGTAGATGACTGACGGAAGTTTACCACGGAGATAATGGTTTAACTAGGTTTCTAAAAAAAATGTACCTTAAAATTATTCGAGGTTTTATGCAATTCTTGTTTTGATTCTATTTTTAAATCAGTGACAAAAGTTGTGTAATAGATGCACTCTAAATTTTTAAATATTACGTTTTAAATTTTCCATAATATTATCATTGAATACCTTGTACAAAACAATAACATTGATAACTTACTCCAATTTACTTTTTCCTTAAATCATAATTTTATTCATTTCCGTTCTATCTATCTTCTTTATTAATCCAATTCATTTTTTATGTTTTAATTACATGGAGAGGATAATGAGAACATTGTCAATTTATATTTTGTTATCAATGTAAAGAAAGTATAATGATACAATTACACTTTAATCCGAAGCTAATGCCAAATTCTGAACTCCGTAAGAAATTCAATACACGTCGAAATAATTTCATAAAAGAATATATTTTCTTGAAATAAAATTTTTACAATTTTATAAATGCACAAAAAGATAGTTGCTTTTTATACTATTATATTTTATAACATAATCATATGACAATTATAAATGATTATCATGTATTTTGGAATAATTCGCTATTATTAATATTGTTTTTATTAAAAAATATGGGAATATAAATTCTATAATTTAAATTTAAACTAAGGCTTGTGTAAAGGAGTGACAGTTTTCTAAACAGAGTGCATCTATAACCAGCTTCAGTATACTCAAGTCGTTATTAAATTTTGTTTGAATGGAAACTCAGTGAAAAGTTTTTTTTACATAACTTGGATATTTAAATAATCATTTGTAAATATGCAAAAGTCAGAGTATATAAAAATATCTGTTAAACAACTTTAAGAAGGCAGAATGTAAAAATGTTCTTTAAATTAATAGAGAATGATTGAGAAAGTTTAGAAGTGCTATTCAAAACACTTTACTGTCTTTGAAATTATTGTTAAATAGTATATTTATCGCAGCTTATTTAGTTTCCAATTACCAAATACTAATAATTTTTGTTTTCAAACTTTTTTAATTTAAGTCACTATTCCTTAAATTTATACTCTTTAATTTTTAATCAAACGATGTATATTGTTATCATTTAATCAAATAGAATTTTTTATTTTTGCCAAACGATTAATACTGCTTTGAAACTGCCCACGTAAAGCGATATTTGTTTTTTTATATCTATATTTTTATTTTTTGTACTATTTCACTATGAAAACTTGTTACGGGAGAAAGATATTATTTTACTTTATTTTCAGTTTGTTGAAGTCTGTGTACGATTATCGAAATTCTTAATTTCATATGATGTGTAATTTCAGAATATGATACTAAATTATTCAGAAGGGAAAAATGTTAAACTTTTAAATGTAGATTTTTAGATGAAATAGAATTTTTGTATACATTATAAATATTACAATAGTACTTAATATAAATATTCTATGATATTTCGATTGTATTTATATGATTTCATAGTTTGTAATTCATGTAAAAAGTAGAAAAGCAACTAGTATAGTTTTAAGAATAAGTATTTGTATATTAGCGAATTAAGTATACCCATTATATTTTCATTTGATATTAACATTATATTGTATCCAGTAAGGCCACTGAATCTGGCGCCAAAGTTTATATCGCAGAATAGCCAATACCATTTAGAAAGTACAATGAACTATAATACCAATAATAATAAAATGTACAAAATAATGCCTTCCTACTGTTAGTATGTCTGGCCAGTGCGAACAGGAGAAGAGGACAAATAAATTTTGAAAACATCTTTACAACTAGTTTAAGATTGGCATTTTACTAATAGAAAGAAATGATTTAAAAGAAATTACGTCGTTACTTTAAACTTCTAAAGTATACGTTAACAAATTCTAATTTCAATGTCAATGTCACGATTATTAATTTTATGCCTTGTATTATGAATTCATTATCGTCGTTAAAAAGTTGAGAAATTATTTGAAACGATAGAAATCATAGTAATACAACTACAACCGTATGACGTGTAACATAAGAAAAACGTAATTAGATATCACTATGCAAGCAATAAGTGAATATAAATATAAGAATTTCATTTACAAATAATAATTCCATATTATATTTTTATGCATCAGGCTAAGATCTTTAAAACACCTTCCTTGTTAATAGTGTAATATCAAGACAGAATTATTAAAATTATAAATTATACATCATATCATTACTGACAAATTAAAGGCCCAAATGTTATTTTTAATATTTAGAAATATTTGAAACATAAATATTTCAGACATTGTCGATTGATTTTATTTCGTAATTTTCCATTTTAAGATTATTATCATTATACTTCCATAAATTATAACATGAACAACACAAAAATTTATAATAGTGTTCAATTCGTTAATAATATTTTATGAATTCTTTTATATTTCACTTCGATAGAAATGCATAAACGTAGTGATAATTATTTGTGATGAATTACTTGTAAAATGGGACAATTTTTGTCCGAAGAATAAAACATGACAGTATAAATAATATTAAATTAAATACTTTTATCTCACTTTTATAAAAATAAAAGTATTATAGTTACTTTGTATATTTAGTAAATTAAATAAATATGTATAATAATTAATATTAGATTTACAGCAATTTTATTTTTCTCTAATATTGTATACCATGTATATTCCTATTGTTATACCTTTTCTATAATTACGAATGAAATTAGCTGAGAAAATTAATCCTGTTGTAATCCAACTTAAAACTAATAAGATTATATACAAAAGAATTCTTTAAAAGCATGAAATAAAAATAAAGTAATATATATCATGCAAATTTGAAATATGTAGAATGCTCACCTGCTGAAGGTATGTTGATGCAGAGAGCTTGTGTAAACCGTAGATATGTACGTCCCAATTCATAAACGCAAATTTGAAGAACATCACTGATATCGATAAGCATATCTGATTCATTAGTTAAGAATTTTCTTTTTAACTTTTTGACAACTTTACATTTTAGTGTCTCTATTATTTTTTTAACAGTATAAAGGATACGTGCTGTGCCTTCTGTGCGACAAGTAATGTATACACAAGCTGCATGATTGTGTGCTTGTCTTCTTCCGCGAGTTAAATGACGATTTAAGGCCATCTTATAAAAGTTCATAGACGTATCGATGCAGTGTTGATTCAAACTAAATAAACAGGACATACATTAAGTTTCTTATTTATAACGTTGCAAAGTTATTCACGATATTGTAAACAATACATTCAGTAAAAATTTCAATAATAAAAATTAAGTCTCCGAGTATGTTATAAAAAGAATTGTTACTTACTGTAATTGCATACACAAATGAGTTATTCCTTTTCTTGCATTTTGCAAAGTTATTCCCCTTGATTCTTTTCCATTGACATGATACGCTATAAAGAAAAAATTATGAAATATAAGTAAATAACAGAAATAATGATAAGAAATACGTATTTATTTAATTTAATTACAGATATCATTAAGTAATAATATTCTCAATTGTTTGCTACCGACTTTCTTTATTTGTGTAAAATTGAGTACCTGCTCCGAAACCTGTAGCTCCACCGGTACTATCGTTAGCAACAAATTGACCAAGTACCATCATATTTCCAGACGGTGTTTCTTTAAACGAAGCTTCGCTGACAATGAGCTGATCCTCCAATACAAAACCACATTCTGTACATACTGCATCCCCTCTAGCTGGATCTGTTTCGATCTCTGTAGATCCGCAATTTCTACACTTAGAAGACATCTGTAACGCATTGACAAAAATTTAAAATTAAAATGTATTTGATGGAAATATTTATTACAAAACTATAAAATAAAATCTTATTAGTATACTCTATTATTTAATTTTAACTAGCAAAATTAACAACTTGAAATAACTTCATTGAACAGAAAATATATTTATTCGTTGCTAATGAAAATAAAGAACAACATTTTCACTAAAGGAAAAACAGCTTTTTAATCTGTAGTATGTGCACATTATTATAATATGAAGTATCAGTGTATAATACAATTAACATCTAATTTAATATGCTTACATTGAATGTATTAAACAAGTTAAATTTCCAACTACTTTTTCAAGTTATTAAATTAAACAAAATTCATTGTTGTTATAATATTCCATAAATAATAACAAATAGTTCTCAATATTACCTTTGCAATGTTATAATTTCTGATGTTTAATTTTAATTGTATGTCATTGAAGTTACTAACATAACATCTAGAACTTATTACTGACAAACATGTCAAATTAATCATGACATCACGGCTAACTAATATTTTATTATACTTTGCTTTTACATAAAGCTATGTAGAGTTAATTTAAATGCAAGATTTATTTTTATCCGACAAAATAGATCTGATAGGTTATAAATACAAAACACACATTGCAGGAGCATCATATGATGATAGGTTACGTGCATACATACAGGGATACTTAAATGTGGACATAGCCATTTTATGAAAGATAAATGTACATTAAAGGCTTTAAAATTTTACGTTTAAATAATATAGATTATTCAATATGTCACGTATTTAATCTTTCGATACAAAGTTCAAATTTTTTTTTATTTATTTAAAAACTTTAAATCGTTCTGAAAAAATTATTTTCGGTTGCGGCGATCACTTGCGGTCATTTTTTATGAATACACATACCCCCGAAAATCTACGCGCTTTCGAGAAAAAAATTCTTTACGAAAATCGGTAGGTGGACGAATTTTGAAATTTTGAAATAAAACGAATTTTAACTTTAAAATTTACGTCTAATCGACTTGGAATTAAAAGTCCTTCAGCAGATGCGACGTCCTCCTGTGATGTCCTTGCGATTAATCTATATAAAAAAATGAAATCAAAAATGATATTCATATTAGGAACATATAAAAGGAAATTTATGAAACACCATGCGTTAGATGAGAATCTGTACGATGGATAAACGGAAATACCTAAAGAAATGTACGAAATAAAAATACTAATTAATCTCAGAAATAACAAAATCCAACGGAGTATTATCTATATAAAAATCAAAAAGCCAATACATGTATTAATCATATGAATTAATGGGAAAATGACAACAACCCAACAAATTATTACCTATATAAAAATCAAAAATCAAACAGAGTAAACTTCTTGTCGATAAGTAGCTACCGCTCAGCCAGTAACATGGCTCGTACGGTAGATCATGTCATCATTGGCTAAGGAAGTTCGTCGTTACTAGTGTCGTCGTTGGTGCACTAAATTTGAATTATGCCAAATCTGGTCACACTGCGTACATATTCATTAAGAAGTGTCAAATAAGACTAAACATCAAGAATGAAATAATGAAAAAATTCCTATATGTGTACAAAACATCAAAGAATATTTAGTACACATTGTAAATACTGTTATTGATTACATTTGTTGCTGAAACGTATTAATAACTAATACACCAGTAATATATGAAATGTCAGTTGAACCGATGGTCTACCCCCATTAAATTAAAGTCGAATAAATGTGATCGAATCTTTCAGTGAGAAGTAAATAACAAAAATTAGAATGCCTTGTGAAATGATAACTTTGCAACTGGGCCAATGTGGGAACCAAAGTAAGCAATGTTTATAACTTGCATATGCATTGATGTATTTCGTTTTTATAATATTTGATGTATAAACATTGTAAACAAGTAATATATATTTGGTCTCTTGTTATCAAAGTATTTCTGTATACAAGATATTAGTTTCTTTAATTTCTCACTAACATGACTTTATATATAAATTATAAAAACATTTATTACACACCTAATGCATTGATTCGTTTAATTAAAGTACTATATATTTGAAGAATACATAAAATTCTTTTTAATGTATATGTTGTTTAGTTGGATTTGAATTTTGGAAGAAATTATGCGCCGAACACGGTATTAGCGCAGAAGGTATTTTAGAAGATTACGCGACAGAAGGAACTGACAGGAAAGATGTATTTTTTTATCAGTCGGACAATGAACATTATATACCAAGAGCAGTATTATTAGATCTGGAACCTAGAGTAATTCACACAATTATGAATTCTCCATATTCCAAGGTATTTTTTTTTATCATTACATATTTGTATATACATATTAATAAATATGGTTATTAACGCTGAAATAATTTTTTACAAGTTATACAATCCAGAGAATATTTATATATCGAAACACGGAGGCGGTGCCGGCAATAATTGGGCATCCGGTTATCATCAAGGAGAGAAACTTCAAGAAGAAATTTTTGATATTTTGGATAGAGAAGCAGATGGAAGCGACAGTTTAGAGGTAGTGATTCATATGTATTTGAAGAAAAGCTATTTTATAGGTTTATCATATTATTTACATTTGCAGGGATTTGTTTTATGTCATTCTATAGCAGGTGGTACTGGTTCAGGTATGGGTTCTTTTATGCTTGAATCTCTTGCGGATAGATACCCAAAAAAGCTAATCGAAACATACAGTGTTTTTCCAAATCAAGATGAAATAAGGTGTGTTTTGTAAAGAAAATCTTATTAAGATCTTATCGATTAATAAAAATTAATTATGTTATTTACTTTCAGTGATGTAGTGGTACAACCATATAATTCATTGTTAACGCTAAAAAGATTGACACAATGCGCTGATTGTGTTGTTGTGTTAGACAATACTGCGCTTAACAGAATAGCGTCAGATAGACTTCATATTCAAAATCCCAGTTTTACGCAAATCAATCAACTTGTTTCTACGATAATGTCTGTTAGCACTACTACTCTTCGGTAACGTATCTACTTATAGTTAACGTATATAACGTATATATCTTCTTGTATATATCACATTTCCATAATATTAGGTACCCTTCTTACATGAATAATGACTTGGTTGGTTTAATTGCTCCATTAATTCCAACGCCGCGTTTACATTTTCTGATGACTGGTTACACTCCGCTCACTACAGATCAAGAAGTGAGTTACTTTATTAAATGTTAAATAACAATGTGAAGAACATACGCTAATAAGAAGGTGTTTGGAGAAATGATTATTTCTTAATTTACATTATAATTGAATAGGGCGCTTCTATAAGGAAAACTTCTGTATTGGATGTAATGAGACGTTTATTACAACCAAAAAATATGATGGTTTCTACAGCATTGGACAGAAATGCATCTCATTGTTATATATCTATACTAAATATTATTCAGGTTAGTCTCGTACAACTTGTAGTGATAAAACTTATATATAATTAAAATTTATAATTTTTTACAGGGCGAAGTAGACCCAACACAAGTTCATAAGTCGCTACAAAGAATCAGGGAACGAAAACTTGCACAATTTATACCTTGGGGACCAGCTAGCATACAGGTGGCTCTTTCTAGAAAATCCCCATACATACAAAGTACACATAGAGTGTCTGGCTTAATGTTAGCCAATCATACTAACATATCATCGGTAAGTTTTATTTATTACACATATTTTTCATAAAAAAAATAATCCATTTAAAATTGTCTTTGTATTGTACTTTTATTTCAGTTATTCGATCGTGCCTTACAACAATATGATAAACTACGAAAACGAGAAGCATTTCTGGAACAGTTTCGTAAAGAGAAAATGTTCGAAGACAATTTGGACGAGTTGGATAACTCTAGAGAAGTCGTTGAATATTTAGTCAAAGAATATCAAGCAGCTACGCGAGTTGATTACTTGTCCTGGAATCCTAACAAAGCAGACACATAAAGTAATAAAAATTCTTCATAAGATTATAAACGTATGAAAAGAGTTTCGGATCTGATTATTATTCACTAGTCTTAACAACTCTTTCTTTGTTCATCACAGATTTTCACCAACGTTTTGTAATTTTTTGCCATTATTTGAGGCTTAATCAGTCTTTGGACTGTAAACATATTTCTGATTTCCGTGCATACAATGGAGGTAGCGTTGCAATAGTGATGAATCCTGTATGACCAGGCAGAGAACGAGCGTGCGTTACAGTAAGAAGTTTTGTTTGATTTTGCTTTTCATTTTCATTTTGTTGTGCCATATCCTTGTTTGTATGCTAAAATGTAGTTAAAATGTTCATATTATTATTTCAAGACATTAATATTATCTTGAACAGAAAAAATAAACCAAGTATATGCCATCTATGCTATTAGGATATTTACTATATTTTTCCTGCAGCAGTTAAATGAAAAATAATATTCTACGTATAAAGCGTTCATTTATATTTCATCGTTAAAATTGTATCCATTCTACAAACCTCGTACTTCAGGCATTCTAAATCCAATGTAGAAAGATTTCTATATTGTACGTTCATTTCTCTTTGTAAACACTCGTATGTATTTAATTCTATGAACCCTTTTGATATTAATTTCTCACACGTACGTTGAACTTGTTCGATACAAGGAGAAAAAGAACAAAGTTTTCCACCTAACGACAGAGTAATAATATAATTTCGCATATTTATTTAAAAATTTATTAATTTTGTGTAACAGAGAATTCTTCAAAAATAAAATTAATTGAGAAAATTACAATTATCTATTTGTGCAAAAATACATATAAATGAAAAGTGAAATAAAAAAATGATATTTAATAAAATATAATTACTTTGTACCTGACTTCTTAAATGTATGTAATGCATGATCGATTGCTAGCCATGGATGTGGGAGGTCCAAAAAGATTGCATCTACTTTAGTTTTTAGTTCTTCTCCGAATCCTTCTACGCAAACATCTTTATGACCTAAAGTTACAAATTTACTAAGACCGTGTCTCTCAAATTCAACACGAGCAACGTTCACACGTTGTTCGTGAAATTCGAATGTATAAAGATGCCCATGTGGACGAATCGCACGAATAAGTGCATGCGAAAGAGATCCGCTTCCAGTGCCTGCGTTGATAAAACACATAATATATTAATAACGTGCACATTTATCGTACAAGTTCTTAGAAATGTATATTATAAAAATAGCTAATAATAGTATTAGTCGAACCTGTCTCGATAATTATGTTTCCTGGTGTTAGATCCATCAAGTACATAATAAGACTTATATCAGGACTGTAGATGATTTGTGTCCTATGAGGAACCGTTAATGTCCAAAGTTCCGGTGTTGGCTGCAACACGTAGCCCCATCCGCGTGAAAGTTGCACTTTCGTACCATATTTCTTCCCAACAAGAGAAAAAACTTTCAACGCTCCGTATATCGTTTGAAAGATATTATCGACCATGTTACCCTTCTTATTTACAATTTTTTGTTTTATTTCTAAAGAGTGCATATTACTAGGACCTAAATATAAAATTACTACATCCCCTTCTTCTATGACTTCTTTAACTTTGTTAAAACTCATTTTGCTGAAAATGAATGCGATATACTTTTTTGCTATTTCTTACGTCCTTGTTTTTATCTTCTGTTTACAACAATCGTTGCTGTATTTTAGACGATTATGTTATAGTTATCGACTTATTTTTTATTTTAATTTGTCAAATCTAATTTATACTTGATATGGTTTTATATATTACATATCATGTACATTTTCAAATCATTATTAATTCATTAGCTTATGTAGGACATTATTTGTAAAATCCTTTACGATAACGTACGTAAAATTTTTGTTCTATGTGCTTCTGTTATATATTTTTTAATATCATCGTTATGGTTATACATCACAGATTTTAATACTGTATATTCACAGTTTATATCACAATGTGGTTATACGTATGTTCCGTATATACACATGTTGTATAGTCCCACACGTGGTCATAATCAGTACACTTATTAACGATTTAAAATAAAAATGAGCGACTATAAACCGATCATAAATTATAATATATCAATTCCATTTGTTCGATACGGTGCTCAAGAAGAGCATATTCAAATTTGAAGGGTTTCGAAATGAAAATCGACAATAATGAAAGCCAGTTGCTGGTAAATGAAAACGTGACCGAATGAAAGTGACATATTTGCAGAGAGCCGTGACCCATGAGGCCACCAACAGGGCTTCTAAGTTTAAAAATAGTTAAATAGTTGGTAATGAAGTACCAAATAGTTTATCTACAATTAGAGCTACAAAATTGTTTGTATATTGTTTTCTGCTGTTAAAATAGAAAAGTGATTTGTGCATCTCATTCACGATAATTTCGAAATATGGCTTCGAAAGGTACGCTGTCCCAGGCCCTAGGTACGGATGGAAGTGATTTTAATCACAGACAAAAAATCGCTAGTCATTATCAAATCAGGTAATTAAAAGCATAATAAAAAGGACATTCCGTTTAAACTTTTATTTCTATAAATTGTTTGACATTGTCTGTAATAATATTTGAGAAATTAAAATATCTCGGTTATACGCGAAAAGGAATTATTAAAAATAAATCGCTGCACATCTGTTGTTTGTTTATTATTAGGATTAAACATGTCTTCCTTTTAGCGCAACAAACAAATCAAGACTGAAATATTGCATATTTTTTCATTATCTTCTTTTCTTCGTTATGCTTGCCAAGTTATCAGCTGATATTTTAGACCATCTGGATATATTTATTTTGGAGATCGAAGAGTTGCAAGTACCTCAGGTAAGGTAATAGTTATGCGCATTGAAGTTTAATAAAATTAAAAGCTGATACAACGGAACGCTTTTAAAAATAAAATATGGAATATTTACTGTGCTTTACAAACGATGAGTTAGCGTTGTTTTACGTTATAGCCTCTTTGGTGGGAATATATATGGTGCAGTAGCTTGATGTTAAGTTTTCTTGCATTGTCCGCTATTAAAAGAAATAGGATCAAAACGCTGAAACAATACATGGTGGGAATCGTTTTGTTAGGATATGGACCATTGTTTTATGCAATTGTATATTACTTCAAGGATGTTTGGAAATATCTTACTGTTGGCAAATCAGAAGAAATTCATTTTTGGCAGGTACAAGATTTTGAAACAAAAAATTATGTATATAGATTCTATCAATCATTATATAAAATTGATAAGAATTAAACTTTTTAGGGTCTGCCGTATGGATTGTTGTGGTATGCGTTTATCCTTTTAGCGTCGCAGGTTCATATATTCTCCTTATACTTCTCTTGGAATCTTTTAGAAGCTTGGAAAACACGAGGAAGCAAAAAGATCGATTAACTTAACTAAAAAATTTATGGAAATTTCAAGCATATCTGTGAATATTGTTGACTATAAATATTTTTATTTGTAACAAATGAAGACACACATATATATATATATATATATACTTTCTGAAAGAAAATTAAAGTTGTGAAAGTAATACAGATGATATGTAAATACGTGTATATACATGTGTTGATGTACATTATATAAATATACAAAATAATGAAATATGTATTTTAAAACGTATCTTAAAAAAATTCAATTCTTTTTAAATAAACTAAATTTCATAATATTTGATCCATATTACCAAAGCTATTGAAACTTTAAAGTTTTTTATTGCATATTTTTTACTCGTTGCTAGTAGTAAAATATTTAATAAATGTTAAAATAAATTTATTTTTACTTATATGTATAAATGTAACCATTAATGCTTATATTTTCTACTTTGAAGGATGCTAATTCACGTTTACAACATTTATTTTTAATGGTATAAACGTGATTTTGAATTTGAATGTGTTCATTGACTAATTTATTGTTTTATGAGACTGTGTACTAAAAAAATCACGATATTAAAGTTTCATTATGAGAATATAATGGTTTCAAATATTTCCTCCTTTCTATTAATAGTTCATTTTGTAACTGTATATACAGTGGTACCCAGATGTATGACAAAAAATTTGTGCAATGTTTTTGTTCTTTAAAGATTGTGCAATTTGATCATTTTTCCAATGTCAAACGACGTTTTCATTTTTCTTTTCTTTCTATTGCGACAAATCGTGGACATGGTTTCACTCTACTTCTATGGGGATTCCTGTATGCAGAGATGCCAGAAAAGCACCGCCGGGTGCACACGCGCACATGCCAGATACGCGTACGTGAGCTCGTGGAGTTTCGGAAAGTCGACAAAGGCAAACTGACGCATGCCCTCTTTCTCGATTCACCGAAGCTGCCCGAAGTAATTTCGGATCGCCTCGTGGGAGTCGAGAGAGAAAGGCTCACATTTGCCTTCTCGCTCTAAACAACTGAAATCCGACCTCACGTCAACGGCATACGATTCCAAGTCTCGACTGCCCAGGTATTTTATACTTTACTATAACCCTTTTTACCTGAAGTATAAGGTAATAAGTACGATGTATAAGGTACGAGTACATGTACTTTTCAATTTTCCTACAGTCCTCCGCCGGCCTCTACTGACTGCTGCTGACCATTCCCCATACTTCTGACAACGTATAGCGATTACTACGTGTTACTGCTTGCTCCTGCTGGTCTCTACATTCCTCTACATGCCTCTACATATCTTTACATGCCCCTGCTGGCCTCTGCTGGCCTCTACTGGCCTCTGCCTCCCTCCGCTCGCCTTTGCTGACCGCTGTTGACTACTCCTGATACTTCCGACAACGTATAACGATTACTATGTGTTACTGCTTGCTCCTGCTGGTCTCTACATGCCTCTACATCCCACTGCTGGCCTCTGCTGGCCTCTGCTAACCGTTGCTGACCACTCCTGTTACTTCTGACAATGTATAACGATTACTACGGGCTACTGCTTGTTCCTGCTGGTCTCTTCATGCCTCTACATGCCTCTACATGCCCCTACATGCCCCTACATGCCCCTACATCCCTCTGCTAGCCCCTGCTGACCGCTGCTGACCACTCCTGATACTTCCGACAACGTATAACGATTACTATGTGTTACTGCTTGCTCCTGCTGGTCTCTACATGCCTCTACATCCCACTGCTGGCCCCTGCTGGCCCCTGCTGGCCCCTGCTGGCCCCTGCCGACTCCTGCCGACCGGTGCTGACCACTCCTGTTACTTCTGACAACGTATAACGATTACTACGGGCTACTGCTTGTTCCTGCTGGTCTCTACATGCCTCTACATGCCTCTACATGCCTCTACATGCCCCTACATTTCTCTGCTGGCCTCTGCTGGCCCCTGCTGACCGCTGCTGACCACTCCTGATACTCCCGACAACGTATAACGATTACTATGTGTTACTGCTTGCTCCTGCTGGTCTCTACATGCCTCTACATCCCACTGCTGGCGTCTGCCGGCCTCTGCTAGCCCCTGCTGACCGCTGCTGACCACTCCTGTTACTTCTGACAAGGTATAACGATTACTACGGGCTACTGCTTGTTCCTGCTGGTCTCTACATGCCTCTACATGCCTCTACATGCCCCTACATCCCTCTGCTGGCCTCTGCTGGCACCTGCTGACCGCTGCTGACCACTCCTGATACTTCCGACAACGTATAACGATTACTACGTGTTACTGCTTGCTCCTGCTGGTCTCTACATGCCTCTACATGCCTCTACATGCCCCTACATCTCTCTGCTGGCCTCTGCTGGCCCCTGCTGACCGCTGCTGACCACTCCTGATACTTCCGACAACCTATAACGAGTACTATGTGTTACTGCTTGCTCCTGCTGGTCTCTACATGCCTCTACATCCCACTGCTGGCCCCTGCTGGCCCCTGCCGACTCCTTCCGACCCCAGCTGACCACTGCTGACCACTCCTATTACTTCTGACAACGTATAACGATTACTACGGGCTACTGCTTGTTCCTGCTGGTCTCTACATGCCTCTACATGCCTCTACATGCCTCTACATGCCTCTACATGCCTCTACATGCCTCTGCTGGCCTCTGCTGGCCTCTGCTGGCCCCTGCTGACCGCTGCTGACCACTCCTGATACTTCCGACAACGTATAACGATTACTATGTGTTACTGCTTGCTCCTGCTGGTCCCTACATGCCTCTACATCCCACTGCTGGCCCCTGCTGGCCCCTGCTGGCCCCTGCCGACTCCTGCCGACCGGTGCTGACCACTCCTGTTACTTCTGACAACGTATAACGATTACTACGGGCTACTGCTTGTTCCTGCTGGTCTCTACATGCCTCTACATGCCTCTACATGCCCCTACATTTCTCTGCTGGCCTCTGCTGGCCCCTGCTGACCGCTGCTGACCACTCCTGATACTCCCGACAACGTATAACGATTACTATGTGTTACTGCTTGCTCCTGCTGGTCTCTACATGCCTCTACATCCCACTGCTGGCGTCTGCCGGCCTCTGCTGGCCCCTGCTGACCGCTGCTGACCACTCCTGTTACTTCTGACAATGTATAAAGATTACTACGGGCTACTGCTTGTTTCTGCTGGTCTCTACATGCCTCTACATGCCTCTACATGCCCCTACATCCCTCTGCTGGCCTCTGCTGACCGCTGCTGACCACTCCTGATACTTCCGACAACGTATAACGATTACTATGTGTTACAGCTTGCTCCTGCTGGTCTGTACATGCCTCTACATCCCACTGCTGGCCTCTGCTGTCCTCTGCTGGCCCCTGCTGACCGCTGCTGACCACTCCTGTTACTTCTGACAAGGTATAACGATTACTACGGGCTACTGCTTGTTCCTGCTGGTCTCTACATGCCTCTACATGCCTCTACATGCCTCTACATGCCCCTACATCCCTCTGCTGGCCTCTGCTGGCACCTGCTGACCGCTGCTGACCACTCCTGATACTTCCGACAACGTATAACGATTACTACGTGTTACTGCTTGCTCCTGCTGGTCTCTACATGCCTCTACATGCCTCTACATGCCCCTACATCTCTCTGCTGGCCTCTGCTGGCCCCTGCTGACCGCTGCTGACCACTCCTGATACTTCCGACAACCTATAACGAGTACTATGTGTTACTGCTTGCTCCTGCTGGTCTCTACATGCCTCTACATCCCACTGCTGGCCCCTGCTGGCCCCTGCCGACTCCTTCCGACCCCAGCTGACCACTGCTGACCACTCCTATTACTTCTGACAACGTATAACGATTACTACGGGCTACTGCTTGTTCCTGCTGGTCTCTACATGCCTCTACATGCCTCTACATGCCTCTACATGCCTCTACATGCCTCTACATGCCTCTGCTGGCCTCTGCTGGCCTCTGCTGGCCCCTGCTGACCGCTGCTGACCACTCCTGATACTTCCGACAACGTATAACGATTACTATGTGTTACTGCTTGCTCCTGCTGGTCCCTACATGCCTCTACATCCCACTGCTGGCCCCTGCTGGCCCCTGCTGGCCCCTGCCGACTCCTGCCGACCGGTGCTGACCACTCCTGTTACTTCTGACAACGTATAACGATTACTACGGGCTACTGCTTGTTCCTGCTGGTCTCTACATGCCTCTACATGTCTCTACATGCCCCTACATTTCTCTGCTGGCCTCTGCTGGCCCCTGCTGACCGCTGCTGACCACTCCTGATACTCCCGACAACGTATAACGATTACTATGTGTTACTGCTTGCTCCTGCTGGTCTCTACATGCCTCTACATCCCACTGCTGGCGTCTGCCGGCCTCTGCTGGCCCCTGCTGACCGCTGCTGACCACTCCTGTTACTTCTGACAATGTATAAAGATTACTACGGGCTACTGCTTGTTTCTGCTGGTCTCTACATGCCTCTACATGCCTCTACATGCCCCTACATCCCTCTGCTGGCCTCTGCTGGCCCCTGCTGACCGCTGCTGACCACTCCTGATACTTCCGACAACGTATAACGATTACTATGTGTTACAGCTTGCTCCTGCTGGTCTGTACATGCCTCTACATCCCACTGCTGGCCTCTGCTGTCCTCTGCTGGCCCCTGCTGACACCTGCTGACCGCTGCTGACCACTCCTGTTACTTCTGACAAGGTATAACGATTACTACGGGCTACTGCTTGTTCCTGCTGGTCTCTACATGCCTCTACATGCCTCTACATGCCTCTACATGCCCCTACATCCCTCTGCTGGCCTCTGCTGGCACCTGCTGACCGCTGCTGACCACTCCTGATACTTCCGACAACGTATAACGATTACTACGTGTTACTGCTTGCTCCTGCTGGTCTCTACATGCCTCTACATGCCTCTACATGCCCCTACATCTCTCTGCTGGCCTCTGCTGGCCCCTGCTGACCGCTGCTGACCACTCCTGATACTTCCGACAACCTATAACGAGTACTATGTGTTACTGCTTGCTCCTGCTGGTCTCTACATGCCTCTACATCCCACTGCTGGCCCCTGCTGGCCCCTGCCGACTCCTTCCGACCCCAGCTGACCACTGCTGACCACTCCTATTACTTCTGACAACGTATAACGATTACTACGGGCTACTGCTTGTTCCTGCTGGTCTCTACATGCCTCTACATGCCTCTACATGCCTCTACATGCCTCTACATGCCTCTACATGCCTCTGCTGGCCTCTGCTGGCCTCTGCTGGCCCCTGCTGACCGCTGCTGACCACTCCTGATACTTCCGACAACGTATAACGATTACTATGTGTTACTGCTTGCTCCTGCTGGTCTCTACATGCCTCTACATCCCACTGCTGGCCCCTGCTGGCCCCTGCTTTCCCCTGCCGACTCCTGCCGACCGGTGCTGACCACTCCTGTTACTTCTGACAACGTATAACGATTACTACGGGCTACTGCTTGTTCCTGCTGGTCTCTACATGCCTCTACATGCCTCTACATGCCCCTACATTTCTCTGCTGGCCTCTGCTGGCCCCTGCTGACCGCTGCTGACCACTCCTGATACTCCCGACAACGTATAACGATTACTATGTGTTACTGCTTGCTCCTGCTGGTCTCTACATGCCTCTACATCCCACTGCTGGCGTCTGCCGGCCTCTGCTGGCCCCTGCTGACCGCTGCTGACCACTCCTGTTACTTCTGACAATGTATAAAGATTACTACGGGCTACTGCTTGTTTCTGCTGGTCTCTACATGCCTCTACATGCCTCTACATGCCCCTACATCCCTCTGCTGGCATCTGCTGGCCCCTGCTGACCGCTGCTGACCACTCCTGATACTTCCGACAACGTATAACGATTACTATGTGTTACAGCTTGCTCCTGCTGGTCTGTACATGCCTCTACATCCCACTGCTGGCCTCTGCTGTCCTCTGCTGGCCCCTGCTGACCGCTGCTGACCACTCCTGTTACTTCTGACATGGTATAACGATTACTACGGGCTACTGCTTGTTCCTGCTGGTCTCTACATGCCTCTACATGCCTCTACATGCCTCTACATGCCCCTACATCCCTCTGCTGGCCTCTGCTGGCACCTGCTGACCGCTGCTGACCACTCCTGATACTTCCGACAACGTATAACGATTACTACGTGTTACTGCTTGCTCCTGCTGGTCTCTACATGCCTCTACATGCCCCTACATCTCTCTGCTGGCCTCTGCTGGCCCCTGCTGACCGCTGCTGACCACTCCTGATACTTCCGACAACCTATAACGAGTACTATGTGTTACTGCTTGCTCCTGCTGGTCTCTACATGCCTCTACATCCCACTGCTGGCCCCTGCTGGCCCCTGCCGACTCCTTCCGACCCCAGCTGACCACTGCTGACCACTCCTGTTACTTCTGACAACGTATAACGATTACTACGGGCTACTGCTTGTTCCTGCTGGTCTCTACATGCCTCTACATGCCTCTACATGCCTCTACATGCCTCTACATGCCTCTGCTGGCCTCTGCTGGCCTCTGCTGGCCCCTGCTGACCGCTGCTGACCACTCCTGATACTTCCGACAACGTATAACGATTACTATGTGTTACAGCTTGCTCCTGCTGGTCTCTACATGCCTCTACATCCCACTGCTGGCCTCTGCTGGCCCCTGCTGACACCTGCTGACCGCTGCTGACCACTCCTGTAACTTCTAACAATGTATAACGATTACTACGGGCTACTGCTTGTTCCTGCTGGTCTCTATATGCCTCTACATGCCTCTGCTGGCCTCTGCTGGCCTCTGCTGACCGCTGCTGACCACTCCTGATACTTCCGACAACGTATAACGATTACTATGTGTTACAGCTTGCTCCTGCTGGTCTCTACATGCCTCTACATCCCACTGCTGGCCTCTGCTGGCCTCTGCTGGCCCCTGCTGACACCTGCTGACCGCTGCTGACCACTCCTGTTACTTCTAACAATGTATAACGATTACTACGGGCTACTGCTTGTTCCTGCTGGTCTCTATATGCCTCTACATGCCTCTACATGCCTCTGCTGGCCTCTGCTGGCCTCTGCTGACCGCTGCTGACCACTCCTGATACTTCCGACAACGTATAACGATTACTATGTGTTACTGCTTGCTCCTGCTGGTCTCTACATTCCTCTACATGCCTCTACATATCTTTACATGCCCCTGCTGGCCTCTGCTGACCCCTGCTGACCGCTGCTGACCACTGCTGGCCTTTGTTAACAACTTCTGACATGATATATATGTATTAAAACATTGTATAATGTAAATCTATGGCAATAAATGATATAATTACAAAGAATTCTATGTGTTCTCATCATTTTTTACCTTTCTCTTCCTCTCCAAATCATTACCTTAGTTATAAGACTCTCTGAAACTTCTTGGTTTCCCTGAACCCACTAGGAAGTCTTGAAACACCTCGGAAGTCCTGAAACTCAGAACTTTGCTAAAAATTCAGTGTTTCCAAGAGTTTTCGGCGTTTCCAAGAAATTCCAGGACTTTCCGGCTGTTTCAGGACTTTCCAGTTGTTTCAGGGCATTCCAACTGGCTCGGGATTCCCAAAATTTTAAGTCGTTTCAGGGTTTCCAATTGTTTCAGGGCGTTCTAGCTGTTTCAGGACTTTCCAACTGTTTCAGGACTTTCCAACTGGCTCGGGATTTCCAAAATTTTAAGTCGTTTCAGGACTTTCCAATTGTTTCAGGACTTTCCAGCTGTTTTAGGACTTTCCAGCTGTTTCAGGACTTCCCAGTTGTTTCAGGACCCCCCTCAAATCTTTTCGAGGAACTTAGAAATTTTTGGACTTTGTTATTACGAGGACATGATATGGGAAGAGGTGGCACGTATCTTATAACTATGGGAATGCTTTGGAGAGGTAAAGGAAGGTAAAAATGACGAGAACACATAGAATTCTTTGAAATTATTACATTTATTGCCATAGATTTACATTTACAAAGTTTTAATACATATATATCATGGCAGAAGTTACCAATAAAGGTCAGCAGGGGTCAGCAGGGGTCAGCAGGGGCCAGCAGGGGTCAGCAGGGGCCAGCAGTGGGATGTAGAGGCATGTAGAGACCAGCAGGAGCAAGCAGTAACACATGGTAATCGTTATACGTTGTCGGAAGTATCAGGAGTGGTCAGCAGCGGTCAACAGGGGCCAGCAGAGGCCAGCAGAGGGATGTAGAGGCATGTAGAAACCAGCAGGACCAAGCAGTAACTCGTAGTAATTGTTATACGTTGTCGGAAGTATCAGAAATGGTCAACAGCGGTCAGCAAAGGCGAGCGGAGGGAGGCAGAGGCCAGTAGAGGCCAGCAGAGGCCAACAGGGGCATGTAAAGATATGTAGAGATATGTAGAGGCATGTAGAGGAATGTAGAGACCAGCAGGAGCAAGCAGTAACACATAGTAATCGTTATACGTTGTCGGAAGTATCAGGAGTGGTCAGCAGCGGTCAGCAGGGGCCAGCAGAGGCCAGCAGAGAAATGTAGGGGCATGTAGAGGCATGTAGAGGCATGTAGAGGCATGTAGAGACCAGCAGGAACAAGCAGTAGCCCGTAGTAATCGTTATACGTTGTCAGAAGTAACAGGAGTGGTCAGCAGCGGTCAGCAGGTGTCAGCAGGGGCCAGCAGAGGCCAGCAGAGGCCAGCAGTGGGATGTAGAGGCATGTAGAGACCAGCAGGAGCAAGCTGTAACACATAGTAATCGTTATACGTTGTCGGAAGTATCAGGAGTGGTCAGCAGCGGTCAGCAGGGGCCAGCAGAGGCCAGCAGAGGCCAGTAGAGGGATGTAGGGGCATGTAGAGGCATGTAGAGGCATGTAGAGACCAACAGGAACAAGCAGTAGCCCGTAGTAATCGTTATACATTGTCAGAAGTAACAGAAGTGTTCAGCAGCGGTCAGCAGAGGCCAGCAGAGGCCAGCAGTGGGATGTAGAGGCATGTAGAGACCAGCAGGAGCAAGCTGTAACACATAGTAATCGTTATACGTTGTCGGAAGTATCAGGAGTAGTCAACAGCGGTCAGCAAAGGCGAGCGGAGGGAGGCAGAGGCCAGTAGAGGCCAGCAGAGGCCAGCAGGGGCATGTAAAGATATGTAGAGGAATGTAGAGGAATGTAGAGACCAGCAGGAGCAAGCAGTAACACGTAGTAATCGCTATACGTTGTCAGAAGTATGGGGAATGGTCAGCAGCAGTCAGTAGAGGCCGGCGGAGGACTGTAGGAAAATTGAAAAGTACATGTACTCGTACCTTATACATCGTACTTATTACCTTATACTTCAGGTAAAAAGGGTTATAGTAAAGTATAAAATACCTGGGCAGTCGAGACTTGGAATCGTATGCCGTTGACGTGAGGTCGGATTTGAGTTGTTTAGAGCGAGAAGGCAAATGTGAGCCTTTCTCTCTCGACTCCCACGAGGCGATCCGAAATTACTTCGGGCAGCTTCGGAGAATCGAGAAAGAGGGCATGTGTCAGTTTGCCTTTGTCGACTTTCCGAAACTCCACGAGCTCACGTACGCGTATCTGGCATGTGTGCGTGTGCACCCGGCGGTGCTTTTCTGGCACCTCTGCCTGTATGCGATAAATTCCCTAGCACGTAATAGTTCAACAAACTTCTTCGTATAGATGGCCTATTGATCGTCTTTAATAAAAGTTACGCATACACGTAGACCGTATGTACCACGTGATACACTTGCTACGAGGGACTTCGTGTCCTGTGCTGTGACCATTCCTGTCGCACTCGATACAGTTTCTCCAATTTTGCTCTGATTATTCTAAACGTGCGGTGAGTTCAATCCATCACAATAAACGCAATAACATATATCAGATGTTAAAAATAAACTAATTCTCGTAACAGATTTGGTACGTAATACAACGAATATGTGGTAACTGAAATTAACTGTAAGCATAACTGAGTGGTATCCATTGTGATTATATAAATGTGATAATATTGCATTTACTTAAAAAATGATTTATATTTGTCCGATTGTTAATATAGATGCAACGCGTTGAGCACTTCTTTTCATTCCATCTCTATAAATTTGATTTCTGTTAAGTTAAAATGATATGACACAAGCGGAAATGCAAAATCACCAAGACATTTTAATGTATTCTCTCAAATAATGTAACAGTTCATATTTTTTAATAGAACCCAATAAATTTGGTAAAATGAATTGGAATATAATATTTAAATAAAAAGATTGTAAGTTTTGTTGAACCAGTAATACAATTTAACAAAATGAAAACATGATATGAATTTTCAATGCATTAAAAATAATACAGAATCGAAATTTTTTACTTTTTTTGTATAATGCACTTATAATTTAATTAATATATTCTGTTTGTTGTTTTACTTTTCAAAACTTGAATGACTGCGTTGGTAAGTTAAATATATTTTTTGTTCAATTGAAATTTTATTTTGTACAGAATTTGTTCTATTATGTTGGTATTATTTTTGGTATTTAATGCATTTATTACAAGTAGAGTATTTGAGTACGAATTATGCTAATGTTACGCTTTTAGGTAGAATCTAAAAAAAGCTATAAAAGGATCGAGAGTAAATCATAAATTATATTCCAAGTATTAACGTTCTTAAAAGTCTTAAATTTCTATTTCCTAAATAAAATTTTAATACTGGTCTCTTAAAGTGCAATTTATAGATTTTGTATATATCGTATAATAAATGTAGTATTGAATTGAAACAGTTTTGCACTTGGAATATTCAATATATTAATATGTAATATTTTCTATGTAAATTTCTAGGAATTGGATCCAAAATGTTTTCCAATCATATGACAATGATCGTGCGGCTGGCTGCACAGCAGCAACAGCAACAACAACAACGAGGTATGGCGACCCTCAAAGCCATTTCCATAAGATTGAAGTCCGTAAAGAATATCCAAAAGATCACGCAATCAATGAAAATGGTGTCTGCTGCTAAGTATAGTAGAGCGGAACGTGATTTGAAACAAGCTCGCCCGCTTGGTGTTGGTACAAAAATGTTTTACGAACAAGCAGAGATTCAGGCACCGGCGGAAGAACCAAAGAAACTGGTGATAGCGGTAACGAGCGACCGTGGTCTGTGCGGTGCTGTACACACCGGAGTTTCTCGTAACATTAGAGATGCTCTTTTAGCAGATTCCACCGAACGCGAGAATACAAAAATTGTATGCATCGGTGAAAAATCACGAGCAATTTTATCCCGTATATTTGCCAACAACATACTCTTTGTTGCATCTGAAGTTGGTCGTAAGCCGCCTACGTTTAATGATGCCGCTAAAGTGGCGACTGAAGTTATGACTAGCGGGTACGCGTTCAATTATACACGATTACTTCCGTGCATGACATTTTTCTAACACAACCCGATACGTTTGTTTCATATTTTCAGGTACACCTTTGGTTCCGGCCGCATTGTCTACAATCGATTCAAATCAGTCGTATCGTATTCCGTCGACCAACTGCCTCTTTTTGACAAAAATTCAGTTGTCACAGCGCCTAAATTATCTGTATATGATTCTCTTGATGAGGAAGTTATTCAAAGTTATTTAGAATTCTCTCTGGCTTCTTTATTGTTCTATTCGATGAAGGAAGGCGCCTGCAGCGAACAATCTAGTCGTATGACGGCCATGGATAATGCCAGTAAGAACGCGGGAGAAATGATAGACAAATTAACTCTAACATTCAATCGTACCCGACAAGCTGTAATTACTAGGGAACTTATTGAAATTATTTCTGGTGCTGCTGCATTGGATTAAACGATACTCGAAATTTTTCATAAAATTCATACACGATAGTGTTCGACTGTAGATCAGAAGAATGTAATCAAGTGAAGATAAACCGTATGGTTTACATGGAAAACGAAACTTGAATCGATGGTGGGATAAATTTGTTGCAATTGACGGAACGTTTAAAAGTACAGCAATATTTATAAATCCATATTTGAAATAAATCATTCAAAACACTACAGAACTGTTGTATTTATTAAAATAGTGGTGAAAACCGCTAAATGAACCTATCGAATTTTACTTTTCTAACTTCTTATTTATTGTGACCAGTTATGGCATGTGGTTACCTCAGCCGTAATGTTCCCTGTCTATAAGTTGAACAAAGCGAGAGTCACGCTGCGTGATCCACCGGTGGTACATGATTTGCAGAGCCATCTACCACAAAACGCCCAAGTTTGTCGTGGAATAGTTCGTATCGTCCACGCTAGATGGATTTCTCGACAAACTTGGGCGTTTTAACACCAGGGGGCCCGAGGTCGGAAAATAAGCGCCATCTAGCGTCGAAAATAACGAACTACTCCACGACAAACTTGGGCGTTTTAGCACCAGGGGGCCCGAGGTCGGAAAATAAGCGCCATCTAGCGTTGAAAATAACGAACTACTCCACGACAAACTTGGGCGTTTTAGCACCAGGGGGCCCGAGGTCGGAAAATAAGCGCCATCTAGCGTTGAAAATAACGAACTATTCCACGACAAACTTGGGCGTTCTGCGGTAGATGGCTCTGCAAATCATGTACCACCGGTGGGTCACGCAGCGTGACTCTCGCTTCGTTTAACTTATAGACAGGGAACATTATGGCTGAGGTAACCACATGTCATAACTTTTCACAATAAATATTCAATTATGGACGAAAGTCGAAAGTCTCGTGTTATCCTTGAAGAATATGGCGTACCTAATGCGAGTATTCGAAAGACGTGCGAGAAATATGTTATGTTTATGTGAGAAATTTAAGTATTAATATCTGTTTCAATTTTTTAGGCTTCCGAATATACAAATTATCAACCGCAATACGATTGGAATTTACACAATTATAGAAAAGTAATACACTATTTAAAATTATATATTTTATTCCATTAAATATATGCCTTAGACTATATCGATTTATATTATTTTCAGGAATTCAAAATACAAGTTGTAAGGGAGTCTGAAGGCGAACGAGAATTAGAATTTGATTTAGTAGGTTATCCTGTTGGTTTTGCCAATGCATTTCGTAGAGTTCTTCTCAGTGAAGTGCCAACCATGGCCATAGAAAAAGTTTATATTATAAATAACACAAGTTTGATCCAAGATGAAGTGTTAGCTCACAGGTAAAGGGATTACATATTTCTAGCAGCGTGGACAAATATCTTTTAAGCTAGTACAAATTATAATGTATATTTTTATTTAAAGGTTAGGTCTCATACCGCTACAAGCCGATCCTAGGCTATTTGAATATCCTTCTTCTACTTCTAAAGATGAGGACGAAGTTAGCGATCAAGATACATTAAGATATGAGCTTAAAGTATCATGCACTTGGAACCTTCAAGCGCCCAAAGATTCTCGAAGAACGACTGACATGTACAAGAATAGCAATGGTATAGAAATAATTCATAAAACTTAAATCACTGGTTATGGTAATAAATATTTAACTCTGTAGATGTTAACAGAAACTATGTTATTTATTAGAGAATAGAACAACAACTTCTGTATCTAACGAGCAAAAAATTTTGCTTTTTACAGTGTACAGCAGAGACATTAAATGGGTTCCAATTGGACGTCAAGCAGAACTTCACCCTCGAGGTATGGAACAATTAGGCGTCTTAGAAAATGATATCTTGATATGTAAAATGCGTCCCGGTCAAGAAATCCATGCTTTTATGCACGCAGTGAAAGGAATCGGGCGAGATCATGCTAAATTTTCTCCCGTAGGTAAGTTCAAATCTTTAATTTCTAACCACAAATATATCCAATACCTATTAACTGCTAAAAATATGTCTTTAAATTTAGTCATCCATTTATTCAATAAGTTTTGTTTTATTTTATATTTAGCTACAGCATCGTACAGATTGTTGCCGGACATACAACTAGTAAAACCGGTTAAAGGTGAAATGGCAGATCGCTTAAAGAATTGCTTCAGTATCGGCGTCATAGAAGTAGTCGAACAAAAATCAGGCGATCCAGATTCTCGCGAAGCAAGGGTGAAAAATCCTCGCTATGATAGTTGTTCTAGGAATGTGTTTCAGCACGAGGACCTCAAAACATGCGTACGTTTGAGCAGAGTACGAAATCATGTAATTTGTAAGTATCAGATGAATTTTATGTTTTCGTCCCTTTTTAAACAAACTTCGTGTATATTAATTATTTTTTTGTACCGTTTACACAGTTACCATCGAATCAGTGGGAACGTTACCGCCAGCTGTATTATTTGTAGAGGCTGTGAAAATTCTTAAAGGAAAGTGTAAAACTTTTTTAGAAGAACTTGAGAACATTGGTCAATAAATATATTTGTAATTTTACTTGTAACATTTTTATTTTAAATTCCTTGCAAGTTGTTATTTTCAATAATTTTAAGCACAACGATTTATTAACATGAATAATTTTTCATCAATTTTTGTACAAATAAAACCATTTGTGTAATTATTAAGACAAAATTAATATATCTTAATGTTCTTAAAGCGTGCACGCGTGGAAAGAAGGATGCGCGGACTTGATGCGCGTAGTTGTATTAACCATCCTCGACAAAGAATTACAGAACATCTACCGATTTTTCAAATTTCTCAAAATAAATGATTCAAATATTTTGTACGGGGGTACGTAAACAGTGTACCGTTCCTAGTAACATTTGAAAAAACGGTCACCGTTTACACTGTTTTCATACACATCGTCGTGTATATCGAGGTAGAAAACAATTTCGTTTTTTAACACTAGAGTTACGGAAGCTGTCGATTTGACGGACAACAGATTCCATATTTAAAATTGTAGAACGCGTAAATATTATTTTTTAACAAATTACGTTGAATTTGTTTGATGCAATGGTACGAATACATATTCTAATTAAAAGAAAAATCGTAGTTTAAGGTAAACGTCAACACGAAAGGTATCAATAAATATACGTGCGATCAATGGCCCGTAAATGTAGCGAAGAGTTCAAAATCGCAATCGAGGAAGGTTGGAATTGCATTGCAAGGAAGTGTTTAAAAATTTACCTAAAAATCTGTTGGAAGTCATAAAAAAAAGGAAGATTCGCACGCTACTAAGATTTGAGTAAAACACCTCCATTTTCCTTCGTGTCCTATCATTTTGCCGCATCCGTTTTTCACATAAATAGATATACCTTCCGGAGAACGGTGTAAACAGTAACTGGTTTCTCGCATGTTATTAAGGATGGTACACTGTTTAGATACATCTGTACAAAGTGTTCGAATACATCATCGATTCCGAGAAATCCGAAAAACCGAGGGCTGCCATATAATTTTTGTTGCGGAGTGTACATCCATAACCATTGCAATGTTACACGATTGAGATTTCTCTTACTTGTTCGAAATTGTTACGTCATAAGTAAAATTCTTCCGCAGCATCGTCGTAGTAGTTTTTTACGGTTACGGATAATGGGATTAGGAAGTTTCCGATGGAGGATACTATTGATTATTATATCAGCCTTGCTTCTTTGGCAGTCGTCGAAAGTTTGGCTAAATTTCACGCAGGAGAAATCTATCATAGAAGGTAAAAAAAAAAGATACATATACATGCGTAAAGATCGCGATGAAATTTAGAAACGTATTAATTGTTCTGTTTCCTTTTGTATTTCACGTACAATTCTAATTGTATTATCTTTTAAAATATTTTAGAATTATATTTACGTTTACAGAAGTTAATTGCATTTGATACGCATTGCCATTGAAAGTGAGATATTGGTTTATAATATACAATAATACATCTAATCTTCTTTACACTTATTGATCGTGTTATAGTGTGTATTTAATTAACTTGCAGATTTTTAAATATATTCTAATTGTAAATATACGTATACTTCTGTATAAATTAATAATATGTTCCTGTAATAATACTAACTCTTTTTTATCTTTGTATCGATGCTTTGAATAAAAATTTTAATTTCCAATTACACAATTTTCTTGATTTTCGTGGATATCTGCTAAGTCATGTATAGCACAGCTTCAGGAGAACCAACCGGTAACGTTAAGTCAAAAAGATGAGCGGGTCACTCAGAAAGTTCATGTCGCAGTGTACTATGAAGCGTTGTGTTCAGATTCACGTAATTTCTTCGTTAAACAATTGTTACCGACGTATCACAGGATTCCAGATAACGTACAAGTGGAATTAATACCTTATGGGAAAGCTACAGTAAGGCATTTTATAAAATAAGGAAAGAAACTATGAAAAGTATTATATTTCTTCTATCTATATAGTACTTAAGTATTAATTGATTTTTGAGTAAACAATTATGTAATTTGTTTGTTACATTTATTATATATTAATTTTATATATTATTAAAACTATAATCGAATACATATACAATAAAATACTTTTATCTTATTACATTGTACAATTTTTTTTTTAAATATTATAATTCTCGTTACGTTATACACATTTTGTTATCATGCACAATTTTGATTTATTAATGGTTATTTATAAGCTCGACAATGTATTTAGTTTTGTTTTAAAAATTGTCAATATTAATAAGATACAAATGTATATTTTAAAAATTTATATACTTTTTCAGATGTTTAGTAACACGAGAATAAATTGAAATAATATGCTTACACGTGCGAGCAGAAATATATTCTGCGAGAAAGAGTATAAAAACAAACCGATAATCTGTACAAAGAAATGGAAATAATTGTTTTAGCTCTCCGCCTTAAAAATCAGTTAATGCTAGAGTATTATAAACCATGATTCGTATCCAGAATTTAATTCGTTAATATCTACGAAATAAAGTCATATAGATTTGATATCTTATTCCTTTTTATTGTTATCTTTTAAACTATACTCGGGGCAGATAAGAATTTGTTGATTTCAAAAACTATTCACCAAGTTCAAACTGTTTTACAGACAGCAAAAACGGAAAATGATTATGAATTCATGTGCCAACATGGACCTACAGAATGCGAAGCAAACATTATTCATGCATGTTCTATAGATATCATAAAAAATGTATCTATTCAGTTAGAGTATTTATCTTGCATGATAAAAAATAACATAGAACCAGTGAATATTATGAGAACTTGTGCGAAAAAGATGAATATAGACCATAATAGCATTCTCAAGTGTTCCGTTGGAGCGAAAGGCAAGGAGCTCCTAGCTAAACATGGAGAATTAACGAATTCTTTAACACCAAGAGTTGTATTTATACCAACTGTGGTACTCGATGAAGTAAGTAGGTGTTTTGAAACGATATTAGCATTTTTTAGAAAACGAAATATTATATCGATCGTATATTTTTAGAATTCTGAAAACCAGGCGAAAATATTAAAAAATTTGCTGCAAGAAGTGTGTCTACATCTTAAAGTCATGCCAGAAGGTTGTACAGTGTAAAAACATGTTAAATATTTATGAAACATATCCTTCTGACATATTCATGAAATACATTATTTTTTACACAACTTTTTACGTGTATAACGAGTATTGAAATTTTCCCAAAAATTACCTCGAAATTGTAATTGAAAACCTTTAATTTTTACCTATATTAAATATGCATCAAGTAATTGCACATAAACTTTGTATAACGATACGAACTATTTTATGAAAAAATTAATATACTTTTATACATCTTACATATTTTTCCAAATTCAAATATAATAATCTAATATTTAAATATTGAACAACTAGCTATATTGCTATTGTAATTATGTTTTCGATCTTTTTTGTTATAGTAATTATAATATAACATATTATTTTTTGTAAAAATAAAAATTGTCGTGTTCCCATTAACCGATATGACGCTCAACTTCGATATTATTGATTCGCTCGAGAAACTTTCAAAACTAAAATAAAGAAGCATACTCACAACTTTAAAATGAAAAGCCCTATAAATATACATCGCTGGTACCTAAGCTCTCCAACAATACTATTTATAGCAAATTGAACAAATATTTAACATATAATCGTACTTGATATTAAAATCATTAATTAATATTCACGACCTACGCCTCCATTGTAATAATATGCAAATAGTTATATTCTATACTAAAATATATTTTTATGTAACAAATTCAATTGAAACAAGAGCAATATATAAGATGAAAGTACTAAAAAAATTATGGCTTGAAAAGTTTATCGATTCTACATTATAAGAATCAAGAATCAATCGGTCATTTAATATATGGGAACAATTTATTAACTTAATATCAACACTTTATACAAACTGTGTCGCTTCGTCACGCACGAAAAGTGAAGTATGCCTTTGATATGGCGGAGAATAATCTCACATACATTAGAAATAATGAACGTACATATTTCAGATACAGGAGAAATAAATGTGTATCGAGAATCTCTTTTTAGCCGAATGGATAGTTACATTTATTAGAATCAAGGGTAAACATGGAAAATAAATAATTTCTTATTCGCGTCACGACGGAGCTTCATAAATATCGCATTTAATATAATATTTCATATATTTTCGAAGGAAGGATTAAGAACAAGAGTGACTCGAATAGAATTTTAACTATTTATTTGTAAAGAATGAACGTCCCGAGAAACGATTTTTTGAAAAAGCCAGAACGCAATCCTTTTTTACCACTGGGCTCAAGCTATGGTTTACTCTCGAGACCATAATACTGACTTTTTTTTTCCTTTTTTCCTGTTTTTTTTCTTGTTTTTTTTTGTCTTTTTTAACTTAGTATCGGCTCTCGACGCTCGTCGCGGGAAACTCTTAAATCATTCTTTTTCTTAAATACGGAAAAATTAGTTTAGAGTATATATAATTGGCGACACGAATATAAAATTAATATTAAATACTGGAATATATTCTTTATAACTTAAAACTTAGACACTAACTGTCAATGATCGATGAAACGAGCAGCAACTTGTTAAGCATTTAAATAGGGATGTTTTTCGAATAAATTCTATATCACCATTTACAAAAGGACTTCATCGCGATTCTTCTTTACTTTTTTTTTTTACAAAGTGAGAACATTTTTCGCTGTGAATCGCTAATTTTAAACTTTTTTTTTGTTCACAATAACGATAACAGCTATCAGAACGATCGCAAGTGAAGTAAAATAGTTAAGAACTCTTTTTTTCGTGATTCGATCACCTCAATTTTTTTTATGAAAGGTCTTCTGAATTAGTGAAACTTTGAAGATATGTTAACACGAATCTTGTTGACAGTGAATTATACATATACATCTGTCGGCAAACTATTTCTAGATGCCATCGAAAAATGACGATGAGATAAAAACGGCTGAAACGAGAGGTCCATTGGTTAATGAAGGAAACGAATTGAGTAGTTGTGACCTAAAAATGAAGATACATTTATTTTGTCTTTTTATGATCAATGCGATCTAGGTCACCAGAAATACAAGTACTTCTCATTTTGTTCACTTCAATATTAAATAATAAAGGACTGTGGAGGAATTGTTTCTTTCTTCTTTTCTTCTCGTAAATTAGTTTTATATATATATATATATATAATATATATAAATATATATATATTTATGTATATGTATATATATATATATATCTGTATATGTATATATAATATATAATACATATATATTATGACTGAACCACCGACGACACACGCATGTGTTCCCACTGTTCGGTGTCTGTTTTTTTACTCTTAGTTCTTAAGTAACATTATCGTACGAATCGCACAAATCACACCAGTTTCTCCGGTTCTAGTTGCTCCGCTTATGAGACTGGCACGCACCCCTGGGCGAAGGAAAATATAATGCAGCGATCACTGTGACTTGACTTCCCTTTAAATCCCTCATCCCTAATTCTCCGTTGTTTCTTTTATATTTCAACAAAAGTGGTGTCGACGTTGTGTAACGCGCGCGAGTTTAAGGCTTTCTCAGTGGAGACAAGATACAAACGGGAGATTAGAATGAAATTGGATACAGAACGCACTTGGTGAAACGTGTTTTTATGTGTTTTGTGTATAATGCGTGTTGTGTATATACATATACATACATACATACATATATATACACGCACACAGTATATATACATACATACATACATATATGTATATATATATATATATATATAGATAGATTGAAGGCATAACGAAGTTGAAAAAGCATAGAGAAAGAAGTTTTTTTTTACTAGGAATGTCGAGACTTCAATACGACTCGATTCGTAAAATCCTTTTGACTCTACGCGAACGTAGGTCTGAGTTAGCGCTATGTGATTTCGAGCATTTCAAGATTTCTCCATATTTTTCATTTTTTTTTTTTGTCTTTATCCTCGTACACCTTTTGTTTGATAATATTTTTCGGTTATTAGAAGAATTAAATTATCCACTAGGACGCACACAAGGAATCCAGCGTGTTTCGGATCCATTAATAAGCCAAAGGTCGAAGCCGTTGTATTTTTTTTTCTTTTTTGTTTTTTTTTTTTTAATTCATAAAACACTAAATATGCCGTTATTGATAAAATTTTGCTACGACGTATGCTGTATCGATGACATTCGTTGTAAATAGGTTTCATCGATCGAGAAACAAATAAAACAAATCTCAATTTATCTCGATCGTTAAACGAATTTACACGACGCATTATAATAGCTTGTAGATCTTTCCCTTCTTTCAACACTTTTCCTTTCTCCTTGCCCTACCGAGCGAGTTCTTAGTACATTGGAAAGCAGTAGAATCGGTTAAAGAAAACTTGTACGAAAGAATTTTCGCATACACGTGCATAGAAGAAACAGGAAAAGGCCAAAAAGAGAGGAAAGTAAGAGAACATACTATTTTACCTTTATCATCAACAAACATGCGCACGTCTGTTTTTATACATATATATATCTAACGATTTTAATTATACTCTTTTATACGGAAATAAATCATCTTTTGTGTATATACGTGTATGTTGTGAGTGTGCTGTATATTTGTTGTATTTGTGTATGTGCGCGTGTAATATGTATGTACCTTTCATGTTCATGTTGTGTGTAGTTCAGTATTTCGTGTATTTAAAGATAATGATTTTAGTGGTATAACTTTTTAATTAAACAATTGCCCTGTATTACTTATCGTTAATGATGATTAACGCGTGTTGGACGTTGACTTTTCGCGTTTTACAGACATCATTGCGTCCAGATATAAGGTTTTTTTCACTTTCTGGTCGATTCGCTTTTTGTTAACATTATTTTTTCTTTGTTTCTTGATTTATTTTAATACGTCAACACCACTCCGAGTTGCAAGTTTTTCCATTACACAGGTTGCATTCACTTTGATGTCATCATTGTGACGAATTCTGGACAAACAAAAATTATAATACTTACAATTGTTATTTGAAAAAACAAATATAAATTGCAAAATTATACGGAAATTTAAAGCCTAGATTAAATCTGAAAACTTTAGAAATTTAATAGTTATTAAAAGTTTAAAACCATTTGTAAAAGTATAATAACATGTGCGGGATAAGAAATTTTTTGTATACAACCTTCATAATTAACTTGGCCGTCACCATCAATGTCAGCCTCCCGAATCATTTCATCTACTTCCTCGTCAGTAAGTTTTTCGCCAAGATTTGTCATAACATGTCTGAGTTCCGCTGCAGATATGAAACCATTTCCATCCTTATCAAATACTCTGAAGGCCTCCCTAATTTCCTCCTCGCTGTCGGTGTCCTTCATTTTGCGAGCCATCATGGTTAAGAACTCCGGGAAATCGATTGTGCCATTACCTACAATTCCAAGTATTTTTAATTTCGATTTTTTCTGAAATCAGATTTTTTCCAATATTCTTAATAATGAGGTATTAATAAAGGCATAAAATTTTTTTGTTTCTTTTTCATTATGCAAAAATTAATGCAAGAGAAAATGTATTTGAAAATAATATATTACCCGTATTGCGTACAATGTACATGAATACAAAAATTGCATAATGAATAGTACAAAATAACTTTTATTAGAATAATGTAAAATAAAATTAAGAAAAAATACCGTCTGCATCCACTTCGTTGATCATATCTTGAAGTTCTGCTTCTGTAGGGTTTTGACCTAGCGATCGCATAACTGTACCCAACTCTTTGGTTGTAATTGTACCATCTCCATCTTTGTCAAATAGCGAGAACGCTTCTTTAAATTCTGCAATTTGTTCTTCGGTAAGTTGATCAGCCTTTAAACAAAAAAAAATCCATTTTATAATGACCATTGACATCGGACCATTTTAATGTTGTATTATAAAGGTAGTAACTGTATTTACTCGTATATTAACAAATATAGAAATAATCTTGTTCGTTATTTCAAATATTTTTCAAATAAATTTTAAACATGTAAATATAAATTATATTACATTTCATATAAATTTTTCCTAAGCATTTTTTTCAAAGATTAGATGTTAGATATATATGTATAATTAACTTTCTTTGTATAATCATATACTATAAGTTTTCTTATGAATTCCTTCAATGATTCAGTTTGAATATTTTTGTACGATAAGCTATAAATATACATCTATACATGTATAAATATACCAATCGCACAATTAGTTTTTAATCGGACTAATTTTCATTTTTAAGGAAGTAATAAATTGGGTTATACATTTTGGTACATATAAAATATTTGAAGTTTATGCTTATATTTTACACGATGGAGTTATATTTAACATTATATACATAAACAATTCAAATTTAAAAATAAGCAACACATACACGTACATAAAGTAAATTTAGGTTACAATTACATTAATAAATAAAGGATAATACATCATTTAATGGGAAAAGTGTATTATCACAATTATACACATTTAAATAAAAGTAAAATGATATAGAATAAAATAATTTATACCATTTTCTGCTTTATATGAAAAATTTAAGCGTACTTGAAACAATCACATTTTAGACAGAATAATATATAAAACAATTTTAAAATTCATTAACACAAAAAGTTGTTTAAAAATTGAACTGTAACTTATAGAATTGAGGCATTTCACAATATAGGTCAATTGTGTATATTAGGTTTGCTTCAATATATTTTACATAAATATATCCAACGAACGTTTAAATATAATATTATATCAAATATAATTCTCGTAAACGAAACAATAATCTGATATTTATATTTCAGTTGTTTATCGATTAAGAGTAAATACGTATTACGAGTACGAATTTATTTTATTCACATTTCTTGACGATAAAAATAAAAAATTGTTATTTCGTCGACGGAGATTTATTTTTTTACAAGATTCGTACGAATAAAAAGTGATATTCTATGTACGAATTTGTACGGAAATGTATTTTAGGTTATGCGGCGAAACGTTAATAAGTAATCTTCGATATAATTTTACGATTCAAAATAACAGTTTCAAGTTTCAAATATTACAAAATATATACTATCGCGTGAAAAAAAATAATCCATAACTAAAATTGTACCGTGAAGGTATAAAAAAAATAAATATATTTAGAGCATATTGTAACTATTTTTTTTTTTTTTTTTATTTCCGAGAATATCCCACGAAAATATAGCATAGACTTAAACTGATTTCAATTACAATAAAAAGTTAATATTTACGATGACCGGTTGAAGGCTGGGTAGAAGAACGTATAAGGAATACAGGGAATTGGCGCAATGGTGAGAGACCGCGAAAATCAATAGCGAGGTATACTCTGCAACGGTGATTGTTGAATGTTAGAAAATTCTCATGATCGGAGAAATAACAAATATCCAAAGAAAGATAAGAAATATACCGAGTCATAATTTTCGTTAAAACATCATACGATGAATGGTAAAAACAAAAACTAGGACAATGTTGTGAGTTTTTACTGTAACATGAAAACAAGTTCATTTTGTATAAATAATCTCGTTGGGAAATGTATTAAACGTAAGAACGGCGTGAAGTATCGATAGGAAAGAGTAACGTATGTATTGTACTATTGGTCAGATTCTATTTTATAAAATTTCACGTGAAACCATCTTTGCGTAACAACTGCTCGTGAATCTATTTGAAAATTCGACAACTGGTTATGTATAAATATGTAATTGGTCAGAAAAATTATTATTCGAGCGCAACGTCAGTGACTCCGTACAAGTTGAAAGTAGAGTTCGCAATGTATCGAAAGCGGAGTACCGATAGCAAATTATCTCGAGGAAGATTCAATAATCTTCGAGATAAGATATCTCGATTCGACAGAGCTCATGAATTTACAATTTTGAAGAAGCCTTTTTAGCGTCATTCGTTGTCGAACTTACCGTTATACGCATCGATATACTTGACACACAACGTATTATAGACGACGTCGGCTCTCGAAACTTTTCACCGTTGTGACCGCCGCTCTGCTACACTTCTTAACGTGGCAAAAGACTCGAAAATCTTTGGTCTCTTTTTTCTGATCGGATCAAACGATCACTCGATGTTTTCGCGACTTTTATCCCCGAACTCTCTCAATTCATGACATCTCCAAAGATTGGGAAAATTATGTAGCTACTGGAGGAAGAACGGATCGATAGTCGGTTCATCTCCGCGTACCGGCCATTACGAATGTAATATCAAAATAGTGCGTAGGTAAAAGGGATGTGTATGATAATGTCGGGAATGTCGTACAATTAAGAAGCGAATATTTCCGATTTCTGAGGAAGTGCCACAGGGAAAACGGTATTTCCGTAAATGCGTATCGAGTCGGTTGCACGTGCACTCGGCGCGTCAATGCGGCAAACGAAAGCCAAGGCGAGGGCGAGGGCGAGGGGCCGCCCGCCGAGCGACGTCCGTCCGCATAGGCACACGCACGCACCAGGAAACGGTGAATCGGACTTACCATTTTGGCCCGTTTTACGTCTCGGTACGCTCGACGATTTCAAGTATCGCTTGAACACTAGACACAAAGGATACTGTTCACAATTACCGGGCAACGTGGAAAAAGAAAACTCGTGTGCACGAAAGCGCGGATAGACACGCAATACGACACGGCCGACGAGAAACACACTCGGGACAGCAATGGAGTCCACCGTCCTCTCTCGGTGTACGAGCCTTTCTGCCGCTTGTCTCGGTCAGGTATCACTACGCCGCCCCTAACGGCCTACACGACTACGTCCCGCGATTGGTCTGAATCATAGGCGGGGGTTAAGGGGAGTTCACGCGGCGATGCGCCGCGTCGTTCCCTACGCGGTCGACAGATAGTTCCGTGCGGCTTCCCCTCTGTGAAAACCCTGAAAAAACGACTGGTTTTTAATTGGACAAATGAGAAGAAGTAGGAACGACACGACACCCGATCTACAGAATGGTCGACACGGACAACCGTGCAAATCCGTTTTACATGCGGGGTGGGTGCGGTCGTGTTTACAGGACAAGTCCGGGCGAACTAACCGGGCCTGTGATTGGCCAACGCGCACCTGCAATGCGTCAGGCAGCCGCGCGGACTGTGCCGCCGCCGGCTACCGGGTCAAAGCCGGGCTTCCCTGCGAGAGATGGCTCGAATGCAATGAGCGCGTTTTTCGGGCGCGTTTAGCCCTACACCTCTCTTTCTCCGTTTCTCTCTTTTCCCTCTCCATTCCTATCTCCCTCTCCTATATTCTCTTACTCTCAGTCTCTCTTTCCCTTCGCTTTCTTGCGATTTCTACTCCAAGTTATTCTTTATCTATCGTTTCTTGAATTGCCGAAGGGGTCAACCGTACACGAAGCGTTTATTTGGTAACTTGGCCGCGAAGATTCTTCTGAATTTCAATCGGCTGCTGATTTAAACCTGTTTCTGGCATGGCCGGAAATCCGCGCTTAAATGACAGTGGTTGGGTGGAAAATAGGGGAACACCAGAGCGTTTAGGAGAGGTGGTGCGTCTCTCTCTCGATTCCGTTTTCTACCTCGTCTTCTAGACGATATTAGGTCACGATGGGTTAATGCTTATGGACTATATGAAACGTTTTAAAACGCTTTGAACATGTTTCGAACGATATCGGTTAATGAATGATCGATTCATGAGAATCCATAACGTTGGGGAAAAGATAAATTAAAATGAACCTTTGGTCTCTGAAAAATTCTAGTTTTCTTTCGCACTTTCTAATGGACTCCTTTAGTAAAGGAAATTACATTCTTTTTAAAATTCCTCTACATAATATGCTTACTTTTTCTCTCAAAATGCTTAAGGATCCCCAAGGGTCTATGGATCACAGTTTAACCGTTTGAGTACCAGGGGTACGCGATAGCGCTTCTGCTGTTTCATATTGAGAACTACAAGACCGATAACACTAACTTAATTTAAATAATTAAATAATTAAAACATGAATTTTAACAATTATATAACGAAAACTTTGTTGCAGGTAAGACCAAGCGGTCAGTTGAGCCTGTCGGGGCATAATTAATTTTTAAGGAAATTCTGTTAAAGATTTTCCTAATATTATCCAGTTTTATTTCTAAGCTTAGTAGAAAGAAAATATTTAGGTGGCCTATTTCACTTGGACCACCCCTTGCATTAACCCCAGAAGTGCTAGCGGTTTCAATGTCCTTTCATAGATTCGGTCGATATCTCCTTAAATAAAAATAATGCGCGTACGCGTTCACACGACAAAGGTGTATAACGTGATTAGACGAATATATCACCTTCCCTCTAAAAATATTTCACCGATTGTACATGTTACACGGTGTTTGTAATATTTAACAAATTCTAAAGCTGCACCGTTTTTCGTAATCATGCTGAATCAAATATTACATTTTCCAATGTAAAATTAGAAACACGATGGTCACGATGATTAAGGAGCTTTTTTTTTTTTATCGCCGTTAAACATCTATTCAGGTATTTGATCCAGCTTTAAAGAATAATACGAATTCTATTACAAGTTTGATAATTTGTTTTAAGATTTATTGAATAAAGGAAACGTATTTTGAAATAAATTTTGAAATAAACTATACCAACGATACTGTATTCATAAGAATGACAGAAGTCCTTAGAAAAACGATGATACAGAATAAAAACTGAATAGCTTACTAAAAGGATAGAAATTCAAATCACACGATTGTATTGGTTGATTACTTTGAATGCGATCATCGTCTGACGCGCGAGAGAAAAATGCGAATGACGAGTCCCCGGGATTCTCTTGTATATGTATGGGAAAAAGGAAGCGTTTAATAATCTAATCGTTGCAGTCGCATTTAAAGATCACAACACATGACTAATTTTTTATTTTTAAAAGTAGATTATTCTGTTCTTAATTTATTCCCGTCCTGCAACAACAATATTTATGTTACATTTTCTGTTATTTAACTTGATATGTCGTTCTTTTCGTTGTATGTACAGTTTAATGTTTGTATTTAAATTTTTTTCAAAATCGGACGACGTTACGGAACGTATTTTGTTGAAATAGCGTGACTTCATGATCACGATATTGATTCTAAATATCAATTCATATTTTTATGTTTACTCGAGCACATAAGATAAAAAAGAAGTTTAACTGATTAAACAGATTATAATGATTGTCTTGAAAACATTTTTAGAGGTAACTATTTTTCAAGATAAATGTTATCTGACTAGTTTAATAAGAATATATTAGATAAGATCTGCGATAAGACGGTAAATTAAAAACTGACAATTTTTAAAAAATCAATTGCACATCAATTGCAATTTGACATTACTTAATTATTTGTTATTTATATAACTTTCATATTCTGTCGTGTATTCCGTATATAAAATGCACCTTCGTTTACCTTCTTTCGCTTTATTGATTTTGTATAAATTTGCAATTTGTATATAAAATTACATGCCTTGCGGATATTAAATGCAATCGTGTCAAATTGTTTTTTTTTTTTAAACCAATTCATAAAATTAGGCGTTTCGATGACACGTACATATTAACTCCTTAATCGTGAAACGCGATGCATGCCGTTTGTTGTAAAATGCTGGAATATGGCTTGCAAGGGTAAAAAAGACTTATCGAGGGTAAGTCGTTTACATATGTAATTTGAGTCGTTTCCACACTCATTCTACCATATTCTTAGCCTATTGGCGAGAATAATGTTCCATTCTGTCAACCACTATAGTCAAATTATTTCTTGGTACAAAGACAATAACCACTATAGTCAAGTTACATCGTCGATTCGATCCTAAAGTCGTTTTCTCATTAAATTCTGAAATAGGTGTATATTACAGAAGACTTATGTTTAATAGATTTAATAGATCATTTCCAATACGTTTTTACCAAGACCTGGCTCACGTAATGATATCTACAATATTTTAGTTATCGCTAAATAACTATTCAAAATATGTTTAAATGTAATCGTATTTCCATACGTGAAGAAAACATAGAGAATTCGTTTTTTTTTTTAGTTAATTTCTTGGAGCGGTTTATTTACCATCATTAGCCAAGGTAAACTTATTCAAAAGTCACTGTGCAACAGTTCACGAGATTGTTCGTCACACCGGGACTCTGGTGTTTATGTGATAGGAAACTACAATCCTCCGCATCTAGAAAGGTTAAATGAGAATGCTGTTTGTAACTGATTCAATTCGACAAGAAAAAAGAAGATTAAAAACGTATCTTATTTAAAGTTATCAATAATCCGATTGTGCATCCTGGGATCTTGGAGCTCCTTAAATTATACGTACATGTACCTGCAAAACACCTGAGTGTAAGAAATCTCTTTTACACTATACCGTGCCGCTCGCTGATAGGGCAGAGAAATTGTATAAATAGATTATGCTCAGCCTCAAATGCTTACTGTAAAAACATTCATTTCTTCAATGGTAATCGTTAATTTCCTTTAAATCGTTAATTTCCTTTATCAGGTGCACTTGGAATTAATCATTAAACTTTAGCTTTCCCTCTCTTCTTTTTTATAAAATGGATTTTATAAAATTCCGTGCGTTTCACGTGCAAAGGGCTTTATCTGTTAAATAAACAAATATTAAACATTAAACATAATGTCGGCGGGGGTTATCGATATTCGTAAACTCCATTCGTATCTAATAGATAATTAACAGTTTCGCTAGTGGCCGTGACCGATATGCGGTAACGGCGTCGCACGATGCCTGCGATATCAATAATAAGCGATGAGCATGCGTGTGGCAAAAAAGAACGTTCACGTATATGTAGGTAAAACGGAAGTGACGGTTCCTCTATGCCAATTTTTTGAAAGTATACCAAGGTCACCTTGAATTTATCAAAGGAAACTACATCACAAAAGCGCATACACTAGCGCGAGTAGAAATACAGCTTCGCTCCGCGATACTGGCCAGTGAAATATTCTTTCACGAAGGTTGGGTTTAACATTTTCATTCGTTGCGGATGGAGTTTTCATACAAATAACGTTTGACGATTTAAACAGTTTGTTTCATTAATAAAAAAAGAAGAAAGAAATCTTCGATTCGTCATTTTTAACCATACGCAAATGTTCCAGGAAATTACTTGCACACTATTGTCAGAAATTTTTCAATAAATATATGAATTTTCTCAAAGTATCAAGTAATTATTAATCGATTAAATATTTCGGCTAAAAGGATAAGTTATTTGTCTCGATCCACGCTAAATATTTCTAATAGACATACTCGTCACGGTAAAATACGCTTCGTCCGAGTTTAATTACTTCTTACGAGGCGTTTTAACATATTTCCAGAGGTAATACGTTGGTGAGCCCTGTAGTATGCCACTCATTGAATAGAGTCATTATCGAAGCTAATTTTTCTCACTCTTTGTTAACGCACAAAAAAAACTGTACATACAATGTATCCATTTACATGAATTGTTATTACTGGTTGTATTATAGCCGACGTTTCCTTTACGTCTGTCGTGTACAAAAGATTGTGGTATCGGGAAAAAAAAGTTGGAAATTCTAACCTACAATATCTCTCGTATCGTTACGTTTTTCATTGTTCGGGTGTACCGTAGCCCTGGACCATTTCGTAGGTTCCGTTTGACCCGTAGAAAAAGAAGAAAAAAAAAAAAAAAAAAAAAAGAGTAAGACGATAATAGTTGGTCGATTGTATTACGCATAGCCGTAAGCTCTGCAGATGCGTGATGCGCTAAACGTGACGCGGTACGACGTTTCGCGGGTTAACCGCGGAGGAGAAGGCCGTTTTTGGGCATCGTTACCAGGAAAAATCGATGCTCTCGGGCTGATAGACCGTCGAAAGTATGGATTCATGACGTAGTCTCTCAAAAGGGCCGGCCTGCTTTTAAGCAGGGTTTTCGAAAAAGTTTCCGTGGCCAGGTTGCAGCGAGCCTGCGCACCGATGAACGCGCAATGCGACACGCGATAGAGTAGGACAGGGAGACTTGTAATCTCGTTAAAAAGAGACGGAACGGGGGGATGGAGAAGCGCACAGCGGCGTTCACGATTAACGGTAAGGAAGGGAATTTAATGGGTGTCACGGCAAAGAATGTTAATTTTATACCTTACGTTTATCGATGTAGCGTCTAATTGATGTTAATTCAGCAAGAAATGCGACGCAGAAAATTGCTCTTCGTTCGATTTTCGAATCGGTACAGTTTTTCGAATCGCTTTGCGTTTTATTAAATATCTAATAATACAAAACGGCAGAAGTGTTAATTTTTTTTATTGTACACGAACGAAACTTGCAAAATTTATCTGATCGATAAGATACTATTTCATCGAATAGTAACATTCCGTTAAAATTCTATATTACGTCATACTCTCAACATACAATATATACCTTATTTTATGACGAATTCAAATATATTTGAAGTAAGATAAATATCAGGATATCGTTCGTTATTTTATACTCGAACGTTCCAACAATAACATGAATTTTACGTGAAAATTATGGCATACATGCCGTGTATACTGTAGAAATGTTTAATACTATATATTGCATCATATTTTGATAATTATATCGTACTAAATAAAGTGTATAATCTACTACAGCAGATTTTTTGCCTTTTGTTTCAACTATATTTTTACGTTTAAATAAATATATAAAAATATTACTTGAAAATCATGCAATACTCGCAATTATGTTATACACAAATATTTATTTGTTTAATTCTTTAAAGAATTTGTTATTACCCGTCTATGAAAAGAAAACAGACTTGAACCCCGTGTTGTCTCAATGTATGTTAATTACCTGGTTCTCGTAATATAATTTAAAAAAATGCTAAATTAAAATACACGTATATACACGCGTGTATATTAAATTGAAAATGTTGATTAAAAAATACTGGAATTTTAATTGATCAATCGATATTTAATATAAAAATATTTCTATTAAAATAAATTATAAAGATGCGTATACGGATATAACTTACGTGGGTCAATACGTTTATTCGCTTTTCCTATAAAATGTACGTACCTTCGAGCGATAATATCGAGCAAACTAAAATCTTTTTTGAAATTATATATCCATTATTACGATTATAAACATTCCCGATATTTCGAAAGTATTTACATTTTAATTTCTGTTCTAAGCACGCAACCTACTATAAACTAGTAAGTAATATTAGAAAATATTAATAACTTTATTTATATTTGTGTAATCGAGTAACTTTTCCTTATATGGTATTAATAGTAACAGTAAAATCATTTTTTAATATCGTTTAGTAAGTTTTCAAAAGGTAATTCATAAATATATATCATCTTAAAATTGCATTATTCGAAAGAATGACATTGGTTGATAACATTTTCAATTCAATGTTACAATAATCAAATAAAAATGGTTATATGTCCCAGAATTATTTCTTTATTAGAACTTATTACAGCGATTGTTGTTAAATTATTTGTATCGTTCTAATATTCATTAACGGATCCATTTATTTATACAATATTGTAACAGTGCAACGGTAGAGATAAGCAGGTACAATTGCCACAAGGGCAAAGAAATGTCAATGTTGCGGAATAGCCATTGGAATTTCTTTGAATCTTGCTTCAAACGATTAAAATTCTGAATCATTCGAAAGTAACTGGTATTGAGAGAATCGGTAAGATCGGATTCGTAGTTTCTACTTCCAACGCTGTCGCCATACAATCGCTTGCTGCTTCTACTTCGCCTACAGATTCCAACACCTTTCCTAAATTGTACCTGCAAACGTAGAAACGTTTAATTTAATATAAACTTTGACGAAAGTATTTCCATATAATAAAGCAGTGTTTCAATACCATGTTTGGTGAGAATTTGGATCTATTTTTGCAGCATCTCTTAATGTTTTTTCGGCCAATCTTTGACTTCCCAAATAGTGATAAATTAGACCCTAATAATATAAACAACCCTTAAGCAACATCCAATGAAACCGTCAAGCAAAATTACAATGACAATATTAAATATTATGTAATAAATACAAGAAACATTACCAAATGTTGTAGACTCTTTATATGCGACGGATTGATCGAAACTGCATTTTGGTAACACTGTTTCGCTTCCGTATATTCCAGTTTATACTCGTGCAAAAGACCTCGCTGAAGTAGAAAGTATTTCTTTTGCATATTATATTCTGGCATTGCGATTAAATACAATATTAAGGAAACTTACGGTGTACATAATATGATGGCTCAATGGAAAAATATTGGTAGCCTCTTGTAAAGAAAGAACAGCACCGTTTGGTTGATCCAAGACCAGATATACTTCAGTGAGTAATAACCAGACCTGTAACTGCAACAACCATGCTCTCTGTGGGCCGGGTTTTGGTGTAAACGAGCTGAGCGAAGACGCGACTTCGGATAAAGCTTGTTCCACCTTTGAAGCAGCTAGCGACTGGGCATGCAGAGAACCTATTTGAAATATTATCCTTTAAAAAAATTATTTACTTTCGACAAAATTAAAAATAAAATAATTTAAACGACTTATGTTGTCACATACTGGAATCTTTGTCAGACATTTCAGAAGCATATAGCTGAAAGACGCTTCTAGTTTCGCTGCGTCTTTCGCTGTGCTGTTCGTTACAATTAGCATTAGTCTGATCTTCGTACAGATTCTTCCAAAGCAAAAGCATATGTCTTATGGTGAACAACGCTTGCTCGCCACTGATACTTCGTAATTCAAGATGGGCTTTCACATAAAGAAAATTCAAATTATCTGGATATTCCTCTAACACACTGTTAATTAAACGCAATGCTTCTGAATATTGTTTATGGGCGGACAGTAATAATACTAATAAATGCAACGATGGAATGTGTTCTGCCCGGAGGTTCAATGCAATTTTTACATGAATCATTGCATCGTTAATTTGTCTGTTGATAGCATATTCATGAGCCAAATAATATTCAGCCAAGTGATCGTTTGGATCGCATTGTTGTGCTCTATTAAAAAACAAAAATGTGCAATGGTATAATATTTTATAATATTTAACTCCATTCCACATTTCACATTTAACTGTACGTACTTCTGAAAACATTCTAAAGCCGTTTTAGTGTGATAATTTTTATCTAATTTTACTATAGTATTTACAGAGAAAATACTATGGCCGATTCCAATGTAAAGATGGCACCTAGACTGCATTCCTTGCGAATTTGATGTTTCCCTTTGAAGCGCTTTCTGGCTCCATTCGATACCTTCTTTGATCTATTAAAGATTGTATACGATACTCGAAATACTTTTGCTCGCATACGCGTGTAAAACAAAAAGAACAATTCTTACCATATTTAATTGTTCATAGCATAGCTTTGCAGCTAAAAGGCAGGGCATTACTTTCTGCGGCGACAGCCTTGCCACCACTTTTAAGACCCTGTATGCGTGCATGTATCTGCCCATACTTATTAAACACAATGCACATTGAGTCCATACATGCGCTTCCTCGTGAGAGAATTTCATCGCTCTTTCAAACGACTATCGGAATATACAGTTAAATTACGTTTGATAAATGTATTACAAAGTAAATTTAACAAGCGATCGATATTAGAATGATAACACCGAACGAGTTGTTTAATTATATTAACCTCGTATAGCAAATCCACTTGACTCCACCTCACAACAACCGCTGTGAGAAGATCATAGATTGCTGTGGCATTCTCAAAAGCATGTATTCTTGCTTCTTTAAATTCTGGAGATTGACTGAGCACAGCATCCCTGACTGCCATAGCTTCGCTTATTAGTAATAATAAAATTGTTTCCTCGTACTCATTCCTTGGCACAAACATATTAGGACCTAAGTATTTCTTTGGCTTCCATGGTGAATCTAAAAAAATATTATCTCCTCGTTAAGAGTCAAGAGGCTTAAATCTATGAAGGATTGAAAAATGCAACTATGGGAAAGTTAAAAATTATATTAATAGTTGTTACGTTGCATCTACATCTTTGGTTAAAGAATTTTTTGTTATTTCATATAATATATTACGTACACGTTCTATTACATTTATAATGCGATTACCTGTCGCATCGTTTGGCGCCACTGGGGTTTTGTATTCTGTACTATTCATTCCTCGAATTAATACTTCTGCCAATTGCCTTGTTAGAGTAACTCGAAGACTTTGAGTTGTAGTAGACTCCACGGCAGATAAAATTTCCCTTGTAAAAGTTATTCAATTTCATGGATACGTTGTTTAATTAAAAGAAAAAAACTGAGGCAGAGTTGGCCAAATTTTATTCGCCAATAACAACTACTAAATTTGAATTCATTCGTTAACTAATTTCTGTCTGTATTTCACTTATAAACTTATACGTGAATAAAATTTGTCCGACTCTAAAATTTTTAGTAAAAGAATCGATTCCATCTATTATAGTAATTAAAAAACAAACGATTTACCTGTAACGATTTATAGCAGCTTGAATATTACCCGTTTGAATATACAGAATAGGCGCCCTTTGAAGCGCCGTCTCCAAAATTGGCCCAATGTGTTTTGTAGTACAATACGAAGACTGAGAAGAATATGTACCTATTGAACAAATATTAATTGTATTAATTATATATTTAAAAAACTATGACACTTTGCTAACAACCCTGTAACATTCAGAATAAGTCTACGCATAAGCGTAAGACGTACCATTTTGATGTTGCTGCGCGAGTTTGTCCTGTTCTTGTAAATATACCAATGTTAGATCCCCAGCAATTTCGTAACATTTGATAATCTGTTCTTGCCATTCTGCTATTTTGTATTTTGATTTCGAATTTGGTGGTAACCTTTCCAGACAAAGACCTAACATGAATAATAAAGGAAAGTAGTATAATGATACTTAAAAAAAAAATAGAAAAAAAAAAAAGAGATTAACACAGCTAACGGAGAAGGTTACATTTTTTCAGCATTTTTCAGCAAATAAACCAATGTATTTTATAATCAATGTTATTTATTTATGCCAAAAAAATGTATGAAAATGTTCGTATAATCGGACAATAACATTTATAATAATGAACGAATGAATGAAGTATTTACAGTATAAACATTATACCTTTGTTTTTCATAAGAAATTTTCAATGCAGCGATTGAAAATATAATCATTAAGTAATTAAATTTTTTTCTAAAAAAGTTCCAGAGATCAAATTATTCGATTAAATTTTATTAATCACTACGTGTATAAAATTCATGCAATAAAATGTTACACGATAAAAAGGGTGATCGCTAACATTCATAAATTAGCTTGCAAAATCTTTTTATATTAGTAATTGATATAATACTGCATAGAACCAATAAAAACAAAACTAAATTCCACAAAATACAATAGATTAATAAATCGAAAGAGCAGAATTTCTATTAAACAACATGCAATTACATAGTACAAGGTCAGGGAAAAGTACAAGTAAATAAACAATTATAATGAAAATAAAATTGTATAATTACCATTAATGGAACAGTACTATTCGGCTTTGTAGAAAAATATCTTCTCCTTAAATTTTGATGCAGTTTCAAAACTACTTAAATTCCATAATTAAATTTTATTTTAAACGTCACGTTTTATACTAAGATAAATAATATTTCTACATGTTCTAAAGTTCACAGAAATTGTTTTATAATTTACAAATAATAATTAATATTTGTTCTACTGTAAATTGTACCTTACTATTGAAATTTTTCACTTTCTTATATTATTTAGAAAATATTACCATTTATAAAGTAGATTTCTTATGTAGATGATATTCTATTTTGATGAAAAATGGATTGATAAATGATGTTATTAAACACAGAAATAATGTTGAAAATAAAATACATATTAACATCGATTATTAGAATCCCTTTATAATTCACTAAGAAGAAGCTTTAATTTGGGCTAGATAAGGAGAATGATTTGCATGGCGACGAAGCGTACATTTATATTATTATAGCTGACTGAAATAAAGTTGAAAAGAATGGGATATACACTTACAAATAGCAAATAAGAAAAAAATAAAAAATGAAGCAAAATACAAACCTTTAATCGAGTATGATTCGGCTATAATGCGCAGTCTCCGGCAGGATAAATGTTTCTCTGTGTCTAAAGTAAACAATCTTTCTTTTTCTAAATTATATATTTACTATAATGCTAAATGGATATGAAATATATTTTCGAAAATCATTGCATCGTATAAATACCAGAGTTTGAATTTGATGCTACCTCAGACCGGTGTATGAGATTTATACTTAGTATAGACTGCCAATAACAAAAAAAAAAATATGCGGTCCTTTAAATTTTGTTAAATCTACGCTGGGTGCAATATTGTCAAATTCAGCACGAATTTAATGATTTAAAGTATAGAACTATTAAAAAAAACAATTGTTAAGTGAAGTATGTAAGACACCAAACTATATTAAATAAAGTCATTCCTTTATTTTAACGGCAAGCTGTTATGTGATATTGGAAATAATGATGCGGTAGTACATACTAGCAAGGTACTAAATAATTCAAAAAGTGTCTAATGCAAACCTTTAATCGCATACGATTCTGCAATAATGCGTAGACTACGGCAAGGCAATTGCTTTTCCGTGAGTGTATGCAATTCAGCTTGCTCGTAATGATTTATAGCCTCTTCGTACATTCCCATTGCATAGTGTAGCTTTCCGAGTAATAAATGAGCATCTAATACGACTAAAGCCTAAAATTTCGGACATGGTTTTGATAATACATTACTCGCCAAATCTTTTTAACGATATAATAGAAAGTAAAAAAAAATAATATAATTTGTAAACGATATTATAATCACCTGTTTATCTTTTTCATTTGCAGCAAGAAGTAAGTACCTTCTAGTTTCTGCCAGCCCATTTTTTGCCTTTCCAATATTGGCATCTACGGGTGGAGTTTGTTCTAAAAAGCTTTCTAATCTTCCTTCGCCGCATAGAAAATTTGCTAAACATTCTAAAATCGAAGACACCGATTAATAGAATTTAATTAAATAAAATTTAATATAAAAAGTATATTAAAATCAATTACACAATTTATGAACGAACTATGTATTTACATGACGTCATAAACAAGTTATTGTAATGACTCACTGATAATAGAATTATTTTTATTTTTTTAAATTTCTATCAAAAGTATCGGAAGGAATAAAAAATTTATTGTCAAATTATATACTCTATAGCAGTTATATTTGGCCTCGTTCGTATAATACGTAACATGACTTAACGAATTTTGTATGCAAACAAGTTACGAAACTCGTGACGTGACATTTAAATGTTACAAAAATTGGTAAAATATTTCAACAAAAAACTAAATAATCACAACACGTGAATCATATGGATTACAAGTTTAATGAAAAAAAAAACAACATTTACCATTGCTTGGGTACTGTACTTTAAGATGTTCCGCCAATTCTATAACCTTTTTCCAATTTCCTTCCTCACGGTTTTTATCGATTTCTTGTTCAATTCGGAAGATCTGTCCTTTTTTACTTGTCATTCTAATTCACGTAGGAAATAGAATAGGACAAGTCTTTATGTTCTTTCGTAATGTTTACTAAGATTTAACGTAATATATCGATCATCAGAGATATCACGAGGATAGGCGCGACGTACAACTACACGAATGACAACCTCGACTTCAAGCACGTGCCAAACTATTTTGAACTGTCTATCACGCCATTGATTCTATGAAGTGTAGATACGATGCGAATGTATCATAAAATCTACTGATTCCTAAATTGATTTACAGAGGGCTATATATGTATATACGAAAATATGATTATGATGGATTATTTCAAATTTATTACATTAGTAGGCGATTTACTATTTATCGCTTTTTATATTTTATTTAAGTTAGTCTCTATAAGAACGAATAAACGAATAATGATAAATGTTACTATTTAGTAATTTATTAGTCATTTAATTGTACATATATGGTAACAAGAAAAATAAATTTACTTTGATTTTTTCTTTTTGATATATATTATATAGTCTGTAATCTTCGGTAAAAAAATTTCTTTATATTAATCTTTGAGGACTAAAATTGATTTGAACTTTTCATTGTGGCAATGAAAAGTTATGTTTCATTACCTCCAATTACCTTTTGATACCGTTTTTTCCATTTATCTTTAACATCCGTAATATTGTGCTGTAATTTATATTTACATATTATTCGTTTTAAATTTTACTTGTAGATTTTGTAAAATATATATGGTAGTTTCTAATTACGATTAATCGTTATAATTCAGTGCTGCTTATTATAAAGTAGAAAGTAATGAAAACACAATTAGAACCTGTAATATATGTACTCCACGTTGCGTAAGAACAATAAGTTCCTTCATTCCATCATTTGTTATATCCATATAACATATAGAATGTACCGGTGCATCAAATAATTTTCTAACAATTAATTCCCATGTGTTATTGGTAAAAGAAAATATTAGAATTTCTTGGCCATAGGTTCCTAACAGTATTTCGTTTTGGCCATCCATATTGATATCAGCAATGCAAGAACACAAAATACAATCGGACGTTTCACTAACGTTTAATCGTATGTCTTCCTCCATCCCATTATTTAAAATGTCCCTAATGAAAGTATACAATAATTATTAATTTTCAGTATATGTACCGTACAATTACCATACTTACATGAAAACAACAGCATAACTTGTATTTACAATGAGAACATTTAATTTTGTTTCTTTATCGTCCAGAGAATGACTTGATCCTATAATAGATGATACATAAACTTTAGTCTCTAATTTCGTCTATCGAACAATAGTTCCCTCACGAATTTATATTCATTTGAACGGTATTTACTTTTAAAGTCGGCAAAGGTGGGTTTTGTAATATTGTTTTTTTGCGAAAATACGCATACACTGGGTATAGGTGTGTCGTATCTCAAATTCCAACTTCGACGGACTTTCAGTTCTAAAACATTAACGATAGCTACTTTGACCAAACCACATTCACAACCAATTACAGTCAGTCTCCTAAACGAATTTAAATTGTGCATAATCTTTAAAGTTCAGAGTTACATATTGCATTCCTCAATGAATAGGAAAATATTTAAAATTATACCAGTTATAGTTATTATAGTAGTAAATATTAATCCATAATGTAATTGTTTGGATATCGTGCAATTCAGGGAAATATTTTTCGATCGGCGATTCGCTGTAACCGTGGTTTAATTTATCTTCTCTGATCATATGAATCTTATAATCGCTTCCGGACAATAACCAAACAACCTGAAATCTTAGAGAGATTGTACTTCTATCTTAAATTTATACGATAATAAGCGTCATTTTTTAGTATATTATTTCTCAAATAGCTTATTTTTATGCATAACAAAAAAAATACCTCATTGTGAGAATTTTGGTGCGGCAGTATAGTATGGTACAAATGATAAGGAGTATATGCTAATTCTACCATGAGACAATTTTGCGCTACGGCTTCGATCGAGCTGCATTCATCTCCTTCTCCGTCTGCAGCACCTTCCGTATAAATATTTAAATATCTTTCCACGGACGTATCTGTGCTCACTTTTATTATAGTTATTCCTATCACAAATCCATCGCCAGTGTCAGATTTATTATAAGCGTCGATGGATATAATTTCTGCACCACCTGGTAAGAAGTAAGTTTTATTTAAGTATAAAAAAAGTCTGTTTGACTTGTTTGAATAATATATTGGCATTTAAAAATACAAACTTGGAATGTATGTAAACAGTAGCTCCTTAACCAATGGTCTTAAATGCAGATTTGGCATCAGATGATATTCGCAGGAATATATTTTTCTTTTTATAGAAGCTACCAATGCCTTGTTGGAGCCATTAGTAGAACATAATTTTGTCATGGAATAAATATTTCCTTGTGATGTTAAAGGAAACCAATGAGCATCTATCAAGTTACTCATAGTTCCTTCACACTTTAAACATTAAATCACAGCAATCTGTGACAGTGTCATAAAATTTCATCCTTGTTTATATTTACATTATGTTATATTTAAAGAAATAAAACAAAGCATTTTATTAAAAAGACATAAAATTAATTGTTGCACCAAACTGATATACCTACATTTTTTTTGTAATTTTTACATATAATTCGCATTAAACGTTTTATTTGATAGCTTCGAAACTGAATTTTAGGGTTAGAAATAATATACAAGATCTATATCATGTATAATAGTTGTATCGCAAAGACGTATTATAAATATTATTTTTAACGATGTTTAAGCTTTTCTTTTAAGTTTAAATAAAGCGATTTAACAGTGTCTTGTAAACAAATAATACATCAGACGTACATATATTCAAAACACACATTTCTAATATGTACACGTTATTGCAGCTGAATCTACCAGTTTATTCGTATTTGAAAAAAATATTTTCATTTTCATTTCATAGTCTTACATTATTATAAGATGGTAGGACGAAAATAATGTTTTTATGAAATTCCATGTCTTTAATTTTAATAATTCCGTCCAAGTTTGTCGAAAAATAGTACGCTGCTTTCGACGCTAGGTGGTGCTTCGATCGTGTACAGATCGAAAAATAATTTCAATTATTAATAATATTAACTTTTACATCCAGGATCTGAAAAAAGAAGTTAGCATTGGATTAAGGGCACTAAATAAAATTTCTTTGGGTTTCTTCCCATCAAAACTACCAGCAAAATGCTGCATCGATGATGGGAAACTCCACCTAAAGACCTAATTGGAGTCTTCAAAAGAAAAACGTGGGATAGTTGTTTTGACTCCTGGATTCAGAGAGCCTTTCAATGTCGAGAAAAACAATAAATTGTTGTGAAACATTCTGACCATCCGGTTATGTAACAGTCTCTTCATAGACTATACAAACGTGGGATTATTAGTGGAATGTTTTGGCGGGAACATTCCTTCTGAGTCATACCTACATATATCACCGATTCCCAATAGATAACATCGCAATAAATAAGAAATAATTAAATAGATTTTTTATTCAAATTACATTCTCAAATTTATTTTCAATGTATTTTCGAATTTCATATATATGCTTATCTATGCTATCACAATTGGTATTATGTATAGCAATTAACGTATAGGTCGGCTATTCCTTTTAGAATGTATTTTTGGAAGTTTCTATAATTTCATTTAGTACACTGCTTTATTTACATTATAAAAACAAAGTGTTTTACAAGTTAATAGGGGTGTACTACCACCATTGTCTCTAATAACCTCAAAAAATGTTGTTATTGGTATATTATCTGACGTCACAGTCTTCCGCGATTTATTTTCTCTATGAATAGAATTAAAAATATCTTCTAGAAGATTCGTATAGATTTTTTATATCCATTCTTGTTGAAAGTTCATAGCAGGGGCGTATGTGACCCACACGGCATCAAAATTATCAATGAACACATATGTATTTATGTGTAAATTTTACTCTGAACAGCGAAGAAAGAGTCAAGAAAACTGAATATCTGAAAACTAACGAGCAATTCAACACGATTCTTACTACAATTATCTGGTCAATCGAGAAAATATCCAGATAATTGTAAACTTAAATACGTGCGTTTAAAAAATTTTAATGGAAGATTTTAGAGGTAAAAATAAGACGAGAATCAAGAATATCAATTTCTCGACCGAGGCTTCATTAAAAAGTTATTAAATTTGAGGTTTCGTCGCGATAAAACTTGTTTTTTTTTTGTTTTGTTTTTGTTGTAAAGAATTCTCTTTGTCCATTGAGCAATGGTTTACCAGAAATTAATAGCGCATGGTACGTCAGTCATGACATTTCCCTTTACGCCGAGGTGCCCACGGAAATCCAATATCGAGATTAATCGCGTGCGATCGAGCAGGTCGACCTAAATACCGCGGTGTCATTCGGATCAGAATAGAGGCGAGCGTACGTTATATAGAGAACGTTTACCAACCTAGGATTCACTTTTGTTCCAAAATCGTTTTCGCATGCCATTTGCAGTTAACCATGTTCGATTCCCTTTCATAACGTGAAATTATTAGACATTATTTTACTAATTTGCATCGTACGAAAAAAATGAAAAATCAGCCCTTATCGCTAAATTTTTTTATCAGAGGGGTATTCTAGTTTGGAATGTAGAAAACATCGATTTTTTTCGGCAAAAATTCAAGTTGAAATCCACGATTCAATTCCCGTATGCGCTAAATACTCTGTTTACAGAGACGATGAAGATTTTTTATAATGATAAAACATTTTCTCGTTTACTGCGATGTAACTGTAATCGGAATAAAATCATCGCTTCTAATTAAATGTAACGACAGTTTGTTTATTTACAGTACGGAGTATGTGCGGTTGCGGGCTGCAGATTAGCGTGAGAAAAATGAAACTTTTTTTAACTGATAGTTGATTTTTACGAGACCCGTAACATCAAAACTTTTTATTTGTTAGATAATCGGTCCCCCAGTTACATTAACAGTCCGTCGACGAAGGCGGGTCAAACGTTTCACATTTCTCGAACGATGAAAAAGCTTTTTGAAAGTTTCTACATACGACAATTAAAAAACATTAATGTCAATGATGCCGCGAAGGGAGCGAAAGTAGTCCATGAATTGTACGTTTATCAGGAGAATGTGAATTCGTCGAGACTGAAAATCAAATTACATATTTGATATTTTAAGCGAACAGCGCGTTAAGTCTTGTGGTAGTAAATTGGGAAACGTTTCCATACTATGCCCATGCAAAAAGACTACTAAAAATTCGTTTATCAAACAGGGATATGTACATATACATACATACATACATACACGCACTCGTGCACGCACGCACACGCACACCATATATATATTTTTGCTTTTTCTTTTATTAAACACAGAATCACAGAGCAAACTGGACACGTTGGAGGGGCGGGAGGTGTTTACATAGTCTAGCTGATTTTTCTGGGACGACGCACCGGGCTCACTTCCACCTTTTACTTTAAATATCGTTATTATTTTACGGTCTCGTTGCTGTACAAAATATCTTACTGTTAAAAAATCAGCCGCAGCTTTAGTAAAAAACATACGAAATCGAGGGGAAAGAGGTGAGCCCGCTTGGGCTGAATGGCGGCCCGCTTGGTATCGGCAGAGAAGATGGTTTTTATTAGTGGAAGTAATTAAGTTTTATTTACAAATCAAGGCAATATCGTTAATTATGTTTTCTTTTTTTTTTTTTTCCCTTTTGTTTTTTACATGTATACTTCGCGCCTCTCTCGTTCTATTTATTTCTCGCTCTTTCGCTGTCCAACACGACACTTTGAGCCCTAATAATTCCTTTCCGTTTTCGTGACGAATTTTTTGTACAATGTATATATATATATATTATATATATATATATAATGATAATATAATAATTTAATCGCCCAGACCGCAACGGAGGCAACGACTGGCGGTTCGAGTTTCCTGTATATTCCCTTTTTATCCTTCTTATCAAACTGGTTACATATAAAAAGTCTCGATTTCGATTCATGCGACCGTCGCTCGGCGAACGGCTTTATGCCACGCTATTTTCTTACTCTCATTTTTTTCGTTTATTTTTTAAAAACACTACACACACGCATACCTGCATACCCACGCACGCGCACACGCAGACATTCTCTTCTCACGCTTCTTTTTCTTTTTTTTCTTTTTTATACAACGTGTGTTAAAATTGATGATCAAAATTTCGGGCGTGTACAGTGCTTGTCAAAATAATAAAAAATTTACCAATAATTTTTAGCTCATTTTAACGAGTACTATATACAGGGTGTCCAAGCCATCACTGGGAAAAATTTTACAAAATAAGACGAAAATCAAGAACACCAATTTGTCGATGTTGGTGATTCTCACTCAGAAAACTGTATGGCTGTCGATACGTCGCTAAGTAGAGTTTCCCGTGCCGAGTGAGAACCACTTAGCTCGCAGATTGCCGTTCTACACGCGGCACTTTAAACGTTAATAACTTTTCAACGAAGCCTCGATCAACAAATCGGTATTCTTGATTTTCGTCTTACTTTGGCCCCCAGAATCTCCCATTAAAATATTACCCAGGTTTGGTCGAACACCCTGCGTCTACCCAAAGTCTGTATTATCAAGTTTAGCCCATCGTATATATATATATATATATTCGCTCGTTATACAACAGGAAAGCTGTGTCCGAAATAACGATTCTGCGCCGAGAAAAATGTCAGCGGCCCCCGTTTATTGCCGTTGCAGCACGGTCGTTATTACCAAACCAGCTTCTGATTCGTACCGAATCCAGCCGATAACAATAATCATTTGAAATATCAATAATACGTGCAACAAAAGTAAACGGTTCTCTTTCGTATTGCTTCTTTTATAAAATACCCCTGTTCTCCTTTTCGTCTACTCCGGGCAAATCGTTTCGTGCTTGATATAAACTCACCCTCGATAAAACGGTAAAAAAAGCGACCTTGTTAAAATTATTAGCGTATAATTGCATAGAGAGAGAAAAGGAGAAAAAACATTCTACGTCAAACGATAACGTACAGCGAGTACGTTACAAATTACGTATCGACAATTGTACCGAAACGTATTTCGCTTGTATACGTCGTTCGCATATTCGTATGTATCGCCATACGAGTTACATTGCATGTACGCGCAATTACAGAGACACCGACGCATCCACCGTACGCATTAAAAATTCTTGGCCTACCTAACGATTCTTTTATACACACTTAATTTTACGTATCGCAATCGCTCCCGATCACACCACCTTCTCGCGCTAACAATTTTTCTCGACGCACAGTCACGGTAAATCTATAAACATATTGTACGGGACAGTGTTGTCCACCCGGAGTTCTGCCACGACGCGCGCTCACAATTCACGTTACAATTCCGTAATAATAATAATTAAAAATAAAAGAAAACAAAAAAACAAAATGCTTGGGAATATTGAAACACGACAAAAGAAACGCACTTATAAATATATATGTATATATTACGAATACCGTGGAACGTCTTTTGTCGAGCGTCCAACAAGATTGTATTCGATAAAAGCGATACACTGGATTGTTAATGTTAATTAATCACGGAGGCACGGCGTGACGGATGCCTAACGCTAGGGACGTGTTTAATGCGTGATACTGTACAATCAGACCTGAGTAAATTTCATTCGAAACAATAACAAAAAATAAATATATTCGGAATAATTACCGAAACATCGAATTATTCGAAATACAAACTTTTCTAATGATCTATACAATGATCGAATTATTTTAAAATTATTTTAAATACAAAATTACTATCTTCGGAGTTGTTTCATGAAATAAATTAATGTAATTGTATTTAAAATTGAAATAACGTTATTTAGAAAAAATGCCCAGGTCTGTGTATAATGTTGTATGCGTAACAAAATTACATAGGATGCAACAATTAACGTTGCGTTACACGTTTCCCTTGTTACAGATCTTCCTAACCGAAAAACAGGTATCAGCGATATTTTCCATATTCGAGTTGTTATCGTGCACACTATCAGCGATAAACGTTTCCGCGATAAAAAAATAATGCATAGAGAGAAAAAAAAAAAAAATGCTCTCAGGATTTCGCCACATGACTGTATACATATGTTGCATCATAATCGTTCGCGTGTTTTGTCTTAAATTTATGACTCTGCCGCTCCTGACGGCAGACGGAATTTTCTAAACGATATCGCGAATAGTAACCCGACGAGATTAATTATTAAATATAACATTTTTCTCTCGTATCATTATTACTGTACGTATTTCCGGAAAAGGTGCACCCAGCCTACGATAGAATTGTTTCGACGGTTATTACAATGAAAATTACTATACTTTTACAGGAGACGAGTATCGTGAACTTTGCGAGAGAAATTATTATAAATAAAAAATGTCGACAAAAATTAATAATTGTTCGATATAATGATGTAGAGTTATAACTATTGTTATTATATTGCCACAATTGAAACCGGTTAAATCAGATATATTCTATAGTAATAATAAACATTAATACGGGAAATGCAATTCTAAATTATAAATTGTTAAATTCTAGATATAAACTCGTCAACATTTATATACATTTTTACGATCGATTAGCGTCTCTTTTATTTTGTTAAATCGCGTACATTAAAACTATTTAAAATGTAAAAAAAAAAAAAAAAAAATTATCGCTAAAAGATTAATTCGACTATATTAATATAGTCGTTCTCAACTGTATTATCACGTGAAAGAGTTCAATTCGTATTTTCAATTCAATATATCACTGGCTGTGTCGGTTTTCCTAAACGTAGACGTCTCGATATTTACCCACTTAACAGACAAATATTACAGTCGTGTAATATCCAACGAAAAACTCTTGATGGAACATGAAGTTGGAAGCCATTTAATATTATGCAATATGCGTAAGACTTATTGTTATATAATCATCTTATCTCTTTATATTCTAGCCCTTCCTTTTCGTAAAATGAAAACTTATAACACACCTGCGAGACTATTTTTGTTCCATGAGAAATAGCAAAAATAACATAGATAAATAGCAGAATAAAGATCCGTACTCGATAATAATCTAAGATAAACAAACAAAATTACGTGTTATTGTTATAATTGTATAACGTTGAGGAGCCTTTGTTCAAGCGGTCGGTTAAATATTGTAACGTTAAATCTGTTACAATATTTGTGAATTATCATACGTGTCGCCTTTGCTTTAAATATAATATTATCAAACAAATTATAAAGTACTTGAAAATTGTTCTGTTCCCGCTAGTATACGTATATCTTATCAATTGTGTTTTTAATATTCGAGGATGAAAAGTGAATACTGAAATTTCGGTAGATACTATAATCTAATTTACTGATTTCGTCACATTATGTAAAAGACACTAAGAAAAGACGTTAATATTATAATTGAATATACGATAATAGGTGCAAGTGACTTACACGAACGGAGAAATCCTTTGTAGACATTATGAAACTTCGTCTGTTTAACTGTCCCATCTGTGCAACATTATACTTTTTTTTTTTTTTTGCAAATCGATTTGCGTTTATAATACTCATAAATCATACTATTTGAAACTAAAATGATAATAACAATCATGTAATTAAATTCGATTTACAATATTATAATTAATAATGACGACGATAACTATGTTAGCAACGGTAGTAATAAAATAAAAAGCGTGAATAATGACAGTTTGATTGAATATGGAAGTATAATGCAATCTGTACATTTGTTATGCAATAATTAAAAGTACAAAATTAATAATCATTCGTTAGTAAACGTTTGCGTATGCATAAAGATACATCCCCGCTTACTTAAGCTTGAAAGATTATATTTAAATAAGTCTACTTTGTTACTGATACGCTAATCATTACTGAATTAACATAATGCTTTATTATCCATACAATTGCCTGGAGGGAGAGAACGATATGCACCGACTGACTCAATATTTAAACACGTACAGTTTCGACTGTATTATCTTCTCCATCCTCTTCAGAATGTAGTTAAAATACCAATCATATTAGCATTATTCGTTCAAGCTATTCATTGGCATATAATTTTGATGTTATAAGATTTAATATTTCAAGTCTTAGTTACCGATAATATCATCCCAGTATAAAAAGAATAAAAAGACTTGGATAAAATAATATTATAATCTTGCTTGTATTTGCATTGCTACTTTTAGATTGTTAGATCTCGATATTTCTTGTTTGTTCGTAGGAAGAATGTCTGATTCACAAAAATCAAACATAGTTTTTTTTTTTGATAAATTCTAATAAATTATAATCGGTAAAAAGGTTTTCACAAATGTGCTAATTTCTGATACTATTTGGAATTATCAGCCTCATAAAATTTCTATAAAAATTAATTATGTTACTTGATATTTATAGCAATACTATAAGGATCCACAGAAATCGTATATACAGTGTCAGTAAACGCAACGCAAAATTCATAATAAATAATCGGAATATAAAAAGGGGGAAATAGAACAGTCCAACAAACGACTTAATAATTCAGTATTTCCTACTCTTTATATCGCTTAACGCTATACTCTGATTTTTCGTACGAAAAATTTTTTCTTTTATGCGATTAATTCTTAAGGTACTCTGTACGAATTAAGTCAAATAAGCATAAATTTATATATTTACCTAGTATAAAATGCACGTCACGTTTCGCGTTCACTGTTACCCTTGTCATCTGCTCTTTTCCTCGAGTACACCAAATACGGAAACACGCACATTAATTCATTATGTAACCAATAAATTATGTTCAGAGTCTATTCCACTTCGGTACAGTTGGAAGAGTTATTTGTTAATACCAATTGAGCTATTTGTAAATTTTTTCGAATACCTGTGTGTTAACGATTAGGTCAATATATTCGATACATTGCATCTGTCATACTATGAACAGCTTGCAGCACAGTATATTGTTGTTTATCGGGGGAAAAACTCAAGCCAACAACGAAGCAGCTGTGATTCATGTTGCATAAAAATAAACGGTACGCGGGAGGATTCAGGATTTTCATCTCCTTTTTTAGATGATCCTTTTTAACAGGTATGTTTATGTTCTACACTTGCATTCAGTGATCCATACCTGGTTGCCCACTGCCACATAACAATAAAGTAATGTGGAGTATTCCAGTCAAAATCCTCCTCAGAGTGCATTGAGCGATGACAATACTGGCTGTTTGGCCAGAATTTAGGTAGGGCTAGGAAGCACCAAGCGAACCTGAACCTGGGCTTGGACTATTCTGTACAATAGTCTGCACTTGATTATAAGGGTGATTGATATTGCACAAGACTGGATAAATATTTTCCACGTTACTGAGTTTTTCGAAAAATGGAATTAAGTCTAGTAGTTCTGAATCTGTCATATCGTCGAACCATGACGCCACTGGTACCTAGAAACAAAACTTACATTGAAATTTGCACATTTATTTTCATTCATCTTCTGTTCTATACAATTATTTTTATAGTAAAACTTACTGCATTATCTGGGTGGAAAAAGTAACTGACAGGGCTGTTATCAACAATAATAATTTGTTGTAAATCCCGTCCTAGTTTATTTAAATCTTTAACATAATTTCCTCTGTGAAAAACACAAGAATCTCTAAACAGTCTTGCTCTGAACACTCCCCATCTGTCAAGCAGATCTGCTACTGGATCAGCATACTGTAAGCATTAAAATTTCTGTATATTCAAATTTCTTTTGTATATATCTGTATTATTAACGACAGTAACTATCCGTAACACATACCTTAGCCAAACTTGCTGTGAACAATACGCACTCGTACAGTTCACCCATTCTCTGCAAGAATTCATCCACATAAGGCCTCTTTAAAACATACACCTGATGTACCGTCCCATCAATTTCTACAGGAACAACAAAATCGGCGTTGTTGATTGGTTTGAAAGAACTATGCACCAGCGTCTCGTCCAAATCAATCACCATGCACTTTTTGTGCATATCCTGATGTCTGACAGGCGGGAGAAGGAACCGAGGGGATCCAGTCCCTGGTGGCAGAGAACCGTTTTCATCCCATTGTACAGAATTTGTTTTTGAACTCTTCGAACTACTTCCACGTCCTCTACCGAGACAACAAAGTAGAGATCGCAGAAGTCCACGCCCTCTTGGCTTCTTGCCACTGGCTGGACCGTTGCTGGCCACTTCATTCTCTCGTGGTAACTGGGCTACAGAGGGCAAAACAAATGTCATTCCATAAATATACGTACATAGAAAATGCATTATATACATAAAAACGATTCAGATTATTAATGTTTATGCAAAAACATTTAGAAATTTTCTATAAATATATGCAAATGCTATTCACCTTGGTAAACTTAACATAAATAGTATAAATATTTGGTATAGTATTTTTTTAAAGGTATGAGGATCATTTTATTAAAACTTAGGCATGCAAATATTTGTTGACAGTGCTAAAAAATCAAAAGTAATCGTTTGTTTTTTTTCGTGTTGTTTGTAACGTATAGAAATATTAATCGTTGTTCAAACGACACGAAAGAGGTGAATTAAAACGGCGCTAAGGTATAGTACAATACGATGAAGTTACGCGAATCTTAGGTGAAAGAAAAGAGGGGAAAGGGGGTAGACACGATTTGACGAGGCGAGGCGAAACGAGGCGAAGCCAGGCCAGGCCAGGCAAAAACCAGGACGAGAGGAAAAGAGACGTCGGAAGCGAAGCTTGAGCGAACAACAGGAGGGAAGGGGGACAGGCGAGAGAGGTGAAGTTAGGTGAGGTAAGGTGAGGAGGAGTGCGGTGCAGTCCCGTAACAGGTGCAGATTCCATCCAGCATCTGGAAGAAAAACGTAAGAAAAAAATGTAAAGAAACGAGCCGTGTTCTCGAGGGGCGCCTACCTTTCTCATTATTAAACTGTCCTAGCTCGTCATCCCGCGACACTTGGGTGATAATGGACGATGCGTCCATTTAAACATTTGTTGAGTCCCTGCGTGTCTGATCGTGAATTCCGTTAATGCGCGCGCGCGAAAATACACATACCACACATCCACAAAACACGCGCGCACGTTCTTCAGAATGAGAGAGCGTATACGCGTGTCAGCACGCACACGCGCCAACTCCACTTCACTCACTCAGTCACGATGTACGAAATCTCTCCTTCCAAACGCCGTAGCGACCGCCGCCGCCGCCGCCACCACCACCACCTCCACCGTCTCCTCCGCCGTCGCCACCGCTGCTGGTACTATTGCTGCCGCCACCACCGCCTTCGCTGTCCCCTCCGCCGCCTCCACCACTGCGAAGATCACCACGGCTTGGCGAACGGAGACGCATAGGCGCAGGCACACGCACAGGCACCAGCACGCACACACGCGCCTATACGGTGTTCAAAACTCCACCGATATTTACTTCGCAAGTCTCTACGCGACAATTTATATATTTTGATTTTTAGAAAACGATTAACATCATTTACACTGTATTACGATTGATTTCGCACCGGTCGTTTTACACTTTACATCGCGTTAAGAATAATCCCGTTCGTTTTCTTTACGCTTGAACGTGATCGGGGAAAGTTAATCCAATTTTTTACTGCCTTCATTCCAAGGGAGCATTTCCCTGCCTGTGCATACTACGGTTACGTGCCGTGTACACTCTCTCGTTCACGTGCCACACCTATGTCGTTGCGCAGTACATCGCGATTCGACGTTTGTCGTACGCGTTTTCCTCTCCAAACATGTTCGTCGGGGTCGACGGCTATGTCCTTCGACGCGTTACGCGCATCAATCTTTCGGTAATGGATTCGATATTGTTGTTCGGGCAGGCCAATATGCGTATTCCGTTGCTCTTCAGCCAGTAACGGCACTAATTTTCGTACTGTTTCGTAACGATTCGAATATTATGCACAAGACACGCGCGAACGTCGAACGGTGTTGTACATTTACTACAGAACCGTCGTAGTTTGAATTTTTATCCGTTCAACGCAAACAACATCGCGGACCTGTGTTACACAGGTTTTTGATGTTACACAGTATGTCACTGGCTCTTGCACCCCGCGCGACACTCGCGTCTCCTTGCGGTCTTCCGTTAAACTGTGAATGCGACCGTTGCGCAGCGTTCGAACTCAAAAATTAAAGCCATAAAAGCAGAACGAGACGACGTGTGGCTTTCGCTCTATTCCTTTTGCGGTATGGATCGTGTTTACTCGTAGCATTGGTATTGAACAGATCGATCTTTACATTGAATTAACATTATATTATTACAATCACAACAACGAATGTTCCTTACCTATTAATAGTACTAAAATTTCACTTCTACGTTTTTGTTTTAAAAGAAGCCATACGTTGTAAAGCCTATAGACCCAATTATATGGATAGCTTCTCGACGCACGATACTCGATTATCACAATCGATCTGATTTTAATATCAAATCTGTTTTAATTTCGATGAATTCTTTTAAATCAAGTAATGTTTTGCAGTTTAAATAAGGGTAAAACAGAATGTAATTTTGTACGATTAAAAACAATATAACTACAGTTGAGTATTTTTATCTCCATATTTCACCAATAATATATTTTATTGTAACATAATATTTGGTCTTATACCTTAACTTATAATACAATAATAATATATCCATTGATAAGCTTAAAACAGCTTTAGTTACTATAAATTGAGCATATATATTTTAAAGAAATGTGTAATGTCATATTGCGTATTGCATCGTGTATTTTACATAATCGTTTGAATTTTTCATTGTAAATTATGCCTAATGGCGTGTACTATGTACGCATTCTAATATTAAAAAATGGAAGACCAAGGTAATTTGTGCCCGGATAATGTTTTTACTTCCAAATAAGACGTGATCATTTTATTTTATTTTTTTTTATGAATTTCTTTTATATATCACAAATGTATAGAGTATTGACATAAAATTCCATTTTTCATTCATTTTTCTTATATATATATTCTCTATTAATATATTTTTTTTTATTAAAATCTACCTTAATTGCAAATCACTTCCAGTTCATTATACATTCCATTCATTCAACTTTTACAATTTTTACATTTATGATAATACTATGAATGACAGATCATAGAATCTCGGACATAATTGTATAATATTATAATATTATTTTTTCATAAGTTTGTATGCGATAAAAAAAAAAAAAAGAAACATATAAAAAGGTTAATATTTTTGTTCTATTATTTTCTGCATAACGTGATATTTTGCAGGAAGGTCACGTGATTAAATCACTTTTTATTTTTATTCTCGATGTTTACTTTATGGAAAGATACCTTTTGTTTTTAACCACACCAATCGATAATCTTTCCCGAGGACGGACTTTTTTCACTATAATTTAACATTTGTTTCGCATCATCATTGTTCGTCTCGTCACTCTTCCGCAAAATAAACCGGAGATGAAAATTATACCAATCATTGTTAAAGCAACGAGCATAAAGTATCGTCTTGCGGGCGATCGATTCATCGTCGTGTACAGTTCTTGTATTGAATTTGGAGCAATTAACTGGAAAGTAACACACCGATATTATAAAACATACATGTTATTATATTATATACATTCATTTATTATTTTGTAAATTAACGATGCGGGGATAGTAATATTTATTACCTTTGCTGCATTCTTGAACATTTCGATCCTTGTGGTTAACATTTTATAGCAGTCAGGTTGCAGAGATTTGTTACTATCTTCCAATACATTTTGCAAGCACATGATATCTGAAAAAAAATAAATAGTTTAATATTCTTAAAATACAACATTGATTCATAAACTAATAAATTGTTTTTATTTCTGAAAGATATTTAACGTACGCCTTCCTGCTCCTTGAGGAACATCGCTACAATATTTATTAAGATCAACGGCGCATGCTTTTTGTAATAAGGGATCTACATTGATATCTGCTTTTGTTTGTTCTATCAAGCCAATAATTTCAAGACGACATCCTTCTTTCATATCTCTGTTACCAGCATTAAACTCTATTTTCAAACATTCTTCTACTGCTCCGGGATTGTCTTCATCTGCTCTGCAGATCGTTTTAATCTATTCGAAATACATAATTAATATTATCATCGATATCATTGATTGCTATTATTAAACAAGTTGAATAATACTACCTCGTGTGCACACATTGTAGCAAGTAATGGATTCAAGTGAAAATTTAAGGCCGCTTCTCTGAGTATAGTAGTCATCTGATGTTTACATTTTACTGTAAGTTTCGATTCCCGGAATTTAATTTTTAAACACCTTATGACCTTTCCCTCAAGTTCTTTATCGGTAGGTTCGTTTAATAAAACCTGGATAAATATATTATACATTTATGCTCATAAAAAATTATGTAATTCACTTCCCTTTAAAACTTACCTCTTTACAATTTCTATGGATATCGTATGAACAGGCATTTTGTAATGCAGCATTAAATCTATAATCTGTATTTTGTTCAATCATTCTTCGAATAACAATATTTTTACATTTCTCGTCAAACGTGGGCTCATCTTTGTTCTTCTTCAAACAATCTAACGCTTGCGAACGGCTTACGTCGTAGCAAAATTGTCTTACCATAACGCGGCAAGTACTTAATAATGCAAAATCACTGGAACTGTCTTGAAAATCTTGTTTTCTCACTTTAAATAATTGTTTGCGACACGCGTCTGATAATTTCGACTTATGTGCCGCCAAACATTCGAGAATCTAAAATAATTATAATCTTACCACTAATAAAATTTGAATAATACAAATCTAATTATGAGCGCATTACCTGTGAATTTCCTGGTTCGACGTTAAAACAATAGTATTTAATATCAGTTGTACACTGTGCTTCTAAGACAGGATCAAACTGAATGTTTTCTCTTTGTTGGTAAAGTTGTGCTTTTAATTGTTGTCTACATTCTTTTGGTACATTGTGTTGTGTGTCTTTCATTATATTGTCTTGTACCTTCGCGCTCAAACATTCTATTACTTCTGCTTTTGTTTTAGACCTAAATAAGGCACGTATATACATTTTTCTGTTCTAAAAATTTTTGGTAACGTATTAAAAAAAATAATGATAAAAGTTGTTTACTTTGGACACCATCTCTTGACAGAAGGTCGACAGGCTTCTTTAAATTTATACGTAAAGTGATAATTTTTTAATGATATCAATTGGAAATGTTCCACTGCTGCTTTACACTTGTAATCAGGTCGTACATCTAGATCATTTTTATGTTCTATTAAACACTCCATCATGTCACCTTCATCTTTACCATATTTTAATACTTCCTGTTTTGTAAATTTATTATGAAGTATTACATATCATTGTTGTTTAATATTTGAATTGATCTTTAATAAAAATTGTACTATACCTCGCAATGACGTTCTATGATATGTTGACACGCGGCAGAAATTACTGGATTCAATTCAACATGTTCCGCTTGTTCTTCTGTAAAATTGCCAACTGCTAACTTGCAATTTTTGTTCAAACTGTGAATAAAGTAAATAAAATTAAAGCGTAAAAACGAAACATGGAAACAACTTTCATTTATATTATAATCGAATATCTGCTTTATTACCTATCTAAATTGTCTTGAAGGCACAATATTTCTTCCCCTTTTGCAGTTTTATCGTAACAATACGACGCTAATTCATTTAGACACACTTCTTCGATCTCAGGTTGCAAAGCAACGTTTACGGCCCGTTGTCTCATAACGCGTCTAATTTCTTCAAGACATTCAGATTTCAACTAAAACGATTATTTAAAAATAAATCGTTATACCAAATTTATAAATTTATTGAAAGATATAAAAAATCTTACCGTCATATTTTTTTGTGGATGATACGCATGCCTATATAAACATGGTAAAACAAGAGGTCCTCGTTCTGGGTCCATCTGTCTTCCATCGCTAGCCCATGCATTTCTTGCATGGCATAATCGTGTCGCATCGAATTTACATGCCCTATACAACTGAGGATCTAATTTGAAATCTCTAGCTATAAAATACTGTATTTGAACTAAAGCAGTTTCACAAGATTCTGTCATTCTGACTGTACCAAGCTGCTCCAGTAGACAAGATATTACTCTCGCATCGCCTCCGTGTACCTGAATTTAAATCAAATTGCACATGTTATTTTTAAATTTAATTTTGTGTAATTTCAACAAGTCCTGTTTTTTTTTTTAGTTCACCGAATACTTCTTACATCTCTGCAAGCTGAATTAACAACTGATTGACATTGTTCTCTTAGAACAGGATCGATTCTCCAATCTTCTCCGGCATCAGTTTCCATAATTAATTCTTCTAACTATCGTTAAGAGAAAAGACATTCGATTAATATTTACGATTATATTTAATCCACTATGTTTATTATAATATATAAATTTATTACCGCTCTTTGGCACTTGCTGGATACCCTTGATTTTTTCTTTCTTGGTCTGGTGTGTTCCATCAAGCAATGAATCGTCACGCCCCCAATTTCAAGACTATTACAGAAGATTGTAATATCATTGGCACATCCGTCAACTATTTCGGGAGATAATCTATAATCTTCCATTAGCAGTTTTCTATGATCAAACATTTCAGCTTCGCAATTTCTATCAATTTTGCTACCATTTTTTACAGCTGATTCCAAACAGAGAAGAATTTGTGCAAGTCTTATGTTTCTATCCTCTAAAACAGATCTTCTACAATGATTAATTTTAATATCGTCCTTGCAAGCTTTAACTAAACCTTTACTGACTCTATAATCCGATGCTATTAGTTTCCCTCTTCTTGTGAGCTGTTCCTGACACGTCGCTGTCATGGATTTATCTGTTTTGTGCTGCATTAAACATTTGTATACTTGGCCACTGCCCGGTCTAACGTCCGGACAAAAATTTGTATGATCTTGCGCACAAGCCATGTATAATTGCCGATCTAATTTTATATTATCAGCTTGTATTTCAGATACATGAAGTATATGTCGTTTGCACAGAAGTTGAAGTTCGTTAATGTGTTCTTGCAAACAAGCTAATATTTGCCCTTGAGATATATCTCTGTACGGTTGAATTTTATCGCATTTAAATTTTGTAATATCAGCTTCGCAATCCGACGAAAATGGTGTTATAATTCTGAAATCACTAAACGCGATCCATTCCAATCGCTGAATATATACAATACACTGTGGATCCTTAACTTTCTCTCTGTTATCGATTAAACAAGATAAATAAGCTCCGTGCTTGTCACCAGAGGCAGAACAATCTAACGAATCTAACTCTTTACCGCATGTTTTTTTAGCTAATCTCTCTATATTTAAATTATTAGTAATGTTTAAGACATAGATCCATATCGCATGACGGCATTCGTCATCGATACCGGATACTTCGGTTGGCTGTAAAAAGAAATAAATTATAAGTAGAAAAGGAGTTGAAATCAGGAATTTTGTTTCATTTATTCTGAGACACGATTCTAATTAGAAACTATCAAGTTTTACTAATTACAATATATTTGAGACTATACCTTAAATGTTTGAATGCACTCTAACAACATTAATTCATCATTATTTCTAGTTACGTCGCCGCACAGGCGGCTCAAATTCTGACGACACTTAACAGGTAGGTAAGAATTAGCTACATTTGCTCGTTTAACCCTAACGGTATTGTCAACAAAATTGCTGAACACCCAGCTTATTTTTGGTACGTCACCGCTGTTCGTGGACACATTTTTGAAATAAGTTCTCGACAAATGAGCACAATTTAACACCGATAAGTGTATAAAAATCACAAACAAAATGCTTTTCAAGTTTGTCGTATATTCCATCCTCGCGAAGTAGGACCCGCTTTTTCAATTAAAACTTATTCATTAAACACATTACGACGTGGTTGTGTTTTCTTTTGCAAGGTTCTTTTTTGTTAAATCTTTTTTGCAACTTTTGTTATTCACCGAATAGTGTCAACGTCACGAATAATAATGTGCTTATGTATAATCTGATAAAACCGAACTTTGCGCGGACAGTTGCCGCGATATGCGTACGTTACCTATCGTTCCAATACTCTGACTATATATTTCATTTTGAAATAAGCATTCAAGACGAACCTGCAAATGAAATTAATATATTGTACGAACAAATTATTTGCATAGGATTTGTTCTGTACATTAATTTGTACAGATTATGAATAAAATAATAATATTTTTTTTATTACAAACGGATACTTTGGCATGAAACGAGTGTCCGTTTTTCACGACGCAAAAAAGGAAAATATGTTTCGCGAAAAGGTTGAGAATTTCGAAATATTAATACGAGTTTAACGTGCATTTGTATAGTAACAAAAGGTTATTGGTTTTTCGAGATCGTCTGCCATTCATCTCGGTAATGAAAATGCTCCTTGTTGCGCGAGTTACGATCATACAATGTTGGCAAGCCTGGTAATTGAGTATGTATTTCTATCCGTCGTCTGCATTAAAGGGCAAGTGACAGCTCGAGCTATATTGTTGACATTTGTATGAAAATTACGCTGCCGCGTCGTACTTCCGATAAACTAACTTTGTAAACAATTGAGATTAAAATAAAAGTAAACGTTTTCTGTAATGTAAATGGATCTGATCGGACGATTTTACTGAATCATGTATGCAAGAAGAAAATTCAGGATGAAATGATAATCGGTGTCGGAAGAGGTATAACGACATCGAGCTTAATAGATTTTAAATAGTTGGTGATCAAGCTTAAGTGATATTTATGAACTTTCTATTTGTTCTACATTGTTTAGTATCGTTTAGTGGCTGTAATAATGACTGCTTACTGGAGAACTCTGTTCAAGCATCGTCGTAAACGTTGTACTCGGCACTAGTATGTTCCCGACAGTGAACAATATAAAGTGCATGTGTAAAAGTGAATCAATCCGTATGGTATTACGTGCAGTATCTACGACGTAATTTTTATCGAAGGGAAGCATTAATTTCTTTAATTAACGTTCATTCGATTTTTACAAAGATCTTAACATAACTTCGAAGATCATCGTTGAAAGTAAGTTTTAACACATTTCATATCGTTTATGTTGTAGAGATACGATTTCGACAAATGTTGTTTCAAACTTTACACGCTCATTCTCGATTATTTTTCTGTCATATACTATACGATTTTTATTTTACACGGTATAACAAAGGTGCAATATTTATCAATAATCAAATTATTTGCAAACGTTTTGGGTACGAAGTTTTAGTAACAATTTGACAAATCGGTTTAGAAAAGACTCGTAGGCTGTAATTAATCTTTCAACCTGTATTCGCGTACAAGGAAAATTATTCAGCGGTAGAACCTAGTGCGCAGAAAATTGATGATTCATCGAAACTGTTCGTATCGTTCGAAAACGTACGCAGCTTTGAACAATGAGAAAAATTTGATATTTGTTTACAGTTAACGTTCCCCGTTAATTTCGTTGTCGCGTACAAAGAATCGAAGCATCGTATTGTTCTTCCTTCGCGCCATTAATAAAGTTGACATTTTAAGAAGCACGCCAATGTGTCTCGTTGATTTCGTACGAAAAACAACGTTGTAGTTTGACACGTCACGCGCATTAACTATCCCTGACATTTTCGGTTCTATTTATAGCGTCGCCTTTAAGGGTGTCGATAGTATTCGCGTTAATGTTTCACGTTTATGATCGAAGCGAGATCTGACGATTGTTTTCGTGGATTAAGGGATACGTTGCAATGGTGGTCCGTTCTCTGATTCGTTTGGTCGTCGATACTTTAAAGATAAGTTCCACGGTGAATCGATCGTGGCTGCGAGTGGGATAATAGGAGGAACGTGATCGATTCGAATCGGTGAAATCGTAACCGGAGTCTAACAAAACAGTCGAGGAAAAAAGAGGTTTCGGCATGACCTGTGGCGGCGGCAAGGACTCGTTGGTAACATCGGGCGGGGAGGAGGAGGCATGGAAGCTGAAGCTGGTCGGCAGTCTCACCATCAGGGGCTGCAACTTACCCTGTCATCCCCGGGAATCCCCGGACTGGACGTCGTGAGAGCCTTGCATCAGGTTCGATTCACAAATTAACACGTTGATCTTCGCATCACCCATATACAGCGTGCATTCTATGTTCGTAGACGAAAGTATTGGAACGCTCACATCTATAACAATCAACTAATAAAATATACAGGGTGTTCGGACAACCCTGGGACAAATTTTAATGGAAGATTCTAGAGGCCAAAATAACACGAAAATCAAGAATATAAATTTCTTGACCGAGGCTTCATTAAAAAGTTATTAAAAAATTTCAAATCATTCTGAAAAAATTATTTTTGGTCGAGGGGCGCAATTGTAATCATTTTTGGTGAATACACATACCCCCGAAATCCTACCCAATTTCGAGAAAAAAATTCAATAAGTGGACAAATTTTTCGACAAAATCAAAGCATTTCAAATCGTTCTAAAAAAATTATTTCTAGTCGCAGGGGTCGATTGCAATCATTTTTGGTGAATAGACATACCCTCGTAATCCTACCCACTTTCGAGAAAAAAATTCAATAAGTGGACAAATTTTTCGACAAAATCGAAACATTTCAAATCGTTCTAAAAAAATTATTTCTAGTCGCAGGGGTCAATTGCAATCATTTTTGGTGAATAGACATACCCTCGAAATCCTACCCACTTTCGAGAAAAAAATTCAATAAGTGGACAAATTTTTCGACAAAATCAAAAGATTTCAAATCGTTCTAAAAAAATTATTTTTAGTTGAGGGGGTCAATTACAATCAATTTTGGTGAATAGACATACCCTCGAAATCCTATCCACTTTCGAGAAAAAAATTCGAAGCTAAACCGAAGCATTCGATATAACATGACACATGTAATTAGAAAATAATTGAACGATGTATGTACATTTCTGTATTCTGGCGGGTATGCTTCAGCCCCAAACTAATACCGAGAAAGGGAGCAGGTGGTTTTACACCCTTATTCGAGCCATCGATTTCACGTAGACCGATGCTATTCATTTACCGTCCCTTTTATCTCCCGGATCCCTTGACCTTGGATAATCTGTGGTACTGGTCTCTTTTATATGGATCCAAGGCTGATGGGATCAAGGGGAACGTATCAATTGTTATTAAAAAATTCAGACGTGCATTTATATTGCATTTCTTTGAATTGTCGCGACTATCTATTACTTTGGATAACGAGGGTTTTACAGTACTTTGCTTAAATCATGATCATTTGCGCACGTTGTGTATTTAATAACGTTTCTCTGTATCATTTCTCAAGACTGTGATATCGTTGCGGTCCGCGCTGGACTCCTCGCGGGAAGAACTTCGTCGTCTTAAGGAGAGCGTCGGTGATTTCTCTGGCGAGAGCTACGTTGACGTCGTCGAGAGGCTCGCTCTTGAGAATCACGTCCTTAGGCGAAAGATCCTAAGCAGGAACAGTGAGTTTTCTAGTGATGCTGCCACAAGCCCGCCGCCCCAGGCTCGTCTTTTTCCACTCGCAGTAGAGGACATCAAAGAGTGAGTCTCGAAACGTGCGCTCGCGAGCAATTAACTAGTTCTCCCCGCGGATCTCGCTTTTCACCGTATGCACGATTTTAGTTCTTCTTTCAGTATACCACGAAGCATAGAGCCACAGATGTATTTAAGATTTCTTTTGTCACTGTAAAAGAGAAATTCAATTATCGAATTTCGAAGCCGAAGAACCACATTTATCGGACGTATCAACCAGCGCGTAAAAGTCGAATAACGATGGAGTAATTTGAGACATCTGAACGTTAATACATTAATGGCCCTTTTACTGTCGATTTAAAAAAGTGATACCTGGTTCCAAAAAGACGATCCACCGAGCGTCAAGGCACGCTCACGACCACAATTCGTCGGCAACCGCTGCGCGACTTGATGGTCGAAGCCTTCGTGGCGTAGCGTTAATTAAAAGGAACGCGCACAGTTCTCGATGCACCTCTATTAATAACTGCGCGTAAACGCGGCGTCGTTCTCGGTGTCATTCTCACCCTGTAAACCGTATCAGTCTGTCAGGGCAAGCAGGCGCGCTCATGGACGCGTCAAGGGACAAAGTGGTCGCGGACGACGCGTTGGAGGCGTCCAGGTCGGGCATCGGGACGCGTAGCGGCGGTAACAACAGCAGCAGCAACGAGAGCCTCGATTCCCAGTCTCGCGCGGCCGAGAAACCATCGAAGGGCCGCTCGAGACCGTCGTCCAGGGAGCAGAGGTCGAAGCTCATGGATCAGGCGTCGAACGAGATCGTTAAGAGCACGTCCGTGGAAGGTGGTTCGACCTCGAAGGATGTCGAGGTAGAGGACGCGAACGAAGCGCAGGGCGATCGTTTGGATATACCGGACAAGGATTTGGAGGATCTGAGCCTGAAGTCCGTGTCCGATGGCGAGAATTCGGTGTTCAGCGACAACCCGGACGCGCAGGTCACCCAGCAACAACAACGTCAGAATCAGTCGGCCGATCAGCCGAAGATAAACGATCAGTCCGAGAACGAGTCCGAGGAGCTAGACGACATCGAGCTGATATTCACGACGGACGAGACCTGCCGCGATCTCGGGCTGCAGGAGGACCTCGTGTCGATAACGGAGACCGAATCCTGGCAGCAGACCCCGGCCACCGGTCAGCCGGTGTTGTTGAAGTACACGAAGTCCGCCGAAGGGGAGGCTCTGGTCTGCAACGGCGAGAAGACCAGCTCCGTCGAGGAGGCGGTGTCCTCGCAGAGTTCCAGCATCGATCGCGAGGAGAGCGTCGATAGATTCGACGAGAGCTCCAGCACGAGATTGAACAAAATGTGGTCGCAGTGCTCGGTGTTGGTCGAGACCGATATCAGCAAGTGCGGCGTGGTCGAGGAGCCGGAATACCCCACTAGACACGCGGTCAGGAGGAACACTTTGGCTGCACCACCCACCGCTTACAGGTAATCGTCATTTCTGTTACCCTGTATCGGCTGTGTCGAACCAGATACCAGTCGTGGACAGAATTGAAAAAAGTCAATTTAATTTGGGATAGAAGTTTACAACGAGATGGTAATTAATTGCTACTTGGGAAAGGATGAAAACAAAGAGCGTAATACTACAATTCCCGTTGCGTTTTACATCGCAAGACTTTGTCGAGCAGCGTTTACTTACGCTCGTAATTCACCGAAAGAATAAAAGTGCAATATAGAGGCTGGTTGAATAATTTAAAAAAAATTATACATTCTGTAGAGCTCTTTATTCCGCGCTCGATGGAAGACTCTCACGCCAATATATGCATGTATTCGACGAAAGTACTTCAATTAGCTGCTGAGTACTTAACAGCTATGAAACAGTTTCACTTATTTCCAGACCATTTTTTTTTCTTTTTTTTTTTCAGTTAACTCGACTCGGCCAGACGCGGAACATTCTAATTACCGATGCATACGTAAATGAAACAACGCTTTAATTGCGTTTCCTGCTCGTTAATACGTACGGGTAGATAATAGAATTTCAAATCTTTTATCACGGATTTAAAACAAATTGCGAATTGTAACTCCTGGTCGTTTGTTACGGCGTCTCTATAAATTGGACCATTAATGAACAATTTAACGGTGACAATGTGTTAAGGAGTCGGCCGTTATTGTGCGTGCTTTCGAGAGTCCGGAGAACCAATTCGTCGTCGAATAGGTTAAGAAGGGTGACTATCGTCTTTTCAGGCCAATCATCCACCGAGAAGCTCTGGCAGGTAGTCGCCGGAAGAGCGCCGCTCCACTGAGGCCAGTGATGGACAGAATCAGTGGAGCGAGAAGGGAGTCTGGTGCCCAGACGGACATCTCCGCACTTCCGGCGCATTGGCGTTCCGAGAGCTACCTCGCGCACAAAGTGGCTCACACGTTTACCACGTTGCCCAGCAAATTTGCCTTGCCGACAGGAGTCCCCGGAAGACTCCGACTCTCCGACAAGACGCGGGAAGCCAGAAGAGTGATGCTCTCGGACATCAGTTTCACCAGCATGGTACCGGAGTTGTCCAGAAGCGCCGATCACCTCTGTCACGATCCACACGCACAGGTAAGGCTCGATTCGAAATCAAAATCGTCCTAGCATTCCAATAGTAGTAAAACGCGTTAAAATATTAAATGAATATGTAAGAAATGGTTCTGGATCGATGGATCCGTTTTCATCGTTCGTGTAAAAGGTATTAAGCGAAGATGTTCAGTCTTTGGAAGACCTTCGTCGTTCTAGTCCGAAGTCGTTTGTACTTTGTCGAGTTTGAAAGTTGTCTCTATTAGGTTTCGTGAGTTTGAGATTGTCTATCGTCGAGTTCTACGTTCCTAGACTTGTAATTATTGGGTCCCTCTATCCCTGGGGTTGCCGGTGCCGAGCTACAGGAGTCGAAAATCAATACCATCGTGTCTCCCTAAAGGTGGCTGGTATCTGGTTTTACGACTCGAAAGTTGACATGATCGGTTCTTGTGAGACCACGGTGCTGCCAGGATGACGACCTGTAAGTGAAAAGTTTCAACTTTGAGATCCTCGGACATATTTATGGCAAACTTTTTCCCCTTAGCTTTCGATTGAAATTCATCTTAAGGGGTTACGACATGGCGAACAGGCTGAAAATTTATGTAACCCAAGGTATTTGGGTGCTTTTGTTACAATTAATTTCGTTAATTATTACGAGCTATTGAGAAGCGTAAAGTACAATTTACATTACATCGCAAGGTGTATTTTAGCTAGATTTCTATGGACAATAAAGGTATGATTTAACGTTGCTCAACGAACCTACACATCTCAATGACGGTCACTGAAACGAAACGTCGGGGCGTAGGTATAAGGAAGTTGAATTAGTCGTATACGTAACGATCGCCGTTTTCTTCTCACAACTGACAGCATCACGATCAATTTCGTAACGGAAAATTTACGAGAAACCTTTTAATCGACATCGACGCGCGTTACGTAACAGACAATTAAAAGTCTGAACAGGACGACGCTTCTGCGTTACGAGATTCCGATGCTGAACAACGTTTTTTAAATTGCAATACAAATATCCAATGTTAATGGATTATAGTCCGCGAACTAAACATTTCTATTCGTTGTTCGATGATAAAATTTCGAGATCGAGGGAATTCTCGCTATAGAAAACAGGCGCGAAACCTTTTAACCGATTCCCATGGGTATTACGCAAAAGACAATTAAAACGCGTGCACGAGCTGCGCAACGAACTATTGCGACGTAGTACGCTGCTTTTGAAACACACAAAACACCGTTTCGTTTGTGGGAAATTAATACGATTCACTTTGGTGTTTCGTCGTGATTAGTTTCCTCGTACGATATCGTCGGTTAATCGATGCTCATAGCGACACGAATTAGTAGAATTTCTTCCGGTGATCGTTTTCGTTTCAGACTTGTTTCAGTTCGCGCGGCTGCGGCCTTCGTACACCCGACATGCACCGACGCGAATCGTTGGGTTCGCCAGCAGGATTCTGGTCTCGTTGCAATCCCGGCACAGGACTCCCGAGTCCTTGCGACTGTCGCCTCTCCACCGATCTCTATTCCTCGCGTTACCGCGGCTCTTTGACCTCGATCCCATCGCCGGGGCTCGAAGTTGCCAGCGGACCGTCGCGAAGACACTCCTGGAGAGCGACCGCGGCATCATTCGACACGTGGAGAGTTCCTACGGCAACATCTACTCCGAGACCGACTTGGTCCTCCATGCCATCGTCGCCTACCCACGTCCACCCGCCCACGACGTCCTCTAAGACTTCCAAAAACGTTCAGAAGAGAACACGATCGAAAGTCACCTTTCAAGGTAACGTTCTGTCTCGAAAACGACCGCAGTAAACAAGACCTTATCGCACTGTTATCACCTGTTTTTGTCTACGCGAAGGACATATCCCCTCTAATTGGTTCGAACGACCACGAACGAAATCGTCGCTCGTGAACGTTCCTTGATTCAGGGCGGGGATGGTTTTTGCTCGCAGAGTGCCCAATGACGCGAGGCAGTTTACCGAACCTGCGTTCGGATTTGGTCGGCGGCGACAACAGCGGCGACTCGACCGAGTCGTTGATCGACGAGGCAGAGGATTATTTGCGACGTAGCATCGATTCGATGCTGACAGTATCCAGTGCCGGTGTCAGTTCGGATTATTGGAACAAGCAAACGGCCAGACGGAGACGCGCACGACGTTACTCCGAGCCTGATCTCATCCGCGACTGGCATCCACCTCAGGATGCCAGACCGTACCTGCCAAAGGTAAATTTAATCGCTTCGTCTAAAGTACAAGAATCGACCAGAGGACACGTTAAAACTATCATGATTTTAACGAAGTTGCGAGCGTTCGAGAATTAATTTCCAACGATCACATTTTAACAAGTGGTTGGAGAAATTCCAGCCACGTATCGTGTCTACCAAATTGGACTAATTCGCACTAAGTGTAGAGGCGAATAAAGATAGAGGATTTGGTGTTTTACGGAATGGGACGTACGCAACAAATTAATTTATGATTCCTATCGTTTATTTTCGCAGATACCGAGGGACCTTAAACTGGATCACCTGGTGAAGGTTATATCGCCGGAAGGAAGGGTTCTTCAAGGACGAGTCAGATACGTGGGACCTGTACCAGGCCGTGAGGAAGCGCACGTAGGCGTGGAGTTACCATATCTAAATGGCTCCTCCGACGGCACTTTCCACGGTAGAAGATTCTTCGATTGGTAAGTCTCATGTTTTCATTCTATCCATTGCAACCGTCTTAACCTTCGACCACCTCTACTTGAATCTGTGCGAACCGTTTATTTCACAGTCGTGAAGTTTTAAACGTAAACATACAATTCGAAAACTTGTAGCTCGAGACTCCCCCTCGTTTGAGGATCAAGGCCTATTAAGTGTAATAGAAGGTATTCATTACACTTTGCCAGTTAATATATGGAAGACCGTTCACGCACGCGAACGTGTTAGGAATTGTTTCAAACACTGTCAGTGTTTCGCTAAACTCTGTTCGCTGTATGTCTGCACGGCTGGTAAATCCCTGACGTTATAAATATGACTCGTTTGTCAAGTCACAGACTTCCGTGAAGCCAGGCTTCGTTGCTTCGCTGGAACAATAACGAGGCCTTTTATCGAACGCGCGTCGGTCGCGTTTTCGCAGTTAGCAGTTCTCATTAATACAATGCCACTGTTGCGACTCTGCATTATTACCGCAGTGAACATAATGCTAGAGAAAATATATCCTGAAAAAACATATCGTGAGCACCAACGCGTCTCTCGTAGACATCTCTATCAGTAACTTTTCGCTTAAAACAGTAGACGATCTATTAAAATTCTTTTTAACGCGAATAAACGTGGAACAGTAAGCGACACATAGTATATTTCCACTAAAGAATTTTTTTTCTCAAAAGTGGGTAGGATTTCGAGGGAATGTCTATTCACCAAAATTGATTGTAATTGACCCCCTAGACTAAAAATAATTTTTTTAGAACGATTTGAAATGCTTTGATTTTGTCGAAAAATTTGTCTACTTATTGAATTTTTTTCTCGAAAGTGGGTAGGATTTCGAGGGTATGTCTATTCACCAAGAATGATTGTAATTGACCCCTGCGACTAGAAATAATTTTTTTAGAACGATTTGAAATCTTTTGATTTTGTCGAAAAATTTGTCTACTTATTGAATTTTTTTCTCGAAAGTGGGTAGGATTTCGGGGGTATGTCTATACATAAAAAATGATTGTAATTGACCCCTGCGGCTAGAAATAATTTTTTTAGAACGATTTGAAATGCTTTGATTTTGTCGAAAAATTTATCCACTTATTGAATTTTTTTCTCGAAAGTGGGTAGGAATTCGAGGGTATGTGTATTCACCAAAATTGATTGTAATTGACCCCCTCAACTAAAAATAATTTTTTTAGAACGATTTGAAATCTTTTGATTTTGTCGAAAAATTTGTCCACTTATTGAATTTTTTTCTCGAAAGTGGGTAGGATTTCGAGGGTATGTGTATTCACCAAAATTGATTGTAATTGACCCCTACAACTAAATATAATTTTTTTAAAACGATTTGAAATCTTTTGATTTTGTCGAAAAATTTGTCTACTTATTGAATTTTTTTCTCGAAAGTGGGTAGGATTTCGAGGGTATGTCTATTCATAAAAAATGATTGTAATTGACCCCTGCGACTAGAAATAATTTTTTTAGAACGATTTGAAATGTTTTAATAATTTTTTAACGAAGCCTCAATCAACAAATTGATATTCTTGATTTTCGTCTTATTTTGGCCTCTAATCTCCTATTTTTTATCTCAAGGATGGTTGAACATCGTGTATATTTTGGGTATAACCGGTTTTTCAATTTGGTATTTCGACGGGACATTATGAAGTCGCGTTATTGTTTATCGAGCAGATTGTTTAGATTTCCGCAGTCCTGAAATAGAAACGGGGTTGTTATGCACGCGTGACTCGGCGATGCATTTGTTTAGCGGGTGTTTACGACTCGAGGTTGGCGTCTTGGCAATGGTCCCTGTTCGTGAGATAAAGCGGGATCACGACTTCTACGGGTAGTTCTCAATTAAATTGGCGCCTTCAGCAGAAGGAAGCAGCCTTTTCCGAATCGGCCCGACGTATTTAATTTCGTAATTGCTTCGTGTTTTGCGAGGTAATAGGCAGCGGTACGAGGTGCGTGACAAAAGCAATTCTGCTCGCGATAAACTCTCGTCTCGAAGTTGCGCATGCACCTGCATATGCATACATACGTATGCACGTGCAGCGTACAGGCGCGAATGTTGGGGTTACTTTCGTGGAAGAATGTAAAGTTTGCTGTGAACCCCGTTCGATAATTCCGTATTACTTTCAACAACTATTGTTTCGTACCCGTGGAAAGAACGTTTACTGGTTTATCTACCATCTGAAAGTCTTTTTCGAGACTTACGAATCTTCGAAACAGCTCGACGCTCTTTCCCCATTTCGAGAAAATTAATTTCAAAGTTTTCATTAAGCCATTACGTAATGGAAAGTAATATAAAATAAGTTACGCAACTATCCGTGTCTTGTAGAACGAGTTCAAGATTCTCGGTATCGTTAAAATTCTAGCGAGTTATAAAGAGTTGAGCTACACGCTTAAGTGCAACCATTTATTTGCAGTAAAGCAAACTTGCTACATGTAGCTGTGAAGGTCAACTAAAGAAGTATAATGTGGAAACGTGACTGCAATTACGTTTTTATATATTCATGGGTGGATAACGTTGTAACAGTATAATCAATTAACCAAACGCGACTGTTTTTAGATCATGTATGTACACTGTTACGTAAACTTGTTAAAAATATTATAATCGTGTCTTCGATAACACTGGTCAATAAACCGAACAATGTTATATTATACGATAATTTGTATTCTTTACGAGCAAGCTGTCTTTCCATTCATTTATGTATACTTAAATGAGAAAATAAATTATGGTAAAATAAACACACACTTTTAAATACAGATGTTAAGTTCGGTGTTATATTTCGCTCGTTAAATTAAAATCTGTTTCGGTGATGCGTGTGAAGTGATGCTTAGATGAGATTGCACCTTTATCCGAGGCGTTTTACCATTCGACAGCACAATGAATAAGTAATGAGGACTATATTCGTGCCGTGGTTGTAGGTCGTTGAGACCCGGCTTGCACGTTGCGCGCCTACAATGGCGTATGCAACTTTGATATAGACGATGCTGTACATTCGAACTAGAAATACCCAGAGAAAAGACCGCCTGATTTTCTACGTTATTTATAGCCAACCTTTTGTAATGTATTTACAATATCGTAATTAGAAATATATAGCGTGAATTACGAGTCTCTTTGACACTCACAAACTGTTCAGTTTACGGAACGAATCGAAGATTTCTGTTCGTAACGAATAACATTAGCCCGACAATGGTTCGGACGAAATGTTCACGCTTTGTGCGCATGGTCGATAGCAAAGACTGTTGCATAGATTATCGTGAGAAACCTCGTTCCGCGAGAGCCTTGGAAAATTGCTCCAAGTTTGGTTCGAAATGCTCGCGTGACGAATCGACGTCCCTGAAAGTGCACCTCCTCAGATTCTGATCTCGCGTAAAGCACCTGTGCGTTAGTTTGAGACTTTGCGTGTAACTCTAGCCGTGGAAACACACTTGACGGGAAACTACGAACGCGGAGAGTACACAGAGTTCAATCGTTGGTGAGATATGCCTTCTTTCTTACATTTACGAACCCTGAAATTTAATGTCTACAAAAGACACAAAGATCGATTTTTCCAAATCGTCGGACTAGAATGCTTCGAGTAGATCGCAGAAGAAGAATGGCTTGCAAAATTAGACTGCCGTTAAACCGTTGAAAAAAACGCGGTACAATCTGTTTCGCTCGCGTGCTTCGTATTGCACGAAATTTTTCAAACGATCAGCTCTTGAAACGTGATCGTTAAAAATCCAAGCGCACGCCTTTAGACCCCCCGTTTACAAGGAAAATGCAAATGAGTTCTAACCCGATGTAACGAGTTTCTGTTAGGTACAATGCACGTGTTACGTGTTACGTGTTACGTCGGTTTCGTTCGATTCTTCCGTGAAAGGCAAGCCGGTAGCACCGAGTATCGTGCAACATTGATCTCCAACCGGTCATCAATTTTTTTCCCCGCTGTTAACTCGTAACTGCAACAGGGTTTGCAACAGAACAGATAGAGTTTCCCGCTTGCTTCGCTGCAACTGGCTGTGTTATAACGATTATGGTCGTTTATCTGTTTCAGCGATCCTGATCGCGCGATTTTCGTACCGTTCAAGAAGGTGATACTAGCGTGGTGCACCACTTGACCCGAACCATCGAACAACCTGACGACACCACGAATTCTGTTGTCTCAGTACACGATGTGAATTTAAACTGCGCGATCTCCAACGATTTCAACTGATACGTGAAATCCCTTTGCATCGTAACGACCACGAATCACCGTTTTACCTGGACGAGGGTAAGTTCTTGCCGAAAGAGACAGCTTCGAAAATTCCACGGAGGTAAATCTCGAGAATCGTCGCGTTTCGATCGTAAATCACAATCCTTTGATCAACTTAGTCCCTTAGACCCTTGTTTAGACCTTTGTTCGGTGTTTTCTCTTCTGCGGATCGGACGATATGTGATAAATTTTTGTTATTAATTTCTTCTTCTTCGTTACGAATCATCGAGGAGAATTTCAATCGGAACAGTTGGAAACTCTGGATGGCAAAGTATCGCGAACGATCGAGTATATTTTGTGTAACCGTAGCTATCAGTGTAGAACGTACTCTTGCAAGTCCGGTTGCTGATCTCTGAGAAACGATTTCCGTGTGAAAATGGATAATCAGTATTATTATTCGCGTAAAATGCACAAAACTGTATCGACGGATCTCTCGCGATCAGAGAGGGGAATGTTGTTGAAGAAAGTAGACGTAGCCGAGATCGTACTGTTCCCTTTGTCGTCGCAACAGCAATGAAGGACTCGCTATTGTCATTTATCAATTTCTGTTCGTTCTTGTCCCGTGATGAAACTTTGCCGACTGTTTTACAGCGTACACGTGTGATACATTCAAAAAAGAAATACGTACTCGATGGAACGGATAGTACGGTAGGCATATACGAGACTATTTTTGTAACACTTTGAGATTATAAGGTTTACTTGAAGGAAGACGAGAAGCATGCCCCGGGAAACTGTTTATTAATTGTGCCTGTGACAAACGTTTCGCGAACAGATTTTCAGTTAAATTAAGAAAGAACGCGTGTATATATCTTCTAGCAGAGTTCAAACTAGTATTCGAAATAGAATGGAAACTACAGCTTGGGAAGAAAACGTGGACATCTCTAATGTCTGAATAGAATTTTTCACGGATTTTCCTTTTGCCGGCGAGATGAAATATTTTCTGTACGATAGATCTATATTCGATCGATATCGCGCGAGTGGTTGTTCATTGGCGTTTTGTCTTTTTTAAAATACTTTTATGACGTTTGTGATAAGTTTATCCGATACATCGTACAAAACTGAAATCGTTTGTATATATTTTATTTATTTGTTTATTTTTACGTCGGTTTAAATGGAGATGCTCGATTATTATTGGGCTATTAAAGATGGAAGGAACAATTGTTTTTTTTCATCCCCTCCTTTCAAATTGAACAATTCTTCTATAAGAAACTTACTTCTACCTTTAATAGTCTGAACCATACGACCATGCAGAGTGATTCTAGGAATTAGAACGGATTGTTTTCCTTCTTATTAATCTAAATTGACGCTCCAAATTTTACGTAGAAAAGTATTATGATTTTAGTCCATTCCAGTTCCTAAAATCACGTCTACGATAAGATTTTTTATTACAATGCTTTCTTGTAGATCTTTTACATACAGTTTACGTTGAACATTTAACGTTTACCATAGTTTCTAGTTTTATTGACTGTTTGCTCGATCATTCTGAACGACATTCGATATAGAAGGAATATATGGCACACACCGAGCGTTACCGAAGTGACAATATCGATTCCTCGTTGCGGCTCGGAACTATACAAGAGTCTTACCTCGCGATAACACCTCAGCAATGATAATCAAAACTATCGAGTGTAGGTGCAGGTGTGTAAACGGGTTAGCGAGATTGCCGTGGCACAGAAATTCACGCGCAGCCCAATCAAGCTGTCTGTAATGGTGGGATCAAGTGTGATACGTACACTGTAAACGCGTGAATTGAAATCGTTGTGCCTTTTCATTCGTTACAGTAGCGATCCGAGATTCGATTGTACTTGGTATTATTCGGTTGGCATTGGACACATGGTTGGACAATGATAATCCATCGATTAATCGTTAGTTATCACACACACACTTTATATGTATATTCTATAACTTTTCTAGACTGAGAAATACCGAGTGTAAGAATGTAAAACGATAGTCTGTCGCCTGTGGTACAACTGCCAATTCTGACATACAATATTAATCCACAATATCAAACGTGTGGAAACGTTCATGGGTTTCGTTAGGCTTCGATTATACCGGTATAGCGAAGAGCACCACTGTAGGCATCTGCAAACCAAATGAAGCATTCTTATCCCTTTCAGCTATATTCCTTCAACCGTCTTTTCGCTGTTAAAGTGGTTCTCAATGTATTCTTTGATCAATATCTTCTAAAATACAAGTTATTCGTACTATCAGTTATCATTTAACTTTAACAAGGTTACATAAAGAGCACAAGTATCAGCATGATTCTGTTTACTATATACTTGATTCCATCATCACGGTAAAGGCAAAAGATTTTGTTTGCTCGAGGCTATCGATCGATCAACTTCCCTCGATTCAGAACAAAAGCTATGATCAATTTTAGGGTCAGTTTTCGATCGTCTAAAAACTAAATTTGACGAGTACTGGCCCGACGGTCAAGGTGTTGAGTACGATTAACGTGATTCCCGATCAGCGGAGTTGACCTTTGAGGGCTGAAATCTTTTGTCTAAATTCAGCTGTCGCTGCAATTTTTCGATCAGACGCCTAGGTAGTGTTAACCTAGATTACGTGTATTATAGGAAGAAAGAAAGGTCAGTTCCCAGATTAATCACTCGACGTATGGAAATTTAATAGAACTTATTAAACGTAACACACTCCGAAAAATGTCTGGTCTACTTAAAAAACTGATCTTTCTCCTTACGATACACCTGGCTCAAAAAAAACTTGCACAACTTCTGACTAAAAAATTTTTACCATCTCTGGCACGTGCAAGTTTTTTTTCGAGACCACTGTACACACGAATCTGTGCATAAAATATTTTGAGAGGCTCGTCGCGAATAACGACGCCGGAGAGTAACGCGTTCGCAGGTATAATAAAACAAAAGGGAATTCACACTTGGAGGCTATACATGTACCCGGTATATTACCGTCGAGCAGAGTTTTAAGCATTCAAGAGGCTACACGACATCCTGTACAATTCGAACTGTGTATATCTTAATCGCTGTGCATCCGTGAAAAGAACATATTTAAACGCGTGTCTGTGTCCGTGTCTGTATAATCCGTGCAACATTTAAACGGCACGATGTTTCGTGGTTCGAGAGTATACAGCGTAATAATGGAGTTATAGTTAGGGTTAATCGATAGGTGTCTTCGTCTTAAGAGGTCGGAAACGTCGTTTAACACGTTGAGAAATTCAACGGTTGGGGGTGTGTCGGTTTTGTTTCGCACGACTGGCTCGCGTGTACTGTTCGGATCAAAGGAGATAAGACGTCGCAGATTTAGCGGGAATTTATCGCGAGACACCGACGCGTTTCCCGAGAAACTCGCTGAAATCGTGTTCGAAAATAATTCCGTTCCGTTGGACGCGGTTCGATCCCGTAAGCGTATGCCAAACAACCAAATGATCCGTGGAAACGTATTAAAACGAGAAATTATATAAAAATATTCGAAGTTCGATTTTTGTTTGAACGTTGAACGTAGGTATCTTTAAATAAATTTCGCTCGAACTTTTCAACGACCTTCGAAACTTTCAACGGGAATGTTTAAAAACGTATAGTTATTTTTATACTGTGACGCCGATATTCTTGTCAGTATGCGATTCATTGTATATTCATAGAAGTTATGGAGCAACTCGTTGCCGGCCGTTCGCGGTTGATTGTCATAATTTGAGGTAATAACGGTATTAGAATCAAGGACAGACGTCGTCCGTAATCTGCCATTAGCGTCTCGTTTCCCAAGAAACTCGAGTTACTCAACTGGAATTGCATCCACTGTGAAAAACATGGAAAAACTGTTGCCCCCCCCCGTGCGTAAGAAGGACGAATATCATCGATCGTAGATGAGGCTACTTCTTGTGCACAGTGATTGGTGCTTGTATCTTTGTCTCGTGGCACGTCCCGGAATCTGGCTAATTCTTGTAACATTCGAAAAAAAAGATTCTTTTCGCCTTGATAATCCAACAACATACGTATTTCAGAAGTTCCACGTTTCGGGATTGTCACACATTGTTCACTCTCTGTTGATATAAATTACAGTTATATTTTGCAGTACAGATTTTGTTAGAGTCTGTAGAGATAGGAAAGAGTAACGATTACATAGTAGTAACGATGGATAATAATTTTTATATTCGTATTGTTTTCGATTCTCGTCGAAGAGAATCGGTTACAGGCGTTTAGCTGACTTTATCGAGCAGTTGTACCTGGACTACATTATTCGTTCGCGTAGACCGATTCGGTATCAACGAATTAAAAAACTACCTAATAATTTTGCATCGAATGAGAATGAAATTAAAAAGCGAAACGTGCCTCTGTGTATCATTGGAATCGGTCGAAACGTTAAATAATTTTAGTTGTATTTTTAAAAGTATATTAGCAATTTGCATCGATTTTCTTCGAACACTTAAAAATACAATAACGCGAACGTCGGTCAAAATATGTAAATTCGCGAGAACGACCGCGGTACCATGTAGCTTTAACGTCAGTATTATTATCGTTTATTATCTTCGAAGCAAAAAGCCGTGCAATTAATTCCGTTCAATCTTTTTCCCGCAACACCTGCCACGAGGCGCACGGTTCTAACGTCTAGCAGCAACTTCGTGGATAGCAAACATCTCGCGTGACTGGTAAATTTAGTTATGCTATACGAAGGCGATACCATCTAACCGTACGTAATATCTTTTGTTCGGAGAAAAGATCAAAAAGTTCGAGAGAAGTTAAACTCCCGCAATCTGCTTACATTTCAATCGCCGCTTAACTAACGGAATCGCATACATTTTACGCCATTTTACGAGATAGCGATCTTTACGTTACCTCGTATAACGTTTCAGAGCGAACGAACGTTCGAAAGTTTTATTTTGATAACAAAATTAGATTAAAATTTATGTATCACCGTATGAACCGTTGCTGAACCAATGGTTGTACGAAAAGTCAAGTGGCACCTTTGCATTTGCGTATTTTATTTCGTTATTTTATCGAAGATATTCCCATACTTCCGTGTCGGTGGATTCACACAAATGGACCAATGTTTCGATTATATTATGCATTTCGTACAAAACATGATCGAAGATCTTGGCATTCCTCAGTTGATTGTACTTTCGAAATAAATTCATTGGCCTAATAACAACGATCGCGCGTTACGATAATAGTATTTTCTTATTATTATAATGTTATATGTGTATTAGGTCATCTCATGTTTTCCCCATTTTTTAGCGGGCAAAAAGTTTGAACATATCGATGTACTAAAAACGGTATTCAATTTTAACAAATTCTAAAATTCCATGGTATATTTCTTTAACACTAAACCTATATATAGGAATTGCTGAAACTTCTTTGGATATGTAGAGTAAAAGTAAATGTTAAAATAAACATAGAACACAACATAAATAATAATAGTTTATATGCTCATCGGATAGGGGATAAAATGCCCTTTAAAATGAGCGTTCGAACCAGTCGATAGCTTCGTTAGTTCCGAAGATATAGCGATTTTAGTTTCGAGTCGATGCGGTGGCTGGTTTCCGAGATATAAGGGTCCGAAGCGTTTGTTTACGTTTCATTCGGATCAATGAACTCGCGCGCGCGAAAATAGTAAACAGTGCGTAGTAAATTCTTGGAAATACTACGCCCGAAACTAGGTCACTCGGTCACGACTCACGTGCGACGAAGAGGCACGACGCGACGCGTCAGACGGAGACAGAGATAGTCAAATTAAGAAAAATACCCTTTTACATAAATTACGATATCTCGAAAACGGAAAGTCCGATCGACAAAAACCAAAAACCATTTTGAAGGGGAAGCCTTGCCGCTTCTAACAATGCCTCGATTATTAATAAAACACTAGTAGTTTTGGAACTGCACGCGTCTAAAGTTTAACTATTTTAATACGCGTTAATAGGCCTTTCTAAGGCGCCCAGCGAGATCGTAGTCGAATTAAAAAAATTACCTTTTACATAAATTACGATATCTCGAAAACGGAAAGAGGGATCGACAAAATTCAAAAACCATTTTGAAGGGGAAGCCTTGCCGCTTCTAACAATGCCTCGATTATTAATAAAACACTAGTAGTTTCGGAACTGCACGCGTCTAAAGTTTAACTATATTTAATACGCATTGTCAGGGGTCGTGATAGGTTTAGTGTTAAATTCTAGTACAAAAAATGACCTAATATGATCGTTGCAGTTAGGCCCATGAAAGGACACACTTCGAAAATGTATCGTTCGATAACGGAAACGATTGTCTTTATTTATAGTTGAAATACAATATATTTTTTTTTACGTGTTTAATGATAGAAGTGGCATTTCGTTGAATAAACGCGTTTATTGACTATGATAAGTTTATACGATACCACAAGGAACGAGAATTTTGTTTGCGCGAATGAATTAGCTTGAAACGTCGATGGAAAAGTTACAGAGAAATAATGTGAGTAGAATTCTACAGGGTGGTCTGAGAGAAATCGTTAATACTTTGTCAGTGGGATCATAGAATTAATCGTAAGCGAAACATGTTATATCAACGTAAGTCTGATCTTCGACGCATGGATTAGCAAATAACGAAGAACAAATTTCATAGAACTACTTATTAATCATTCGACTAGGTGTACAGAAGCTGTACTAAAATTTCTTCGAAATGATTACTTATTTTTAGTAATATATCGTATTATATACAATAATTTCTTGGAAATTGCAAATTATACAGTACGATATAACTATCGAAATTGTCCTACGGTTTTTTGAAAATACAAAAGAGTTCTCGTCGATGTATGCGACCTAGCAACGTGTACACGCTGACTTAATATTAGATAGCAAGTAAGCTACGTGTGATTTGTGTGAAATTAACGAACGAACAAAGGATATTTTTCTCTCGGTAAATCGCTGGCTGCGGTGTGTGTGTTTATTGAATGCGCGATTATCAAAAGCGACGAACCGACGTTTTTCTCTCGGCAGAAAGATTCTCGTTGTTGCGAGAGCATGGGTGGGTTTCTGAGTGTAAAGCAAAAGGCAAAAAGGCTATTGGTTCTCGATCGTGTATAAATGCATGCATAGGTATAACTAACGAGAGCACACTTGCAACAGAATTATACGCGTATAAGCAACAAACGACATAGGGAGTAACGTTGATCGGTGTTAATCCCAGTAATAATTACTGTTACGTTTAAGTGTTTCGGTGTGACAGCTAAAGATATTGGTAAAAAAACTAAAAAAAAAACAGACTCGATGAAAATTTTATTATCCTCTTCACGCTCTCGTACGAAGGATCTCTCCTTTTACTTTTATCGCCGTACCTTCGACAAGACGCGAACGATATTTTAATAATACAGATAGGGTAAACGAAATAATACACGGGGTGTTCTTGAAACGAGATATCCGAGTATAGAAATTTTTCAATTAAAGTCGTTTACTGTGTACAACTACTCGTAGTTCAATTTAAAGTGGATCTTACGCGTTACTGTTAAGACGACGTTTACTAAAGTTCGTCGCCTCGTTTTAGCAGCACCCTGTAAATATAATATTTTCTACACGCGAGTACAATATTTTATTTTAACCGATAGTATTTCCGTAGCAAAGAATAGGATAAGAAATCGATCGATATCGTGTTAGTTTAATTTAAAAGTATCCATTTCTTTCGCATAGAACGTTTATATGTATATGTATATATATAATACATGTATGTAATTAAATTTATAATAGCTTAGGGACATTAAAACGAACCTTATGTACAAATTGTTTCGACATTCGATTGTGATAACGTCAAAGGGATTCCAAAGAATTGCCCTGCCTAATTGCACGCAGAGTTATATTTATATTCGCAGACTGTACGATTCGCTCGCGATACTATATATCTTTTACGCTACGATGCTCCTATGTTCCTAAAGTGTTTTTCGTAATAAAAAAAAAAACAACATAAAAACTACAAAAAAAATAAAGGATGAAACACTTGCACGCGTTTCGTAGAACGACGATTTCTGGGTCCATTTTGACCGGAATCCGAATTTTCTTATTTCATGTTCCCGTACAGTTATTATCGTTGGTGAAAGCCAGAATTTCATGATTCGAAAATGCACAGTTTTCATGGTTCAAAATGGACCCGACGAGGGGTTAATTGCGTTTAAAACAGGGCGTGCCATCTTTCATCCTGATGTTGATTTTCAGAATATCAACGAACGTGAAAAGAACGAGTGGGAATCGCGCTAACAATCGAAGCGAAGAGCGTGACGAGGATAATAACGAACGTTCGATCGATCCTATCGTTTCTCACCGTTTGTCGATGTGAGATGGCTACGATGTAGGTACTTAAAGATTCGTGATTCGTGATTCGCGAAAATTCGCCGGCTCGTTAAATTAATTGCGTGTCGGATTGGAATGATGCTCGCCTCGACGAGATTGTTATCGTTGTACCTAAAACTAATAGATATTACCGTAAAGAGACGCACTATCGTTCTCTCGCTATTTATTGTATTGTAACGGTGGGTATCGATGATATACCGAGAAATAAAACTATTATTACTCTAAATAAATGTTGCTCGATGCCACGTGGAAGCTTCCCCCGCTGTGTACATCCTTGTCTACCTATTTTGAAAATTTAGCTACAACCTATACGTTGGGAACAAAATGCTCAATACGGCGAGTCGTGTAATTTATCCTTGTTTTTATTGTAACAATAATTGCGAACGGATACAACGCTTGTAACAGAGTTAGAAATATAACAACATACTTGTTCGAGCACGCAATGTTTTGCGTGTTCCCTGTTTCTCTTAACAATGCCTGACGCGAAGCTCGTTAAATTTCAATTAACGAGAACTCGCTCGCGAACAGCTTCAAATTATTACATCGATTGGCTACAACGACAGGTTCGTTTGATTTTGCGTAATTCAATCGTTGCTGTATGCAAGAAAGCGATATTTCATCATAACTATGTTCAAAATATTGCTTAAAATTCTAGTAAAAAATTAGATAAAAAGTAAGATCAAGTCTAACAAACGATATTATAGAAACATGGAGGTGTTGTCGAGAATGCCAATGGAGCTTTTCGATGCTCGCGTATGGTCCACAGATCTACGCACATTCGACGAGTATACGGTTAGGATGTGTTATGAAATTCAGCAACCCCTCGCGTTTTTGCCCAGTGACCTCCATAACGTATAAACCTCGATTGAAACGCGAAGGGTGGGAACACCAACTTTTAGCGCGACGGAGCCCGTCGACGAGTCTGAATTTGTTGGGCATAGAACTCTCGTCGTCGGGATCGATCGTGACGTACACCGTCCGTGTCCCTCGGGACAATTAGTGATGCGCCGGATAATCAGCGTACCAGCTGAAAGCCCCGTTAGAGCCGGTGTATCCGCCGAAATCCACGTAATCCAGAATGGGCGAGGTTGACCTCTCCGGGCGCAGGTTCTCCGGATCCTCCTGCCGGATACTAGACACTGCTACGGGCACGTGAGTCTCGATTTGCCGAGCGATTCTCGGTGCAGCCGGTGCGATCGGGCTTAGCTCGATCACGTCGAACCCGTCCACAGGTATAGCAATGTAACGACGCCCGGCCAAAGCACCGTAAACGCCGCACAAAAGAATCAACGCTGTGCTCTGAAATAGCGCAATCGGTGATTTAACGCATCGTCGATGTGCAAAATCAACCGCGAGAAGGGCGATCGAGGCCTTCACACCTCAGAAATTAGTTCATTACCGCGCGACCTGTGCTAAACGTGTGGGATTCTCCTATAGGCGTGCGTGTCATGGCCGTTCGTATCTGTCTGTCGCGACGTTAAAGGTGGCCAGTTTTTATATTTCACGACATCGATCCTCCCCCGCGTCACAAAACCTAATTTTTCATCGAATTCAAATATACAAGGCAGAGAAAGAGAAAGATCACCCTTCTATGTTCCCATCGAATTAATCTAATATCTTCAAATTCAGGAACACGTAATAAAATGCAATCTTTTTACAGACACCCGGAAGGAAAATTCGAACGGCATGGACGACGACAACGAAATTCGAGCAGGTTCATTCGGATGTATAATTTTGATTTCTTTTTATTTTAAGGTAATGATACACGGCGGATTCTAACGAGGCTCTCGAAGCTGGGATATATAATTATTTAATATCAGGCTCGGGAGATACGTGAAAAAGGTCAAGGTAACGGAACGCAGTTACTGAGAACCACCCTTGAACAAACTTAACGGGGAGATTCTAATTACGTCTCCTACTATTTATTTACAGCGCATTTGCATTTAAATGGTGCAGAAATTTCAGACGACGCCTAACATTAGAAGAATGTAGTTATTGGAAAATTACATTCCCATTGTCATTTCACCGTTCGTTGGATCGATTATGCACGTTTCACTGGTTATTAGTTATTTTACGACAAACCAATTAACCGGCGTTTAAAATTTAAAAGCATCGGGCGTAACGCGAACAACTTCATCCGGTGATTAGCTGTTCAGCTAATGGAACCAATTAGATCGCGTTCTATCGTTACGAAAGAGTCGGTTGGTAGACGTCTTCGTTTTGTTATCCCTTTCGTGGTTGAAATATGTTACAATATTTTGCTCGTAAATAGTGCAGAAACGTCTCGTCTTTCTGTTCTTAGGCGCGAAACAAGATTCTCCAAACAGCGTGAATCACCAGAAATTAAACTCTACCTAGGAAACACTGAAATTCAACAAGTTAACGCTATTAAAATCCTCGGATTAACCTTTGACAGCAGAATAACATGGAAAGCTCACATAATGAACCTAAAAAATGACTGCACCGAACGTTTAAACTTTCTAAAGGTTCTTGCAGCCAATAATTGGGGTGCTTACAAAGAAATTCTAACGAAGACATATAAAGCTACCATTGGATCAAAATTAGATTATGGTGCGATTATATATTGCTCGGCGAAACAATCTGTTCTTAAGAAATTCGATGCAATTCACCATGCAGCGCTAAGAATATCTGTTGGAGCGTACATAACGAGCAGAAAAAAGAAACAAGAGAAATTATAATAATTACAAGGACTTGATACGATCGAGCAGCGAATCGGTGAATCATTCTCCTGATATTAATAAGTTGCCTTGATAAAAATTATTGATAAATAACCTCGGTGTCTACATCTATTTTTATATACCGTGGTAAAAGTTCGTACCGAGATTCTGTTTCCGCTAGATTTTTTTTTTTTCCAAATAAAATCTGTCAGCTGTTTGGTGTTGTTTCGATACGCGCGAGACGGGACTCGAACGAGTTGCCGGAACTACGTAAATTAGAAGAAAGTTTACCAAATTATTCATCGTCGGGTTTGCACACGCTGTTGTCGGTAGTTTGAACAATCGTCGTACTGATGAACGTGGGCCGCGTTTGCGTCGTTTTATACGGTTTCGCTTCGCCGCAGCTTTCTCGTCTTTCCCCGATCGCCGAGCACCGCGACAGCAATTACTCTCGGTACTTATTTACTCGGTATTTACCCTAACCCAGACCAATTGCGGTGTCGCGATGCTGGCACGACCGCGAGATGCAAAAATTATCGGGGGTTGTTTTCTTTCTAATCGTTCGTCGAATCGCGATAACACAACGAAGCGGTGTGTAACTTTTGTAATCGACGGAGTCGTTAGTCTTTATTTTTTTTTTCTAAACGAAAGTATGATAATGACTTTTACAAAAACCTTAACACTTTCGCTGACTTCGGAGAAACGCCATTACGAATCCAAGTTAAATGCCTGGTCATCGTTTAAACTTGATTTCGCAGTGGCTTGTCCAATGTGAAATTACACACAATTCAGAGATTAGTCTCTGAATCGCGGCTGACGGCAAGAACACTACATCCACTTACAGAAAATTGATAATACCGTTGTTTGTCGGGCGAGCAAGTGTCTACCTACCGTTCCAGTGCAGTAACTTCCAATATCGTTCCTTTCCTCTCCTCCGTGAGGGCTTTGTCCTCTGTTTTTTGCTGTTCCCCGGTAGACTCGGACTTTTACCCATCGGCAAGAAGCTCCGAAAAATCGCTCGCCTTCGGTGGCGATTCCGTAATCCGTGAAAGCAGCAGAACGGATCCATTGAAAGGAAACGACGATTTAGGGTTCCATTAATTAGCGACAATGCGAATTGTACAACACACAACGACGGAAGCTAACGAAAGCCCTACTCAATTTCAAATATTGAAGCTTGTCTTAGTATTCATTCCTTTTTCAAAAATTGTTATTTACATATTTAGTGTTAACGGGCATTGTTACTGTATTCACTTGTATTATTATTATATTCTATATTATTGTACCCATTTATGTTATTTCTGTAAAGCAAAATAAATCCAGAAGGGTTTCAATTGCTTAAAAAAAAAAAAAAAAGGGACTGATACAGCGATGTATAAAAATAATTTTGTACAGATTTGGTATCGCGGTAGACGACTAGTCGAACGACAAATTTATTCGCAAAGAATCTCATTTCTGTTCGTGTACAATTTATTTATCGATCAGACACAAGACCCTTTTTAACCCTTCCGGTGCTGAGGTTTAAAATTCTACCACGCGACGTGTATAAGGATATTGTAGTCGCGTTTATTCGACATATTCGCCGAACGCGGATGGGCGTTCCCCGCAACGAGAACATCGATCGATGGAACGCTTAGCCCCTAGAGCAAAGAAGGTAAAATTACGTTCGACTAAGAACAGCGTGTTGCGATTTATTCCAAATTTCGTAGCACCGAAAGGATTACATCACGAACAAAATTTTAACGGGAGATTCTAGGGGCCAAAATAAGAGAAAAATCAAGAATACTAATTTGTTGATTCCCAGGGCTGGCCAAACACCAAATTCTTATTTTTATTCTAAGCAACTTTGTTTCTATTTCGATTCAAATTTTGCCCAAATCTATCTACGGAATAACGAAGCCTCTACGATGTTTTTTAATCTACGTAATTTCTAATCAACGCTAGATTCACGAATATTGATTGTACATATTTTTATTGACAACCCATCAATGTTGTTAGTTACATAAAAATGATATTTTTTCTTTCAATCGGAATATAACAAATAATATTTACGAGTTTTGTAACTGTAAATATGAAATTAAGTATCATAAAAAAACGGGAATAACAACTAATGATAAATTTCAATGGTCTGTAGTAGAATAAACGTTTGTTTTTCTTTTCGTTGTGTAGTTACAGTCGAGCATCGTACAATTTTTTTTTTTTATAGAAATATACATCTATATCATTTTCTTTCTAACGTTTAAAACTTAATACTTGCAATCTTTTTCCCTGGACACTGTACAAGTGATAGCGATCAAGCTGTTTAAAACACATGGTTCTTCGTGTAACTGATGTTGAGCATATTTTACAAGCGTACATGTTTCGATGGAAATAATGCATAATTCGACGATAGCGCTAACTGATTACTTGGAAGAACACAAGAGTTTCGGGGTTCATTGTACTTTGTATACTAATATCATCATTATCCAAACACTATTATCTAATAGCTTTTTACTCTTCCTTTGCGGAGTAGTTCTTTTTTACTGACACGTGAAAACTATAATAACTTCACTTGCAGGCATCGAGTGTAAATATTAAGTCTAGAAATTAATTAAATGCTTTTATTCAGTCAGTCGTTACCAAAAGAAACGTCAATGATATCGCTACTATCGAATAAATTGAAAAAATCAAAGCAAAATCTTGGACACTGCATCTTCTTCGCATTTCAATAGAAAAAAAAATCTGTTTGGATAATCGAGATAGATCTAAAACGAATGAGATGACTACTAATGTAAAGTCGAGAATATCGTTCCATTTAAAGGGCTAAGGTATAAGCGGTTGCATTTATTAGAGAACCTATTCAAACGAGGCAAGAAACGTGTTTTTAAAAGCTGCTCGAACAAGCTCTAATTATTTCGACTAGCATTTTCGAGTTTCTTTCGAGATGCTGTTGTTGTTTGTACCTCCTCTATCAACGGAAGACAACTATTATCACTTTTCCGTGCTCGGTATATAAAATCTATGGCAGACGGAATAGGAATCTGTCGATGAAAATTACCTGTGCGATGGATAACTATTAAAAAGCGTTGTTTATTCACTGTTTCACGATACTTCGTTCGAGTAAAATTTTCGCGTAGCTCTATTCAAAATTGATCCACGATAAGAATCGAACGATGTAGCAAACGAAAGGGCGAAATACTTTTCATAATGGAAAATAAATATTAATTTCTATATTTCTCTGATCGCTTTTAAATATAGTTACGCGAAAGTTTCAATTATTATTCACCAAGTGCAACTAACTAAAAAACTCTTTTAAAATCGTAACAACTGGTGTGTTATTTCGATCGAAGAATGACTTTCGATACTACCCGATGATATATCTCTACGAATACTGTTGTTCGGAAGTATTTCTCCACGTAAACTTTTTTTAATGTCTGAAAATTGTTTATTCTATCATACGTATGCATTAAATGCTTAATTATATTTTTCAGAATTCGATAATCGGTTTAATTTTAACTCGGTTTAAACTATTCTGCCCAATAATAAGAAGTAAAATTCGATCGAGCAAGCGTACTTTGTCAACTGGAAATCAGAACAAGCTACTATACGTATTATACAGATAATCGTATAAGTTATATAAAAAAATATAATCAATTGGTCGATTAGTTTTTTTGACATAAGGCACTTGGACGAAACATCCCGTCGCGATATTATTATTTAAATGCATATGGCGTAGTTTTGGGTAAAATCATTTAAATCGACCATGTACGCGTGGATGCAAATACTTCCGGACCTGCTAAACGGAGTATCGCAGAAAATATAGAATGCTCGATGACGGTGTGGCTTTACCCCAACTCTAAGTCGTCGGAATCGCTGGAGATATCGCTTTCGTAGCCGGCCGGTAGTACCCGCGACGACTCGTTTATTTGCAAGTTGGGATTAGGGGATCTGTTATACTGATTGCTGCTGTTTCCGTTCCGCCAAGTGTCCCCGCCGCCATCCTCGCGGCACAGCACTTTCTTCTCGTTCTCGATAAAACGACTCGTTTCGTCCTTCCTGGGTGTCGTGAGATCGATTTCCTCGATCCGACCGGCGGGCTTCTGGAAGAAATCGATAAGAAAAACTGCTAACACGGTCGCGACGTGTTTGCCGATTTAACGGTTAACCGCAACCGAGCTACCCGAATGATTCGCCTCCGATCTCTTATTTTCCTATTCGAACCGTTTCTCTTGAAAGAACGTCTCGTTAGTGATCGGATACCGGAAGGCAAGAACTTTCGACAGTGTGAGAATCAACTACCGAGCCTAATATCTCCTTCCTGAAGGAACGCGACTTGACCAGAATAGTTCCAGAAAACGTAAAGAAAATTCGATTATCCTGAACCTGTGAAGCGGAGTAAATTGTTTAAGTTGCATCAGAGTACTCACCTCCGGCGATACCAGGTTGATTTCCTCGATGTCGTGGAACTGATTCGGATCCGTGATCGATGTACGTGTCGTCTCCGAAATCGTGGTAAGATCCATCCCACTGGAATCGAACTCGGTGACGCTCAGATTCTGCGTCGATGTTTCCGGGCTTAGAACTCGTTTCGCCAGTGGAGAAACAGACGCTGGTCTCGAAGTACTCGTGGCGTCGTGGCTTCGCGTTGACAGTGACAATGTTGAGGAAGCAGCCGACGAAAGTGCTTCCTCTGGCTCCGCAAAGCCTTCGTTTATCAACTGTTGGCCGACATTAATATCCTAAAGAAGAGGGATATCGCATTAGTCGAATTATCGTGGGACGATTATCGGGTTTATTCTTGGAAACGTTGCCTATGCTCGTACCTTGTGGTTATCGTTTTTGTCGAAGATATCGACGCAAGGAATTGGGGTGCCTTCGCGTCGAGATCTTCCATAGCCGATGGCTCGTTCTTTGTAGCCTTTAACTTTAGCTACGAGCAGTTTCCACTGAGCCAACGAGATCAGCTCCGCGAATCTGTCGCAGGCTTCCGTGCTCCACTCGCCATCCCTGTAACGAAACGATAGATGCAAATACCTGAGTCTTTAATAATTGTTAATGTTGGGTTGCAGAACAACAATTTCCCCAGCGGTTATTGGCAAGTGTAAGGCCGCGAATTGCGATGTTACGCGTAGCGGCGATAAATATGTCGGTCAATTGGCAACAAAAACAGAATCGTATGGCCAGAAATGCTATTTCGTCTCGACAACTTAACGTATTAGCATTACTAGAAACCCAACGGGTCCCACTAAATATACACGCGGTATTTCAAATTACCATTTCTTTTTTAACGTGTCTTGTTCACAAAGACTGGTATAAAATGGCGTGTGAACGGTCGAGGTTTGTTGGACAAAACGAAATGCTTGCATCTTCGAGGAACGAACACAGTTTCGGTAATTTTCCTCGTACTAATTTTATACCAGACGAGCAAGAATAGAAACAAAGTATGCAAAACGTTTGTGCAATAACAGAATGTTGCATGTAAACTTTGGGTTCGCGCGATAGCCATATTCGTAGTATTCAAGACGCTATTTTGCCTTCTTTGTTTCAGAAGTGTAAAAATGTTTCTCCGTTTTTGTATGGAGGAAGTTTGAAGAAAAGTCTTTGAGAACCGCTGCAAGAAAGGTTCAGTTACCTCTCGTTGTATTTTTAATTTACCTTGTTCCCGTCTCTGTTAGCTGCTAAGTTTTATGTAACCGCGATTCTTTATGCAATTAACCCTGTTTCGCAGCCGTGGATTCAAGTTGAATTTGAGGGTGGCACGGTACAAAGACCAAGTGCGTGAAGCACCCCCCGTTTAGCCAGGCTTAAGCACTTTCGGGACGTCTTGTTCCATTTATAAACGGCACAACGCAAGTGTACACGTGCGAGAAGATGAAGTGGACGATGAACGTAGACCCTCGGTTAATGGTCAGAGGGTCTCAGTCGTTTCGCGAACCTCGTGGCGAACAATATCACCAATTTCGTTACGAAAAAACGAAGGAAAAGAGCAGTGTACAGAGAGTGTACAGTGACGATAAAGTAACATTTTATCGTAACGATCAGAGAGGAGTAAAAATGAACGTTTTTACGTGAAAACGAATATCAGTGGATATCGAACTGTTCTCCGTTTTCTTTGTTCCGTACACGATATTTCGGTATCTCTGAAAAAAGTGAACACAGAGTGGAAATGTGAACTTGCGGCTCCACGCTGGCACGAAATCACGCTCGACGTTTTAACGAACGTCGTAATTAGCGTGCGTGTTACTTTTACACAAGTACGTATTTATTTCGCGACACCGTGTGTTTAGTTTTTTTTTGAAAACGAAACAGTGTCAAGTAGCTTTTCGACGGGAGGAACGAGCTTGTCGGGGCTTTCTGCCGTTGCCAAGTGGAGCTTTGCGTTTGTTGTTTGAGAAATTTGCGTAAAATTCAATATCGTGAATTGTAATAAAAAATATGAAATAGATGTACGAACATCGAAATGTCACAGCACTAGAGACAAGAGATGGCCTTCGAGAACGTTGCTATCTTCAATTCAGGATCGTGTAACGCGATTACCCAATTTGTTAATTCTCTCTTAAATTGCCGGTTGCGCTTATTGCAGCAAACAATTTTCATAGGTTCGTTTAGTCGTGACGAAGCTTCGTAGAGCTCCTTCGGCAATTCCAATGGACTAAGGTATTAAATTAATTCAACGCAATTGCACAGTACCGCTAACTATATTTAAAGAAGTGGAAATGCTAACATTCCTTGCATCGTGACTGCGAACATTTTACAATTATATTTATTTACGCGACATCGTCCACGACGAAATAAACGCAAGAAACTTTCATCTCGTTGAACTGAAAATTCACTCGTAGCAAACGACGACGCTAACAAGGAACGCAATTTATTAGGTATTCTAGACGTCGTTGAAATATTAGAGTTCGATACAATTTTTTTTTTTTATCAAATTGGTTAGCCAGATACGCCTAATGTTCTCATTTTCTCAGTTTATTTTCATCGGTGGTTCCGTGCAAAAGAACGCGTTCGTACAAATCGTAAATTCTCCTCGTTATAGTCGTGTTGTTTTTAAATGGATTGTTCTCGTGACGCGAAGAAAAACGTAAGATGTGAGAAAATAAGGGGTTGCCAATAATGTCTTCTAACAAGGCAAGAACCCAACTTGTCCTATTTCTGTTTAAACATAGTTTTACGAATCTCGGTTGCAGCGTGTAAAATTAAGGCGTTTCGCGACGGTGAGGAAAATTTCGTTCCGCTTCGAAAATGATCGAAGCTGATTGAAATACGAAAGATCGACTGAAACAGAAATAGTGTTTCGAAGTGGTTTGCGGGTTTCTGGCAACGAGGTACTCCTTGGGTTTGCCCTCAAAAGCAGTCGTGTCGCGTGTAACCGAAGACCGTAGGCATCACCGGTGGTAATTCCAACTCGAAAACCATCGTGTGTGCATTACTTCGAGGTTGCACCAATGATTAGCTGTTCCACGGCACGCGATGCGAGCCCGGTATTCGGTCAGATTGATTAAATTCGCATTCGACTGTTCCCCGTCGAGGAATCTATTCGAATTCTGAACATTCACGACATTTCGTGGATAATTCAATTTTTCCCGCCGCATCGGCAAGGTTCGATCGGACATCGATACGCGTTGGTTACAACAAGCGACGCTTCGATAAAATTAAAATCAAAGCGTCCTTTTCAAAATCGCCCGGGGCATTCCGTTTAAAAAACAGAGCACGTTTGCTTCTTCGTTCGATCTATGCAAAACGTGATTATACACTGTCAAGAAATTCCGGTTAAATAAAGACAAACCGAGATTGGAAACTGGCACTTCGCCATATACAAATCGTTCTAACCGTTGAACTTGTAATTTATATCGTAAACTTTGCCCGTGCATGCGGAATGCGAGAGTCTAACAACGGCAAACCGTTTTGCGCACTTTCCCAAAGCTTTATCGCGACTATACGCTGTAATTATACTGCGCCATGGGAGTTTACGTGTTTCTGGGCAGAGAAATTGTGAGGAAATCGCTAAAATGACACTGAAGATACAGGGTGTTCGGCCATCCCTGGGAAAAATTTTAATGGCGGATTCTAGAGGCCGAAATAAGACAAAAATCAAGAATACCAATTTGTTGATGGAAGCTTCGTTAAAAAGTTATTAACGTTTAAAGTGCCGCCCTTACTGAATTTTTTTCTCGAAAATGCGCAAGATTTCGGGGGTATGTCTATTCACCAAAAATGACTGTAATTGAACCCTACAACCGAAAATAATTTTTCCACAACGATTTGCAATTTTTTAATTTTCTCGAATAATTTCACACCTTCTCTATTTTTTTTCTCGAAAGTGGGCCGGATTTCGTGGGTATGTCTAATGACAAAAACTGATTGTAATTGACCCCCGCAACCGAAAATAATTTTTCCACAACGATTTGCAATTTTTGAATTTAATTGTTAATAACTTTTTAACGAAGCCTCCATCAACAAATTGGTATTCTTGATTTTCCTCCTATTTTGGCCTCTAGAATCTCCCGTTACAATTTTTCCTGTATAAATTACGCTACGACACGATTAAGAACGAAACGTTTCTACTGCGAATAAAAATATCTCGATTCTTGTTCGATATAGGACTTTTTAAAATCGTTTCAAAATGGAACTACTTGTTCCGACAGTCTCGGACGTAATCTTCAAATATACATGGCCCATTCCGAATTACAAGAAATCTGTATCAAAGAGAAGCTTGATCGATAGTCCGTCGTTCGACATGAACGTGAATGGTATTCACAGCGTGTGGAATCTATCCATCAGATTTTGGAAGAATCCTGACGGTAAGCAAGGCAATCGTTAATCATGAAATCGTCGTTACGGCCACGTTAACTCATCCTACCGATCGAAGCCTCATCACATTCTTTCTCATTCCAAATAACGATCGTCGATAATAGCTTTATTAAACGAGAAAATGTTTCCTGTTCTCTTTTTTTTTTCTTTCAAACTGTTTGGTAACAGGTAAAAGAATTATAAATCCCGTGGTGTTGTGCCTGAACATGTTGCATTGCACAGTAGACGAAGCGGAACAAGCGAAGATACGATTTCAATTTGCAGTTTTCAATGCTGACGTTAAACACTGGGAGTATTGTCACGTCAGCAGGACAATACTCGAACTTAAATCATGCACGGATATTATTTCCTTGGGGTACAGAGACTTGTCGATCGTCGACAGGCATTTAAAGAAGAACGGCGAGGTTCTGTTAATGGTCAAGATACAAATAATCCAGTGTGACAGCGAGAAGCACAACTTATCGCAGGCAAATGTCACGAAATTTACGACAAAGCGAATCAAAGTACAAAACACAAATGAAAAATGAAAAATAATATTTTTTCAGGACATGGCCAGGTTACTGAAGCATCCATGCGGAGCAGATACTAAATTAATGTGCGGGGGTTTAACTAATACAGAAATTCCAGTCCATAGCAGTATATTAGCCGCGCGTAGTAATGTTCTGGCCGAAATGATTTCACCTTTGACCGAATCGACGTCGAAGAATGACTCAAAAACGGATACCGCGGAAGATCAAATATCGGATACGCGAGACCCACAGGAAGAAAAGGTGAATCTTTGAAATAATATGTTTTAATCTTTACACGAAGGCTAATTCAATTGATGGATCCACGATAATGTTTGCTGAAACCTTGATACTAACATTGCTTCTGGTTTATCGTAATTTCATTTCTCAGACAAATTTCATATGTTTACGTAAAAACAAACGCAATGTGTGTTGCCACGTTAAACGTGTTCTTGTTTCTTTTTTAATGTATTTGATACATAACGAGTCCTTGAGTCACACGGTCTCGAGTTACGCGGATTCGTAGATACGCAGTTGCGTTTCCACTTATATTCTGTACATCAATGTAATTTTTCAAAGTTCGAGCTTGCATGATTTTTTACGTTAACACTTTTATGAAATTTTTGCAATATGTAAATTTATGCTAATATCGCGTATAAAAAATATTTCAGGAACGCTACATGTTTTCTTTAGACTTGTTAGACCTTTCCAAAGAAGTGACCGAAGAATTATTGCGATATATATACAGTGACCATATCGATAATTTGGATAATTTAGCTCCGCAACTTTTATCTCTGGCGGAACGTTTCTGCTTACATGGTATTTTGTACTTTATGAAATTGAATAATTCGACTCGGTAAAAGTATAACGTCCATTGCAAAAGTTATTTTTAATCGTGTTCCAGGATTGAAGGAACTTTGCGAGAGGAATCTTATCGAAACAATAACTCCAGAGAATATAGCAAGCAGGCTCTTAGTTGCAGATGAATTTAGCTGCTTGTCCCTCAAAAGAGCAAGTTTAGCATACTGCGAAGAGAATATAACTGTACTAAATAAGAGCTTGGCTTGGAAAATGATGGAACACGTGAATCCACAATTGTTCAATGAAGTTTGCGAAGCTAATATTGGTAGTTCAAGATCAAGTAATATGGATGACAGTGAATTAAGCAATTAATGTTTTTTCCCCAGATGAACTATAATTAATAATTTTATATTTTTCAACGAAAAAACCTGTATGTAATAACTTTACCAAGAGTTTCGTTATAAATGTTATATTTTATTTCAATAGATAAATTTAATAAAAAAAAATGCTATGTTTTCGTAATGTTCGGTTATCAAAATACGCGTATATTTATTTTTGAAAATAGTTACATTAGCGTTAATTTGGATTTAAACTTACCGCGGTTTAATGTTGGCCAATGAACACTCTATTGCTTGTAATCGTAGGCTTAGGAAATCCGTACGAAGCTCCATTACAGAGTCAACTTGAACTACTTCGTGATCCCCGTAATCCACAAAATAAACTTCGCATTGTTCGTCTTCGGGTGCAGAAATAACTTCGGCTCGATACCACTGTTCGTCGAAACTAAATTTCGCCGCAACTATTTGGCCGAGCGTTACCTGCAACAGAACGATGCAAATACAATAGCAATGTAAAAACCTTCCTCTTTCATATGTTCTATTCCATAACTATATAATATAGCTAATATATACGTACATTTCTTAAGGCATGTAATTCACGATTTTCGTCCTCGTTGTAATATGCAGTCATATCAGATACTAAATTGTCTAAAGCTGTAGTTCCAGAACCAACCACTTGAATCCAGAATTGATTAGGACTTTCCATTGCACATACATATATCTCCATTGTACCATCTGTAACTGGAATTAATAATGTTTAAATATTTTAAATGGTGACATTAATAATTTTATTTCAGTTGTTTGTTTCACAGACCTTGCAAAGCTGGGAGTTCCGTGGAATGTAACTGTTCGGTAGCGTTAACTGCGGTATTGCGTGGAGACAGTTTGCCTCTAGGCAATCTTGCCGCGGTAGAAGCTTCCAGTTTTGTACGAGCTTGTGTCTCTTCGCGAACTTTTTCCTCGATTTGCAATAAGGCTGCAGCAATTTGTTCGGCTGTTCCTTTTATTATAACCCTTCTGTCGCCATCTGTCAAATGCTAGTACCGGTTATTAAACATTTACAAAAATTGTGTCGAAAGGAGCAAAATACTTTTAATTTGCATATAAAATTAACGTACTTGAATTATAGGAAGCATTGTTAGTTTCGATAATAAGTTTTGCACTGGAAGTTGCTTGTATTTGATTTATAACTTCACCGCCTCTTCCTATTATCCTTCTACACGTCTTGTGAGGTATATACATTTCATATGTTTCAATTACAGACTGATTTGCAATTATGGATTTTATCATTTCTTCGGCGAAATGTGTACTCTCATAGGTCCCTCTTATGATGCAAATACGATCAGGACAGTCGATATTATCTTCCTTAAAATGTATGTATGTTCCTGTTTTACGTTCAACATCTTTTATCATACAGCCACCTCTTCCAATAACAAGAGGTACAAATTGCCTAGGTACTTTGTATTCTATGCTAATTCGTTTCGCACTCTCTATGTGTTTTCTTCTATAGGTTTCAGCCTCTTCGTCCTATTTAATTAAAAGAACAGTTAATAGAAAATATCGACTAATATAAATTAATGAATCTTTCAGTCTCACCTGTTTATACAATACATAAATTAAAGCAATGCCAACACCAGTTAAAGACACGCCAAGTAAGACTGGTAACGTAAATTGCCGTGGCATCCACTTCATTTTACTTTCTAATGTTTAAAATATGTTATTTATTCGTATCCTTTATTCCCGCATAAATTAACTCAAATTTGAGCGTATAATATGATTTAGAGTTGCGAATGAAACATTTCATAACCTCAAAACCTCTTGTAAAAATATGTATGATACAAAGTAGAAAAGTATGTACTATAAAATATTAGTACAAACTCAAGGAAATATGTTCAAGAAAATATTTAGTTACTTTTACTATTCTATACTTCTGCAAATATTGTAGGCTTTTGTAGTTTAGATCGGCAATCGTACTTTTAAAACCGTATTATTACCAACCATGGAATTCTAAATTTTCAAACAATATGAAACCTGCATGTTTATATACCGATATATAAATTATTTATATACGTCTGATTTATAATCAGTCTATGATTATTGTATAATCAAACGAAGGTAAAATATAACACAAATTAAGCATAACTGTAAATCATATTAATCTTATTTGTTATATTGGCAATACTTCTAAAACGGCCATGACGTAGTTACCAAGTTTAGATCATGACGGTTGATTTAAAACTATCGTTTATGTAGTACCAATTAAGGAATAATCTTCTTTTAACATAGATAAAAGGTATTTCTTTTAAAAGTAAAAATTTAGTCAATACAAATGATTAGAATGATCGATAAGAATTATACCCACAGTAAGTATAGTACCCTGAAAAAAAGACGTAGTACATAACTTACGTACAGACGTAGTTTCATACATATGTTCGTACTTCATTTTATCGTAGTATTATACAATTTGTATTAAATAAATCACTTTTTCCTCCGTGGATTATTATTTACATACTTCTTAAACTGAACAAATGGACGTATGTTACACTAGCTGTTCCTTCAATCGATGCAGCGAGCAGTTAATCGTTTTCCCGCTATTTTCTAAAATGGAGTTTAATATACGTTCTTTTTCCATGGAACTATTCAATTATTAAATTCAGTGTGCAAAATTGATTAAACATTATATTTAACAATTGTATAATTAATGTCCAAGTGATATATTTGAAATTATTTAATGTATCGAGTACTGAGCAAGTTTTTCATGTTTGTCAATTCACGCGGAATGTCGTAGTAACGATTCAGGTTACCAACTACAGACAAAATTTATAATAAAAAATAGAGGATTTTCAGTGTAGTTGTCAATGAGGTACATCCTTAGGTATTTTAAAAATGCTCGTATATGTATATACCTCGTCTGTGGTTTTATTTTCGTACAATTTTATCTTTGGGAAATGCGGTTTACAAATACAGCGATCATAACAGGATATCGTGGTTGATATTTACGAATTCTGTTTGTTACTGTTATTTTATTCCTATCTTTTAAAAATTCTTGGAAAACCGTTTATTGTAAAAGGGTAATACTGTTACACATTTACCCAAAGATCTGCCACTAAATTTTACGTACAAAAATGTTAAACAAAGATTTTCTTTCTTTTGTCTGATATCCTAGTCTATACATGTATAGCCTATTTACAAGTTCCGACATGGCTGGGATAACCTATAAATGTGTATATTACGCTCCTACCGCATGCTGCCCTGTTACTTCACGTTTTGGAATCGCTCAAGGAGTTGGGGGTTTAGTTTATTAACGAGGCAAGTAACTTGCAAATAATCTATTCATGTCCATGAACATTGTTAAAACATTTTCTATTCTTCATATTGTCAGGATTTTTTATTTTAAATAATTATACGTACGTACAAGATAAAGGTATTTCCTATAATGTATGTGCATATGTTTTTTTTATTTATACGTGATATATTTCTGCTTAACTACTTTGTCCTTGAATGCGTTATAACACCGATATTCGAATACATTAATATGTATTATATTCAACATTGTTTATTGGCGTACAATAGCTTACAGAGCAGTACTACACAATATGAACATTGGAATTTACGGATTTTTCCTCGTTCTGTGTTTGTTGATATTGTATGTATCGTACATATAAGCTGGTTGGCGTCGCATTATGTGCGTGATTCACACATCGTAAGTTAAGACTACAGGACAAGTTTTATAATGATTTCAGATTTTAGAGAGGTTTCATAATGATGGACCCATGTGCTTGTCTATCATTCGCAGAAAGTGGCGTCTCTACTGAACAGGATAACACACAGCAGAGGAAGTAGTAACTTCTAGTAAATAGTAGCGTCATATATCGATATGCTCTACTTGCATTCGCGTTAACACCTTAAAACCATAATAACACGCATTAAAAAACAATTATATTGTTGTTTTTATCAAAACTTGTATTCCAAATCAGCATAAATTGATATTCTTAATTTGTTTACAATAAATGTATAGGAAGTGCTGCATATTTGGAATACCAATGTGTTTAATTAAACTATATCCTTAAAAGAATAATATAGTTTGCTGAAGTTTATAATATGTTCAGGTAATTTTAAGTTTGATGTTTCAATGTAATTTTAATAAATATAAATCATTCCTTTAACTAATAATAAGTTCTGCCTGTGAAGATTATAAAGACGTAAATTATATTATATTAATAATATATATGCGTCAAGTAATAGATAATATTCCCTGATATAGATATAATGATTTTTATCATGTGTTATCTTCGCGTTGAATTGCGCCGGCGCGCATAATCCGATCTTGATGTTATATAATTCCGTAATCTCGAGGAGCTGAGCAGTCACAAAGCATTTATCGTTGCAGCCGGTTCGTAAAAAAAAACAACCATGAAACCACGTGTATTAGTCACTAGCAACGATGCATCTCCTGCCGGTATAGATCTTCTTCGTACAAAGTAAGCGTACGAAACATTACGATGAAAATTCAATTGTTCGTTAATACGTAAATAATTTTAAATTCAGCAGTTTGAATCTGTATCCGTTCTAACTTCAAGTAACTAAAAATTTAACAGCGTCTCAAAATTGAATTCAGTTTCAACTAACATTTGATTACTTTTTTTTTTTTTAGATGTGACGTTACAATAATTAATTCTTCCAAAAGTACGCGAGAAGAAGTGTTGCAAGCTCTTCCTGGTTCCGATGCGGTGTTTATCGCAAAGCACCACATAGTAAATAATGAATTTCTTGATATCGCAGGTGGGTATCGAACGGCATCGATTTTTAAAATTTAAAATCATTTACACGACTTCCTGAACTCTGTAATTAATAGGACCGTCGTTAAAGGTCGTTTCTACGATGTCAGCTGGTTACGATCATTTAGATGTTCCCGAAATTAAAAGAAGAGGAATAAAAGTAGGGCATACGCCTATGGTTTTATCGGCTGCAGTTGCAGAAGTTGCGGTACTTCTATCGTTGAGCGCGGCAAGGCGAGCTCGCGAGGGAAGACTAAAACTTGAACAGTAATTAAAAATTAATTAATTTTCTATCTGTCTTTTTATTGTTGATGAAATGGTGTACTGAATTCCTTCGGACATATTGAAATATTATGAAAGTTGATATCCTTGTTCGGTAAAAAAAGAAACGTGCACTCTTACGTGTCGTTTCATTTACGGTTTCGCTATCCTGTTTCGTCGACTATATGTTGCATTTATTTAAATCGCTCGAAGAAATTCGTTAAAATTAATGCCTCGTTATGTTTTTTCAAAGTAGTAGATATCCGTATTACTACCACTATAATATTGACCTTATGTTATTCATCTACATAGAAACTGTTTACAACAGGTTATGCCCCCTTTAAAACTACTTAATTAGTAACTACTAGTAAGTATACTAGTACCAACTTACATTGACTAATTTACAAGTAAATCGCATTTATGGATTAAAATCAAATATTCTGTACGGGCATATAATTATTAAAATAATTCTAGTACACGTTGACATTAAAGAAATATATTTAATGGTATAGTTTTAATATTTACAAATAAAATTGTTGGTAATTTAGAGATGAAGTTAAAAATCTGACTCTTCAGTCTTTACTTGGCCAGGATTTACAAGGATCAACAGTTGGTATTGTCGGTTTGGGCAGTATTGGACAGAATATTATTAAACGACTGAAAGGATTTGACGTGAGTCGTTTCATTTATACGGGACATTCTCGCAAAAAAGCAGGTATGCAAAATCGAAATGCACGTTTTTGTTAGATATTTTACTTTCCTGCGTTTTCATGCAGGAGACGAACTTGGAGCTCACTTTGTGTCTTTTGATGAACTTGTTGCACAAAGTGACTTTGTAATCATTGCTGTTCCGCTAACTAACGAAACAATCGGATTGTTTAATGATGATACTTTTGGGAAAATGAAAAAGAACGCGGTATTGGTGAATGTCAGTCGTGGCAAAGTTGTAAATACAGATGCGTTAATCAAAGCGTTGCGGAATAAATCAATTTTCGCGGCGGGTCTTGACGTTACGGATCCAGAACCATTGCCGCCTGATCACGCACTTTTGAAACTTCCAAATGCTGGTTAGTACTATTAATTATAACTGATTAAAAGAGACATTTAACGTTACTAATATACAGGGTGTTTTCGTTTGAAAAGTTACGGTCGAAATATTTCGAAAACAATGGATTTTCGAAAGAAGTGCGCAATAGACAAATTTCTTGGTTTTGAGATCATTTAAAGGTCAACTTTATTTTTTAAAATGGAAACGTATACTTTTATATACAGATTCTTATTTTATAAGGGAAAAGACAAAACTTTTGGTATGGTTTAAATAAAACAATATTTTCGGCTGTAACTGTTTTTTGCATGTAATATTTTATTGATAGAAATTATAATTTACAATTAAACACGTACACACACACACACACACACGCACGCGCGTATACGTTTTGTGTGTATTTATCAGTTAGTAATAGAAATGTATAGCAAAACTATGTACATTAATACATATAATGTACTGCAGTAATCTTACCTCATGTGGGCAGTGCTACTGTGAAGACTCGAAGTGATATGTCAATTACTGCAGCACAAAACATTCTCAATGGATTAGAGGGTAAGCCATTGGTGTATGCACTGTAATTACTGGTTTATGGAAATTTGCATCGCATAATTTAATACATTTCCATTTTTAGTGATATCATGACACTAATATGTTAATATTATCTTTTTCTCTTACATATATTTCAAACTATTTACATATGTAAAATTTGAATAACTTTTTCTTAAACATTTATATCTTAATATAATTTCAAACATAAAATATAGAATGCGAATATCGAAATGCCTCGTACACATCTTACAATAGAAATTGTGTAGTGTTTGTTATAAAAATTTGTAGTTTCTATATTTTTGTTTCTTTACGCGCTGTTTTATACAAGATTTGAGCTACATTCTTTTCTTCGAACGGACACTTAAAACATTGTATAAAAATGCTAGTAGAAGTATTTATAAGTATAAAAGAATATAACTTGAATTTCTTGTAAATTAGAAAATAAATATATAGTAATGTCTCCCGTGTTATATATAACATTCCTTTCTTACAAACAATCACCAAATTTAACTGTAAACTTTTGGTATTTATCACCCATAATGCACAACGGGTAACCATCAAGCTTCCACGACTGCATTTTTTAAATTGCTTAGAATTGGATCGATCTTATTTTCCAAAGATAAAATATGACCTGTATTACAGTCATGACTAGCAATAAAACTAATAACTAATGGTAACTTGTTCATTTGTACTACCTGCAAAGGAAATAAAATACATATACTTTTTGTTTTGATTCCAAAAAAATAATAGTACTATTTTATATGAGATCATATACTTTATCATTACCTGATAACTACTATACATGCATATAATGGTCTTATTTTTTGCTAATCCCAATTTACTTCCCTGATCTGTTGCCATTCCAAATGTAGATAAAAAACTTGCTTTCATAGCCAATTCGGGAGCCTTCTCATCAGCTACAAATATAACAGGTACACCATCCCTATCTGTTATCAATATGCTATGAAGTCCTTCCACGCTACGTAGAAGTCCATGAAGAAAATTCTTTAGTTCCTTAGATAATAACAGAGAAAAATACCAGTAATTACAGTACACTTACGATAGATAAAACCTATTCGATATAAAAAATGTTATGCTTATCTTGAAACACACTTGCAAGATTCATACATAACCTTAAAATTTATATAACGTAGGATCTTTTAAGCAGCGATGTAGAATAGTTTAACAACATACCGTCGTCATTCTCAGTAATCCTAGCAATATACGTTAGGTAATGACTCTCAGATCTGTAAAAGTTTGATGAATCTTTGATATCAACAATATCGAATATTCCTTTTGACAGACTGTCATGTGCAGTGTGGCCAGATTTGGCATAATTGAGTGCATCGACGGCGACACTGCTAACGACGAATTTCCTTAGCATCTGACGGGGGTCGTGGGGAAAGTCGACATATCCTATCGCACGAATCACGTTACACGAGCTCGGCAATTCGAGAAAGAAGGCCAGTGCGTGCCTTTTCTTCTTGATCTTGAACAGCCGAAGTCATATAGGCACACACATATGAGCAAAGTCCATGATGAAAAGAAAATGTACACGGAAATGCACGTTTTAAGGCCCTCTGATCATGCTTTAACTATTGAAAGGGAAGAAATCATTTCCCGAAGTTGCGTGAAGTGTTGACCTAACGTAGCATGTGGCTCGGCTTTCCCTACCGCACCGTTAGACGCTAAGGAAGTTCGTCGTTATTAGTGTCGCCGTCCATGCACTCAATTATGCCAAATCTGGCCGCCACTAGTCATATGTTATATCTAGATTGCGCGCGAGTCATGTTTGAATCAGTGTAGGACATAATGTAGTGTGTGGCGCGTTAATCTGCGATTGATAACCTATTTTAAACTACAGACAAACACTGATAAGATACACAGGATGTTTCAGAAATACATGTGAATACATAAGATGAGATTTACATCAAGGTCAGCGATTCAGTGAAGATCAAGAAACTGCCGAGAGGTAGGAGCAATAAAATACATTCATTATTGTAGGAGTTATGATCGTTTGATAATTGGACCATTTTTATGGGATTTTCTTCACTTTACGGAGTTAAGGGACATATTCTCCACCAAAATACGCGATGTTTGCATTTTGAAACATCAAAATCCTCCGATCCGTTCAGGAGTTATGATGTTTCAAACATACGCATGAAATTTTGGGGAACCATTTCTAGCCTCGCATTAGATTTTCGGTAAAGAATTTTTTTCTCGAAAGTGCGCAGGAATTCGGGGGTATGTCTATTGACCAAAAATGATTGTAATTGACCCCCTCAAATGAAAATAATTTTTTTAGAACGATTTGAAATTTTTTAATTTCGTCAAAAAATTTGTCCACTTGTTGAATTTTTTTCTCGAAACTGGTTAGGATTTCGAGGGTGTGTGTATTCACCAAAAATGATTATAATTGACCCCGGCAAATGAAAATAATTTTTTTAGAAAGATTTGAAATTTTTTTTTTACCCCGAAAAATTTTATACCTTCTCGAATTTTTTTCTCGAAAGTGCGTAGGAATTCGGGGGTACGTCTATTGACCAAAAATGATTGTTATTGACCCCCGCATATGAAAATAATTTTTTTAGAACGATTTGAAATTTTTTAATTTCGTCGAAAAATTTGTCCACTTGTTGAATTTTTTTCTCGAAACTGGTTAGGATTTCGAGGGTGTGTGTATTCACCAAAAATGATTATAATTGACCCCGGCAAATGAAAATAATTTTTTTAGAAAGATTTGAAATTTTTTTTTTACCCCGAAAAATTTTATACCTTCTCGAATTTTTTTCTCGAAAGTGCGTAGGAATTCGGGGGTACGTCTATTGACCAAAAATGATTGTTATTGACCCCCGCATATGAAAATAATTTTTTTAGAACGATTTGAAATTTTTTAATTTCGTCGAAAAATTTGTCCACTTGTTGAATTTTTTTCTCGAAACTGGTTAGGAATTCGAGGGTATGTGTATTCACCAAAAATGATTGTAATCGACCCCCGCAGTTGGAAATAATTTTTCCAGAACGATTTGAAATTTGTTTTTTTCGCCGAAAAATTTCACATCTGCTCGATTCTTTTTCACGAAAATGGTTAGGAATTTCGAGGGTAGGATTTATATAATTTTAATTTATAGTTTTCATATTTACATATGCTATAAATACACACAATTCGTATTGCAGTATTAACTATATCTTGCAAACTAAGAGTTAACAACAAATATTTTTGCTTCCAAAGGTTTCAACCCTCTTCAAGACCGTTACAATGGGCGAGATCGATGCTAGTGTGAATATCTAATTACCAAATAGGGAAGGTAAACTTTCCCCTTACATCTCCATTACACAAAGGAACTATGGCCATCACGCTGTTCTTCTCTCGGACTCATAAATGTTTTGTGAGTAACGGTGGCTAAAGCGTGGCTCTTCTGAACCCTTACTACGTTCCCGTACGCTTATTAAATTTATTCGATCTAAATATTAACCAAATTGACACTTAAGGGAATTAGTACGGTGTATAATTATCGAGTATGAACCGAATTTTAAACAAGTAATATCCCAACCACAAGTCCACAAATCCTGAATAATTCAAGGTTTTAACGATCATTTTTTCAATTTATTCCTATGCGATTTTCTTTTGTTGTGGGCACGCGTGTCCTCGATCGTGTTAATGGTTTTAACGTCGGCTATATTTTGATTCAGTGCTTTTAATTCTTGCAGAGCTCGTTTAGCTAATTTCCCCTCCGGCGTCTCCGTTGGTTCTAAAAGAAGCATTGTCAGAGACTTCTTCAAGAGACTTCCGGCTTCCTCCAGGCGGGAAGTTAGCTCCATCGATGAAATTTCGCGCGCGGCGTACGCTCGATTCGCCAATAGTACCAACGGTAAGTGCATTTCGTACAACATTATCCCTAAAAATTTTTAATCGCATCTTCCAGTTACATAATTCCAGTATTTAATTTAATAGAAATTATATAAAATATGAGATGACCTTTCAATCGAGATATCCCTGGCTCAACTATTTCCAACATATTGTACATTTCCTTGCACATGTCCAACATTCTTTGCATAACTTTTTTCTGCGGATTCGGCGATGACACTTCTTTCGTGTACACGTTCACTAACTTCTGTTTCAAGGACAACATCAAGAAATGATTTTGGTGCAGCGATCGTGATAGTTTTGCCAACAATGTTTCAAGACCCTTGAAAAGGATTATCAAAGAGCGTGAGATCTACAAAGCTAACGAATAACTCGTGGAATTACGGCAACGAAGAAGTACAAACTTTGACATCACCATCATCCACATTATCGATCAACGTTCTGGTTATATCCAAAGTAGCTCGTACAAGACGTCCCCCGATGCTTCTTTTGCACTTATCGCATTGCCACTTTATACCCCGTCCGTACGGATTTATCGTTAAAGGATTTTCCGGCCCTATGAAACCTTCCCTGCACCTGGTGCACAAAATGCTGCTCATGTACGATCCCATTTCGTAAGGATCTCTACATAACGAGCACTCACATTCGAAGTACTTTCCTTCTCGCAGATGCTTCCTTCTAGTCGCTGTTCCCTGATAATAGAATTACCAAATAAATCATTTCGCATATCGAGTATTATAATTCTAATAACGAGCACCAATGTTTAAACACCTGGCTAGAAAATTCTATTCAAGATTTATAAAAATGTTAACGATCATTGCTCGATTATTAACGAACCAAAAGCGACGATGTGTAATTGAATAAAATAGCGTCGCCTTCGTTGATCGGCAAACTAGCGTACACGGTAAGCTGAAAGTTGTCGTCTACGGTAAGGTGTGTGTTCGTTCTGCAATCGTGAGCCATGAGGGAGGCCTCTATGTATAAACCTCGCAAACGCAAACCGTCCTGACCTCCCGGAGGTCTTAGCTCGAAAGTATTAACGTCCAAAATTCCGCAGAGCTGCTGGAGACATTCCGTGGTCGCGTCCTCTTCAGGAATTAAACGAAGCGCCCTCATGACCTGTTCACGCAAATTACCCGAACAGTTATTGAAAATTAATAAGTTGGTCTTCTTCGGATAGCAATTTATATACATTTATAACATTTTCTTCCGTGTCCTTCCAGACGGACGTGTTTCTTCTCTCATCTATGTGGGCTTCCATGGACTGAATTCGTTCCCATAACTCCGGATTCTTATACTTCAGAAGCCATAATCTTAAAGGTAATAGCACGTTAATTACGTCTACTATTTTGTCTGTCAATAAGTCTTTATTATTTTTAAGTACTTCGCATTCGTCTGATGTATGTTGCTTCGACTGTTCCTGAAAAGACAGTGTTTCGTATCAGTCTTTGGGTACTAATTAATATTTGATTTATCTTTTATTTATTTACCTCGCAGGCAGGACCGCATAACGGTGCAACGTTGCACTTTGAACAACGGTACTGCGTACCTTTTTTGATTTTTGGTAATAAACGCAAACACGCAAAGCACACGTAATCCTTGCTGGTTGTCATGGAACCAACAGCAACCGGTTTTTCTCGGAGTATCACTTCGCCGGGTGCTACATTTTTTGCTGCTTGCAAGTATCTTGTAAAATATATACATTATGTAATAGACTCCATAACGCGCGATATACATAACGAGAAGTATCAAATTTCTATCAGCGAATGTTATGTATTCAAGCAAAATTCATTCGTGCTGGGCGCGCGCGACGAATTAAATCACACATGCATGCTTTACAAGTTAAAAATATCAGATCAAAAGAAAAACAAAACTTCTTTTATAGGAAACGTGTAAAATTAAATAAATATCGATCGTTCTGAAAAAAAAAAATGCTCTCGCGTATACTTTTATATTTAGATACCGATTACAACTTATATCATGCATATTATTTCTAGTTACGACATACATTAGTTACCGAACTGTACATAGTTTCGTGTTTATACCTGCCAAATTTTTCTGACCGTGCAACTTTATACTTTAACGTGGGAATCACACTGTTCTTTGTTCTTTTTTCCATTTTGATACTCAGGGTCGGTTCTCTTATTAGTATTTCTTATACAAAATTGATCGATCCTCCTATTAGTTTTTTTTAAATGAAATCGACCGGTTTCGGGTAATGCGCGAATGATAGTCAGACCCGTGTGAGTTGCGGTGTCTTGTACATTTCCTACGGTTTGTAACTGACACCGAAATACAGGAAGTGGAAGCGGGACCCGACTCTCTTTGGTATACTCTCGTTGCGCTATATTATTAGAAGTGAGTGTAGCGCGTGCTTGTAGCCACACGTGATAAAACAATGCGTGAGCCTCTACACGATGAGACTTGCCTGGAGGCATGTCTCGCAACAAGCGATGGGTTCGATATCATTTAGAATCAATTTAACTTGTTTCACCGCACGATTTGATCATGCGAGATATACGTATAGTTATCGTGTTCGTATAATCAATTAAAGATTTTCCAGAAGCTGGTCGGGCACATTTAATGGTAGATCATCTATTAAATATATTTTATTTGTATAATTTATATTTTGTATATATTTCCATAAAACAAACGGTAAATTGACTCATCCTGTTTATTTATTAACTAATAAATACATTTATAAGAATATTTATATATTTACAATAAATACTTATAGATCAAGGATCGATTGCTCGAGCTGAATCAACGATTCTTTCGCGACGAGGCCTATTTGGCCCTCGGGCGTGTCCGGTGGTTCCAAGCACAAAATCGTCCCTGATTCTTTCAAAATTTCCGAAGCCTCTATCATTTTCGATTTCAATGCGGCTTCGTCGATCACCCCGGCGTTCCATTGCGTCTTAGCGATGAAAAGCAACGGCGCGTGGAGCTCGTACAACGTCATTCCTTTCAGAACAGGAAAGAAACGTTAAATTATTTCTCAGAATTGTATCCGTTTTTATTAATTAAAATCGTCAACGGGCAATTTTCATGAATATTTGTCCTTCTATTGCACGCACAGATAGAGAGTAGTTTGATAAATGTTTTTGAAAAGAGCAAATCGTATTGTTATAAAAAAAAAAAATTAATCAAAATTAAAGCGTAAATAACTTTTTACCTCGTACACGAGAATAACCCGGCTCTATGACATCCAATACTTGAAGCAGTAACTTGCACATATCGATTTTGTGCTCTAATACGACGTCTGGCAGGTCGTCTAGGAGATATTCATCGACCCGGCCGTACATTTGCGTTAACGAGTGCCTGAAATGAAATTTGAACAAATTACATCAAGTCCCATTACCAAAGTTTGCTTGACTCGAACAAAGTTGAATACAATTTACCTCAACATAGTATTGAAAGCATGACGGGGATGCAAAACGGAATGATACTTTTTCATAACCGTTTCTCTTTCGTGAATTGCATCAGCGCCATCGGCTCCGCTGATAGTCTCCACCGCCTCTACTTCCGAGTGTATTATTTGAAATACTTTTCGAACGGCTGATCCGCTGGTCGAGAATTCGCAATGCGTGCATTTCCAGCCGCTCTCGGGATCTGTAAACCATTTCTGATTATCCTTTTTGCACAAGCATACTTACGCAACTATGTTGATTACAACCATTTCAAAGTAATACCGTTACTGTGCGATAATTACCTAAAGAATCTAAAGATAACACGATTCCATTATCACATTTGTTACACTTTAGCGAAGACATATGGGTTCCAAGCTCGGTTGGATCCGAGCATCTCGGACAAGCGCACGCAAAGTATTTCCCTTCGAGAAGATGTTCCCTCCTCAGCATCGTCGGTAATAATGAATGCGTGTAACTGCCATAAAGTTCACCGCCCGGAGGTACCTTTATCGTCGTACGCAATCGTATTCTGCGAACATAACGAATAAATATATTTAACCATATTTTTTTTAATAACGATGTAATAGGGATATTTTACCTGTAATCGGTTGGCGAAATGCTATGGCATGTATTCGAGACGCAAGAATGATTCATTAGCGCAACCGTTGAATAAAGAGCCCTAGCGCTGTAACCATTTGCTGTTCGAACTTCGAAAGTATTTATTTCCAAAATTCCACACGCTGTTTGAATGCTTTCCTCCGAGAATCTATAATGAATATTATTGTTTAAATCGGGATTACGTAACGATCGAACAAACGAATATTATAATCGTCGTGAATGTTATTTATCGATTAAGATTGTTGGACGAGAACCAAGATAAACACAATATAACGTATATTTCCACCTATCGATTTTAAGTCGCTTTCTCAAATATTCTACCACGTTCACGTGGTCCGATTTCCAATGTTCCTTTTGGCTTCTTATTTTATTGTGAGCCTCCATGTCTTTCACTCCCTTGTTCCATTTTTCGGGATTTCTCTCCGATTCCAATAGCAACCTCAACGGCGTTATGCATTCTAATTGCGGGACTCCGTTCATGTTAGTCTCGTCTAAAGCTTCGGCCACGTTAAACTTTTCATTTGCTTGTACGAATATCTGCAAACAGGGTGTTCGCATGTTTTTAAATTTATGATTAAAAAAAAAAAAAAAAGAAAAGAAAAGAAAACTTGGTCGTAGACGAAGCAAGTAACTTTGACTCTCTTGGTAGATTTAGTGTTCAATTAGCGTTAGATTTACGGATGACGTGACCAGGCGTGGTTTAGTCATTTTTCATTTTGACATCTTCTACCTGACACTCGTAATCTTTGTGCTGTGGTTGATTTTCACATTCTGTTGAGCAAACTGGCCATCCACATTTAGAACAAAGCGGTTTATCGCTTGTTGAAGGCCACGATGTATAACACGAAAGGCATAAGGGATAAGTGAATGCCTTTGGTCCTACTACAAATGGCATCTCCGTAATGATTTCTTCGCCCGGGGCCAACTCCTTGTTAGCGACCATGTATCTGAAAAAATTTTTACTCGACAAATGTTTTACCAAGTCACGAGAATCTTTCAATATTTCACTGTTTATGATAGCGAAGTAAACTACATAAGTACGCTATATGCTAAACGACCAAGCACAAAATAAAACGAAATAGTTCAGGGTATTGATTTACAAGTACGTGTTTTAAAGGCTTCCCAAGCAACTCGTACAAAGCGAAGATAAAGCTCTAAATCGTTAAAATAAAAATTTTATTGAGTCAATGTTAATGTAATTGAATTCTATTAAAAATTCGACCAGGATAAAATTAAATTACCTTCCGACTCTATCGTTTTGAAGAACTTTGAACATCGCTGTGCTTTTTACCTCTACATCCGGCATAATTCCCTAGAAACAAAATTATTATGAATATATCGTTAACTATTTATACTTTTTACGGATTTACAGTTTACTAATTTTATTGCATGTCTATGTTTCCATTTAACGTACACTTCCGGTTAGTATCGCCTTTGCACAATGATCACGATGTGGAAATCAGTATCTTTCTAAGCCCTCGTACGTGTGGCTGTATACAGGCGTACGTAAATTAATTTAGCATTTCGAAATGACTTTATACATATATATGTATCATATTATTATTTACGTTCTCCCTTTTTACAACGTAAAACAAACATCGTCGTGTTAGAAAACTGATTGAAAATTAAATTAAACTAAAGCACATCGTTCGATAGAAATCATTAAAAAATCTATTCGAGCACAAAAGTAAATCGTGACGATACAAAGCTTAAAAACGTCCAAGTCAAGAAGAAAATAGACGCAATGAAATTAGTTTCCGATGGATCTACGGTAAATCACAATAGTTTTTTAGTAACTGAAACCGAAAACTCACCGAACTTTGTTGCGACATAATTGATCAGCGATCAATAAACGCTAACAATAAAACAGTTTTCTTGACTCGTTCTTGTTACGTGCTCCCTGCGTTCGAATTGAATTTTGCGATACACGAATACGAACGGATTTATACAGACTAAAATTTCGATCTATACGATGCTTTGTATATATATGTATTCGTTCTATTAAAAATATATCATGAGCGAGGATTGCCAAAGGAACGACGTTGGACCGTATTATCGTGGTCTTTCGTGAAGTTTCGGTTCGCGTAGGAAACGTTCTACAGCGCTCTGTCTAGCTATGTCCGAGTATTTTTGGATCTCGAACCGTGCAAAAAGATCCAAAGTACTGCGACAACTTCGCGGGACGATTGTCGGGCAAAGGTTCTCTTCGTTTCCTACAAGAATTCACGCCATACGAAACAGAGTTGAACAGTAATTGCTTACTCTCCGATTACATTTGTAATCGATCACAAGATTAAAATAAATCTCGGAGATTAAACAGTAATCGTAAATCGTTCATTGTAATCTGTAATCATTCAATGGAAGATTATAGAAACAGTTTCTTAAAGAATGTACTTTTTAAAATTTGTCTTATTGAGATATTTATAGCAAAAGGTACCTCAATTATTCTCAATACGGTGCAACACATTTGTTCTCACGCAAATTCAGCCCTGTTTGCTAGCATATTTTATGGCTAAAAATAAAACGAAAATGTCATATGCTTCGTTCAAAGGTTGTCAACATTTTATTTTCAAATGCAAAATAAATTTGTACTCAAATAGCAGTGCATTCCAATGAAAATTTATTTCAGAAAACCTAGTAAGGTCTCCTCTTTTTTATGTGGATCCTTGGTATTTTTATTCCATCGAATAGATTAATACGTACATATTTGTCATTGTCATTAAATGTATGTTTTCATTCCTTGTAAACGCAATAGTACAATATCAATGTAAAATAAGTTTCTTTATCGTGCCTTTTAAAGGACAAACTTTGCTCTTTATCTTTATCTTTATCTTTTCTCGGAGTTCAATAAACGGTACTGAGTGTACCGGATACGTGCAAAATCCACGCCTACGAGGGTGGTCTTCAAGGTTACGTAACATCCATAAAGTAGATCAACACACCAGTTAAATGATTAACTGTTTATCTCCTGATGTAAAAATAATATTCTCAGTTGTCTATTGCATAATTTTATTTCACATATTTTATCGATATTTTCTTGTAGGAATAGATTGCAATTTTTTAGAATTTATTGTTCAGCGCATGTGCGAGCCCAATTGCGCGCAGGTCATATCTTTCTTTCTCGTTGGTGTACCATCTCACGTACGCAATTCTGAGGCGAAGTCACGCAGTTTTCTGCCCTCGTGTCTTATAACATAAAACAGTAAGTGTTAACAAATTGTACTATCTAGATGCGTTGCATTATTTAAGTTGAAACTATTGTTTGTACATGCAGGCTGCGTAATATTGAAAGAAAATTAAATTTTTGCAAAGCCGGCATGGGTTAATGATAGTAATGTCGGCTGTCGTCGAGCGATATTGTATACGACCTTTTCCGTGAATATTGTCAATTTGAACGAGTATATTGTTTCTATTATTTGACTTATAAAATTACGGTTTAGTTTAAAAAGACGAAATCTGACGAATAATGATATGAAATTAACAATCGTTTATGAGAATTGGAAGTAGCTGATTTTCTCCTTATGTAATACCTAGGACAGGTCAATACCACACCATTTTTGCTCTACATTACTGTAAAATTATTGATGGACACTATTTATCTACTATTTAATTGTTTTTTTTTTATGAATAATAGCATTAACAATTCCTTGCAACTGTAATATCTCTTTAACAATGTTTCCAATAAATGTAATGTAAGCTAATTAATTTGACAATCATTCTTATATTAATTGGATTAAACATTACCAATCGGACTACTTATGTTTCGGTTTAGTTACTAGTTGTCTTTTATTTGGAGAAATTGATTTCTTATGACTATTGTTCATATGTTTTCTATTACCTTCTCTCTTTAAAGATTATATATTATGACAAATACATCTTGTATTATATTTTTATTTATAATAACTATATGTTTTCATAATTATGCAACATAATATTATCACTTTATCGGTCGTATAATCTTCCTTTTTATTTATTTTATTATTTAGACATTTTGTTATTATAAATTAATTATTATTAAAATATTTCTTAATCGACCGTAACATTATTTCTATTGGAATTTATTAGATTAAAAATCACTTCTAGGTTAAGGACTATTATTAGAATTCTTTAGCGCTGCACAGGTTTAAATACATAATTGCAGATGGATATAAATGTTCATCGATGTTAATATTAGATCACAAATTGCAGTGTGTACCATTTTGTTTTTTACTTATGTATAAAAATGTAGTTACAGCGAAATATAATTAATTTATATTTCATAAATATATCGAGCAATGCGCATTATTTTCACAAAGTTAAATTAACATTTTTTTATGATTGCTTAATATTTTTTCATAGATCATGGCCCCGCCAACATATGGAGATTTGGGCAAAAGTGCTCGTGACATATTCGGTCAAGGTTATCATTTTGGTTTGATCAAATTAGATATTAAAACAAAGACTAACTCTGGAGTCGAATTCTCTAGCGGCGAGGTATTCAATCAAGATACTGGAAAAGTATTTGGTTCTTTAGAAACCAAATACAAAATTAAAGACTATGGATTAACATTTAGTGAAAAGTGGAATACAGATAACATGCTTGCAACTGATGTAACTCTTGCTGATAAATTGCTCAATGGTCTTACTCTTGGCTATAGTTGTACTTTTTCACCACAAACAGGGTAAAATGGAGAATTATTAATCCTATCGATGGAAGGATTAACACCTTGATAAACACGTCTGTATCCCATATGGGCCTTGTGTAGTATGTATTAAAAATCAAAAGGATATGTCATAATCTATCACAGGCGATGAAGGTTTCGTTTCGTAGTCTTGGTTATCAAGGGGTTAAATGAATTTAAAATAAACAGTTATTTTAATAGTTTTTAAATGGAATTATAATGATTTTCTTATTATAGAACCAAAACTGGAAAACTGAAGACTAGTTACAAACATGAAAATGTATCTGCTAATGCTGATTTTGACCTTAGTCTTTCTGCTGGTCCCCTTATCAATGCATCTGCTGTTGTAGGATATCAAGGTAAAGTAAATATACATATTATTGATTTTTGACTATTGCACTTGATATTGCGTATTTAAACATCATTCTGTGATTTATAATTAGTAACATCTGCTACGAATAAGTTTTTAATTAAAATTAAGAAATATTCAATATTTTTATTATTTAAATAGTTAATATTTTTCATATGCTTGTTTCCATGTGATCCTCTGTAGTTCCTTTCCCTCTTTCATTTCCAATATCCAAGACATTCCAGACTAAAACTGCGTAAGATATTAATATAATAAAATCAAAAAGGTTATATTTTTTTAAATTATAAGATATAGTAACTTTATTGTAGGGTGGTTGGCTGGTTATCAAGCTTGCTTCGATACGCAAAGAAATAAACTTACAAAGAACAATTTTGCGCTTGGATTCACTGCTTCTGACTTTGCTCTTCATACAACAGTGTACGTATAAACTTGGTGTTTTAAGGAAAGCTGTTAAAAAAGAATGTAAATTTAATGTATTGTATTTTATTCTATTAGAGATAATGGTCGTGAGTTCAGTGGCTCTATTTATCATAATGTAAATTCAGACTTACGAGGAGCGATTAATCTTGCTTGGAATTCTAGTAATAATGTTACACAATTTGGAATTGGTACAAAATATAATCTTGATTCAGATGCAAGTATTAGAGCTAAAGTGAACTCTCATCTCCAAATAGGTTTGGGATATCAACAAAAGTTACGTAGTGGTAAGTAATATTTCATTTTAATAGAGAAGTATTTAAATATTTTTTATTTTCAATTCTTTGTTTATTTTTTCTAGGTGTAACTTTGACACTATCTACAAATATTGATGGAAAGAACTTTGGTTCTGGTGGACACAAGATGGGCTTTGCATTAGATCTCGAAGCTTAAATATGAATGGTTACAGACACAAAAGGACTTCACACTAAATTATTTCATGACCTTCGTGTCATAAAGACAGCATCACTGTACATGCTTCAGATAAAGTATTGCCTATAATTTGTAGACAAGTTTATCCCAAAGTAGATGCCACGGAATATCATGCATCTTTTAAAATTAGTTAAAGGGATATTAGTTAAAATATACACAATTATGAGTGTAAAAATGCTACAGTAACAGTATCATGAACAGTATGATTTACAACTCTTGAAGTGAAACAGAAGTGTATTATTATTATATTATTTTTTTTTCTCTTTTTTTTTTTTATTTGGTGCAGTCTTTTTTTAGTTTCTTTTATAACTATTCGGTCTTATAATAAAATCAAAGATTATTTTCTCTAATGTTGAAGAAATTGATAATACGGATACAGAGCAATATTGATTGCAAGTACGGATAAAGGTAGGAAAAAATGTGTTGAAACTTTTTCAGGAGAATATTAAAAACTCAATAATAAATATTATCGCGTTACGATGTAATTGTAAACTTTGATTAATTCTAAAATGAGAAGGCTCAATATACTGCACATACGTTCTATTAACTATAGAAATAATGTCAACGATTGGATTTATTGTAAAAAATCCTTGCACTTAATAATTATATAAAAATAAATAACTACGTACAGGGACTTGGGATTAAATGATATCAACGCATCAATTATATTGTTCACTTTTCATTTGCAAAATGAAATCAACATTCATTCCTGCTTACATAACTAATATAAAAGCAATACTGCCGGTGTGGCTATTTTAAGATTGAAGCCTATTGTGAAATCCATATTTAGTTATGATGACAATATTCCAATAATTTAAAGTCCGGTGTCTTATATGAATAAATAAACGTTTTTAGTTATACAGAATACCACAGTCCTGTTTTGTGTAGCAAATTTCAATGAACGAAACGTTTGTACACTTAAAAGTTTATTCTCTGATCCATCAACAATTGTTAAACATTGAGCAAAATCTGAGCTAAGCTTTGACTAGTTCTTAGAATAAAGGAAAATTTATTCTATGTGGAGTGTGAATGCTTTATTTACAAGAAAACAGTACATTATTTTCTTAGAGTATCTTTTGTGTAAACTTTATATAACAATTTTACGTAAGTGTTCAACAAACAATTATTTTAGGTATGTTTCATTAATAAATTTGTATTCACGTAGTTTCGTACTTATTTTATTTTTCAATTTTTATAAATAATCAACTATGGCGAGAAAACCTAAATTATTCGGATACCTTATAAATTTTCTTTATATTTATTGTATTTATATGAGAAATTCAAATTTATTTATCGATCGTATAAAAAATTAAACATGTTAAATATTATGTTGCCCACGATACATGAGCTTCATCGACAAATTGCGATTATGATCTCTTCTTATTGCCTCCAAATATTTAATAGCGCATTTAACAAACGAACGTCCAATGAGTGTTTTATTTTAATATTTTAAAAAAAGTTTACATTACTGCACCATTTGATCCTCCAACGCTTTCGCTATCCATTCCGGTTCAGTTTGAGCGATTTTTTCTATTATTTGGTTCACTTGGTAGCAAAGAGACTGTATTTGTTTGTCCCATGTCGGTAAAGTTTCTCGTGCTGTACGGAAAATAATTTATTATTAGAATCTTTGTTAGAAATAAGATTCTCATCGATTTGTTTGTTAAACTTACTTTCAAAATGTACAATAGAGTCGATTTGATCGATATATCCATTCATCCGGCTTTCCGTGATCATTTGGCTAGCAATCTTTTCTGCTTTTGTTGGCGGAATTTCTAACAAAGCACCCAGCTCTTCGAAAGTTATATTATTGTATAATTTACTAGCAGATAATAAGTTATGTTCTATAACGGCACGGTCGAGAATAGTTGATCCCAATCCATCGATTGTACATGCTTTTTGGTGAGGTTGTAATAAGGCTTCAAACTCTTGTAATTCGGAGCGTCGAATGATACGGTCCAAATACATTTTTTCAAGAATCGAATAAGCAGGAAGTTGTTGACAACGTTCATCTTTAAACAAGGTAGCCAACATACGACTTCTTTGTTGTCCTGATTTAAAAATTTTTTTTATAGATTATTTTTCCAAGTGTAAATTATAACGTATTTAATGAAGAGCCAACTACTTGCCTGCAGAAGCTAGTACTGTACAAATTAAAGCATTCCTAAGCGCAGTCATACGTTCATCTTCGTGTATAATAGATCTATATGATAGTTCATTGTATCTTTGAGCTGCTTCTATGAACTTTCTTCTGTAGTCTAATACTCTAGCGTAACAAACTTTGTAGTAAATTTGTAACTGTTCATTTTTGGATTCGGCCTGTTGAAAATAGAAAACAAAATTTTATGCTTTAGAGTAGTATATTACGCGTTAATCAAAATATTCGGTAAGTCTAATCGCAACATACTTGTAAAAGAGACGCTCTATTAATAAATGCTTCAGCTTGTACTGGATCATCGTCTTCTAAGTACAATCGTGCGATTTTAAGGTATGTTTCGAGTTTATAATCAACCGTATATTGCCTGCGAACAATCATTGTCACAATTATAGAAAGTGCGGCGTTTCAAACAAGTCGTCTGAATAATTACTACTTTCGGTGATAAAAAAAAATCTATTTGATCAATTTTACGCGCGCGTAAATATGTAAATCGTTAAGATGTTCGATCGGTTCTTTGAAATAAATTATTCAAGCGATCGATTCTAAATGTTTGAACTCTGTATATAAAGATATAATTGTTAATTACTTTTGTCCTGTTTCTAATGGTATTCCAACTAAAACATTAGCTGCTTCTCTCCAATTTTGATTACGTTCATAAATATCTGCTAAATGTTGTCTTATACTAGCAACTTGCTCCTCAAAAGAAATTACTCGTGGTTGTATCTGAGGATTAAGTAAAAGATTTTATTACGATACATGTTGCATACAATTGTGCCTTATATAAATATTAAGAAACGTCTTACTTTGTCCAACGTATAATGTGAAACTGCCTTTGATATTTCATCGGGTAAAAGTAACAAGCGATTACTAACGTCTGTTAAAACTTGTCTCGAGATCACCAAACTTACATATTCGTTTACAACTGGAAAATAAAATTGTTTATCTTTACATCGATGTTGCGCGAAAAGTAAATTAACTTTAGAATTTATAAATTTGTGAAAATAAAATCCTAGACATGTACGGTTTTCGCTATTTAAATATGTATATAAAGCATGTGATCTATAGTTAATAGAATAATGTACACACAAGCATAAATATGCCATAGAAAACAAATACTTTCGGATGTATAAAGTATGCGATAGATCTTTACAAATTGATCTTATTGAATCGGTCTTTGGGAAATATATTACGTACAGTTTGTTATAAGAAAATATATATTCAATGAAAAGTGACATACTTGCTTCAATGAATATCTTTAAAGCATCAACCAATTCTTCGCCGGATGATGATAGTATTGAATCCAAAATAGCTCGATACCTGGAAGTATCATCGTTTATACCAAATTTTTTAAAAGGTATATTTTTGTTCCTATTTTATAGGCTTACTTTTCCGCTTGATCTTTATGAGAGCCACCGGAATACGCTAAATTCGTAAGTTGTTGACGTACAGCAGCTGCCGTCACCACCATCTTTTCTACATGAATAACCAGTGGCTCAGATTGGACGTTCACGCGCTTATAAATGTCGTTTAAGGTTCGTTTTTACGTAACATAACGACTTTGTCGTCATGAAAACTTAAATGTAACATTGCCATAACATTACAATCGCGGATGTGCAATATAGGCGGTTAACAATTCTCCATTTTATATTTATTCTATTATATTTATAGAAATAATGTCTTTCGAAATATCAACACGCTATTAACCAATTAAGAAAATAACCCCCTTTATACCATATCGTGGTTTACCACAATTCGCCCGTCAGTAGATTAAACAATGCCGCAACGTAAATACCGTCTTATTAATTATCAAACAGTGGCTCGATTTATCTAAATGGCGGAAGTAACTATTCGATCTCTCTCTCGCTTTGCTGCATCACTTCTTGTTGCTTATACATCTTTTCTTTTTTATATCTGTTCATTTTCATTAATAATTCGATGTATCTACGCTTGTCAAGTACTATGACAATGTGATAAGATGAAAAAAAAACAATAAACACGCATCTATACAATACTATATAGTAATACTATGTCTATTTAATATATCGTTACTATCATTTTATTTAATAGAATTAGAAGTATGTAAAACATTCCTTATGTTTCTATTAATAAAAAATTAAAATCATCTCTACCTATCCTAACGTGTTTACATGTAATTAATAAATTATAAACTATTACTGGAAGCGATATTTATTTCAATATTGCGCAAAAATCTGCAAAGAAACGGTATCGCCATCTAATATCAGGAATTCGAACTGCTAAAATGCATATATATATGCGAGCTCACGTACGTGAATGACCTATCATTGTGTTAAAATCTGCAAAGAAACAGTGTCGCCATCTAATATCAGTGTTTCGAAGTCAAAAAATCGTCCCAGGATCACAGAATGTTAGTGGAGGTATCCAGAGTACAGCTACCCCCACTCCTCCTACTCCTGACACGCAGTACCTTGATTATTCATTAATAACTCCTTTCCTGGGATTAAAATATGAACTTTTATTATTGAAGAATGTAGTATAAACCCTTAGCAACATTCAAGGATAATTTTTAGAACGATTCCGCCAGTAATTAAGACGTTATTAACGAATATCTGAAGGCGTAACATTTACGACTGTATCACTGTCTGCTTTAATCGATTAATTATCAATTTTTCAACTATAATACCCATATTTTGGCTATTAGAGAACGAAGTAGACATCCCTGGGAACATTCAAGGACCGATTTTACTACGCTCCTTGCTCTAATTAATTAGTTATTAGCGATAGATGCCCAAAGTGACGCGTTAAAAGGTTAAAAACAGTGGGCCGACTTCCGATATCGTTTAATAACTATTTAATAACGTATGGCATGGTTGCAAAAGGTATCCTTGACTCTTCCCAAGGGTCTATACTATATTCTTAAACTCTAAAAGTTGATAATTTAATCCCAGGAAAGGCGTAATTAATAAATTACGAGCAGTGAGTCATTGAAAGCAGTTATTTCTACGGTGGCGCCACCAGTGGCGAAAACAACGAACTATGTGTTTCTCGGCTTGTAATGAACTTATTGCTCGTTAATTTACTAATTACGCCTTTTCTGGGAATAAATTGTGAACTTTTAGAGTTTAAGAATATAGTATAGACCCTTGGGAAGATTCAAGGATACCTTTTGCAACCCTGCCATGCCTTATTAAATAGTTATTAACGAATATCGGAAGTCGGCCCACTGTTTCTAACCTTTTAACGCGACATCTTGATGATTTATTGCTAATAACTAATTAATTAGAGCAAGGAGAGTACTAAAATCGGTCCTTGAATGTTGCCAAGGATGTCTACTTAGTTCTCTGATAGCCAAAATATGGGTATTATAATTGAAAAATTGATAATTAATCGATTAAAGCAGACAGCGACACAGCCGTAAATGTTACGACTTCCGATATTCGTTAATAACGTCTTAATTACGGACGGAATGGTTCTAAAAACTATCCTTGAATGTTACTAAGGGTTTATACTACATTCTTCAATTCTAAAAGTTCATATTTTAATCCCAGGAAAGGAGTTATTAATGAATAATCACGGTACTGCATATCAGGAGTAGGAGGAGTGGGGGTAGCTGTACTCCGGATACCTCCACTAACATTCTGTGATCCTGGGACGATTTTTTGACTTCGAAACACTGATATTAGATGGCGATACTGTTTCTTTGCAGATTTTAACACAATGATAGGTCATTCACGTACGTGAGCTCGCATATATATATGCATTTTAGCAGTTCGAATTCCTGATATTAGATGGCGATACCGTTTCTTTGCAGATTTTTGCGCAATATTTAAATAAATATCGCTTCCAGTAATAGTTTATAATTTATTAATTACATGAAAAATGCGGTTATAATTAATTATAAAACATGGTCTGGTTATATTAAAAGTCGATAATTACTGTATACAAAGATAGTTTATTCTTACATTGAAGTAACGTTACAGAGATTACATATAAAATTAATTCGATTGAGTTCTCTTTACTTAAACAATTAATAATCGCCGAAGTAGTCTTGATTATTATTTTTATTAGTTAAAATTTTACATATAATAAATGGTTTGCGACTGTCTAGGTGCAGGAGGGGTACTTTTTATACCTCTGCCTTAATTGTATGGCTGTCCAAAGCTATGGGGGAGGTATTGCACCATCCACCGGCCCCCATAGCATGAGCCAACCTCACCTCCACGCGGTGGACGCTGGGCAACGGCGTTGCCGGCTAACGAGGCTCTGGCTATGGGAGTATGGGTCGAATACAGTCTCGGGACGGGAATGTTTAGTTCCAGGATGAGATAAGACTCTAGAATAAAAGTCCTTACAGTGCAGTAATGGCTTGGAGTGAAGAAGAATCGGTGATTACCCTATCTCAATGATATGGCTAAACATTGAGAGGGTCAGTAGTTCTATGTCTCGTAACTTGGTAGTAAATGCACATATTTGTATAACAATAATTACTGTGTTACTATAATTCAACAGACGGTGTATTTTCAGGCACATCAGTTTGCATATTTTCATTAAATTTGCAATTTTTTTGAGAAAATTCTTTATGTGCTAAAATTGCAACATTTCTTCCACCTATTGCACTCATTTCCATTGCACTGGCCGCCCATTCAATGGCATTCACATGATAAAGCGCCCTGTGCAATTTAAATTTCGCCTCGTGAACTGCTGTTGAATATTCAGGGTATGCCTCCCAAGTGATATTCTTCGCGTCATTGATCTGAACAAAATTATACAGGTTTTACATTTTTTTTAAATGTTATACACCTCGTTAATATTACGTATATTATATATCATACATTTGAGAACATTTCATTAATAATTTCTGGTTTTAATTGTCTATTGCTGAAGATTTTCCAAACTTTACTGTGCTTCGATCCACCCTCTACAGAATTCAATCTACCCACAGAACTAATTATTGTTTTATTGGGTTCACAACTCAGAATACCGTCTATTTCCTCGATCAAACCGAAATAATGTGGTTTTAAATCTGCTTTAATAAATGTAACCATAGTTTGATGATATTTCCCTATATCGGAGAAAACATCAACGCGTGGGAACCCTTCGAAAATTATGGGAAATTCTTGATTATGATGTAGAGGAGTTGCAATAATTACAATATCATATATTGAACTCATTACAGTTGTACTATCTGAAATAAAAATCGTTATTCAATGAGTGATAAGGATATTATTAAATAATTATGTACTTTACCTTTATTGTGATAATACACTTCGTATAAATTTGTACCATCTTCTTTTGGCAAATTAATAACTTTTGTAACACAGGAAGGCACAACATTTACATTTTTATTTCTGTATATTAAATGTTCAGGTACCTAAAACATTAATAGATCCTTAATTACTGCATGTAAATACATCTCTTGTGTAACTAACAAAAACAACCTTTTTATTTCCCCCTTTAACAGACCACAAGTTGTAACCTGCTCCAGCTAAAGATACACTACCAACAAAACTATGAATATTGGTATCCTGTCCATAATTAACAACAGATGTAGCTTTAACAATTTCATCGATTAATTTGTCTGTATATCCCAAACTTAAAAGGTGCTCTTTAATAGATACTTGTAATAACTTTGGAAACTCTGCATTCATTATCGTTAAAAAACTAGTGATATTTTCAAAAGACTTTCCAGCATCCTGTAAATCATATATTTTTGCAAAGCTATTTACTATGGAATTTATATATCTGTTTGAAATAAATGAAATCAGCTATTATTGTAATATTTATTGGTAACATGTTTTTAATAATATATTAAAAATTAATGTAAAATACCTATTGAGAGTAAACGGCTGAAAGCCATATCTATAAAGTAATTTAGCTAACGATATAATGCTCCAATTACTTTCTTCGAATACAAATTCATTACCGTTCCAAATGCCTGCTCTTTGATCATTAGTCGGCGCATGTTCTAAACCTAAATCAACAAATAAAAGATAATTGAAGATAAAGAGAAAAACAATTGATATAAAATTATCGTTTAAACAGTTTGTAGAAGTACCAAGTAATTTAACAAATTGTTGCATGTATTTATTTTCTGGATGTATGATGGAACCACCGGCTTCAAATTCATTATCATCAATTTTTATTGTAGCTAGACGTCCGCCAATAGTTTTTGCTTCGTACAAATCGATATTAAGATTACTTTTAAATAATTCTGAAAGGAAATGCGAGCTTGCCGCACCGCCGATACCACCGCCAATGATTGCTAGAAAATGATCGAACATAGAGATTATAAATCGCCAATCACAAATATCAGTAAATAAAGTTTCCTATTTACCTATATTTGGTTTACAATTTTCAAAACAAATCCCCCTCTCGAGGATTAACATAAATAAAAATATTACACGGTTATTCATGCTTTATGTTTGCTTATTAGAACCTTCTTTCGAACACTATTATTATCTCTTCTGTATTGCGTATCAACCACACAAATTTAGCCACGTATTTTATGAAATAAAATAAGTTGTAATATATATTACGAAAATTGTAACGAAAGTTTTATTGTTTTCTTACGTTCCATTTTAAATACGTCGATTTAAGTGTAGCGTGAACTTAGGCACATAGTCTTGTTTATTTTATGGCATCAAACACGTGCGACATATTTCTATCGGTTAAACTTTGCTCTTGTGATGTTTATGCGTTTATAACAATTTAAATATGACGAGAAAAGAATTTAAACGTAAAAGGACGGAAGATGCTGACAAAGAAAATTTACCAGAAGTTTTGCCAGCGAAAAGAATGTCGGACGAACCCCCGTTAAAAAAGGTTAAGAATTTTACCTCGTTTTAACCAACAAATTTTTAGGAAATATTAATTCTTTAGTAATTTAGTAATAACCACCTTTGATCAAGTTTTGTATAAAAGTGTTTTTTTGTGTAAACATTTAGGTAAAATGGATCAATAAACAACGAGTTCTAGTTTTTGCAACTAGAGGAATTAGTTATGTACAACGTCATCTTATGGATGACATAAAGAATCTTATGCCTCATCATCGTCCAGAATCTAAAATGGAACGTACTAAAAACTTCCAAGTGATCAATGAAATGTGCGAAATGAAAAATTGTAACAAAACAATATTGTTCGAAAGCAGAAGAAAAAGGGATTTGTACATGTGGCTTTCTAACGTTCCTACAGGACCAAGTGTAAAATTTCTTGTTGAGAATAGTATGTATTATTTTCTTTCTCTGTTAACTATTTAGTTTCATCAACTATTAGTTAGTTACATAAGTAAATTTGTGATTTTTCTATTGTAGTCTATACAATGGGAGAATTAAAAATGACTGGGAATTGTCTAAAGGGATCTCGTCCTTTGTTGTCGTTTGATGATAATTTTAACACAAAGCCACATTATAGTCTTTTAAAAGAGTTGTTTGTTCAAATATTTGGCGTGCCCAATCATCATCCAAAAAGTCAACCATTTTTTGACCATGTATATGCATTCAGTGTATTAGACAATAGAATATGGTTTAGGAATTTTCAAATTTTGACCGAAGATGGCGGTTTAGCTGAAATTGGGCCAAGATTTGTATTAAATCCAGTAAAAATATTTGCTGAAAGTTTTGGTGGTGAGATACTTTGGAATAATCCAACATATATCTCACCTTCTAAGGTATAAACCAATTAAATTTTTACTTTAACGTCATTAATGTATATTAAGATCGAGCAAAACAAAAAACAATATTTTTTTTTTTAATTATAGTTTCGACAATCCATAAATAAAAAAGCTGCTGGTAAATACATAAGTAAGGTAGAACAAAAAATGTTACAAGAAATTAATAAGCCAAAAGAATCATATTCATTAAATCCTATGGACGAGATATTTAAAGGTGACCCATTGGAAAAAGCAATGGAATTGCAAAAACACGAATCTAAACAAATACCGATTAATAAAAGTGAAAAAAAGAAAGTAAAAAAAGGTGTGAAAAAATATCCAGGAAAAAAGGCAAAACAAGCTAATTCTAAACAGAAGAACAAAAAATTGATGAAATAATTACATGTACGAGAATTTCTATTATGTTATAATGTTAATAAAATTTGTATTAAATTCATCAAACAACAATACAGTTTTAATTTTTATTATTCGTACAATTTAATATACATATTTAATTAAAACAAAGCACGTGATACTATGTAAGCAATTCATATTGCATACAATACTCATAAATGTTGTACAATACAAGAAGTAAGTATATAATATGTATAAAAGTAGTTTAATATTGCACAACTTTTATCTATGAAGGTATAATATGTATGCCTTGAAATCATAAATAAATTCAATAGTATAATCTTACATAATATTCAGTGTCAATATAGTATAGTGTAAATAACTGTTTGAAAGCATTATTAATTATGCTGGCACATACTTGTACTTGATTTAATTATGTCAAAGCACATTTAATAAACTACTCTAATATATTTTGTACATTATGATGCAAAAGCCTGAGTGTTAGTAATCACAAATCATTGTGAAAATGTTAAAAATATTTAATTCATGATTAACCTTATATTTATCCTTGATATTACTTCGAAAATGTCTAGTGATAAAAATGACAGTGATCCTGGTATACTTAAAAAGTGTATAAATACTTATTTTTAATTGAAACGAAATTCAGATAAACATTTTATATATGTATGTATGTATGTAGGTACCTACTTGAAATATGCAGCACATTTCCTGGCATTCATAAACATCTTGTGCATTTAACACAAAAGCTGCATATTAGTACATTTAATTGCATATAAAATTGTGTTATGAAACTCTTATACTATAAATATAAATACTGATGAAAATATTATAAAGGAAAATATATGCTCTCCATTTCGGGGAAAATAGTAAAGTACTTCTTCTGCTAATATTTGTTTACAAAAATATATGCATTTAAGAATATTAAAAAATACATAATTAAAATTTTTCCTTTGTACATATTTTTTGCGGTAGTATTTTATGATTTCCTATAAGTTATATTCTCTTTTTAAGAAATAGTTCGATACAAAATTATTTTAATGTAAAATTTTTGAATATTGTGCAATATTTAATTGTACGTAAAATAAAATAATTCTAATTTATTCTATTACCTATATTGTCAAATTAATATTTTTTAATAAGTTAAAAAAAACTTAGAAAAATATATTAAATCATATAAGTGTATTACGCTAAAATAATTACTTTCATATGTTCTTCAAAAATTGAAGTTAATTAATAGGAATCTATATACAATTGAAATTATTACTGTTTTTTTTATTTGTTGGTGAGTTATCCACTAAATAGATTATTCATTCCTTGCTATTGTTGTCATTCTATGTTAAAAATTGAAAGTTTGAATACTTGGCAGTAATCTTTACACGAATTAGAAAATTAATTGACAGCATAGGAGTAAATTGATAAGTACACCTATCTTGCAATTTACTGCAACTTAACATATGTGTAGGAAACGAACGATTACGAGTTTTTTCCATTTCGTTCACGGAATTATTTTCTTGTGTGCACCTTGTGCTTTCAAATAAAGGGATAGATTTTACAATTCTAATCCTACATATGTAAAATGAGTATGAATGACTATATGTACAATTTAAAGTTGCATCAAAATGATAAAAAAGTTCTAACCATCAAATTCATAAACGCTACTAAATGCTATAATAAAATATGTCTATAAAAGTGTGTAAAATGTGTAAAAGGATCGGAAAAGAAATTAATGATTTAACATTATACTTATGTATTCATTGGCGTTAATTCGTGCGACTGTTGTCCGTTTGTATTACTATTAGATCCAATTTGTGCTAGTGCCGATTGACGCCATTTTCCATTATCGCCGTTTAAATTCTTGTCTTCGCAAATGCAAAGAAAAAGGGTGTCTATCACAGTCTGCAATTAAATATTAAATGATAAATGTATAATACGTATAATGTAGTTAGGTAAAGAATTTATGTAATTTACCTCGTAAAGAGAAATAATACTGTGAGCGATAAAGAATGCAAAAACGCAAGTAACAAAAATCGGAGCTGCGTAGAAGTGTAACCTGGGATCCTGTTTCATAAATAGTAATCCAATACTTCCAGTAGCAGCTGTGACAAAACATTTACCCAAGAATAGGATAAAATCTCCCACTCCATTAATCACTGCTATTTGTAAAGCATTGCTAACAAGTGTTGTGAACGCCTGAAAATATAATGGATGTCGTTTTCACTTCTTTATCTAATAATATATTCATTTGTTTAAGAGGGAACACCAATTAGATATTCTACATTTTTTTCGTTTCCAAATATGCTATTCCCCCTTAAATATTTATAACTGGCGAAGGTTAATATTTAGCTATAAAATATAACATACAATTCTAGCTGCATTACAAAAATGTGTTCCTTCAATGGCAACAACAGTGTATGCATTATGATTCATATATCGAATAAATTTTTCTAAACAGTAGAAACAGCATATGCAACATTTCAAACCACATTGAGCACATGGTGAAGTTTCCTTATTTCTTTCAAATCTATGGAAAAATATAAATTATAAACTACATAAATGAAAATTGAACTGTTACATACGTATGTTCGTTAGTTATAAACATACTTAGCATGTAGATATGTCAAAATCAAACGGGGTAACTTAAAAAGGGTTATTAAGAATGAACCACAAGCTACAGAACCTAAGTGGTAACTAACTAAATTTCCCATAGCAGAGCATACTGGAGATGCACTAGCATTCTTTCCTCTAAAATAATAAATATAATATATGATACAAATATTAAATACTAACACATTAAAAAAAAAAAAAAAAAAAGAACTATTTGTACACTATTACCTAAAATACCAATGAGCAACAGCCCCTGATATTACCATATCTTGACAAGCAATAATGAATTCAGAAGTCCATATTAATCCTATGATGTACACCCACCACATATATTTCACCCAAGTTGAATCGACATACTCCACCAGAGTGAAAGCTGAAATACTTTAGAAATAGTAATGCTTATTAAATTAGAAATAAAAGTATTAAGTATTACTTTTAAAGGAGTCCAGTGAAAAATCAAATTTCTTCTCTTCTACAAATGAACTTTTCTCTCCGAGCAAATTCAAGTTTAAGGGATCGAATATATGGTTTTTATACATTTGCACAGATTTCGTTCCTGGATAATCTGTGATCATTATTTATATATAAAAAATGTTTAATATTTATATTTTCGAGTTACATAAAAAAAATTGAAACACTTACTGGCTGTTGCAAGACAAAGAATTACAGTCACCCAAAAGGCAAAAAATAATATTAGAGCAGCAAACGTGAGTAGAGGTTGAAAAAATAAACCTGGCAATTCTGCTAAACACTTTGCACTTTCTTTAAACAATGCTGTCATAAATCCAATACGTTTGCGCAATATACTCAAAAGGAGTAATAAAATGACCTAAAATGTATAAACAACTCTTAAATAATTTTATGGATAAAATAAATAATAGTAGGCAATTAAACTTTTGTTAGTATATCAACAGTAACGTACAGTTATTATAGTTGCAATGATAGAAAAAGCTAAAAACGCTCGTTCGTTTCTAACAGATTCCTCAAGAAGTTGATTTGGATTGGTTTTATCTAAAGTTCTTTTAATGTCAATGTATGTCCACCATAATAACACTGTACCAGCTGTAAAATTCAACATATAAATTATTTGTTGCTCAAATATGATATAACATTTTTGTATAAAATACAATATTTATAATAAAATCATAACTTTAAGTTATTAACCTAAGGTAGTATTTTAACCAATGCCATGAATTGTACTATATCTAGGGAAAAATACTCTTAGTTTATACTTGGTAATACATTAGTGCAATATAAATGTTGCAACTTTTATCAGAATATTTATATTTCAAAAGGGTTTTTCTGTCTTGCAAATTTATGGGACAGTTGTTATAATTTCTTCTTTCAATTTTGCCTGAATAAGTAAGATAATTTGTAGTATAAATTGTTATAGAATGCACGAATTATACATAGAAGTAATGTGTTTTTCACCTATTATGAATGTTGTTTAAATAACTCACCTATAGTTGCAATACTGACAAGAACCATTACAATCCATGTTACAATGCTTGCCAATAAATGGAATATGGCGATCATAAAAAGAGATAAAACTGAAAAAAAAAGGTGTACATAGATTTTTCCTTTAATTTCATCCCAGAAAGTTCTATTTATTGTAGCGATAAAATAATAAATCATACCAAAAGCTAGAAATGATAAAGCCAGAATCTCTCTCCAGGTTTTGTACAAATCTCCTAAAATCTGTTCAATAATATCCCATGAATTAATTAGGCCATATAAATTTGCAATTATAGTTTCTCCCACATCCTTAATAGCTTTTGGAACACAACGATTAAGGACTGGTATACTGTTGTACACTGGTAGTTCAGGACAAGAGCCTGTTTTATTTTTTCTGTTTCCATTACTGCAGGCACTGAAATCATTTCTGGGTTTGTCATGGCAAAGTTGTGATCCTGTTTCTTCATAAAATCTACATATGTCATTCATTGTTGTCATAGTTCTATCTGGACATTTTTTTACACAAATTTTCAAAGACTGTGTAACATTGTATATATCCAAGAAGAACAGGTACCTAAAATTGTTGAAAAGTTTTTGAATTTTTTTAAAAGCATATTAATTAAATAGTGGGAGTACAAGGGAAATTTTAATATTGACACTAACGGTTTCTTGCTAGTGTCTTGTCCAGAAAGTTCCATGCTGCCAAATTTTGGATTATTTTTCATACCACAAGTGTTTCCAAAACTATCATACCCATTTATAAGTCTTAAAGGATTGCCATAAACAAGAGCAAAAGCTGCAATTAAGATCTGTAAAGAAAACAAAATGATTTTTAATAAGAAGTAATGAAATGTATTTATCATTTGTAATAATATAGCAACAGAGTTTTTAATGATAAATATTTCACAAGAATGTATACAAGTTTTGATCCCTTATAGTATTGGTTTTCTTAATAATGTAGAACTCGCGTAATAAAATTCACATACCATAAGAAACCAAAATACTATGAAACAACAAAGCCAGAAAATATCTGTGCTTCCTCGGACACGTGTTGGATCAGGTCGTTGTTCCTCATCATCGTCTCCTGAACAACACGACATTTTTAAAAACTTTCCTTACAATCAGAATAAGGCACCTAAATATTGTGTACAAAAACTAATAAGTTCTCTTCGATTTCAGAGTTACTCCCTCCGTTGAATCACCTTGAAGTTATCTGCGATTGTGTATCAACTGTACACAAGGATTTAATCCATCTTTTAATTTTTATCTCTTTACATTATTTTCTGTAACATTAAAAGAGCGCCAAATTTCATATTGAACTCATTAACATTAACATTCGTATTACAAGTTTATGATATTTATTATTGAACCATACATAGTAATAAATAAAGAAATTACAAGGCGTAGAATGATACATATACGCTCCTGCGATTCGCATGGCATAAAGTCGTTTCTAAGGGAACACACAAGCACACTACCATCTACCACATATACATTGCACGGTACTAGTTACTACAATGAAGGTTGTAGCAACAGATTATTTCTTCATTCATTTATATGAAATGACGAGGTTTAGTGTGAAACATTGGACTGCACAATAGTGAAAAGTTTCCCTTTTAATTGTTGTCGAAGCGTGAGTACCTTGTGCTTCGTACATTATTTCAATAAATGTTTTTATTATAAATATAATCTTAGATTTGAAGTTATACTTGAAAGAATTAGAAATATAACCTATATGTTAAGTATGTAATGCTTCAAGTATAACTTTAAGCATGAAACTTTGGGGCTAGAATTTACTTCGTTTATTTGATACATGAACTTAATATGTTTAATAATAACTTAATTGTATTAACCTGTTATATGGTGTCTTTGCTGTTGAAAATATTTTTGTTAATATCTAATTGCGTATATCTTACATTTTCCTTTTGTTTCATCAGTTTTATGTTCAGAAGAACTATAATTTTAGTTTGCCGGATAATGAAAATTTATTTTAGCGATGGAGGAAGATGGTAGTAAAAGAATGAGAGGCAGAACCCGTGGTAGAGCACGTGGCAGAACACGAGGTCGTGCTAGAGGTAGATCTAAGAAACAAGTAAAGGTAAATTTTTTAAGACAGCACATCTTTGACTTACATGATTAATTTGTTCTTGAACTTTCCATGTAATTTGAATAAGTTTTTATTCATTGTTATTCCATGTATCGTTAAGTAAAGAAGAAATATGCATGTATTTGAAATAGATTATTGAAAGTGACGAAGAAGATACTCCACAACAAGCCGAAGAAGCTCCAGCAGAAACAGTTGGAGCAGAATTGGAAGAACATGAAGCTCCACCAACTCAACAGGCTCCTTTGGAGCAGCAGTTTGACTTGGAGGCTGATATATCACAGTTGGAAGCTCCAACATTTACAACTATTAACAGAGGACCTCCTGAACCGATGCTCCGTTTAAGATGGGATCACAGAGTTAATCTTATTGGAGAGAAAGTGTTAAATCCCATGATACATTGTTGTGACAAGTGTTTGAAACCAATCCTCATTTATGGACGTATGGTGAGAAATGTCACCATTACATCAAGTCTATCGCCGTTCTATAGCCTTTATTTATTATTCAAAAATATTGAATGTTGTTATTTCAGATACCTTGCAAACATGTATTTTGCTTATCTTGTGCCAAGAGAGAAGATAAGGTTTGTCCTCGTTGTATGGAGAAAGTCTCAAGAGTAGAACAAACTGGTTTAGGTACTGTGTTCATGTGTACGCATGGAGGAACTAGGTATGGAAATGCTGGTTGCAGAAGAACATATCTTAGTCAAAGAGATTTACAGGTAATTTCAATTAGTCCGTTTCAGTTTTTAGTAATTAAATTGATTGCATGAATATATTATATGGTTTGTATACAGGCTCATATAAATCACCGGCATATATCAGCTCCGCCGCAACAAGTTCAAGGAATGCAAGTTGATCCTCCACAATACGTACATACTAAGTCAGAAATAGAGTTAACAAAAGTTTCATCAGTTGCTATGCAAAATACTCGCATAAAATCGGTGCAATCACACATGGTACAGCCAATAATGGGAAATGATCCTAGAGTGAATTCAATGGTTAATCAATCACCAGTGGAACACCGACAACAGCATAGGCCACAGTCACTAATATCAATGCAGAATTACACCCAAGGTTCTGCACCCCCACCACCAAATAACGCTCCGTTAAGAACAAATCTGATAACTGTACCCATACAAGATACAGCCATAACAACGCACGATATGCATACACAACAAAGTCATCATTATTATCCTCCTCCACCTCCACAAGTTAATTACGGAGGATATAATGTGCCACCACCGGTTTCACAGACGCAACAATACTATTCGCAGCCGCAACATCCCGCTCAAGTATCTTATGTGCCACCACCGCCACCACAACAACAACAGTATGTATCTTCAACACCGACTTCCATAAGGCCATCCCCATCAGGATATATACAAGACCCATCATATGGCCCACCACCTCAACAACAGGCCCCACCCCCACAGACTCAATGGTCGCAACACCAACAACAGTTTTATAGGTAAAGGAAGTACCGTTATCATAACAGACTTGTATGCATTGTGATAAAACTGTTGTGGATGATATGCAGCAATTAGAAATGGTTATGTATACTGTTTCTATAAACGTGCTGCTCACTATTAGGAAAAATTAATTATAAAATATTTTATACTTTTCAATGACTATATATGCAACATTAAATAGCTAAACTTATACAATACTATAGCAATAAAATCGTTTTAATTCTATGGATAAATTTATTTATTTTCCACTCTTATGAGTATAGTCTCTAAGGCTATGGTGTAGTGGAGGTGGATATTTCCGATTGGCGCGAATCTGCTTCGGCCAGTGCGAGTCGGTACCGTGGTCCTCAATTGACTCGTTGACGACGTTGGTTATCGATAAGCGGCATTTGTGTGCCAATTAGGGCTGACAGCGCTGATTGGAAAGATTCCCTTCACTACGACCACAATCTTAGATAGGGTTTGTGAAACAAAATTAAATAACTTTCCTTCAATTAATATGAAAATGTTTTATACTTATTACTTATGTACAATTAACAGATTATTAAAAAGTTATAATTATATAAATTAAATTATCAATAGAATATCAATATCTCAAATAAGTATTTCTACTCTATATTGCATATTAGATGTTAGTATTCGTAACTTCGTTCCATATGCGGTATCGGAAAATAGGGAATATAAATTTTTCGGTAGAATTTAATATTGTACAGATTGTAACGATTTTAACGTATGTACAAAACTCATTATATATAACATGTACATATACATATATATAATGTGTAATTATTACATTAGATTCTTAAAATATACTGAGTGAAATCAATGTATTCATTTATTCGCACGCTTAATTCTGGCCTTTCGCTTTTCAGCACTAGTCGTATTTATAATAATAAATATTAATTGACTAAAAATCTTATAATAAAAGTACTTAAAATTTTTTTATATAAGTTTTATTTAAGTGGAAGGCCAAAATACGAATAACATACATTCTCAAAGAATATTTTCATGTCATACGTAAAAATAGTTTTAATTTTACTCCATCATTTCACACATGTCAATATGTCTACAATCACTGCATCATTATAGTGTCTTGTTCCCTTCACATTTTACATCACTCATTGTATTTACAACCTATTGATATATCAATTATCCACATTGCTATACATTTATATGAACTACTTTCCATTCACCTTTATATATATATATATATATATATATATACTTTTTTTTAAACAATATGTTTAAAATATAATGGTCAATGTTTAATAATTGTTTGAAAATATTAATACATGGAAAAAGAAAAGGTTGCAATACATATTTGTGGCACAGCAAATTAATAATTATTGTATTGCTTTAAATAAAGAAAATGATTCATTGTGGATGAACTTTAATCTAGATACACAATGAATGTGTCATACTAATTAAATACCTGTAATTGAAAAACAATTAAATCTATATTGATAATTTATGTGTTATGTTAAACAAAGCTGAAGGAATAATGAAACAGGCTTTGAATGTACCTAGTAATATAAAGAAAATTTGGTTCAAATTTTGAGGAATGGATTTGAATTTATGTGTATTGCATACTTAGGTACAGAACCGGATAGGACTATTGCTAAAAGCAAACTGAAAGAAATTACTTACAGTTAATTATTTGTAAGTAAATAAATTTTGGAAAAAAAAAAAATTATTGATGGCATTAAAAAAATAGTTATGTATATGTAGAAAGATAAAGAACGACATGACTTACATCTTGTGAAATTGTTCTCTTATAATATACAAGATAAAATATTCTTTGTCTAAAGAAATGTTGATGGATTGAAGTCATGACTTTGAAGTGAGTTGAAAATATTTGTGTTTTACGATCATCTGATTTCAACGTGTGTATGTATTACATATTAATGTTTTACACTGTACAGAATGTATAATTGCAATCCCAATGGTATAAAATATTCCCTCAAACATTAGATAACTACTAATCCTTTTTCTTTAATAAAATTATCTTGTAGTATTACACTGGAAGACAAACTGTTGTTTAATTATTATTAACAACGTGTGTTTACCTTCCAGTTATCACTGAAATTAAAAATGAAACCGCTGCAATTATATAGCATTACCGGACTATGAGGGTTTTTATTAAAAGCATTTAAATTATTTATCACTTGTCGACAATACTCAATTACGTAAATATAGTTCATAATTTTTAATCGCAGACAACGATTTTGTTGGAAAATAGAATCACAAGTTAGAAAGATCAATTTCGTCACATTTGTTTTGCTCAAGAATCTTCTAAAGACTGTACCATTGTTAATATGGTATTATAACCAATAGAGATAGATTTCAGAAATTATTTAAAATATAACTGTGTATAATACAAATATACCAAAGTAACGGATTGAAAATTTATTTATGTAATTTATTTTGAAACTTGTAAGAAATGTGTAATTTTTCAAAATATATGTATACGAGACAACGCGTAATTACATCGAGCATGCATTTCGCCAATGTATCTAATATTTTTTGATAATACCAAAGAACAAACCAACTCAGTGTTTAAGTTTTTAAGGACTGATTTTTAAGGACTGATTTTCAAGGATGGACATAATAACTGATTAAAAGCTATGAATACCAAGGCACCGCTTGAGTATTATATTTTGTTCTTTGGACTTATCCAACAATAATCAACAGGCGAGTGCATTTTCGGTGTAACTTGTTCATTTCATAATTTTAACTAAAAATTGTGCAATACTGAAGAATCTCATGTATAATTTCTTACGTTTTCGTCTCCTCCAGGAAGATTTTATCGAATACAGCCGTATTATTAATATGGTTTATAGTACAATTTCTTGAGAAGTTCCTTAATATATTTATACATATACTTCTTGAAATCAGTCTGTTCGATGTAATCACGTATTAGTAGATGCATGATTATGTATGGTTACACTAACTTGTGGAATAAGAGGGGATGCAAGTGGTTTAGGTGTAGTAGATTCAGGAATTGGAATTGAAACTGCAGGTGGAACTGGAGAATGTTTTTTAGCACGTTCTTGTTGCCATGGTTTTGCATGATCCTTACTTAATCTCTCACTTAAGGCTTTTAATGCTATTTGCCTGAAAATTAATTACATTACATACATTATTATCAAAAAATTAATTTCATATGCATTTATCCAAATACATTTGTTCGGTACTGTATATAGTTTTTTGATAAAATGTTATTTAAATAGAGAACAAACCTTCTTCTTTCACTGTCATGTGGGTCAATACCAGGAAGGTTTATAATCAAACCAGGAGGTGCATTGGACATATCAAATCTTCTAACTACTTTTCTACATATCCCAATACGTACAAAGAAACCATGAATTGTATTACTCACAACTGCTATTGGTGGTTGTAACACATTTGGGAAAAAACTGTAATTAAACTTATTATTACAAGAAGAAATATCAATATTAACCGATCAAAAGATTATCAGGATATAATATACCTTGCAAATGTAAAATTGTCTGCCATGTCACCACGCGTGCCATTATTATGTTTCTGATAAAATCTAAGGTATATCCATGATATTAGTAAACCACTGAGAAACATTGTTGGATTAGTACCTTCCAATAACCCGAAAAGCCATAACAAAACTCCCAAAACCCAAACCATTAATGGTATGTTTCTGTTTGTAAACTTTCCTATCGGTGTTTTAACTAAAATATGATCTGGCATTATTTGTTTTACAGCTACTGCAACACCTATAAAGGAATACATCAAATAATTGCTGCTGATACATCTGTCTATTTAATTGAAATATGGATAATAGGCATGTAATAACAATGAATAGCTGTTAATAGAGATTATCATTTGTAGGGACATACCAGCAATGTATCCAGTCAATCCATGGATGTGTATATCGAACAACAAGTCTGGATCGTTGGTACACATATAGAGAAACAAATAAAATAAGGCTGACAGCACGGCGACGCCAAAATTAACAATCGCGAAGAAAGTCATCATTTCCATCGCGCCCCAAAGAGGTTCGATCAATTTACCGCAAAGCCCTACTGTGACTATGTCCACGCATACTTCCCAGAAGTGTATCTCGAGGAAGCAGAAGGTAAATCCTGTCCAAATCCAAAATGCTGGAGGCAGTAAGTAACCTGGTGTCACGCTCAGAAGACGTACCGCTTCCGAAGAAAAGGAAAGGCAATAGGAAAACAGGACTACAATGCATATGAATTTTACACTGGTACTGGTGTTCCCTAAGAGGGCAGCGAATTGTTGCCTCAGATAGGGAATATTTCTACCCAGGCCTTTTATTGCTGCCATTTCTAACGAGCAGCCCCCTTAACCTCTTTGAATCAAAGTGCCACTTGCGATACGACTTGACGTTTGCTACAAGTTTATCAGATTCACATGAACTCCCTTCATGGGTTCGCCAGAATGGTGCGAATTATGACTTTCCTGGTTGGTAAATTCAACAAATGTACATTTTTTACGATACAGAGTTAATTTCATGTAATGGATCTTCAATTTATTTGTTACGATATTGATTATTACAACGAAATTGTTTAGGTAATTTAATAACTTGTATAATCAGTCATGTGATTTAAATGGCCAATGCTTCTAAATAAATTGATTTTCATTTCAAGGTATTCATCAGCTTAGTTGGAATTACTGAATGCGGTTGAATTTATCTTTTCACACACGTACGAAATCGTGTTTTGTTTCGTTTTGTGTCGATCAGTTATTGACGTTCGACATTTTCAACCTTTTTTTTTGGCGAATTGACATAAATTGTTAGAGGCATTGACGAATGTCTTTCTTAAAGTGAAATTATCAAAACTATTGACCATTTGAAAGTTTAACGATGCGAAAAATTTATTGTTAATTATGTGATTATATCGTGAAACGGATGACGGATAAAATTTTATTTACAAAGAATATTTGATCTTCATACGAATTGCACTTATTAATTCAAATTAAAATTCTTCTGGCATGCATTGTCGAATACTTTTAAAAGTAAATAGCGTTGATCGATAAATGCCTGGAGTTTGTCCGCGCTGTAATCGCGAGGTTTACTTCGCAGAAGAAAAATTGGCTCTTGGAAAAGTTTGGCACACATTTTGCTTCTCGTGTTGTAAGTACATACAAATTTATACGAGTTAAATACCATTTTTTTTTTTGTATCGACGGAACGAGGAAGTAATGCAGGAATTTTTAATGCTCCGTAGGTAACTGTCGAAAATTACTCAACAGCTGCAGCGTGGTGACACATCTTGGTGAATTATTTTGCAAGAATTGTTACGTTCGTCTATCTCTGTCAACCGTGAATCATGAAATCAAAACAATACCTCACTCGTCTACAACCGTAGAGCTTTCAACTCAGGATTCATTGAACTGCTATTGTTGCGGCGTAGAGAGTTCAATCGGTAACGCGTCTTTAAAGAAAAAACAATATTGTCAAACCGACGCGTGTAGACTTCGTGGCGGAGGTAGCGAAGTTGAAGGAACAAACAATTGTCTTGATGAAGAGAAAAAGTATTTCTTAGAGAACGAGTGTGCAAATCTAGGTTCTACCAATTCGATGACAACAGTTTGTGATCCTCCACCTAGCCCTTCTGCAGTAACTACATGGTACAATCGACAACATTCTAAGTTTCGCAGGTTCAAATCTATTCTAGACACGTTCATCATTTTAGCGTTTATACATTGTCTTAAATAGCGAATGTCTTGTTAATGATATTCTTATTTGAACAGTACACTGTCTTCGGAGTCGCAGAAGAACAACAACAATATTGCGAAAGATTGTCAATTCGAACTACAGCAACGAGAATCCGATCAGACTGAGTTAAAGTCGCCGTTTAGTAATAATGAAATCGTCAGTACAGATTCTCCGCTAAGGTACGAAACATTTTTCGAACAACGTATTATATTATTACCCCAAGTCCCCAGTACAAGTTTAATTCTCTTGCTTGCGCGTAAAGATTATCATTTTGATCCGGTACCTAGCAATAAATGGAGGGCAACGTAGGTATTTCCGTACTAAAATTTCCAGTACAGACATAAAAGTTTTCTTAGCGTAGATATTTCCAGCACAGACAAAACTCGAGCGACGACTACCGACTGGAATAGTAAAATTAAAAAATACGATCCCGTGTGCGAATCTAGTGCCAATAACGTCACTATTCCGTCAAGACGAAAATTTGCGTATCCGCCGGTACCGCCGCCTCGCAGTCCGTTGCCTTCCCGACGACGAGTCTCGTTCTGCGACGTCGTCCTCGGGGATACGCGCGGAAACGAGCAGAATTCTATCACGAAAATGCAGGATGTTGGTCGTAGGGCCTGTTGCAATAACGACAGTAACGAGGAGTACAATGATTCGTACGATACTTGGCAAGCGGACGATCCGGCTGGTAAAAACGACGGCGGATACGAAAATGTTAATGTAAAAGAAAGAGAAGATACTGGCGGAATGCATTTTGAAAGAAGCGTGTACGAGTGTTGCGACGACGGCGAAGAAACGCCAAACAAATGCAACGACATCGGGAAGAACTGCGGACAAGACAACGTAGAGTCGCGTGGGCAGAAAACAATGAACGAGAAAGACGATGGCTCCAGTTCGTCGAACGGGCTTGACGATAACGATCGTTTGAGAGGCGGATGCGGTGGATCGTGCGGTCCATGTGGACCGTGTCGTCCTAAAGTCGCGTGTGGAATAGTCAAAGTGGTGGAAAGTCCTTGCATCCACTGTGTAAAAAGTAAGAAATGTCTAAGAAGAAACATAAACAAAGAGTAACAAACTATTTTTGTTCTTCAGGAGAACCGGAATCGTGTCGCGTCATTGCAACCTGTTCGGCCTGTTCGTCGCCGTGCAGCGAAAAGCGCAGTTGTTGTCCAGCGGCGAACGAACGGCCGATTTGTAAGAAAACTATCATTAGATGTCGTCCATCGTGCACGAGAGAACCTCAGACCTGCGGCGGCGGCGGATGTTGCGGAAGCGGATGTCGCGGTGGCTGTGGAAAGCCCGGGCAAACGTGTCTGCCCGCAAAGTCTTGCATGATACCACCTTGCCGACCGTGTTCCCCATGTTCACCGCCGCGACCGTGCCCCCCGCAACCATCTTGCTGTTGCAGCAAAAAATGTGGATCTTCCTGTCCAAGTGGCGGTAGCGTCTGCTGCTGCCGGTAAGAAAATCTCTAATTGTTTTATGCTTGGTATCCAATTGAGAATTTTACAGCAGCAGACATTAGATGGTTCGTTTGGACGTCTCTTGACCAGGCAATTTCCACTATGAAACAGCTCTTCTTTTCGATATCGACTCTCAAGAATAACACTCTCCGGACATTAGGAATTGAGACTGATTTTCATTTGTGCGCGCAGGTCGAAGAGCCCGGTGTGCCGGATGAGCCGAATTAGAAGATGCAGTGCCGACAGAGCGGAACTTATCGACGAAGGATGTTGTAGACCGAAGGTCGGTTGCGAATGCCTCGGCGGAGGTCTCGATTGCCAGCGTTGTGGACGAAAAGTGTACCAAGCTGAGATGCAGGTAAATGTTGCTTATTGGTTATAATTGTTGCGAAGATATTGCAACGTTAACCCTATAATTGCTATCCTATATCGCTGATGTTTATTTGAATTTTTACAAGCTCGTGTCCGGGATACCGTATCACAATATATGCTTCAGCTGCTATTGCTGTAGGAAACCCTTGGAGCCGTTAAGTTATCAAGAAAATTGTGGAGAAATTTACTGTAAACGTTAGTGTGTATGAAATTTACAAATTATCATCTTTAATTTTGAAAATCTCTGTACATCACGTATCAACAATTATCATTGAGCAAGACAGTTTTAAGGTAAGATTTCGTGCATCGACTTTATTTCCGTCCCTTTCTTTCGCTATTTAGAATGTTATGTTCGAAATTTTGGACCACAAGGATATGGGTATGGCGTAGGACCAGGCACATTGCAAACCCCCATGTGAAGCTATCAAACCACCGTTAGATGTTTGACAAAAGCAAACTGATTTAGACGCGGTATCTTAAATTGTAACACAGATTTTCGCATCTGTTTGTGATGTCATTTTCTTGAACGCTTTCATTTCAATTTATAAGTGACACTTTTTGCTCAGTAGTTTGTAGAGAGCTATTTTTATAATGCATACATTAAAGCTTAGTCTGAGAAACAGTATACGAAAAGCGTCATATTTTAGTCTACTAGTTTCCGTCGAAATATTATTAAGAAAATTCCAAGTTTCTCATTTTTTTCGCACGCTATCATAGTTCTTAGAAATCCAATCACTAGCAACACTCGCGTTCCTTCCTTCTTCTCTACTTTTCCGGTACAACTTCTTACACGAAAATCTTGGGATTCGGCGGAATAGTGCTGAACACGCGAGAGAGAAACGGAAATAAACTGTGTCGAATAAAAAAAATTATTAAATGCAATAAGAAACACTAAAATCTCGAACTTCTTGAACGTCGAGATTACACATTTAAAAAAAAGAAACGAGTATCTCGGTTTAAGGAAGAAATGAAAGACAGAAGCAAGCTCGCGATTGCTGAAGTTCGTACGGCAGATAGACATTCCGTGAGGCATCCTTGGCAAAGTAAGTTCCAAAACGCGAAAAGTGAATTGAAGAAGAGGGAAGGCCGAAAGGTATGCGTCCCTCGCGAGTTTGCCTTTGGAAATAACCCACGATCATGCGAGGAAAGTCGAAGCGAATGGGTTATCCCTTCGCGGAGAAATAAAGACACGCGAGGAGGATTCTTAGTTCGCGAAACAGAAGGAAAGGGAATAAAACGACGTAGCCGGTAGTTTTATTGGTGAAAATAAAGATAGGACGAATGGAGGAACAGTCGAGGGATTCCGTGAAATACAGAGACCGGAAGAAAAGTGGGAAAAGGAACGGGTGGGGGTAAGGGAAGACGGAGGAAGAAAGAGTGAGTGGTTGGTTTATTGAGTCTCTCCTCTTAGTGGATTGCGGAACGCGGAACGTACGCGGCGCTGGCGGGTAGAGGGGCGTTTATATAGCTTTCAAGCGCAGGAGCTTAATCTAATTTCAAATATAAATCTGTTTTCTCCCCGTTTTCTCTCCTCTCCCCCCCTGTCGTTCTCTTTCCGCCTTCGTTTCTACCCTCGACCAACCCCCATCCATATAGCGGCGTGCTCGCTGGCTTACATTATCCGGCCGGCTACGAATAATCTCCTTCGCTTTCCCTATTAACGTTACGCGACACGCTGATTCACTTTAGTTTTACGAATCGTCAACCAGCGAATGTAGAACACGCTTTTGTCTCGAGATAAGGAAATACAGGTACGTTCCGTTCAACCCTTACGCTCGTGGCGTGTGGAATTTAGCACATTTGAGTTTCATATGTTTTAAAACGTAGTGGAAAGCAATTTTATCCGTCCTTTCGCGTTTCCTATAACTGCAAAAAATGCTGTTCAGCAATATTTACAGCGCGAACAAAGTCAATAATGCCGCTGTGATCGTTCCAGAATAAACAAAAGAACATCAACGGTAAAATAATTTTTTTTTTTTTAAATTTTGTAGAACACCTCGCGTAAAGTACCGTATGATATAATAAAAAAGAGGGCTTTTCAGAATAGCCTAGAAATTTTTGATCGCGCTCGTGTCGAAGTTTGTCGAAGGTGAAGTAAATATACCTGTGCGCGACTGTGAAGAAGGCTCGGGGAATTAAATGTGTAGCGAGCGTATTTTCACGATGTAAAGTAAATTTGCCCAAGGCGAGCCGCAGAATTTTTTCATACACGATGCAGTAACGTGGATGCACCTGCGGTCAGGAAATCGAGAAAATATCTCCTCGGTTCGGCGATCGGTTCGCTCGGTCTTTTGTGCGCGTCGCTTACTCCGAACGGTATGAAAATCAATTATTTCGTTAATTCGTGCGTTACATTGGCTGTCACGGAACCATCACTGTGAACGACAGCGGCCCAAGGCACTATTTTTCAATTCCCAATGTCGCCCTACCTTTTCGAACGTATTTCCGTCTGATACGGCCGCGCCATTTTGCGACCTTATCTCTGGAACCACGTACGTAAGTAAGACCTTTGTATATTTCACGAGAGAACCAATGAAACGTAACGATTCCGTGACTTCGTTTACCTATTGTTTTCGATAAAATACATTCAAGAATTTATAACGTTTTATATGCCTTAGTTTGAATAGAAAAACTGTCGATGATCTTGCAGAATTTTCCCGATAGTTTAGAACGTACAAAAATTCGTCTTTATCTATTGTTTGCACTTTGTGGACCAGCGTTAGTTTATAGTAATTTTCTTTCGAACAAGAAATTTCGTGTTTTGCAATTGATTATTATTTGGACGTAACGGATTACAGGAGGTCCATAGGAGGACTATAAAAGCGACGACCGAGGGTAGCAGTGTCCCATGAGGCTGATGCTACGTGAAATTTTCGTACGTTAAAATTAATATCTCCCATTTGTCAATTGCCGATACGTTTCCGTCGTACAATGAAAACTGCCTAAAAAGGGGACCGTACACAAATGTTAGACCCCAAAACGTTCCCTAAACGATGTCACAACACACCTAGGTAACGGAAGCATTCATCGAGGTCGCATTAAAGGAAATTGTACTTGTAACGTGTTATAAATTGGCTAGTTTCATGGCGCGAGCAGGTAGAGCACTCCTCCGGTCGCACGAACCAAGAGAAATACGAATATTTTTTATGCAAAATAATAGGGAACGGAGGACCTCTCGTGTTTGATACCGTTAAAAAAATTATCTGAACTTCGTTATAGAATAAAGCGTTCTGTTGACGCGAAAAATGAATAATTGCGCGCAGACCACGGAGGGTAACAGTGATTTTATCCTGCGTGTCTAATTGGCGGACATGTGGACGCGACCGTGGAGAATCCCCCGCACGCGTTTCAAATGGATCCCAGTTTATTCAGTATTCTGATTTGGAAAGGGTTCGAAGCCATGCTGCCTGGCCACCTAACTATTTAAGGTCTCTGTATTAATCACCCATAAAACATTTGACCTCCGTAGAAATGGCTAGAGCAAATTTACTTTCAAACAAGTGCCGTTTATTACTTTTCATGGTCCGATTTCTTGAAAGATAAATCCGAATAATAATTTAGATATTGCACGAATTTACACGAATGTTTGAGAGCGTTAACCACCGTGCTATAGTTAAGAATTTGCTATTTAATGTAAAGAATCGAGTCTTCGTGGGGTTCGAATGGGCAACAATGTATGCATGCGCTCGTCTGCGGTGTATGAAAATTTCGCGCATCAGGAACACGCAAACTTTCGTGAAATGACCCGATTAACAAACGACAGATTCGACGTGGGTTTTCGCGCGTGGAGAACGTTAGCCCGGGCGCGTGTAGTGTACACATTTAATTTGCATCGTATAAATCGTGTTTCCGGTCGAGCACGCAACGCAAACACGCGTTACATTTACGCCCTCGGTTCTTCGCCGCGTTTTCGATCTGCCGCCATGGAGAAAGAGAGAAACGCCGGGCGCTTTTGCATGCTGCGCCGTATTGTAGCCCCGGTAATTTATGATTCGATAAATAAATCAGCCACGTTTTATCCTTTCGACCCTCGTACGATTCGTGCGCGCACACTTGTAAGATGATTTTGGGGGTTACGCCCAGTTACCGTCCGCGGACCTCCGAGAGGGGATCTCACCCCTTTTTTTTCCTTCTCTTGCTCTCCAAGCACTTCGTTGTTCTCGCATACCTGTACAGAACTGCGGAGAACGCTGCCCTTATCGCAAAAAGGAGCATGCATAATGTTATTTCTGGTATACGAAGTGAACAATAGTAATTATACTAATGCTAATTACGTTTTTATCGCGCTGTCTGAGAGGCATGTATACATAGTTACGTAAATACGAGGCTCAGCTTCGCTGCTATTAATCTTGATCCGATACACAGAATGCCCGCGATGAATGGTATAATCGATAAGGAGGTGATTTTCGACAATTTTCAACGTAACTTTAACGAAACTGTTTTTATTAACGTAACGTATGTTTCAATACCCAAAAATGCCTAACGCAAACCGTAAAATTAGTTGAGAAAACTGTTTTGTCATACGAATGCAACATCAAACCGTTCCACGCCATAAACGCGCAGCTCTTACGTTTCATGATTGTCCATCTCTCGCCGAACATGAATATTCATACCATTATACATTTGTTTACCGTTGTACGTGTCGGTGCACCGTGATATATGCAAATAGTAACAAAACAAATTCATTTCGAAATCGTAAATGCCAGCCGGACCGTTTGAAAAACGCCTGAACCTTCGCGAAAACCGAAACGAGGACGAGAATATAATCGACCCGCGCGAACATTTAAGTTATCTAAAGCGGTAGACATAATTAATTGATCAATGGAATATCGAGCGTATCCTGCACAGACAGGCAATTGTGGCGAAGTAACGATCAAAGACTTCGTACCGTAAGCTGCTCTTACATGAAAACGTTTAACTTTCATTTTGAGGGAATCCAGTTAACGGTACGTTCAGAAATTAATTATCAAAGGAGCGAGCAGTTTACTGAATTATAAGCGTCGATTTATATCGCGGGGATGAAAGCACGAAAGTCTTCAAAACGACGAAACAATCTGTTTATTGTTATATTTCGATCAAAGAATCGTATATTTATATTATAGATATTAATAGATGTTGAAGGGAGTTGTTTTAACATTGTTTATATTATAAACGATTCCTTTTGCTACATCCGTACCGATTCAATTCGTAATTTTGTGGTATTTTTTTTAACTAGTTTGCTGTTCTGTAACCTCTCGTATGATTCTCTCATGGATTTTACACGCCAAAGTACGGCAAGACGGCTCGATTTTGATACCTGAGTTATACTCTTTGATCGATTCTGCAAAGGAGAAATAAATAGGAGAGTAAAACGCCGTCCAAAATTTACGAGCGGCCCCAGCATGTTATGGCTTCGGGTGCGGAATCAGACCGATTTCCC